GACTCAGTGATGCTCAGTTAGGAGAGTTTGGAGAGCATATCGGCCCTGTATGCGGATGATTCTGTGAACAGCGGCTTATGAGGCTGGCAGCGCAGTTTCTTTCCACTTTTGGTAGTCTTGTCAAGCGGTATCGCGGAATAAATCGACGCTGGAAAGGATGTGAAAGTTTGGTCTGGGACGGTTTTTGGATGGAAAGACGGTATGCTCGGTGAGGAACGGGCTAGGCCACTGAATAGTCCTTGAGGAATCAGAGAGAGAGAGAGAGATCGAACTGCTGCTGACTCTTCTTGAAGTGTCACTATTGTTCAGACGCTTGAGAGGAAGAGAAACTCGAAGCAGGGCAGGTGTCGGAGGAAAGGTAGCCAGGCCGACGACAGAGCATCTGGTGTCGATGAGGACTCGTTCGGGAAAGCATCGATGCTGTCTAGGGTGCAAAGAGAAGAATGGTGAGGTAGTATTGTCCGGAGAATGTACTGAGTATTTACTGGCAATAAGTGAAAGAGGTGAGCTCAAGCGGCAGAGGCGACCAGAGGGAGGTGAATGATGTTGAAGTGAGGCGGGGTACGAACAGGGGATGTTAGGAGAGGTCTCGACGTGTACTGTCAACAATGGTAAGGATGGAGATGGTGGGTGACAAATTCAGGCACAAAAATGGCCTGTTCTCAGACTTCTGTGGTTTGATGCGGAAATGAAGAGGTGTTGAGATTGTCGTTATCTGCAGTCGTTTACAGTGCATTGTAAGTTGAAGTGGCGAGCAATCAGCAGGTTGTAATGGCGCACGCGAAAATGACTGCACTGTGTGCACAATCTACAGCTCTCTTGCACTTCGAAAACCTCTTGCAGTTGCTTCCTCTCCCCTTTCTTTATGAACTTGCCACTTCGAATGTGGTCAATGCAGGGTAAAGAATATGGACAGATGACTCGTCTTCATGCAGGTCACAAAATCCTTTACGAACGATCTGAACCAATTTTCCCACGCAATCGATGCCTCTCTCAGCTACTCAATCGCGCCTCCTCGTACTCCGTAGCACGAATGAGACCTCAATCAGATAGGCGGGACTATCCCGCTGAACCGAGATCTTGCGTCCTAAGCGTCGATGGGTGACAGCTGGTCCTTTGCTGCGGATGAATGTTGTGAAAAGGGCAATCAGAACCGGCTTAGCAGCGCACGGGCTTGCTGAAACTTGAGGACCCAAGCTCAGAGACCTGAAAAGCAGAAATATTCTGCAACACGGATGTTACTGCCTAGTGCAAGCGGGGTGGTCTTGGGTTGGTGATTGCTGCTGTTGCGACTTGCGAGGTGTGCAGTCAGGCACAGAATATGTCAACATCGTGACTCAACAGTGCGGCATAAGCGCTGATGCAAGTTGGGGGCGCTTGGACCTTGGACACAGCTAGCAATGTCGAGAAGAATTGACCAGCTCCGTCCTCCAGATTCGCAAACTGGCCTACCCGATCGAGTTTCACTGCTTCACGACCAACCGTGTGCCACGAGGATGCCGAATTAGCTCGTGCCCGCTTTGGCGACCGATCAAAAAAGTAACGCTCCTCGTGAATCGGACCAGGACCGCGTCAGAAAAGAGAAGTTGGGGTTACTGCTCTGGTCACAGGAGGCATAGGTGAAGGCACGTATGAGGCTGCGCAGGGATCTTACCGGCGAAAGAGGCGAAAGAGGCGCCACCCCTGTCCGTCACACAAACTGTTGGCCCATGTCTGCTTTTCCTATGCACATGGCCCCGGACTACGGGGGCCTCATATTGCATTGCTGTCATCCGCACAGCTGGGGCTCACTGCGCGGGATGTCGGGCATCAGTCAGGGAACCAAAGGCCCGCATTGCAAGCCAACTGACTCAGAAGGAGCTAAGAAGGACGAACATAACATCCAAAAACAAAACGCCAACACCCCATGTCACCAACTACCTGTGTGATTTGACGATGGTTTCGAAGGGATCTCGTGTTTGGTGGGAATCGAATGGGCCCTTCAATCCCTGAAAGCTCTCTGTGGCAAGGACAAGTTCAACATCTATTGGTTATCTGGCCGCTCGTTTCGCTACCCATGTCCACGCAGGGATCTCGAGTCTTACTCGCCTTGTGAACTCAGTGGTTGAAGACGTTGGTGGTGGCCTGCAAGGAAAACAACATCAGCCATTGACCACGAGGCACATGAAGACCACCCACACTTGACCCTAAGGCCAATCCCCAGTCTTAGCGGGGCTGAGGCGCATGCGATACCTTAGCGGCCTGGCAAGAGCTAAGTAGGCCTTCCCGTCAAGCTCGGATCACAACGGCAGACCCTAGCGAGAGCCTGATCGCGCTCAGTCATGAAAACATGTCCCCAAACTCTCCACAAGACCTCGGTCAGGTCCAATTGCGGCGAAGAAGTGGTGAACATGATCCAAGTTCAATGTTGACTGTCCAAACTTCCCATGGCGGAAAAGAAATGCACAAGGACTCACTAAACCAGGCAAGTCGCCCTTGGTCGGGCCTCAACCTGTTCTCCCTGGTCATAGACAGAGCTCGACGAATGGCCGCGGCTTGTCCCCATGGAGCTTTTCGAAAGGAGTCGTTCACTACATTCACCGCAACACAGCCTCGCTTGCATGCATTATCATTCCTGTTTGCTGCTGGGGCACACGAGCCGATTTATCCGTCTCGCGGCGGATAGCATCTCGGTCAAGCTAAATCCACATCTCAGCCAAGCTGAGGGGCATGAGAAGAATGGAGTGTGTGATGCAGACCATGGCAATTGGCGAATGCCGCCTCGAACTAAATTTTAACAGCGCAATTTACTAGTGGCTGTTGCGCCGAGTCGAAGAACATCGGATGGAATTGACGGAGCAGCTCGATCAGGGTGAGGGGAAATGCCTTCTGCCCCCATGCTATCGCGCTCGAATTGACGCAAACAGCTCCCGCCTCTGGCCAAGGCTGGGGGCATCTGAATGGCGCCGCTCCTCAACAACGCAGGACAGATGACGGTTCCAATCGGGCATTGCAGCCATTGATGGATATCGCTCGTTGAAGTTTGCGCATCGGTTATTCAGGACGTGCATGTGGGCGAATACTTGTTTGAGTGGTTTGCGACGCCCACGAGGGTCCAGGCCATGCAGCCTCACCAGCCTCGGACATACCCCCCGTCAAAATCGACCGCTCCAGCCCATCGTTTGCATGCGCCACGTTTTCTGTGAAAGCAACGACCTTGCGGTGGAATGGGGTGCAGAGGAACTTCCTACCAGGAAACCCCTCTTCTCGTCTTCGCCCCTACTACCCATTGGTTACCTGCTTTTGTTCTCATGGAGGAGACGAAGTCGGACACATGCACGTTCTAAGACAATTGCCCCTGAGGCATTTCACAATCCAAGAGGGGCCGCCGAGGTTGGAGCCTTGTCTCACGCAGAATGTTCAGGCCTTCCTTTTCGGTGAAATGCTAATCGGTCACCATCCCTTTCTGGTCGCAACCTCATTTTGATGATCCCGATCCGGACACCACATGCTTCCCTGCCATTCAATGAGCGACGCAGATTGGCCGCCCTCAGCTATCTAGGTCCTGTGGAGCCACCAATGAATGCGCTCATGCTATTCAAGTGCTTTCAAGCCCTTAGTTGTTGCTGGTCTGTGGTCCACGTCAGAGTCCGTGTGATGGATGGGGGAGGATCGAAGCTACTGCCCCATTCGGGCTGAAGCTCCCGTTCTTGTCTACGAGTACACACCACATCCCCTCCATACCAGTTGAGCGATACGACATCCACGTGGCTGCAAGGGCGGTCCACGTGGTGATCGCGTGGCCTTCATGCATACACACCAGCATTATGCCATGAACCTTCTGCATGATCGGTATGTAACTGGACACCCACTTTTCGAAGAGATTGGTCGATTTCGCATTACCCGGAAGGACACAATGAGCTCGCAATCCCTGATGTCTTCTGGCGTGACGAAGCATCCCCCGCGCACTCTTCAGTAGAGTTTCTCGAACTTTTAAGGCGTACCATCTCCTGGGCGGATGACAGTGACTTCCGGGGCGTCAAACCGTTGCCCACATCAAGAGGTCCCGCACCTCGCTTCGAAGACGCAATTGCGTAAGTGGCTCTCGCGCTGCTCCCAGGTACGGCCGTGCGGCCAAATGATTTTGTTTGTCTACCCGCCAACGGCCTCGGCCAGTAATTTTACTTCGAGAATGCAAGCCACGGATATTTCCAAGAGAGATGATTGCTCGCCAAAACAGCATCAGTCCTGCTGATCGAGAACCATTTCCAAACTCAGCCCCTAGACTATCAATGCTGAGTCTCTGGGGCCCGGAGCTGTCGCATTCGCATCGACCAGGATTCCCCCTACAACTGTTTTCGGCCTTTCTCGTACCCGGTGGCGAAAAAAGCCTTCGCGGTTCTACCATGCATGTCAAGAACACAGGGATAGCACTCACAATTTAGGCATATCTGAAGCTCTTTGAGCTAGTTGACAAGCGCAGAGTGGACTACTTTCTGATCTGTACGCTTATCATGTGCCTCTGACCACTGTTCTTTCGCACTAGCCAGGTTGCAGCGTTATTTGGCTGCCTGACTTATGCGTCAAGCTGGCATATCCCGTATCCAGATGCATCACCAGCTATTGAGGATGCAGGCAACTTCTGATAGACCTTGTTACCTCTTTAATATGCTTACGATAGCAATACAGCTCTCAAGACAGTGTGCACCGACCGACGCGAACAATAGGTCATTTGACCCTTCACTTGGCTTCTCCTTCAATTCATTCGCTGAGCATAGGGATCCTGCGTTACGCTTCATGCTAGGATTCTATACAATGCTGCACGGTACGAGTCACATGTCCGATTCCCGGAATACGAGGTACATTCTACCCATTCGTCGAAGTTGGCATCGTGCCGGTTCTACTTGCCGACAGGCTAAAGAAGCCCCCACAAGAAGCCGAGAGATGCCGGGGTGGAAGAGGCGGAGCTTCCAGCTGCTCCACGTCTCCTAAGGTCATGACACACCGCACCAGCTTCATCACATCCACCTTATCATCCATGTATCGGGAACTATACATTTGGTTGAAGCGATTACATGGACCAGCCATCCTCAACTAGAGAGGCTCGGAGGTCGTATCAGAGGGCCTACAAGGCGTGTCTGGAGTGCCGGAAGCGAAAATCAAGATGTATCACGCAAGACAACGGCCCATGTACACGGTGTTTACGGCAAAGGACGGAATGTGTTTTGGGCGACACACATCCGCCCAGGCATCGCCAAAATGATAACTTTGGTAAGCATAATTGGCTGCTAGAGACGCAGAAGCCCACACTGATTGTTGTGTTTGATGCGGCGGTAGCAATACCACAACGAAGCACTCTCCCTTCATCGCCGTGGCAAGACCTTCTCACAAACACTTCTACCCAGCATAGGCCTAGCAGCCACAATGCTCAGCAGAACACAACGACTCTCGACAGCAGTAGATCCCATTTGACTTGCCAAACATCCTCGAGTCAGGACTCACCAAATATCCTAGCAAGATCTGTTGTGCGTACTGTTATCTCAGGTGCCAATGACGCATTCAATCTTCTCTTCGATTTCGCACCCAATCACAACCAGATGCCTCGTGATGATTTGTTGAATACAGTGGAAGCTCAATCCCTAAGTCGGGGCACTGTGTCGCCGAGTGTCGAGCATCAGAACCAAAGCCTCGAGGTGTCATCCTTGTCAGCAATGCGATCTCCACACCCTCGAAACTACTCTTCCTCGCTTGTGCTAATATGGCAGTCCTGCCATTTCGTTCACATGGGGTGGCTGACACCACGTGAAGCCATTCAATACGTGGACTTGTATGTCCTTTGAGGTCGCTAGTGTTTTCACGCTGACCTGAGAAAGATTTTTCAAGAATATGTCCCCACTCTCGCCGGTATTAACAGATTTTTATGCCCAGCACTCCAACCACCTCCAGCTCATTACACAGGAGCCCATGCTATGCTGCACCATTCTGATGATATCTTCTCGGTACCACGTCTTGCCTGGCGTTGGAAGCGCTGCGAAAGGGTACTTCCTTCACAACCGACTTTGGAAGCATTGCGAGCATTTGATCTTGAGGATCATGCTCGGACAGGAGAAAGGAGCTCAGACAAGAGCTCGATCAGTGGGTTCTATTGAAGCCCTGCTGTTGATAAGCGAATGGCATCCCAGATCACTTCATTTTCCTCCAGAAAGCCATGGATGGGACGCAGACCTACTTCAACGCTCTTCACAGGATCGCGACGTGGAGATGAATGAGGCTGACGCTTTTCCAGATGAGGAGGGGACCAACCCTTCGGCCCAATGGCTTGAAGAAGTCATTGAACCGACGAGGAGGTCTGATCGGATGTCCTGGATGCTGCTGGGCTGTGCTATGTCTTTAGCTCACGAACTAGGAGTTTATGACCACAAGACGTACTGCAGCAGCACACTGCCACCTCAAACCCGGGAAAAAGAGATTCAAGATCGCAAGCGTCGTCTTCAGAAGCTATTATACGTTTTCCACACCCAGCTTGCCTTACGCTTAGGATACACTTCTTCAATGGCCTCGTCGCTCCACCATATGATCCCAAAGGCGCATTGTCCGACGGGTCTTCCGTTACCAGAAAGCTTGCAATGGGACTTGTTCATGGACGCCCAGATTGACCTTACTAAACTCTCAATCTCCATTTCAGATGTGTTCTTCTCGTCTCCATCATCCACACGAGCGCTTCTCCTAAGCGGACGGTTCGCTCATCACGTCGACAACTTTCAGAATCTGTTGACCAGATGGTACAACGACCATCTGCAATCCAACCGTATGTACAGTTTTCACCATTCGAGTCACCCAAGAAATAGGATGCCAAACGTGAAATTGAACACCATACAGAAATACTGCTCCCAAACTAACCCCAGTCTTTCCAGGCATTACCGACACGAACCTGGCTCTGACGACGAGTATAGAATATAATTCAATGCGAGCATTGCTGAGCTCGGTTGGCATGCAAGCAATCGTTGAGAAGACTCTCGAGAACAATCCTGGCTTGATGCCAGAAGAGGCTCGACCAGTGGTTGCAGGAGACTCTGATTATGAGTACGTCCAGCAGGTCCTCGACAGTTGTTCGGAGATCTTGAAGCTATTTCAAGGCTATGCGGGGAAAGATAATCTTTTCCAACTTCCATCGAGGATCGTTTACCGCGTTTTCATGTCCTCGATTCTGCTTCTCAAGGCCTTGAGCATCGGTGTCAGGCAGTCTCAATTCGACGCATCCTTAGACATCCTTAACAGCAGTATACAAGCTTTAAGGTCGCAACGGCTGGACGATCTGCATTGCCTCCCACGGTACGCTGGGCTGCTGGACATCCAGTTGAAACGCCTCCGTCGCTACTTCGCCGAGTCATCGAGGTATCCGTCTTCGTCGGCTGCGGGTGCGACGACAGTCCCCGGAATGCCGGCAGATTCTGCAACAACGGCCCGGGAGGCTGAATCGCAAGCGTCTGAAACGAATGGGCCTAGGCTAGGGCCTGAGTTGGAATGGCCAGACTTGAACATGGAGAACTGGCTGCGACTACCATTTGATCCCTCAATGGCTCCATTTGACTTGACAGGATCTCTATCACAAACGGGGTTAGATTTGAACGGGCTGGACTTCATGTGGAACCTCGGCCATGAATAGCCAAAGTTCACCGATCGCATCAGTCTAGTTGAACAGCTATTGACCCACACAACCATCCTTCCCTGTTGAAGAAATGGCAAAGCCGGAATTCTCGGAGAGGTTCGGTAAATGAAGGTATCTAACGGATTTCACCTTATCAACTCGCCACCCTGCGGACGGCCAAAGGCCGGTATGGACCCACACGAGGCTGCAGCAACGATCCCACAAAACGACTGCATCTGCTCATATAAAGCCAGGCATGGAAATGAAACTTGTTGAAGCTAGATTGAACTTGTTTGCGCACTCACACATCGGTCGCACACATAGTGATCATTTTCCGGGACCATTATGCCCGGCATGTCTCGTGTGCAGCTTGAGCTTGTCCAGTCCTTTCCGACATCTGGTGCACGAGCTGTATCCCACTTTCAAATTGGCGACAAAGACTTTCTGGCCATTCCTCAGCTTGCTGAGGACATTCCAAACGGACCGACTGGTATGAACGAAGGCAACAGTGATGTTGATCTCATCATCTGGAGAGCGAATGAGGTCGGGCATTTTGAGGAATGGCAACGGCTTCCCGTTTCAGGAGGTGAAGACGCCGAGTTCTTTACCATTCAAGACCGACACTTTCTCGCTACTGCGTCCATCCGGGCGGGAAAGGGCCCCTACAACTATAACGTGACATCTATAATATTTGAGTTCGTCGAGGGAAAGTTCGTCGAGTTCCAGAAGATTCCGACTTTTGGGGCGAAACAGTGGCGCTACTTCTCGATCAATGGTCGTCACTTTCTAGCGCTGGCACAAGGAGTCAAAGTCCCTGGGCTATCATCAGAAGTCCCAGGAGATTCAACCGTGTTTGAATGGGACGGCACCTCTTTCAGCTCTTTGCAGACCGTTCCATCTGCATGGGGTTACAACTTCCTGCATTTTGAATTGTTCGGATTTCATTATCTTGCATACGCAGACTACAGAGAACCGTCGATTTTGATGAGGTGGGATGGTGACAAGTTCATCCAGTTCCAGACGTTTGCACCAAAGGGTGGCCGAGCATTCTGTTTCTTCCGATTCGAGCAAGATGCATACCTTGCACTGGCAGATATCGAGGACAACAGCATTCTCTATAAATGGACTGGCCGTGACTTTCAAGAACATCAGACGCTTACTGGGACTGGTGGGCGTGAATTCGCATTGATTCAAGATGGCGGCGAGACATACGTGGTGCTTGTGAGGTTCATCCAGGGCTCCCCCAAAGCTCCGACCACTCAACTCGAATCGATCATATATCACATGGAAAATGGGTTTCTCAAGCAAGAGTATTCTTTTTGGACCCACGGCGCGACCGACGCGGCAGCCTTCTCCCGAGCAGGTGAGACATGTCTGTTTGTGTGCGAAAGCCTGACGGAGGACGTCCATTTCCGAGTCGATAGCAATCTCTATCGCTTCAAATCAGGGCAACAGAGTAAAACTCTCAGTGAGGTCCAGGGGGCCGGGAAGCAGTCACCTGAATTTGTGGATCTGTATACGGCATACACCGCTTCAGCAGACGGAATAGGGCCTAAGCTTACCATGTTGGTTTCTCATTCGACCGCTGTTGATCCTATGCTTGTCGCTACCAGTAGCGAGATGATTTTCTATCCCGGCGGTAGCCGCGAACCTTCATATATCAACTACCGTTTCAACAACCGAGGATTCAAAGAACTTGCGGCCATCTCGCACCTTGGACCAGCTCTTGCTTCGCTCGTAAAGATGGCCACACTGGACACACAGATGTGGAGAACTGAGACCGAAAAGCTATTGTCGAGGATTGCCGAGGTTCAGAGAGTCAATTCTGTCTCCTTGTGGCGCGATGAGCTGAAAGTAGCGGCCTTCGCTGGCCGTGAAGAAGTCATTGCGAACATGATTGACTATGCGTGCTCTCTGACTGCCAAATTCTTGGAGGCCGTGCTTGAGGATCCGCAACGACTCAATCCTAATTTCCTGAGCGAGGAGTATCTGGAGCCGACAGGCACAGTTCTGGGTGCAACCATCCCGATGAACGCCATCATGATTGCGACTTTCTTCTTGGTAGGATTAGATATTTCCTATCGAATGCGGATCTGGTTGCAAGATCAGCAAATCGATTGGCAAAGAGCAATGGTGCTCATTGTTGGGAAGCAGGGAAGGGAGACTGCCGGAGTTACATTGTCCACGAATTCGGTTGCGCAAGGGATCATACAATGCTCCAATCTTGACCTTCCGATCAATCGAATTTACATTGCACCTCATGGACCTGATATCGCGCCCGGGGGGTCGGAATCCGGCAAACTGAAGCAGCATGAAGAGTCATTCAGGTCTTTGTGGAACAGAATTTATGCTACGGTTGAACTTGGAGAGATTATGTTCGCCGGGTATCCGCGATACACGCCGCAGCTAAGTAACCGGCCAACAGTCACCGAAACCACGACAGAAATATCTGAGATGCCGCAAATACACGGTCCAGATGACTGGCTCACCATGACGACACGAATGCGGATCGTTTTGGAAGATCCACGACAGCTGCTGTCGGGATGCGTGACCGACTACGCAGCGGAGCAACTTCGACAATATGGAAATGATCCCCAAAAGGTAACCGTTCCAGGCCTGGACTCCTATGACTACGCCTCAGCTTCAGTTGCTTTGACTCACCCAGGAACTGGTAAAAGTCTTTCGGCACACACCACTAGAAGTCCTCGCAAACGAGGAGATCTATTCGGGACACCTTGGCAACGATTTACTCACTTCCTCGCTCCGCCTCAAAAGTGCCCTGTGGTGGGTGGCGAAATCGCGTTCTATGAAGCAGGCACAGGTCCTCACACGAACATATGGCTTCACGGGTTGCCGCTCGATAGCCGCAGCTGGGCAGCCCAGAGATCCTTTTTCGAGTCCAAATATCGCAACGTCTACGTGGATCTCAGAGGTTACGGCAATTCCAGCAAATTCCCTGCCAACGCCCAAGATGTAACCCAAATGAATTGTGAAGATTTGCAATTTCTCTTGGACCACCTGCATTTGGGACCGGTCAACTTGATTGGGTTCGCCTCAGCTGGCCACATAGCTCTCCGGTTCGCCAGCCAACACCCTGAGCGTCTAAACAAGCTGGTTGTCCTCAATGGGAGTCCATGTTTTCGGAAGCGAGAAGACTGGCCATTCGGCTTTGAAGAAGAGACGCTGCGAAAATTCACCGCGGCAGCAACACAAGGTGGGATTGAAGCTCTGACCGCCATGGTCCTTGATCCTGCCTTGGTCTTCAAGGACGTAGATGCGACCAACGCCGCACTGCTGAAAGAGTGTTTCGCGGATATGAGCTACAACGCGGGCTTGGACACTGTTCTGAAATTCTTCACCGACATCTCTTTCGACGATGATCGAGAGCTGATGGGCCAGATCTCCACGCCAACGCTCTTGATCACGGGCTCCGTGGGTGAAGAAGTTCCCAACGGAACCGGAGCTTTCTTGCGACGGACCATCCCGAATGCCTCGTTGGTTGAAATCCCCGGGGCGGACCACTTCCTCTTTGCGACGAAACCAGACATCGTCAATCCAATCATCGATGGTTTCTTGGGTACTTGAAGAGACGAGAAAAGAGAGAGGTGAAGAGACCTGTGCTTTCTCGAGAAGGGGTAGGAGCAGAAAATAGAGCTTTGCTTGTATAGAGAAAAGTTGTTTTAAGCCTCGTTGATCGCGGAGAAGCACCAAATATAGTGAACCGATTGCCGGTCCCTGTATCAACTGGGCCATCTGGTCTCCAGACCTAGGCGTAAGCAATGCTGTGCATTAGCGTCCCGATCCTCCCGATGGTCATTTCCACGCGATCTCCGTGCTGGAGGTACTGGGGCGGGTCCATGCGGTATCCCACGCCCGCAGGAGTTCCGGTCGTGACGATGCTCCCCGCCTGCAACGTCGTCCCCTGGCTGCAGTGCTGGATGATCTCGGGGACGGAGAATATCATGTTTTTGGTGCTGCTGTTCTGGCGAACTTGGCCGTTGACGCGGGTCAGGAGGCTCAGGGATTGCGGATCCTTGATGGACTGCGGCGGGAAGAAGCAATTAGCGTTGATTGCGTGAATGGGTCGAGGAGGAGATGGTTGACACATTTGCTCGGTCTTGGAGGAGAGAGAGAGCGCATACCTCTGCGTTGACGATACAGGGACCCATCGGCAGGAATCCATCAAAGCTCTTCGAAAAGCTCATCTGGGGCTGTGCGCCCGCACGGTCTGGATCAAGCTGCCACTTCCTGGACATTCGCTCCGAGAAGTCAGCCACCTTCTGATCTCTTCTGTGGAGACATCATCTCTCAGGGAGATATGCTGCGGAACTAACCGCGTCGACATGTCATTCGAGACCGTGTAACCGACCACATAGTCGTAGGCTTCTTCAGCTGGCACGTTGAGCGCATCCTTGCCCATCACAACGGCCAACTCGATCTCATAGTCGGCTTGATCGTCCTGTGCGATCCTGGGGATCACCACGTCGTCGCCATAGCCAGCCACGGCGTTGGTGGTCTTGGGGAACATGATCGGATATCTCGGTCGTTTATAGTTGAGTTCATCCACTGTGGTCGTCAGTTGTTATAACCTCCTCTCTCTTCCCTTTGATCCTCGAAGCATTATGAACGTACAATGTTCCGCGTAGTTCCCACCGATGCATCGGATCGCCGGCACATCTTCCCTACTGAAGGGACCCAGAAGTTTCTTCACCGTTGCGACGCGCTCCGTCACCTCGCAGTCCTCGCTGAGCGGGCTTCCAACGACGACTCTGGCACGGACAGGCGGAGCGATGTGGTTGTTGTTGTTGGTCGCCGCGGCGGCGAGGCCGACGTCGAAATCGGGATCGTCTGCGATGACATCGCCATAGTATATGTGATCGTCTGATGCGACGAAACGTATCAGTCTCGTCCAGGGGACTCGGATAGGCATCTTTTGCTTCGACAGCTTGCATGAAGCTGCATCCTTGCTTGCGGAAAATCTCAGATCTCATATCTTCGGGTCGCTGAAACATACTTGCCAACGAGAGACCCGGCACTTGTGGAACGCTCCCAGGCTCAACTCCGCGCCCGAATGCCGTGGCGTCTTTGAGGACCGAAGCATCATCCGCATTGAGATCTTTTGAACGAGCAGGGATCCAAGTGGTGAGGACAACGGCCGTCCGAATCCTTGGGCCGGCATCTAACGGGCCGTCAGTTGCCGCGCTGGTACCAACCACCAAAACAAAGCGAATCCTCCCAAGTGCAGATCACGGGCGGGTGGTGGTTGGTTGCCATGCTTGATGGAACCTGCCGAAGCGACCGAGATAGTCGGTCTACTACAGAAACATGGCGTTGTGGGAGTTTGTAGCCCCGGAAGAGGGTTGGGTGGCCTGGTCGAGACATATTGATAATGGGCTGTGACGACTGCCAGATTCTGTTGGAGGGACCCAGCACTCAACAATGGACAGCTCGAGTCTCTTGCTTTTGGTGTCTGGAGTTCTTGCGAGCTCTGCCCTGCTAGTAAGTATAGGAGGTCCTCGAACACAGCGAACATCTTCCACTGACACCACGGAAACAGGTGTATGTCCTTCAAGATCCCCTCGGCCATGTCCCAGGACCACACGTCGCGAGATGGACCAGTCTCTGGATTCAATTTCTGGATTTCTCAGGCTACCGATCGCTCGTGATTCACAATCTCCATGCAAAATACGGGCCCGTGGTCCGGATCGCGCCGACCGAGCTCTCCTTCTCCAGCCGGCGAGCGCTGCGAGAAATCTACAGCCCCAACAGCGACTATACCAAGGCGCCTCGCTACGCAGCATTCGGCCGCAAGAGCCTGTTCACAATGCTTGACAGGCAGGAACATCGAATCCGGGCTAAACGGATCAGCCCCGTCTTCGGTCCGTCCATGCTGGCCACCGTCGAAGGCACGGTTTCCGCCCAGATCGAGAAGTTGGTCCACATCTTGGAGAGTCGGAAAGGTCAATCTATTGATGTAATGCTCTGGTTTCGTATGCTGACGCTTGACACCTTTGGTGAGTGACTGAGGGGCAAAACCCTGACCCCTACAATCGGGCATACGGGCATACTTATGGAGTATTTATCGTCAGGCGACATGTTCTTGGGTACGAACTTCGGAGGACTAGACAGTCAACGGCCTCCCGAGATCCTCGAGGACCTTGATAACGTCTTCCCAACATATTGGATCGAATGGCAGTTTCCGTGGCTGTTTCGGGTCCTGTGCATGGTCCCTCATAGGCCGTTGCGTCACTTTATCACAACCGGACATCGATTCTACAAGGTAAAGCTTGGAGTGTATTGCGAGAAGGGGCTCTGAATTGGCCGCTGACCTAGTCGAATAGAAAGGAGCTGAGGCGTTCAACCAGTACATCCAACTGTATGGACGCCACGGAGAGCGCCGTGACCTCCTGCAGCGGATGATTGCCGCCAGCACAGAAAAGAAGATAGCCGCGCCACTCACGGACGAGGAGATCGTGGTCGAGCTGACGAACCTGATCTTCGCGGGGACCGACACCACCGGCAACACGTTCAGCTACATGTTCTGGGAGCTCGCGAGAGATCCGTCATGGCAGGTTCGCCTGCGCAAGGAGCTCCATGAGGTGTCTTGGAGCGGGGTGGTTCCTGAGTACAAGACCATAGCTCAGTTGCCGGTTCTCGAGGCGATAGTACAAGAGACCCTCAGACTGTGGCCTGCAGCTCCTGCCAGCCTCCCTCGCATCGCGTCCGCGCAAGGCGGCATCGTCGACGGGACGACTGTTCCCCCTCACGTGAGTGCTCCTTCTGCCTCGAGCCTTTCACACGTGGCGTTGACGTATCGGCTATTTGACTAGACTCTCGTATCTTGCCAGAGCCTCACGGTCCAGCGGGACCCGGAGGTGTTCCCCTTTCCCGACGAATTCCGTCCTGAGAGGTGGCTGGCTGAGGACGAGGCGCGAAAAGCTCTCCAATCGGACCCTGAGACCATGCGAGACAGCATGCTCGTCTGGGGCAAAGGCTCACGCACGTGCCTGGGCAAATCTATCGCCATGATGGAGCTGAAGCTGGGACTTGCGGCGCTCATCACACGTCTGTCGCCGCAGCTGGCGAGCGAGAAGACGAACGAGGACATGGAGATGCGGGACCATTTTGTCTTGATAGCCAAGGGGGGCCGTTGCATGCTCAGATTTGAGCAAGCCTGAACCAAATTCGCGAGATGAGGTCTATTTCGCCCTCAAATTCGAGAATATGATCAACCGTATAAGCCATGATTACAGGACATGGGGACAGGGTCGTGACTAGAAACTACGGGCCCGGGTGTGAATTGTGAGGTTAACACAAGCTGTCTGTCATTCTCCGTGCGTTGGTTTTTCAATTTTGCACTTCTCTGTCCATACTCTGTCTCGAGAGCTATTCAGATTGTCTCCTCGAAATCACACAAGGTTTCTTGGTTCCAGATCCGACCCTATGCCGCCCGTAGCGGCATCGCACTGGTCCTCCTCGCCGAGATGATCGCATTCTTCATCAGCTCCCTCTCTTCCGCTCCAGATGTGTCTCCAAACGCAGCATCCATCTCCTCAAGCGTTTTACCCTTCGTCTCGGGAATGAGAAGATACGAAAACACACCACTCGCAAAACAAAAGAATGCAAAGAAAACATAAGTGCCGAATCTCATGGAGTCGATCATGGGCGGCACGGAGACGCCTATGATGAAGTTAGCGAGCCAATTCGTTGCGACCGCCAGCGCAACGCCCTTGGACCGACACGAGGTGGGGAAGACTTCTGGCGGCAGCGCCCAACCAAGTGGCGAAAAGGTCAGTCCGAAGATCAAAATGAAAAGGAAGGCCATGGTGACGCAAGCCCATCCGGCGGCGGTGTGACGGGACCAGTCGTCTTCATAGACACCGCTCAGAGCTGCGATAACAGTGTAGCAGGCTGCAGTGCCGAACCCGCCGAAGATGGCGAGCGGTCTTCGGCCCACGTTGTCAATGATCAGAAAGCACGCTGCCACAGCGACAAGTTGGAGCACGTTGAAGATTCCGGACAGAACCAGGGCCATGTGCGGTGTTTGACCAATGCTTTCAAAGAGAGTTGGTGCATACTGCGAACTCTGGTTAGTTTGCACAAGGGAAATCCTGTCCGAAAGATGCGGTCTTCCAGCGAACGAGAAGACTCACGTAGATAAAGGCATTAATGCCCGAGAATTGCTGGAAGAACGCGATTCCAATGCCAACAATCGTGCGGCGAAAGACTTTTCTGCTAAAGAGATCCAGCCAGGAATAGATCTCGAGCTTAAAGCCTGTGACGCCTGGGTGATGCCTTTCTTGAAGGATCTTTTGGAATTGCACCTCGGCGAGAATGCCCTGGTATTCGGTCTGAACCCTATGATCTTCGGCAGGCAGGTGCCGTAGACGCGTAAGAGACTCAAGGCAGTCCTCGTCTCGACCAACTAAAGTCTAAAGCGAGCCATCGAGGAGAGTACGGAAAGAAGTGGATTCCGACGCCCAGGATTACCGCCGAGACCATCTGTAGACCGAATGGGAGCCGAAAGGCAATCTCGCCGCTCATATCCTTCGTAGCATAGGTGATCCAGAAGGCAATAACGGCGCCAGAGACTATTGAGATCGATTCTAAGACAAGGAGTGTTCCTCGCAGGTTGGGTGGTGCGATCTCGGAAATGTAAAGCGGTGCCCCCTGGTTTCGAGTCAGCTCCTGGTAGTATAGCAAGCCCGCAAAGGCAATATTCCATACCAAAGCTAGGGTCCCAACCCCCAAACCCGTGATGGTCCTTCCTGAAACGAGGGTGCCATAACTCTCTGCGGCAGTCTGTATGACAGCGCCAATAGTGAAGATCGCCACAACGACGGTGAGAGCCCATTTACGGGAGATCGTATCAGCTAGCCAAGGAAAGAACCAGCACGCCACGAAGCAACCCATCTGGAGCATGGCTGTCATGAAACTCTTGCCGAACGCACTCTCGGTTCTAGGGAAGACCTTGTGGAATTGATCCATAGTGTTGATAATGGAAATGACGCCTTGGTCATAACCAAACGAAAAGCCACCGAGTGAGGCTAGGAAGGCGGCTCCTGAGACGAACGGAGAGCTGAACAAGGCTCGGATGCCCAGCTCCCCGTACGACACATTTTCCGGCAGGTACGCATCGATCTCGTTGGTGGCAATGTTTTCAACGGTGGCGAGCTCTTCATGTTTTGAGTCGACACGGCCGTCCTGCTTGGATTCGAGCTGGGCTTTCATTTCACGGGCCATCTTGTTGCAACGGCAGAAGACAAATGGTGCACTTGATCGCAAGAGGAAACAGCTAGCTAGTGGGAAAAAAGAGACCGTCTCGCTGTTTACAAAGGTTGGAGGTGATGAGGAGAGCAAACTCATTTCGAAAGGTGAAGCAGACGATCTTATATGCTTTCATCTTCCACGACGCAGCTTGGTGAAGAATACCTATAAGAAATACAATATAAGTATAATATAAAAAAGCTTTAGGTAATAAAGGTAATATTAATCTAAAAATACCATATAAACTTAATTTTAATACTGAGCTTGCTGTGACCTTCTCTGGGTCGTGAGATGGTGTCCAGTGCCTCCACATTTCCCCCACGGGGTCTATAGCATCAAACACGCTCCGAGAAGCTTCGACCCAAAGTCCCACAAAGAACAGGCATGATGAAAAATTCCATCCACCGAAGTAGAAACTGTGCAAGAGCGTCCTAAACAGGTTAGGCCTCGCCGAGGATCGCTCGGGACGACCTACCGGACTGGGAAATCAAGAAGTCTCCGAAGCGACGTCTCCCAAGACGGGCAAATGTTGTGGATCTCCGAAGCATTTCCACCCACCGCCTAGTCAGTGTCTCCAACGTGCTTGTACGAAACATAATCGGATGGTTTCCTTCTCGTTCCAAGATCCGCAGAAGGGGAGCAAAAGGCGCTCTCCATCTGATAATGGGAGACCGTGGTAATCACGGACCATCCCCGAAAGAGCAGCTTTGAGTCAAAACGGCGACAGGCCGATCCTGTGAGCAGCACGCGTGCGGTTGTCGTTGTCTCGCAGATGACGACCGGTTTGTGAACCCAGTGAAGAGAAACCTTCGAAATAGAACTATGGATCCCAGCCCCACGCCGCCCTCAACCGGGACGCCGTGTTTCTGAACGGCCAGCCATGCTCGACCCTTAGAGCGTCCACGATACCAAGCAAAGCTTCTTGCTCACGCCTTTCTTGAAAATACTCACCGCACGTGGTGATCCCTAGGCATGCTGTCGCCAAAGCGGGAGGAAGCCGTCGATTTCCAAGCGCCATTCCGCACAGTCTGCGGGTTATACTCCTGATCGAGAAGCTCTGCTCTTGCATTTTGGCGAAGTAGCCTAGCCCCAGCCTCGGGAGATGGGGGTTATGAACTGTAAGCAGGATTCTGGCGAGCTCCAGATGCTGCAGCCCCGTGACATGAGCCGCGGACAGGTACCATAGCTCCGGGAAGACGTCCTGCGGAGAGGTATCATCTGTCACAGAGGAGTATATAGGTTCAAAGCTCGACGGAAGCTTCTGCTCCCACTGCTGCTCGAGGTCCTTGAGAGTCGTCCAACGCGTCTTCACGAGGTCCACGGCAGAACTGGTCAAACTCGGTATCGCTTTGCTGCCCTCTTGAAGCTCGGCTGAGCCATAGCAGAACTCGATACAGTCTGCACAGAACACTATTAACCGGTTGGCCCAGACAACATCCGCGGCTGGGTTGAAGGACCTGAAGCCAGAGCATGGCAAGAGTGGGATGGCAAAACTCCGCTGATTCAAGAAGCACGTATATATTTCCTGCCTGAAGGCAATCCAGAACGAGGCCCGCCGGAGCCCGCTGGATCCCGGATTCTGACGAATCTGCAGAGAAAGAGAAAGAGGTGAAGAAGCGTCGTCTATCTCGCCAGAAGCGTTCGGTTCCGGGGACACGACTAGTTGGCCCGAAGAAGGGGACGAATGGGGTTCGTTTGGCGTAAACTTGAATTGCTCGATGATGAGGAGGTTCTTGACGCGCATGAATAGCTCGCTGTCCTGATTGTCGGCTCCAGGGGCCGCGTCAATCTCCTCGTGCCACCGGAGGAGTACGGTGGCTGCCAAGATGTTTCCGTCACGAAGATCAACAGAGTTCGCCGTCAGCCTCATCAAGGGTTGGATTGCCTCGGTGTGGAAGTAGATGGCTGTGTCTTGGCCGAACGCCGGAAGTTGAGGACTGTGACGAGCCCGCTTTTCTTCGGAAAGACGGCTCAGATGTGTCGCGGACACGCACAATATTGCGTTCATGAGCGGAGGGGAAGTTCTCGCCAGCTGCGGGACTATGAATTCAAAGTGTTTTTCCGGGTCGCACAGGTCGAACCAATAGGCCAAGTGGTCGACAAAGTGTCGGACCAGGACTGCGCGGAGCAGCTTCGAGCTGTGTCCTAGGTATGACTGTTTTGAGAGATCTTGGGTTCCATGGCTTGATACAGTCGAATATGGAGGGGAAAACGAGGAATGCCCCGAACCATTTTCACTTTGGCCGTGTTGTGGAGTGACCCCGGCATCAAAGCCTGACGGACCAGGGAGTGCCCGTGTCGCTGCCGGTGACGATACCTGAAAGCTATTGAAAGATGCACAATAGATTGGAGCGTCCGAGTTCCATGGCTCAGCATCTGCCACAATTGGATCCGACGGGTCGTCCTCCGAGTTTGTCGACCCGGGCTCCCGAGCATTCTGATCGGATTGGAAGTCGGGCTCAGCGCACTGGGCCGCCACGCTTTCCGTCTCGTCGAAGAATCTCAATTGGCCTATCCCGACATCAGCATTTGGCACAAATTGTGAGGGCAGGACGCGGGTACAGACCTCGAGAAGTCGTGGTACCCAACCATGTCTGACCCTGGGTAAACTGGAATTGCAAATTCTTCTGGTTGTTGGTCTTTACGGAAGTCCGGATTCTAAGTGGGTGCCACCGTATGCAATCCTCGCCTCGTTGTTGACAACGCTTGCACACCTCAGCCTCGTCGTCGCCTGAATTGCCAGACCAGTTAACGTCAGCTGCCCGGCGGGTTTTTGTTGACCTACATTTAACGTGACGGTCTGTGAAAGGAGGTCAGCCGAGCCTATTGCACCGCTTCGGGATTGACCTATCTGCATTGAACGCAGGCTTCAATCCTCGCACTGCTCTTATACCGGGAACGTGATTGATCCGAGATCGAGGCTAACGGGTAGTTGCGAAACTTGCCAGAACGGCCTCTTCTGTGGGATGGTCCGAGGCCCTCGACCTCGGACGCCGCTCTATCGTCGACCATGGATTCGGCGATCACCTGTGGGCGAGGGTCTGTTTCTAGAAGGCTGCGAGAATATCTGGCCTAGTTTCCGGGCATTTGGGCAAACGTGCAACCTCTGATTTTAAAAGCTCTTTTGTGGATCTCCAAGCCCCATCCTCTCTCGGAATAACTTGCCCAACTGGGACGAAGGGAAACTATCCCCGCTTGTGGATACGAGTACTCTGCACTCTCTGGCTACCTAAGTACTTAGCCCAGCAGTCTAGGCATTACGTTCGGCATTACTCCGACGGATGCAATAGATGGGGCATTGTTGCTCCTCAAGCATCAACCGATTGGCATTAGGGGATAGGGGATGGTTTTCTAACTGATACCGTAGCTAGAGGATACAGGCATGGAACACCCAAAGCCATTCGCTCCCTAGATAGGCCTTGTCTGGATGGATTCCGTGTAGGGTCTCCCAGATTCCAGAAATGCGATGGATGTCTAAGACGGCAAACCTAAATACATGACAAGGTCTAGAAGGATGGATCACCGGCCACCTTTGGAGGCTCGTTTCCACACTTTTAACGGCATAGGGCCCGGCGAACACGTGAACAGCTCTCTCCTCCTAGGTTCCCAGTCATGCGAAGGCAGGGCAAACTCGAAGTGACGCAACAGGGTAGCCAACAGAATATACTGCTCCAGATAGCTGATGTTGCGGCCAATGCAGCCCCGAGCTCCGGCCGAAAATGCCACAAAGAACGGTTGCAGTTCTCTGCCAGCCTCACCTAGCCAACGTTCAGGAATAAACCTCTCCGGTTCGGGAAACACGGCTTCGTCCCGGTGAGCCACGTAGGCGGACATCGAGACCGAGGTATCCCCCGAGACCCAGTCGCCTAAGATCAACGCGCCTTCTGGAGGTGTCCGACGTGGTAGCCCGAATGTGTTTGGGGGCATAATTCGAAGAGATTCATCCAAACACGCTCGGAGATATGGTAGATGTCTGACCTTATCGTAGGGAGCGACAAAATCATCCTCATCGAGAGCTTCGTCGATCTCCTGTCTGAGCTTGGCCATACAGTCTGGATTCTTCAAGAGTCGGTAGATGACGTTAGTGATGGCGATAGCAGTGGTATCAGAGCCAGCATTCATCATAATGCTGATCTCGGCTATAATCTCTCCCCATTCAAGATCATTTGAGCGTCCGTTCTTGTCTTCCATCAGTACTGAGAAGAAATCGTCGAGCTTTTCTCCATTGCGGTAGCGCTTCAGTCGTGTTGTTGCTCGATTTAGGACAATACCGTCCCAGTCCTCATTTTGCTTCCATTTCTGTCGATATGTCCTGGAGAGAAGCTTGCTAAGGCGAACGAAAGTCGGATACCACTTGTAAGACCATACGAGGTTGGACTGCGCCCAAGCTGTTGCGGAGAGACATTCTTTAAAATGGACCTTTTTGGTTGAACCATCCATCCTCTCAGAGGTAATCAAGTCATCGCCCTGCTCGAGGAATCCAAGATCTTCACTGAGAGCAATGTTTGCAATAGCAGAGACAGCAAAGAAGTTAGCCCATCTCCACAGATCTATAGTCAGGTCTTCTTCTCGGGGGATGTCTCCGAGCGACACCGGCGGCTCAGTGCAACGGCTCTCGAAGGCTTTGACCATTCTGCTCGTCATATCCGCCACTTTATGCTCCCAGCCTTCAAGATTCTTCAAAGCAAACGCGCTCGAGAGGACTTTCCGTTTGCGCTGGTGGTCAACTTTATCGATCACGTCTGCCAGGTGGTAGTGACTGCCGGAGAGCACCTCGTACATAACGTCTTTGGTGCACCTTGTGCTGTGTCCGTAGATGTCCTTGACTGCCTGGTGCGTACCATATGACAGCGAGTTCGGCCCAATCCTAACCACAGGGTGTACCTTGTGAAGTTCTGCAAGCCTCCGGGATCGAAAGCCTTTGTGGGCTTCGATGATGAAGGGTAAATCCGAAATGCCCGACCACATGGAAAGTTGAGGGTATTTCCGAAGCTTTTTGGGGTCTCGAAGGTGGCCGATGAATGGTATGATACCAAGGTAAAGGATGCCAAAGAGCAGGGCAGAGACCACCGCCACGGTTGCCAACATCTTAGCGCCAGGGGGCCAGAGTTGTACCGGTTTTCGTCAGCGAATTGGCCTTGTCGCGGTTTGTGTTGATTTTGCCGCTATCGTTGGGAGCGGACACAGCTTGAGGGCGAGATCAAGCCTGGATAATTTGTGCCCATGCTGGTTTCTCAGCTCTCCACCTACATATATCATCGAGGCACCTCCGTCACAGTTACAGGTATGTAGTGCGAGGCAGCACGTGCTTGGAATTGTGAGTCCAAAAGCCTTCGGACCCAACAATCGCCGCAGATCAGAGCCGAAATTAGCCTCTCTATTCGCCGAAACTTGCCTATTAGCCCAAAGTAGATGTCTCGGCGACAACTAGTTTTCATAATACGTGAAGGTTGCATATGCCCGTTTGCGGAGTGGAGAGCGCTACAAAATGTAGGGAGCCTCTCGAAAAACTGCGACGGCGGAAGCGTAGTTGGCTTATCTGTAACGTGACTGGAAGCGAATGGTGGCTTTGAGCAAGCCTCCGAGCAAGATTTCGCCGCGCTCATGTGTTGCTACGAATGGTGGCTTCGCAGTCAAAGTTCGGATCCATTTCTATTTCTCCCCTTTCGGAATCGTGCTCCTAGAGCTTCCTTCCCATCCACTCTACCACCTAACACCACCTCGGAGAGCGACAAGACCTATCAATCCGCGGGAGAACGCATCCACCGGCCTGCACTTTCTAATCTTCCTGTAAAACCCTGACCCGGCTGTGACCATCCTATGGTTGAGCGTTGGCCAACGTTGTCAGTACGCGCCCACTGGGCACACGACACTGAAGGCGGCAATCTTCGCCCGGTTGTCTATAGACATGCTCTTGCACGTCGCCTCGTCCGAAACAACCCCACTGATATTTCGATTTTCAAATGGATAAGTAGGACGTCCAGGCTTTCAAGGTACATATCTTTACATCCAACCTCACTGTAGGGCGCCCAATACTGCATAACTGAAGTTAATACGGCATAAAACTTCAAAAAGGAAAACAAACACACCTAGCAGCAATGGGCGACGTTTCAACATCCGTGGCCGCAAACGGCCAGCCCATCGAAATTGTCAACAAAGCCTCACAGCCCGAACCGCGACACCTGAACTTTGGTGTTGTAGGCATAGGCAGGATGGGGCAGCAACATGCCCTCAACATCCTCAAATTAGTCCCCCGGACCAGGCTGGTGTGCGCCTGTTCACCGGCCAAAGCAGATCTAGAATGGGCTGAGACCAACCTGGTCCCCCACGGAGTTGCCGTATACCCTACGTTTGAGGAGATGATTCAGTTCCCGCGTCTCGATGCCGTGGTGGTGGCATCCATCACAGAACTTCACTATCCACATACAAAGGCGGCATTGGAGCGAGGAATCCACGTGCTCTGTGAGAAACCCATCTCGCAAACGGTCGAGCAGCTGCAGGACCTCGTCTCTCTAGTCCAGTCCTCCCCCAAAGGCCCTCGGCTCATGGTGGGCTTTACCCGACGCTTCGACGAGAATTACCAGGAAGCGGTGCAAAAGATCCGCGAGGGGGCCATCGGTACGCCCGTGGTCATTCGGTCCCAGGGCTGCGAGAAACTCGACGACGGTCCTTTTATGCACGCGTACGTGGTCAATGCAGCAAGAGGCGGTGGATTCTTCGTCGACTCCATCATTCACGATCTCGACCTCACCCTAGCGTTTCTCGAAGCTGACGGCACGACTGCCATTCCTCAGTCGGTATGCGGCTTCGGCACCGCCGCACACTTCAAGGAGCTTGAGCATGAATCCCTTCGTGACGGCGACAATGTCGTGGGCGTCGTCCAGTATCGGGGCGGCCAGATCTCCTTTCATTACAACTCCCGCACCGCGGCGGCCGGTTACGACAGCCAAACGGAGATTTTCGGCACTCGAGGCAAGATCTCGGTGAACCTGGTTTCGAAGCGCAACCGGCTGGAGCTTTCGGACAGCAATGGCATACACGCCGCAGCCTTGCCGAGTTGGTACGATCGCTACAAACCCAGTTTCGTGTCCGAGTTGATTGCGTTCACGGATTCGGTCCTCGACCAGAAGCCCATGCCAATCTCGCTGGAGTCGTGCGTCACGAGCCTGACGGTCGCACAGGCCTTGCAGGAGAGTTTCAGGACGGGAAAGAAGATTGACTTTGATGAAAAAGGCAAGCGTATTTGAAGGCCTGAGATTTTCGGCGGCGAGGACCTCAGAGGGAGCTCTAAAAGTGTTGCGCTATAGAGTACATGAATACATGCGAGTCTTGAAGACCGTTGGTGTTTAGGTAGATAGTTGCTCGTTCAGTATATCAAAGGTCCATCCGACCACCGTTAATGTGAATTTCTATTCGCAAGATCTTCACACCCTGACGGTTTTTAGGGTTTATTGACATTGGATAACACCCATGTGACCACCGGTACTTGCCGGCGACTGGGGGGCAGTCGGAGGGTCGCCGGGTTATCTAACAGTCTGTCATATTCGCAAACCCATAGATTTTATTTCTGACGGTGGGAAGCTCTGTAAATAAGCATCGTAGACGACGAAGGCTTTGGGCGGTGAAATACCGAGGCCATTGTGGCACATCCATTTATCAATCAATCTACTTTTGAGGCCACCGAACAATCAACTTGGCAACGCGCATCAATACAATACAAGTTTGTATAGGGCCGTCTCGTCACGCTCACGCCGCTTATAGTAAAATCATTAGCAGGAGGAATCATGTTCGTGAAACCAGTACTTTTGAAGCGGTCCTCCAGCAAGGCCAATGCGCACGCGAGACCAAGGTCCGTAGATGGAGAGTACGCCCTAGACAGCAGCCTTCGCCGGCCTCGGTCTTTCTATGGCGGTCCATACCAATCGTCAAAGCCCAAGTCCCAGCCCCAGAGAGGCGTGTTGAAACGTTTGTGCTTTCCAGGCTGCTTGCTCAATTCATTCAGCTTCTTCAAGTCGTCCTCGTCGAGGTTGACTAGCTGGAGGTTCGACTTCAGCCGGGAGGGGGAAGTGCTTTTGACCAGAGGCACCACTCCTTGGCTGACGTGATATGATATCAAAACATTGGCGGCGGGTACGCTGTGCTTCTCGGCGATGGCTGCAACATCGGGGTCCGATAAGATGGGAGCTCCTGCACATAGAATTAGGCTGATCCCTCTTGAGAACTACATGGACGAGGACAGGCTGTGGGGATTGACACTATGCAACAGGAGTAATCCAGCTTGCATTGCCGGGGCCTCAAACGACGCCATTAAACTCTCTAGATGAGACTGACCTGATCCTCCCAGAGGGGAATAAGCCTCCACGAGTATTCCCTCCTTTCTGCACCACGTTACCAGCTCATGTTGGGGAAGGTACGGATGAAGCTCGACTTGGTTGACGGAGGGTTTGATCCTCCATACTTTCTTCAGTTCCTCCAGGTAAGGGATCGACCAGTTGCAAAGTCCTATAGCTTTCACCTTTCCAGAAGCAAGGAGGTCTTCCATCTGAGCCCACGTCTTGGCGAGATCCCAGTTGCGGTCGACTGCTCGAGTGCCATCGGAATTGACAGGAAGGAGCTCATTGCTCTGGTTCTGCAGGCGGTTAGGAACGGCTGTCTCAAGCACAACTCAAGTTGCGGAACGGTATTTGAGGGAGAGACTCACGGGCACAAGTCGGACGGGCCAGTGAACGAGCTACATATCCCGGTCAGTACTGTACATAAAATGCCTTTCAACAGAACAGGTTCGACACAGCTGTCCAAAAATGGCCTTTGCTGCTCGAGAGCGACTTCACGTGATTCCTTGCCAGGCAAAGCTGTCTGCTCTCGCGTATACGCACATAAAGATCCAGGTAATCTGTGCCCAGGGCCTCTAGAGACCGTCTCAAACTCTCGACCGCATTCGGGTGGAAGGTGTTCCATAGTTTCGAGGTGATGAAAATCTCCTCGCGGGGAATACCGGACCGCCTGATGCCTTCACCTACTTCGGCCTCGTTCTTGTAAATGAGGGCGCAGTCGATGTGTCTATACCCATCCTGCAAAGCGATAGCTACAGCGTCGCCGACCTCGCCTGAAGGCGCCAGCCAGGTGCCTATCGATGCATTAGCACGATGGTAAATGATGCAAGTATTGGACAGACGGCAGCGTGCTCTGGGCTGAATGGCATTTCAGAGGATGGAAGGGAGCCTGTCCGTGGTGTGAGGAGGATGCTGGATAACTACTAACCGAGGCCAATAGCAGGGATTGAGTTCCCATTGGACAATGTACGGTCAAGTGTTTGCAAAGTTGTCATGGCGGTAAGTAGCCTGATTTTCTATATTCGATATAGATCAAGTCAACTCCATCCAAGGTCAGGAGCGGTTCTATATGGACTTGTCCTGGCCGAGTGGCTTCTGTTTTAGGAAATTGTCGGCGAAGGTTGTATAGTTGCTTCTTTCGGCTGTTAGGGATCCATTCGCCGTGGGTCGCCATTTTATGGAGAGGAATATACTCCGTCCACCGCAGGTAAAGGATGTGAACAGCAGCCAAAGACATGCTTCGTGCACATAGAGGAGGCCATCTCTATGATTTTGTAGAGGCGAGCTCTAGACCTGTCCCACCGAATCCTTCTTCCCTTTTCTTTGGAATCGCCGAAGTGTTATCGGGTTGCGGGCAAATTCCTCAATGCATCCCATATCCGCCATCACTGGTCGAGCCGCAGATCCGACAGCAGTATATAGACCACTGCTAAATCATGTCCTGCTTCATTTCAATCAAGCAAAATGGCTCCATCTGCGATTTACCTGCCTCCGGGCGAGAAGGAGCTCCTTAGTGTCCAGAATGCGCCTTTCGCCTACCGCAATGATACTTGGAAAAAGCCCGTCGCTGACGACTATATGTATGCATTCAAGTACAACTTCCCTCTTCCAGTTCATGGAGACGGCTCGGATATACTCGATTTTACCAAAGACGACGAGACGAATGCACAGGCTATCGCGTCCCGTTTCCTCAAGGAGTTGGAACAGGTCATTCAGAGCCGTGACTCCAAGGCGTTTGCCGATTTGTTTTTGCATAGTGGTAAGTGCGACGACTCTCCTTGATGGGCGAAGCGCTCACTTGATAAACAATAGGTGTGTGGAGAGACAAGGTGGCTTTCACTTGGGACTACCGTTCTTTCAACACGCCCAACAAGATCGAAAGGGCAGCTTCTGACCTTTTCCCTCATACACCCACACGCAACTACAAGTTAATCGATCCCGCTCCATCGATCCAGCGGCCGTATCCTGATATTGCCTGGCTTCAAGTCGTGTACTCGTTTGACACCGACCTAGTTGGTGCGAGTGGCGTCTTGAACCTTGTCAAATCGAAAACCGGCCTCAAAATCTGGACCCTCCATACTGCTATTGAGAGCCTCCACGGTCACCCAGAGGTGCCCAACAGGGATGGCCACATGACCGGAGATCAGTCCTGGCACAACCAGAGAATCGAGGATGACAACTTGGAGGGTGTCGAGCCTGAGGTGATTGTAATCGGCGGCGGTCACTGGTGAGTTGTAGTTTTCCAAGTGTCGGACGATGCTAACTACCGTCAGTGGCCTTCACATGGCTGCTAGATTGAAGGCTCTCGGCATCAACGCCCTCGTCGTCGAGCGTAACCAGCGGATTGGCGACAATTGGCGTAACAGATACGAATATCTCTCTCTTCATCTTCCTCATTGGGCTGACCACTTTCCCTACTTCCCATTCCCGGACCACTGGCCAACGTACACTCCAGCTGGCAAGATGGGTGACTGGCTCGAGTGGTACGCAAGTGCTCTCGAGCTGACCACATGGACCGACTCGACCGTTGTTTCTGCCTCCCAGGATCCTGCAGGGGAGTGGAAGGTCACCATTCGACGTGGGACCAAGGAGGACGCATACACCCGAACCTTCCAACCCAAGCACGTCGTCGTTGCCACCTCGCTTGCTGGTGTGCCATTCGTCCCGGATATCCCTGGAATTGAAAAGTTCAAGGGCACTGTCCGGCACTCTACCCAGCACGATTCAGCCCGCGAATGGGTGGGTAAGAAGGTCCTTGTCGTAGGAACCTCTTCTTCTGGCTTTGATACTGCGTACGACTTCGCTCGTCGTAACATCGACGTCACTCTCCTCCAACGGTCGCCTGCGTACTTGATGTCTTTGAATGAATCAGTGCCGAGGGTATGTCTGACCCATGTCCAGGGTAGGATTTCCGAAATTGACTCTATTTCAGATACTTGCTCCTCTTTACGAGCCAAAAGATCACCGAACACCAGACATGGACACAGTCGACCGATTAAATTACAGTCTGCCTGTTGGCCCTAGTGAAGAGCTGTTCCGTCGCACGGCCCTGGACATCTGGAATGCCGATGTCGAATTGATTGCCAATATGGAAAGGGCCGGCTTCAAAGTGTGGCGGGGTCAACGCGACACTGGTTCTCACACTCTCGGTTACACTAAGAACGGTGGTTTTTATTTCGACGCCGGTGCATGCAAGGCCGTTATCAACGGCAAGATCAAGGTCGAGCAAGGCTACCCGATGGGCTTCACCGAAGATAGCATCGTGCTGAACGGCAATCGAGAGCAGAAATACGACCTGGTGGTTCTGGCTACCGGTTTCTCCAACACCATCGACTCGGTCCGCAACATTTTCGGTGACGAGATTGCTGATCGGTGTAATCCCATCTGGGGGATGGATGAGGAGGGTGAGCTGAACTCGGCTTGGAAGACCAGCGGGGTGCCCGGCCTGTGGTTTATGGTGGGTACTCTGCAGCACGGCCGATATCATTCGAAGAAGTTAGCCCTCAGGATCAAGGCTCTTCTCGAAGGCGTCGCTCCTGAACCGTACTTAGTATAGATCAAAGTAGATTTTTCTTACATCAATATAATCCCATGTTGCTATGCGAAATGAGTAATTGTCCACGGGAGAGATTTTAATAGGGGCAACCATCTCGATCGCACTGACGAGACCTTATAGAGGCAACTGACATTACTTGTGAGTGCCTCTCCGAAATGAGGACTTGAGTGACCTAGTGAGCTACACAGCGAGTAAGTAGGGTGGTAAGATAGTAGTCAGTAGACATACTCACAAGAGTGGCGGAGTCGAGATTCGGTGGAGTTTCTCATAGAGCTTCTACGGTGGATTCTACACGCACATCGCGAAGAAAGAATCCCAATCTCAGACTCTATTTTCTCCTCTCGCACTCACTCTCGCTGCCTCCCTTTATCTTCCCCCGTTATTCACCGCTCTCCCACTTTGAAATCTTCGGACGCGGTGGACAATCCTCTTGGACAGCCACGGCGAGCGCAGCATGAACCCTACGCCGTGGTCAATGTACGGACGTGACCATCCCATTCTCACTCTTTTTGTCCTCTTTCTCGCTTGGAAGTCGGTGATACTCCTTATTACCTTGGCCGCTCCAGGTGTCGGATATGATACGTCCACAAGCCTCCTGTCCTGGGAAGATGGAGGTCGGCAAATCATAACAAACACCCCGGACGAAATGTCTGACGGGTGGCTCAAGTTCGTCCGATGGGATTCCATATATTACACGCACATATCGGACCAAGGACATGTTTTTGAGCAGGAGTGGGCGTTTGGCACCGGCATATCAACGGCGATATCATGGACCAGCAGGAGTACCATAGCTCCACCCTTCGACGTAGCTGAGCTCTATACTGACAATATCTCAGGTCTCCGTCAGCTAGGGTTCTCTGCAGAACCATCCTCATCCTTCGTCGGCATCTTGCTATCACACGCATCCCATTGGCTGTCTGTTATTCAACTGTGGGCATTAACAGAAGCTCTGATGGGGCCGGACAAAACCTCCAAGTCTCTGCTCCCTTTCACCGCCGCTGCCCTTCATATCCTCTCGCCCGCAGGAGTATTTCTCTCGGCGCCCTGTTCCGAAAGCGCCTTTGCTTTTCTGTCCATGTCTGGCTTCCTGGGATATCTCCACGCAACCCAGCTTCTCCGCAGAGGCCTGGTGTTTGCCGGCTGTACCACCATGATCTGCGCCGGTATGTCCTTCAGTACCGCCACTATGGTCCGGAGTAACGGCATATTGGCGGGCATACCGTTCCTTGTGGAAGCAATCACCACCCTCCTTGCAGTGCTCTCCCAGGGTCTTTCGGCTTCACGGCTCTTTTGGCTGGCCTCGGTCGTGGCGGGAGGCCTCCTGGTGGCATTTGGAATGGTGTATCCACAAGGACTGGCATATCAGGACTACTGCTACGGCCGCGACTCTGAGGTGAGGAGACCGTGGTGCAACCAGACCATTCCATCCATATTCACCTGGGTCCAGTCTCATTATTGGTGAGCCCGTCTTGGCCTTTAGGGGTGAGTATCACTGACAAATGCTACAGGAATGTCGGCCCCTTCCGCTACTGGACTGTATCGAACTTGCCACTATTTATATTGGCGGCACCTATGCTCTCAATTTTGATCTACTCCGCCTTGGATGTCCTTCGACGTCCTCAATTTCTCATCCGAGAGACGCCGCACTCGCCGATAACTGCTTCTGCTGGCAAACGCGTGTTGTTGAGCCTAGCGCTCCCGCAACTTATGCTTGCAGTCCTTGCATTCACAAGCTATCACGTACAAATCATCACGAGGCTGTCTTCTGGTTATCCATTGTGGTACATGTGGTTGGCGACCAAGCTTGAAATGGAGCCGAAGCGAGCTTCGGTAGTCATTCGGTGGATGGTGATCTATGCTCTGGTTCAAGCTGGACTATATGCATCATTTCTGCCTCCGGCCTAAGTCAAAAACTTGCAGTCATCATCGTCCGGAGAACCAGCAGCAGCAATTCGATGCCGAGCCGCCGCATCGCTCAACTACTGAAATCTAGATTTGTCAATCCTGATCTATTACCCCACAAATGGCTCGTTTGCGGTTGATAGCCTGACGTTGGGCTACTTTTCCGCCGATTTCACCTTGACCCGGATCCCCTTGGTGTCGAGCTTGACAGTTGGCACGAAATAATCATGGGCCAGGACGATATCCGAGAGGTCGGTTTCATACAGCTCAAAAGAGAACTTCCTAAAGATTGTGGCAAGCCCCATGTACAGCTCAGCTTGAGCAAGACTGCAACCTTGTCAGCACGTTTTCCGAAACTCGGTCAGAATGGATATAGGGAGGAATCGCAACTAACTTGAGCCCAATACATTGCCTTGTTCCCCTTCCAAAGCCAATGAAATATCTCTCTAATGGCTGGCCGTCCTTTGTGGTTGGATTGTCCAGCCACCTCTCTGGAACAAACGAGTGTGACTGAGGGAAGACATCCTCGTCATGGTTCATGTCGACGATGGTCATGGAGACCGGCGTGCCTGCTGGAATGACCCAGCCTTTGTACTTCAAGTCGTGGCGGGCGACTCGAGGCAGCCGCGAAGCAATGCCGTATGCTAGCCTGATGCCTTCTTTAATACATCCTGTCAGGTAGGGTAACTGCTCAAGATTCTGCCAGTCAATTTGCATGGACGGGTCGGGAATGGCTTCTTCTAACTCGGCGCGCAGCTTTTTGAAGATTTCGGGACTGTTGATGATGTGAAAGCTGGCCACCGCGGCGGCCCAGGACGTGGTCAGAATGGCGGCCCCGATGATGACTTGAGCCTCTTGCACCATGCGGTTCACCGACTTCTCCTTGGAGGAGAGGTCACTGTGAAGCATCTCGTGGAATAGTGTGGGATGATCCACCATCTTCTTGGATTCGTCGTGGTTCTCCTTGAGTGCGGAGATGGTCCGATGGAAGTCCTGAATTCAGCAAGTCAGGGTACCGTCCCGATGGCGGCGCGCCACCACTCACCTGTTGCACTTGGATGTGCATGTACATATTCGGCTCGAGCCTCAGCACCAACCAGTCTGGCAGGCTGTTCATCACAGGCCAAAGCCACGGAAATTGCATCAGCACGCTGGACGATTCACAGGCGGCATGCATTGCTTCGTGGAAGGTCTCTTTAAACTCCGGAGAGTCGAGGTGGTCGTATGCCTTTGCGAAACAGAACTCAGTCACGACGTCTCCCGAATATGCCGTCCAGGCGCGGTGAAGCGGAAGCACACGATCCGTCCCTGCATACTCCTGGACCCTGGAGCAAAGTTTCTTCAACTTCGCACGCACCACAGGCTGAAAGTCCATGATTTTGCGCTTGGAGAAGAAAGGGGCTACGGCATTACGCAAGCGACGGTGGTCTTCCTGCAGCGGCGCGGTGAAGAAGGTATCGTCGGTGCCGAATCTGGCAGAGAACGGGCCGTATTTGTCGAGCCTGCCGGACTTGACGTAGAGCTCTTCGAAGTAGTCGGAGTCGAGAACGTGCAGTTCATTCGGCGTCACTCGGACAATGGGGCCTGCGGTCATTGAATTTATATCGCAGGATGGTGCGCTGGAGGATGCTCACCATATTTCCTGTGGAGGTCTTGAATGTGAAAGGTCATTTGGCCCTTTTGGACGATTTCGTAGTAGAACTCGTACCATCTTGTCAGCCCGGCGAGCTTGGGACCTGGAAAATGTGCGATGGGATGGAAGTAGAGACGATAGACGGCGAGAGCAAGACAATAGACTATGGTTGAACCGACCGCGAAGACCAAGACCGCAAGGGGAGAGGGGATGGATAAGATGGATCTGGTGTTATCCATGCCTGATGGTGATCCGACGATCGAGCGTTGATGGATGAAGGAATGAGAGATTGCGGCCTCAGGAAAAGGTCATTGTCTCCTCTCGAGGCCGGGGATCCAATAGGGCCGGCAAGACCAATCTTTGCGCAAGCCAGGAACGCGCATGCATCAGGTTGTGCGTCCAGGTCCAGTCGATGCCTGGCGAAGCTGCGTCTGTCGGGGATGCAGCAGAGTGCGCTAGTTGATGCAACGCACCCATTGCGGGGTTCGGGAGGGTGAGGAGCATGTGATGGAGGGCAGATGGACTGTGAAGAGGGACAGATGGCAGATAATTAATTCCCTTCGGGCATCTACCCTCTACAAATAGCAGCTCTGTATAGACGTATCTAGGTACTTGTGATAATACAGATACTCTGTACTTGGTATATTTCGCACTACGCGGTACTTCGTTAGCATCTAGCCCTGCTAAAGTTGAGGGTGCCAGTACCGCTATGCCGCTTAGCGTGCTGCTAACTCGTGCCGGTCCGAAGCCCGAAGCCCCCGTGGCCACCAGCCTCCAGGACGCACACGGGATGCATTTCTTCTCACTTTCCAAGCTTACGGTTTATTATTGCCTCGTCCACCAATCTCCGAATACGAAACGTACAACTTCGGCTGCGTCTCGACACTTACAGCATCTTGCCATGTCCGAACTTTCCAGCTCCACCCAGGCAGGTTTGGCTGTGGCGCCAGGAAGGTAAGCCTCGCACTCGCTCGTCATCCGGACCCCCCAAAGTCCTGCCCGCATCACCATGTGAGTATTTACAGTTCCCTGATTATCTCATATTCCTTCCCCCGTCTCATCCTTCTCAGTTTCGCCCACTGTCCTCCCATCACTTTTGTTGCTCGCACCCCTGTATAATCGCAAGCGATTTCCACCTACCCTCCATTCGATGTGCCAACCAATCACGGACGGCGAGCACCACGACCCAGAGTTGGAGCCTGACGTTTGTGACCGCCATGTCCTCTCCCAAGCAATGCTAACATATCCCTAGTCTGACCCGGGTGATGGAGACTCGGGGTACGGTGGCTCCATTGCCGGGTCCTGGTCTGCTTCGTTGGCAAGCTCGGTCCTCAACTACCAGTATGAGAATGGCCGACGCTACCACGCCTATCGCGAAGGTCAATATATCTTGCCCAACGACGAAGACGAGCAGAAACGCCTAGACATGCTGCATCACATCTACAAATTAATCTTGCGCGGCAATTTATTTCTCGCTCCGTTGAACCAGCCTCAGCGTGTACTCGACATTGGTTGTGGCACTGGTCTGTGGTGCATCGAGTTCGCGGACGAGTTCCACAGCGCCTCCATCATTGGTACCGATCTCAGCCCGATTCAGCCCGACTGGGTGCCTCCCAACTGCAAGTTCTATGTCGACGATTACGAGAGTGAATGGGCGTATCCTCCGTCAGAGCATTTCGACTATATCCATGGACGGGCACTTTGCGGCAGTGTTGCCGATTGGCCTCGATTGTTTACCCAGGCTCTGTCCCACTTAAATCCCGGGGGGTGGATGGAGTTGCAAGAGTACCACTGCCAGGTCTATTCTGACGACGGTTCTCTCGACCAGGCTATCTATCTGAAGGAATGGGTCGAGGAGATGAACGAAGGCAGCAAGCGGTTCGGCAAGGAATTGAAAACAGCGAACCGACTGAAGAACTACATGCTGGACGCTGGCTATGTCGACGTCCGCGAAGAGATCTTCAAATGCCCCATCGGTCCCTGGGCCAAGGGAAAGAGATACAAGGAACTAGGAACATATTACCGCGCGCAGTTTGTCGACGCCGTCGAGCCGTTTACCCTGGCCATTTTTACCAGGGTTCTCGGGTACACGATCGAACAGGCCCTGGTCACGATCGAAAGAGTCAAGCAAGATCTGATCAACCCGAATTTTCATCTCTATGTGGATTACCACTTTGTCTGGGGCAAGAAGCCTGGATGATTAGTTTGGGGCGCGTTGGGTTGTTAATAAATGGGTTTTACTCAACTCTTTCGGCGACGTCGGGACGATCGAAGCATCACCATCCAATCGCTTGAATGCAATCGAATCCACTGTTTGCCGTTTGAGCGAACTTTCAAACCGATGTCAGTATAACGAGACGATCGAAGCCATGATCTTTTATCCTCCGTTGTCACAGGGGAAGTTTGCGAGCCTCGATTGCATATCCTCTGGAGAATCGCGCCGCGAAGAACATGGTATCAGCAGAGACGGAAGATACCCGGTGAATGGACGGATTCCGCGGCCTTTGCTAACCTCAGCAGTCGCCACTCAGAGTACTCCTTTTAGTCTCGGCCTTTGCATCCGCAAAACATAGGGACAAAAGCCTTGAGGCTCATCTCGATAACCACGAAGCACCCACGCTTCCGCCCTTTGATAAGATCCCGTAACAGTCCTAATCGCCCAAAAAGAAAATGAAGATGCAGGGTATTATCTCCTTGTCCATACCTAGATAGGTACATGTTCCCCGATTTGGACGTCGGCACCAGCCAGCGACACTCGCCACAAGATTCCTTTCTTGGCGGTCATTACAATGAATAAATAGACGCAACTTTTTCTTATCTCGAGTGACTCAAATGCAAAAACTTCAGAGTACTTTTCTGCCTCATGGTTGACACGAGAAGTAGAAAGGACTGATTCTGCTAAACTCCTCCAATTCCGTGGTTTGAAGCATCTGACAAAGTCCTCTGTTAACCGTTGAGCCGCAACCAAATCCTTACTATCCTTCGGTGACATCCAATATGGTAGTTCCAGCGACTCAGCCCAAGAAGAAATGTGCCGTCCTAGGGGCAACAGGTGTGTATGGTACCATGACTCCGCTCGAAGGTGCTGAGTCTGTAATCAGGCTCCGTGGGCCAGAGATTCATTCTCCTTCTGGCCAACCATCCCATGCTCCATTTACAGGCCGTTGGAGCTTCGACGAGATCCGCTGGCAAACTATACAAAGATGCTGTCAGATGGAAACAAGCTCGACCAATGTCGGCCGAGTTGGCCAATCTCGAGGTGAGGGAATGCAAGGCGAGCAACTTCACAGACTGCGACTTGGCGTTCTCCGGCTTGGATAGCGATGTCGCTGGAGAAGTCGGTACGGCTACCTCTCGGTCCCCTGCCTCGACCTGCTGCTGATTTTGGCCCAGAAATGGAGTTTCTCAAGGCGGATATTCCTGTTTTCTCAAACGCAAAGAACTACCGCAGAAATCCGGTTGTTCCGCTGGTCGTGCCGACGGTCAACCTTTCACACCTGGCACTAATCCCCCACCAGCGGAAATACTTTGGTCTCAACAAAGGATTTCTGGTCTGCAACTCCAACTGCGCCGTCATAGGCATCGTCATCCCCTTTGCAGCGCTACAAGCAAAGTTCGGACCGGTGGAAGATGTCGAGGTATTCACCGAGCAAGCAGTATCAGGCGCCGGCTACCCAGGGGTGGCGAGTATGGACATTATGGACAACGTCATCCCTTACATTGCAGGGGAAGAAGACAAACTCGAGACCGAAGCTCAAAAAATATTGGGCTCGATCAATTCGGATGCGACGGCGTTTGAGGAACAGTCCGGCCTAACGGTGGGTGCTACGTGTACGAGAGTGGGTGTCACAGATGGCCACATGGCCTACGTGTCGTTGCGATTCAAGCAGAGGCCTGCGCCCACGGCCGAGCAGGTGAAGGCGGCCCTGAGAGAATATGTGGCCGAGGCGCAGAAGCTTGGATGCCCCTCCGCCCCTGAGAACGCCATCGTCGTCTTTGACGAGCCGGACAGGCCTCAGCCCCGGCTTGACAGGGACATCTCAGGAGGCTATGCGGTCAGCGTGGGCAGGGTTCGAGAGGCTGCCAAAGGGTCACACTTCGACATCAGGTTTGCGGCATTGAGCCACAATACCGTCATTGGAGCGGCCGGCTCTTCTATCCTGAATGCCGAGGCCGCGATCATCCAGGGGCTGCTATGAATGGGTCCTCACCACTCTGTAGCAAATGAGGCCGTAAAATCTATAATTCCAAAAGTTGAGGGGAACGGCATAATTGTGTAACGCTTAGAAGAAAATGAATGTGTTATCCCAGATCAAACCTGGATAGACTTTTTTGCTTCGATCTCGAAGCCCGGTGTGAGCCGATGTGATTTCAAATGACACAACCCCATGTCTTTCCAACGCCCTTCCCCAAATGAGGCTAGTCCCACAAATCTTGGCAAGGGCCACAACCAAATTCCAATTCTTCTTTTGCGTTGTCGCATCCGACCTTTTGACGGATTGTCCTTTACTCTCTCTCAATCAACGAACCAAGTCAAGATGGGTCGCGGTCCAAAGAAGCATCAGAAGCGTCTCAGTGCGCCTTCGCACTGGCTTTTGGACAAGCTCTCGGGTGCCTATGCTCCCAAGGCATCCCCTGGGCCTCACGTTGGTCTTCCCCTCCAAAAACTGGCTCTTGTGCCGGGTTACTGGGGAAAAAATGCTAACCAAAAGATGTGTATAGAAAAGCCGTGACTGCCTCCCCTTGATTGTCTTCCTCCGAAACCGCCTCAAGTACTCCTTGAACAACCGCGAGACCATGGCGATTCTGATGCAGCGTCTCATCAAGGTCGATGGGAAGGTCCGCACCGACATCACCTACCCTGCGGGTTACATGGACGTGATCTCGATCGACAAGACGGGCGAGCACTTCCGGCTTGTCTACGACACCAAGGGCCGCTTCGCCATCCACCGCATCGAGCAGGCCGAGGCAGAATACAAACTCGGCAAGGTCAAGAGAGTGCAAGTCGGCAAAGGAGGCATCCCATACTTGGTTACGCATGATGCTCGCACGTAAGTCCCGCCTGCATCTATCAGCCGTTGGACCAAGCTGTGGTTGGAAAAAAAAATAAGTCAAAGTGCTGATGTGGATTAATAGTATCCGATACCCCGATCCGGCCATCAAAGTCAACGACACTGTCAAGATTGACCTCACCACTGGAAAAATTACCGACTTCATCCGATTCGATACCGGTGTGATCGCCATGGTTACTGGTGGTCGTAACATGGGCCGTGTCGGTGTCATCACGCACCGTGAGCGACACGACGGTGGCTTCAACATTGTCCACATCAAGGATGCCATTGACAACTCGTTTGCGACTCGAGAGAGCAACGTCTTCATTATCGGCAAGGAGAAGCCGTGGATCAGTTTGCCCAAGGGCAAGGGTGTCAAGGTATGTTTTTGTGCGCCGCTCTGGGGTTTTACACAAGCTTACGGTGTTTCTACAGTTGTCCATTGCCGAGGAGAGAGATCGTCGCCGTGCTGTTCAGATGGCCAACCCTCGAGTGTAGACACTTACCACTCATGCGGTGGAATCGTACAGCTTCTGGGGAGGCATGGAGGAGAGGATCCTTGGAGAAGAAATGCTTTTTGCGCAAAGCACAAACATGAAATTCGTGCAACTGTAAGCTCAGGGCAGAGATCCCTTGAGAAACGTCGGCCCATATGGCTGAAATGGCAATCCAAAGATACCTCAAGACCACCTAACCTGACTCTTGTTTCTGGTTCTATTTATTCTTTTTCGCGGCGTGCTCGCCAGCTCCAAGTCGCCCAAACATTCCAGTCACAGTCATCAACCGGTTGACATGCAAGAATACACTAACCCCGACGTTTGAGTATGTCATCTGATTCCACTGGTTCAGATCCCAGAACACCTTGTCCCCCAGCGCACAGTATATGGAATATATGTGGCCCAAATCGGCCAGAGCCACCGCAATCAAATACCTCCTGGCAATTTCGGGGTGGTTTGTGAAGCAGCAGATGACCGCCATTGCGGCAAGAAGGAGAAAGACGTTGCCGAGCTGGAGAGTCAGGGAAAGGGCACTGGGAGTGAAGAGGAGATCCGAGAGGATCGTGTTGGGCGCTTGCTCGGCATAATACTGTTCAGGCTGGGAAAGGGTGATGAAGTAGGCCCACGTCCTGTACACATGTAATTAGCAAAGGAGTACTATCGCCCCATCACAGCGCACAGGAATCGTACAGCGCCGCAGGCTCCAAGACACCGAAGAGGACCAACGGCCAGAGGGGAAGGGCAGAGATGGCCATTGCAAGTAGTTGTATATTATTGCGCGGATGGACACAGAAACAGCAGCGTTAGGAGAAGCGACAGAGGACAAGAGACAATGAAGCGAATGGAGGGTCGTCTTGATGTTTCTTCTTGTCGGGCTCACCTCGTTTTAGGCGTGCCATTCACAATGTGGAGGTTGACGTTGAGACGGTGGATGTAAGCAGAACGGTGCTGCATTGGGCGCAGTGGGATGTGAGCGCCTCGGCTATACCTCGGAAGTCCACTGGTCGCTTTGTTTGTTGACATGGCCAGCACGTTACCCAATCAACTGACCTCATGCGCATCTCTTCTCACCCGCATCGATTCCTCTTGTTTGCGACAGCACCCTTGCACGACCACATATTAACGGACACAGGATAGATTGTGCAGGCAGTACTACAGCAGCAATGGCCGCGCCTGTCGCCGCAGACAGCGACCTCATTAATTTCGACATAATAGAAACCCACAAGGAAAACATTCAATCTCTCCCCGGCGGCCGATCGGTCAAACAGCTCGCGTCGATACTGTCACCTCTTCCCTCCTCGAGAACGTTAGGTTCAGGTGCGCCTCCGACGTTAGAAGAGACAAAAACACTCAACGACGCCATTAGACAGGAATATGAAATCGAACTCCAATCAATAGCAGATTCCGACGACCCCCTCGACATCTATGACCGATATGTCAAATGGACGCTCAATGCATACCCATCGGCTCAAGCAACGCCTCAATCCCAGCTCCTTCCGCTACTCGAGCGAGCCACAAAGGCTTTCCTTACCTCAACCCACTACAAAAATGATCCACGCTACCTGAAATTATGGTTGCATTATATCCGCCTGTTCTCAGATACGCCTCGGGAGACGTTCGCGTTTCTCGCTCGACATGGTATTGGCGAGGGGCTCGGGTTGTTTTATGAAGAATTTGCGGCATGGTTGGAGGCCGCAGGGAGATGGGTACAAGCGGACGAAGTATACAAGCTGGGCATTGAGCGCGAAGCCAGGCCCACGGAAAGGCTGGCGCGGAAATATGCTCAGTTCCAACAACGATTCGATGCCAGGCCGCAAGTCGACGATGAACCTAGCTCCCCTGCACTGCCCACTGTTCGGCCGGCCCTTGCGGCCAAGATTGATCCCTTTGCCTCCGCTCACCGAGGTGACGATCCCCAAGTCGCTCGTCAACGGAATGGGCTAGCTGGCAGCTCCGCGCCAGCCTCGCGCTCGGGCAAACCGAAGATGGCCATCTTTTCGGATGTTGATAGTGCCCAGCAGCAGCCACTGGCCGCAAATAATACGAAAGGATGGGACAGCATCGGCTCAATGAAGGAACGCAAGAAGGAGAACACCATTGAGGCTCGATCATGGGCAGGAGAGAAGTTGAAGGCCGGAGGCAAAGTTGGATCGGTGCCAAAAATGGAGATATTCAAGGATCCGGTATGATTGACTTTTTTTTCCATGTCTAGTCTCAGTCAATACAAATCTGAACTTCGACGGGGTACTATCAAGACTTCGGTCCCCTTCTTCCTCTTGATCATAGGGTGACTGACCAATCTCGTTTGACCCTAGGCATCGCGAACACAAGGACAGCCCAAGCGATCCTTACCAACCCAAGACTCACAGCAACCGCATCAAGTCGTCAATCCGCGCACCGGTCGAGCTGAACGAGTCTTTGTGGACCTTGAAGCCATCTACCCTGCAGACACGGATCTGGAATTCAGTTTCGAAGAACTCCGAGCCATGTCACGAGGCTGGGCTCAAAGGGACTGGAGGCCACAAGAAGCAACCCCATTGAGGGCGACCGCCGGGAACACGGTCGCAAATGCGAAGTCGAAGGTGACCAAGTCTCGGGAGCCCGAGGACGTTGAGAACCTCACAAAGTCGTTCGCCGATAAGGTCGACCTGAACAACGGTGCAAACTCGACCCTCAGTGTTCATGATGTTTCGACCCAATCTATGGTCGGCATGCCCGAGTCAGATTCTCAATTGGCAACAAAGCCACCAAAGCAGAAGGAGAAGAAATTGAAGATTCGAGAAGTCAAACAGGAGACGCAGACGGTCAAGACTCGACTGGAATCGCCCACTGGCAAGAAGTTGAAGCGCAAAAACTCATCGCAGGAGCCAACCATGACTTTTCACTCCAAGGCTGCGACGAACGAGATATACGACATGTTTAACCAGCCACTCCGTAGACCAACAACCGCCAGAGACGACACCCAAAGTGGTGATGAAACCGATTTCACCGAGGGAGAGGTAGATGATGGGTACAGCACTGCCGGTGACGCCGAGAGCACTGACACTGGCCGAGTGTCGGCACCTGGTAGTGAATACGGTGACGATACATTGGCGTCGATGAGAAGAAATCAAACGCAGAGTCAAAGCCAGTCTGAGAGCGTCTCTCCTTGGTCCGACTTCACTACTAGCAAACACGTGCCACGTCTTGATTCAGCACAACTCGCTAGTGTCAAGGACAAAGCACCCTCAGTCAAGAATCACAGAAGAGTCAAACACCACAAAGACCGGTCGGAGGACATGACTGAGAGCATGGACTCGTCCAGCCAAAACCAGACGCAGAGCTCTGGCTTCGGAGCGTTTGACACTCAAGCGATTGCTGCCATCGCCGAGGGCAACTTTGACGATCTAGACACCAAAGCCATTGCCATGATGGCTGGTGACATCGATGAGGGTGTGGCAGATGCTGGAGATGTTGACATTGAGCAGGACGTCACCGTCGCCACGTCCATCAACCACACCACACCGGTGGATGAGAAGGCGCAACACTTAGAAGCATCTGACAACCACGCCGGTGCCGATGATGAGGCCCTGGCTACCCCGATTGACGACGAGTTCGCTGAACACCGAGAGATCTCACATAAACCTCGTTTCATCCCCATTCCACCCGTCGACTATGAGCCGACCCCGATTCGACCTTACCGTGACCCGGCGATGCTGGCACAGAACAAGATGCCATTTATGACACCAATCGCAGAGCGAACTGAATCTTCACTTGCCCCTTCGACTGTCTTCAATGTTCCCGGATATTTTGAGTCTAAAACCCCTAGCAGGTCCCAATATGAGAGCCCGTCAAAGATTGGTGTTGAGGATCTTTTCCTGAGCAGCCCTCAACAGCAGATCACGACGCCAACGTCTGGTTCCCCGGCGCAGAAGAGGAAATACGGCGAAAGCGGTGCGACTGAAGAGGAGCTCATCACGTCGTCGCCACAGAAGAAGGGTCCCAGCAGGACCGACCTCAACTCCTCGCCCGTTGCTCCCTCGAGTACGAATAACGAAGCCTTCAAGACTCCTGCGTTGCCGTCGAAGCCGATTATCAGATCACCCCTTTCGAAAATTCACAAAGGACCCATCATTCCAGACTTACAATGCAATCCATGCGATGACGCTGTTCGACAGCAAATCCTCGGCTCAGTGTATCCACCGCTATCCACGCAAAAGGGATATCATGATCATTCGAGCGTCGACTTTGGCCGGTACTCGGCCCTGAAGTCTTACGCGGAAAAACAGGCCAAGGCAAAAGCCAAATTCAGTCCGAGAAAGAGTCAGAACGACAAGCCTCCGAGTAAAGCGGTTCCTCCTGTCCTCAAATTTAGTGAAACAAGCCGAGTTTACGCAGTCAAGAGAGAGCTGGGCGAAGGGGCATTTGCGCCGGTGTATCTGGTCGATAGTTACGACCCAGCTGAGAATGAAGAGGCAGACGAGAACGACAAGGAGAACAAGAGCCCACCGTCATCTCACCCTGCCGATGCATCCCGTCAGGCACTGGAAGCTCTCAAGACCGAGTCTCCTCCCGGCACATTAGTCTGGGAATTCCACATCGTCCGACTGATCAAGCAGCGCCTCGGGTCCGCCGCGCGAAGCATGCAATCAATCATCCTTGCTCACGAATGCCATCTTTACCGCGATGAAGCGTATCTGGTGCTCTCGTACAGTCCGCAAGGAACACTGCTTGACTTGGTTAATATGGCGCGGGCGGAGAGTGTCAAAGCGGGCAAGCCGGCTGAAGGGTTAGACGAAGTGTTGGCCATGTGGTTCAGCGTCGAGCTCCTGCGAACCATGGAAGACCTTCATCGCGTGGGCATCCTCCATGGCGACTTGAAGGGCGACAATTGCCTTGTCCGCTTCGACACCACCGTAGATCTGACAGCGCCATTCGATCCGGAGGGAAATTACGGGTGGCAGTCTCGGGGGTTGAGATTGATCGACTTTGGCCGCGGAATCGACACTCGGATGTTCAAGCCCAACGCGCAGTTCATCGCCGACTGGCCCTCTTGTCCTCAGGACTGTACCGAAATCCGCGAATGTCGACCGTGGAAGTGGCAGATTGACTACCACGGGGCTGCGGGGGTGATCCACTCGTTGCTGTTTGGGAAGTACATCGAGACGGTTCCGGCGGGAGGCAATGGGCTGGCAGGTCCAGGGCAAAAGAAGGAATGGAAATTGAAGGAGAACCTCAAGCGGTATTGGGAGAAGGATGTTTGGGGAGATGTGTTTGCGACACTGCTGAACCCCGGCTGCTTGGCTGATGGGGAAGAGATGCCGATCCAGGGCAATTTGAAGAGGGCGAGGGTGATGATGGAGCAGTGGCTTGTGGACGAGGGCGAGCGAGGTGGTCGGGATCTGAGGGCGAGCTTGAGACGGATGGAACGCTTGGTTTGCGCCAAGTAGGTCATCGACCAGGTGTTGTGTTTTCATTTATTCCACCGGTCCCAGGGCGCCGGCGCGTCTGGGAGATATTGGATGGCCATAACTGAGCGAGGCGTTGGGGAGCTTGTTTTTCGGATACACCACACAATCATGCAGAGTTGGACATGGGACCATCTTCTCGGAAAGTCACGAACGGGCAGGTATTTCTCGAGAGACATGGATTTGCGGACGGCGCATGGCACACAGATCAACATGTTATCGCGCATTCTGAGCGAATTGGACAATGATAAATGACATGAAAATGAGAACCACCAGTCCACGCATCATTTGCAACTTGCTTTTTGTTCGAAGCCGCCACCGTGTGAGGAGCGGACGATTGCCAAAGACGATCAGCCTAGTACCCTCCCTCTCGTAGAAGCCATGTACAGGATACAGGTACGTACCTACAAGAGCCTCAGAGGAGAAACGAGAGGAGCAATAACGGAGGAGGAGGGGGAAAATGGGCAGAAGATCAGCCCGCATGCATGAATATCGACCCCGAGTTCGAGACGGGCATGTTGTCGAGCAGTCGAATCATTGTCTCCAAGTGTTAGTGAGTTGTCGGCATCATCATGGTGGTAGTGGTGGTGATGATGATGATGATGATGATGATGATCACCACCATCATCTGATGACCTTGACCTTACTCCGAACAGAATACCTTTTCGGCGACTGGCACGCACTTCCGCCCTTTGCGCCGAGATTGAACCACCCATCATCTATCGTTGGATGGTAATAATCGGGCTGGTGAGGAATCGGCCGTCCATAGAGACTCTTTTCCTTTCTCGTTCTTGTTTCTTTTCAAACCCGGTCTTCTTACAATCCCTGCCCTGTCTACACATCTACCGAGGCTACATATCTCGAGAGATAGCTACGCAAGCGACCGCCTTTGATCCCCACCACCACACTCAGCCCGCCGCCGCGACGACACTCCGCGCTGGAAACCACCGGGTCGGTCGCATGATGATAACGATGCAGCGCCCCCTGCAACTTCAACTGTGCTGACGCTGAGCGAACGAGCATCCATCGGACGAGCATCCTGATCTATTCTCCCTCTCTCTCTTTCCGGGTGCGCACATACACACACACACATACCCAACACCTACGAAGACCAAACGGGTGGTACACTTGGGAGGGACGGATATATCCGTGCGCCCATCTTGCGTCGCTCGGCAGATTTGTCAAAGAGTGAGTGGGAAAAGAGACGGAGACAGTGTCCCAACGCACGCACATACGGAGGACAAACATACAAAGCTGCGCTGGCATTTGCGTCACCGCTATCTGTCAATCAGTCACTCCCCCGAGGTCGAACCTCCCGTCGCAAATCCCCCCCTCCTACTTTTAATTAATCAATCCCACCAGCGCCCGCCGATACCATCGAGCGAAGATATCCACACGCATTACACACAGGTCACAGACAACCATATAATAATCCGTTAAAACATAAAACTCAGCCCCGAAAGACAGCGAACATGGGCGACGCCGGTCCTTTGACTCCCGACCCGCTCTTGCACGAGGCCGGCGCCGCTGAAGACGGCCAGGTCGAGGCGGACGCGGCGCCTCCCCTCAGAGAGGTCAAGGTGCTTGTTACGGGCTTCGGGGTAAGTTTCTTTCCAAGTCTCATTTCGCGATCGGGCTTGGAAGCACTTCAGTTTCTCCATGTCGGTTCGGTCCTATGGTAAAATCAAGAGGCGGGAAAAGGTGGAAGATGCGCTGGAGTCCAGTTGGGCAATGGACTGGAGGAGACACAGCGTCAATACCTACCTAGGCAGGCTTGATCTATGCCTCCGGCCGCGGTGGGAATATGCTGCCTGTGCTACCTGACTTTCTCCTTCCATCTCGACCCGGGAGAGCACGATATCTGTTGTTCCCTGCGCCGACTTCCCCAGATCATATCCTTTGTCTCACCTCCACCGGGACCAATGCTAATAATCATCTGTCTCCAGCCGTTTAAATCTTTCCTCATAAACCCCTCGTGGTTAATCGCTTCGGCACTGCCCGACGAGCTCTATCCCTCCCAATCTACCGTCTCTCCGCACAAAGCGCCCGACTACAAAATCAAACTGCTCGTCTATCCCTCCGCGATCCGAGTCTCCTACTCCACCGTCTCCACCACCGTCCCCACCCTCATCGCGACCCACAGTCCCGATTTCATCCTGCACATTGGCATGGCCGGCGGGCGCGACTGCTACTCCCTCGAAACCCGCGGGCACCGAGACCACTACCGGATAAAGGACGTCGACGACTGCGACGGCTTCACCTGGGGCGAGAGCCGATGGAGATCCGAGGGGATTCCCGAGGTGCTCTACGTCGGATGGGATGAGGTGGATGTGCTGGCGCGGTGGGAGGACGGCGTCCAGATGGGACTGAGAGAGCGAGGTTTCTTGGGGACAGGGGAGAGGGAGAAGGCGTTGTCGGAAACTGGAAAGCGAGAGAACGAGGCTGAGACGCCAGCCACACGAGCGGTACCGCTCATCCCGGTCGGACGAGCCAGCATTCCGATGAACCTGATGTGGGGGACCAGCAATATGCCCGTGTCATCGACCAAGGCGGATGAGCACAGAAGAAAAGCCATGGTCAAGTTGTCTTGCGATGCTGGACGGTTTCTGTGCGAGTATGCTCTGTTTGAGAGCTTGAGTCGCAGATGGCTGGAGGGACAGAGACGGAAGGAGGGCGATGATGATGTCGCTAGAGGGGATCGGCAAGCGGCAGATCACCAGCAAGCTGACTCAACCTCATCGTCAGCCTCACCCGAGGTCGACGTCTCCCCTTCCTCTGGTTCTGGCTCCTTTCGGTCCGACTCAGACCTGGCCCCCGAACGCGTCGGCAAGGTGGCTTTCCTGCACGTGCCGGGCTGGACGGGCGTGGAGGACATCAACCGCGGCGTGATGGTCGCTGAGGAGGCGATTCGCGCGTTGGTTGGTAGTTGGGAGGACGGGTACAGGCGGAACGGGATTGGTGCCAAGGTGGTACCTCAGGCCTATACCAAGCAGCATTCCGAGGACGCCGGCAGGGTGGCGTCAACGTGGAGAGCCTGAGACAACCGGCCGGAGAATGTTGTGCATCTAAGGGACCTGCGTGTGGCATTAGGTTACGGAACACCGGGATGTGATAGACCAAGTTATGTACATGGCCAGGGATGACGACTGTATATGGAACGATAAACGAAGATGTGATGATGGCGACCATCTGATGTTGCAGATGGTGAAGCCTAAACCCCACAGTTTGCCGCGCTCTCACCTAGGTACGCGTCGAGCTGCTCGTGTTGCGGATAGCCTTTTCCGTCAACCGAGAAATGGTATCATCGTGGCTGATGGTGACCATGGTCCAGGTCCCAGCTGAAACAGAAGCCAGACGAAGGGATATCATGTTGGACCAGACTGTTGCAACTATCATTGGAATAGAGTTGCTTGATCTACTCTCCAGCGTCAGGTTGGACTCGTTTGAAAGTATCAAGGTCTTGGACCAAGAAACTTTACCCCTCCAACATGACTCCCGGGGAATGCTGACGTCGTCGAGTCTCCGCCTTGGTGATGAAAAGGTTTGGCTGTTTTCGTGCAACCTGTCAGATGCGAGAGAATGGCCTGTTGTCCTTGACAGTTGGGCAAGGGATGCTTGGCCATTGCTGTTCTGACTTTGGTTGATTGTCGCGGCGAGGTAAGGGCATGAGAGACAAGTTGAAACAAAGGGATTGTTTGCTTTGCTGGATCTGTGGTGGAGGAAGAAAGGGATACTCCCCACCTTCACATACCTCGTGGTGAACTGTGATGTTTGTTTGTTTGTTTGTTCTTGCAGTACTCCAAGAAAACGGCTGCTTGGGAGGTACTCAGCATTTGATATACCCAAACCAAGGGCTGCACAATCAACTCGGGTGTTTGGGCTCGGGCAGCGAGGTCATCCAGCACCAATACGAGTAAGCCGAGTGAAAGACCGTGAGCAGAATGAGGATGGTGGTCGGGGATGGACAGATGTGAGTGCAAGTCCGGCGTTTTCGAGGTGGCGTCAGCGACATACGAGAACGCCAGCTGAGGCCTATCATTGGCCATCCAAGACCCATGCGGACTCGGCTCGCGTCTTTAGCGTCGCCAACGCGTTGATCTCGCGTCTGCTGGACCAGACGCGTCGAGTGGGCTTCCCTTGCGGCCCGCACCCACACAACACAACGGCACACGACCACCTCCTCCATCATCCGGCATCATGGAAAGCATCCCTCGCTGCTCAGCACCAAGGCCAGCTTCGATCCCGAACCACACGGATGGCGATGGTGGGAAAGTGGAGGAGCACGGGAAGTGGGAAAGACTCTGGTAGTGGTGGTGGAATCAAGACTGAACTGAACTGAACACGCGGGTCTGTGCTTTTGCAGCAAGATGGAGAAGATGGCTGCACCTTGAGCATAACCGAACAAAGTGAAGCGAGCACTCACAAACACACAAGCTGGTGGCGAGACCGGAGCAGGAAAAAGGAGTGGTTGATGTCGAAGCAGAAACGGGAGTAGCTTTGCAGTAGTAGTGGTGAGAGAGAGTCGGTAGAGCTGTTCCTTCGCCCGTTGCAGGTTGCAGGTAAGACAAATGACCCTCCGATGCAGAGCCTTGGACGGCATCGGCATCAGCAACACGATCGACTGATGCTGTGGCTACCGTTGATGCTACTACTGCACGCGCTGCACATCTGGCTCGCGCTGGCTCTTTGTCCTCTGCCTTCGACTCTCCATCAACACGTAATTGTCTCTGCTCTGCTCAGCTAGTGGCTCCGTCAAACGGATAATAAGAATAATTCGACCTCTCTCCAGTCGCCGTGTTCCTCTTCCTCTTCATTTTTTCCCCGTTTCTCTCATTATTTCTTTTTCTTTTTCTGTGCCTGCTAGCTCCTAGCGTCGGCTTGCTTCTTGGGGTGCGGGCTGCACGGGCAGCCTAGCCTAGTGATACCTAGGCAGTACCTAGGTCGTTGCTTGAGCCCCCCTCCCCCCTTTCCCTTGTTCCCCCCTCACCGAGTCCACCCCCTTCTTCCCTGTCTGGTCCTCTCCACTGCACTGGGAACTGGGTCTTGTACCGGGGGCCGTAGCCCAGAACCTGAAGCCTACACAGGACCCTCAAGGACCCTGAACCAGCGGCGGCGCCCCCAAACCTTTTTGTGGCTCTCGTCGACTTCTCCTTCTCCCTTGCTCGCTCCCTTCGATCAACCCTCCCAGAGACAAAAGTCAGCCGCCCGCTTCCAACATTCCAATCCTCCCACTACCAAACAACCATCCCAACTCAGATCCATATCACGTCAACAGTGTAAACAAATATTCTCTGTTTGAAGACCTACATACATCCTCTCCCGTTTCAACACGTCCATTACAACCTTCATCGCCTCGTTCGACCTTTTATCTGCACCCTGGTTCGCATAGACACCCCCCGGTCTCGCCAATTTCTCCTACCAATTTTCCCAGCCACCGTCATTTTCTCAACTTCATCCACGACCGACCCGTACCTCCGTACTGCCCACGTTTTCCCACCTGCGATCTGCCGACTTGGAAAGTCTGCGCGTCCAACACGCTTTTCTGCTGTCGCAATCCACCACCAACTGTCTCGAGTCGCTTGTCCTTCTCTCGGCGCTCTCTGTATATCGCTCGCTCATCCGCATTTCACACGATTCAGCCTGCAGCCGCCGTGGCGCCTTCAGATCGACTCTCGTCCGCGTGACCGACCGCATAACCGCATAGCCGTCTCAACGCGCGTCCACAGCATGAACCCTTGAAGAAACCACAACGCGAAATCCTCGACAGGGCTGCATCGGCCGGGTCTCTGCGCCTGCTTGTATATATCGCGCCGAACATCTGATTGCAGGACGTCAGCGTGCGCGCATACCACATACAACCCATGGCCGACCGCGAACCCTCGCCCACACTTTTGTCCTCGTCCGCTCAGCGCAAACCACACATGTCCATAACCCTCCCTCGGAACTTCGCGCCCTTGGGCCTTGATGGCGGCGACGACCCAAAAACTCCAAATCAGACATTTGCGGAGCTGAAATTACCTCCACCGCCCCATCATTCCACTTGTCGTTTGCGCAGGTCGCGAATTCGAATGGACAACTTTCAGGCGCGTAACAACGCTCTGCCGGCAACGCTGTTTGCTTCCGACATCCCTATTCCCTCCAGTGCTCACTCGGTACAAAAAGAACTTGAATTTGCGGATGCCGACTTTGCTCTACCGTCGATCGAAATGCACAATCATTTGGGGAGACCCATCTACAATCACAGTATCACAGACCCCTCCCCCAGCGAGAGATTGAAGCTGTCCACGTTCAGCGACTCCCAGCTTCCACGGACTCCGATCGCTCAGACCAAGATCGTTTTGCCAGAGTACAAGAACGGTGCGTGGGATATGCACAGGTCGGCCTCAGAATGCTCGCTCCGATCGGATTCATCCTTTACCTCATCCGAGGACACATTTACGACGCGACCTACCTCGTTCGACGGCAGCGCCACTAGCCCCGAGAACGAGTTGCACGATCCTTTCTCACCGACAAAGGTCAACATCATCCCCGACACGCCATCGAGGAAGAACAAGAAGCTCAAGGTCAATACCATGCTGTCCAGAGCGAATGTTCAATGGAGCATTGAAATGGATAACCATCTCTTCAATGTCTACCACATGTACCTGGCGGATCCCACAGTGACCCCGTTCAAGACGGTACCGGGCAGCATCCCTCCGACGGGTGTCTGTCATCGTGTAGCACGGAGAGCGAAGGAGACATGGCCCAGAGCTTCACGAGTCAACAAACCCCTCATTCGACGATACAAGATGCGAAATGTCATTGAGACGCGGAGCATTGCCCGGGACAAGACGCCGGAACCAAATGACTTTCTTCGGACTGACTACAACGACGCAAGGGGGGCTTGGCCTTCAGAGTCGGCCACGAGGAGGCGACTGAAACAATTGTGCAAGGAGAAGTTCACCATCACCGCCCATTATCAGCGACTGCGCGAATCCAGGAGTCCGTCGCCATTCCATGAACAATTTGCGCGTCGACCGTCTTCTCGATTGTCTCGGTCGGTTTCAAATCAAGACTCGCAGGCATCAACCACCTACGCCACCCGAGAACTGGGGATCTCGCTCGTTGCGAGTGGTGCAACTGCCCCCTTGGCACAGCTGGGGACGGGAGATTCGCCTCCAACTCAGCGGATGTCGGATGACTGGTTTAATACCCCGGTCAACGCTTCTTCCGACACCATGTCCCTGTCCACCCCGGCCGGTTTAGGTATTCAGTCTGAGGCTGACAAGTTGCAAGTTGCAAGCAATATCCCACGGTTGGCTTCGCCCTTTAATTATAGTACCTGGAATGGATCGGGCAATTCCAACAGCCAGCACCGGCGTCATATCAGCCACCACCACTTTGATACCGTTCACGCCACTGGGACACGATTGCTCTCCCCGTTCAAGCTAGAGCCGGAGAGTTCCCTCAATGTCAATAAACGACGAGCTCAGCATAACTTGGAGGACGAACTGAGCCCTAGTGGCAGCAACATCGAAAAACTCAATGTTGACCTCAACAGATTGCCTGTTCCCACCGCATTCGAGCCAGAGCCGCAAGTTCGACCGGAGCTGGTCTTTACAGGAGCAGGGGACCTCAATCAGCGGCGAATTCGAGTTCGAAATCGTGGGGCGACTCTGGGGGCAGTGAACAACCGAGAACACGTCGAGCGCCTCTTTACTCCACCGACTTCTCAAATCCCAGGAGCTGATGGAGTTCCGCCAGTTCCACCGTTGCCAGCCTCGTTGACTGCTTTAGCAAACCCCAACGTTCGGCCGAGCTCCGGTGGGCTTGCCCCGCCCGAACCTGATTCGACTCAGAAGCGACTTGGGAGCCCGTTCGAACTTGATCCGAACAAGCGGAGCTACCGCTCCAAAAACCCTCGACATGTGCCGAGTTTGAGTGACCCGTTCATCAGCACCAGTGCGTTCGCGACGACGCCAAATCATGGACACAACGGGATGAGTATCGGAGAACGACTGGCAATGTTCAATACTTTTCATCCACCGCATTTTCCGCGACAAATGTCGAACCCTCGATCCAGAGATGATCCATTCGCCTGATGGTGAAGTGGATTTCCAGTATAGTGTTTCTATTGAACAGCGATGATTTTGCAAGAAGAGCATAAGTTTTGGGGCCCCGGTGCAGGACGCATTGGTCCGGGTTCTTTTGCCACGGCGTTGACAGGACAGATTCAATGCGAATCATATTTGAAAATCTGGAATGGAGAAAATGGGCGAGCTAGTGGCGAGAACTGCATGAGAGAGTCTTGCGCGGCATTTTTGGTTGATCAATACAGCGATTTGCATGAGCAGAGAAACGGGAGAAAAGCAATTTGCCCTTGGAAGTTTTCGTTGGGCCAGCACAAGATCAACAGGCTTGATGATATCAGTGTTTGAAGATACGGACTGGAGCTTGCAAAGCCACATGTGGGAGTATTGATTTGCCACCAGACAATTCAGAAGCGCTCGAGATGTCTCAAGGTGGTCTATTGATTCTACACATGCACACAGACGAGACAGGTTTGATGGAGACCAGGACAGCCTTGTCAACTGATGGTCGATGGGATCGGCGCTTTTTGGGAAGGTTGGCCCTGGTTTCTCTGTTTATGAGATCATGAAATTTGACCTACGAGTGGGGATAAAGAATGAAGAATGATCATATGGAAGTCAAGCAGAGTCCCGGATGGACAGTCTTTCTCTCGAAATGCTTGTGATCTATGTCGCGTAGAGCTGTCGTGCGCCCTGCCTGGTGACAGCCTTGTACAGCCTCGTCCCTGCGTTTCCTGTCCCCCCCCAAAGCTTGACGAGGGGCTCTCAACCAAGTGGGAGAAACCTCGCCGCCTTGGCTCGCGTACAATTCTCACGGCAAATACTTGTTCTAGCCCAAGTTCCTCGGTAAGTCTGACTTGGCGGCTTATTTCGTGGTTAGAGGCTGCGCCCATCAAGCCCGTTGACTGCATTAGCACAGACGTACTATCTGCATGGTGGGTGGTATGATTCGCCAGATGGGGATGACTAACACGCGGATCTGCAGGCGGTCACGGTTGGTCTGATACGTTCCAAAAGCCTCACGGAAAGGTTGGAGTGGTTGAACTGAGGGGGACTTGTCGCCGCTCAGATTGACTTCGAGAAAAGGCCACCACGACGGTGGCGACGACTGTGTCCTCCATTTCCCCCCTACCGACCGTGTATGACACAGGTCCCATGGCGAAGCGGTCGACCGCTACGATGACAGCGACCCCTTCGAAGCGCGTGCTCTTTATGAGCAACAAAACGCCCGGCAATTTCCAGGGGACACGGGATCGCCAGGAGGTGCGCGCTTTGGCAGTTCGTGCGGCGTCGTTTTCGCGGCCAAACAGGAGAAAGAAGAACAGAAGAACAGCCTCTCAAGACCCTCAATCCACCTCAGATCATACTCGACAAATATCAGTCACCCAAGCTTGGAGCGACTCCTCCGCGTCGCCTATCCTTGCTCCCAATCCTCATGGTCTCCTGGGGAATGGGAAGTCCGACCCATTTGACTCCATGCCCATCCCCGTCACCGCCGACTCCCATGAGGTCCTGGCCTATGTCCGATCATTCACGTACGCAATCAACTGGCCCGACGAACTCGAAGCCTGCCGGGAAGGCGGGAGTTTGTACCAGGCGCACCAAGTCATGTACCGGAAGTATTTCGAACATGCGGCTCCCCTCAACAGTTTGCTGTCCTACGTCTACAATCTGATGGCCATTGCGCAGCCAGAAAAGGCCGACCTCCACCGGCAGATATCCATGCAATATTCTGTGAGCTGCTTCAAATGGCTCCGAGACCTGATCGACAACTTGGACTACTCCTACGACCAACTGCTTCTCATCCTGCAGACGATCTGGCCGCTGGCAAGTGCAGAATACTCCGAGTCCGTTCGGACGGGCAACGACAACTGCTCTCAGCACCGCTCTGCTTTGAAGAGGCTGATTCGTCTCCTCGGCGGCCTTCACACACTGCCCATGGTCTACCGAGAATTGATTGTGCATTTCTTCGCCAAGATTGCGGTGGTGACAGGCACGAGCACCGAAATTGATCCTATGTCGTGGGATCCCGGGCCATGGAATGCTCAACATATCGCAGCGCGGCCCCGAGAACTTGAGGGGATCCCAAGTCCGTTGCCTGCGCAGATTGATGACTGCCGAACTTTGTCAGATATCTTGGCCGCGCTGAGAGAGTTGGTCACAGTCGAAGAGGTGAAGAGGGAGGGTATCTGGTCGGACGAAGATCACCTCAGGCCGATATTCCGGTGGTCATTTCTCCGCAGGATCGCGCTCAAGATGCGGCTGTGGAACCTTTGGCACAGTCCAGTCGAGCGGCTCGACACGCGGCTTCCGCCAAACACACCGCGAGAGTCGCTCGACTCGGCTCTATGTCTTGCGGCGCAGCTGTTCATCTATCTCAGCCTTGAAGCTCATCCCATCAAACAGCCGTGGTTCGCGGCACCAACGCAACATGCCGAGATGTTGGAGCAGATCAAGGCCATGGACACAGTCCTCTTGCAGAGGGTCAAAGACCTCGACCCGACGGCGACAATACAAGATCCCTTGCTGGGCGGGCTAGCGAACAGCGACTCGATTGCCCTGGCACAGGCGCAGGATCTTCTGTGGATCGTCGCCATTGGTGCATGCTTCGAGGAGGAGGTCCGGAAGCAGCGAGGACGAAACCAGATCTCGGATTTGACGGTGATGCCCAAAACAGACGCTGCTGTCCATGCGGGGCGACAGAAACGGGAGGATCGGGAAAGGCGCGGGGACGACGTGACAATGATGGTGCAGACAGAGTGGTTCTCCGTGCGCTTTGGTCTGCTTGCGAGGAGGCTGGGGTATACGAGATTCGCGCATGTGCGAGGGTTGTTCAGACGGGAGCACGTCTATGATGGGATGATGATGGATGAGACGTTGAAGAAACTGTTTGATGTGAGAGTATAACAATTTGCCTAGGGAGGATGCATCCCAGTGGCACTCACCGTGTAGTTACTAGTTGGGTTTATGCTGAAGGCGGGACTCTAACTGTAAACCATATGCAGCGGGTTATTCCTCTTGATCGTGGACTTGGTGGTTGGAACTATATGGTTCGGTTGGGGATGTACATCGTAGGTAGCGAGGTGTCAGGCTAGGTCATCGGAGGGGCTTAGCGAATAGAGGCTTACTGCTAGCAATAGTAGCCCCTTTGTTAATTACTCAATAACATATAACTAGGCCTCTAGAGTTCATCATGATCCTCCATTGAGTTATATGTTCTGAAGAGCCAAGTCACGTAGAGAGCATCATAGGCTCCGACGGGGCTAGGAGATGGTGCATATAAGATGGCCCACAGCCGAATATCTCCTCGCCTTGACTGTCCTCCCTCTTGGTTTTCTCTTTTCAATCAGATTAGATTACAGAGAGATTAGATACCGAGTAGAGCCCAGTAGCAGAAGCTTTTCCCACACTAGACGCCTCGACGGCTCTCTCCAAACCAATGGCAGCTCTCGCCCCGATTCCACAGAAGCCCACAATGCTTCTCCTCCCATGGCGTTGCCAATGGTGCCAACGGTGCCAACGGTTCCTCAGCTACGTCGGCTACAGCTCTTCGGGCCATGTGTGGATTCACAGCAATGTTGCATCGAGGCCGTAGCGACGTCTCGTCTGGCTAGGACGCCGCCTCCGATTTCGGGCCAATGGACCAGTGGACCAGTGGACCAGTATCCCAGCCCAGCATATCCCAGCATAACCCACTCGCCGAGCACCAGACAAACAGAATTTTCATCTTATCTGATCCGTCCTTACTGCATCGGGCTTGTCTCGGTTCGCAGACTGCTTGGCCTCGTGCTCCCGGCCAGATGCACGAGGTATAAAGACGCCAGCTGCAGCCCTGGTAGGCCCACCGCTGCAGCTCTGTCAGTTTGCTCCTTTCTCCTTCCAAATCAGCCATGGATGTTTTGCATCGATTCAGAAACCGTGCTGGCCAGGCAGATGAAGTGGCCGCCCAGCCCTCCGATGTCGATGGTATCAATATGGTGCCGGCCGACGACAAGAACCTCGAAAGCAACGTATTGCCCAAAACCACCATGACAACGGATATGGAGCAGAAACTCGAAGAAGAAGCCCCGACTGAAGATGCTCAAGCTGGTGTCCAGGCCATGGAGGCGACTTCGATCGTCTGGTCCAAGAGGTCTCTGATCTGCGCCTTTGTCGGCATGTGGTTGGTATACCTGTTGAATGCTTTCCAAGGCTCGACCATCGGCAACTTTGCGCCATATGTCACCAGCGCCTGGGACTCGCACTCGCTCCTGACCGTCATTGGTGTCGTCTCCAGCTCCATGACCGCCGCAGTTTTCATTCCGTTGGCCAAGGCTCTGGACATCTGGGGCCGCGCCGAGGGGTATCTGACTATGGTAGGCTTCTGCGAGCTCGGTCTGATCCTCATGGCGGTCAGTCACAACCTGTCGACCTACTGTGCTGCCAATGTAAGTGATAGAAGCTCTCCCTCGTCATAGTTCAACGCAGCATACTGACTGGAACCCTCTTAGGTATTTTACAGCGTTGGTTTCACCGGTCTTATTTACAGCATCGACGTCGTCACAGCTGATGCCACCGCACTCAAGACTCGAGCTCTGGCCTACGCCTTCACCTCATCCCCCTACATGATCTCGGCCTTTGCTGGGTCATACGCTTCCGATCGAATGCTCGCCGATATTGGCTGGTCCTGGGGCTACGCCACCTACGCCTTTATCACGCCTATTGTCTGCGCTCCGTTGTATTTCGTGTTGAGCTACAACCTCCGCAAGGCTAAAAAGCAGGGTCTGTTGAAGGAGAGAGTGGCGAGTGGCCGAACCTGGACGGAGAGTATATGGTACTACACTAAAGAATTCGATGGTACACTTCAACCAAGCCCATGACTCCAAGCCCTGCTAACGTCTTATACAGTTCTCGGTGTGTTCCTCTTCGCCGCCGGCTTGATCATTTTCCTCCTCCCTTTCAACATTGCTTCCATCGCTCCTGACGGCTGGGCAACGGGCTACATTATTGCCATGATTGTGGTTGGATTCGTGCTGCTGGTGGCCTTTGTCCTCAACGAGCTCTTCTGGGCGCCCGTTCCGTTTATGAGGTTCAATTTCTTGACCGACCGAACCCTCATGGGCGCCTGTCTTCTGGACTTTGTCTACCAGATTTCCTATTACTGCTGGAACAGCTACTTTACTTCCTTCCTCCAGGTGGTCAACTACCTTACTGTCGCAGAGGCCGGCTACGTCAACAACACTTTCAGCGTCGTTTCTGGCTTCCTTCTCTTCTGTGTCGGCTACGGCATCCGCAAGACGGGATACTTCAAGTGGCTCTTGTGGATTGCTGTACCGCTCTATATTTTCGCCCAAGGCCTGATGATCTATTTCCGGAACCCGGACCCGTACGTCGGGTATATCGTCATGACCCAGATCTTTATCTCGATTGGCGGTGCTGTCTTCATCATATGCTGTCAACTCGCCGTTCTGGCTGCTGTCGATCATCAATCCGTCGCCGCCGCCCTCGCTTTACTCAACGTCACCGGAACCGTGGGCGACTCGATCGGCTATACTATTTCCGGAGCAATCTGGACAAACGTGTTTGAGAAGGCTCTCGAGAAGTATCTTCCGGCGTCCGCACTACCGAACCTGTCCGACATATACAACGACTTTGACACCCAACTCAGCTACCCCAGGGGCAGTGCCACCCGGACTGGCATTCAGAAAGCCTATGCCTATGCTCAGACTCGTATGCTGGCAGCTGGAACGTCCTTTATGGCTTTGGCTTTTGTTGCAGTATTAATGATAAGGAACGTCAATGTCGGCAAGATCAAGCAGACCAAGGGCAACGTCTGGTGATATCTTGTTGGAAAAGCCCAAACGTTCCAGGGTTCAGCAGACTTGGACCTTGAAACGGATCTTCTCAGACACGAACACAGCACTCTGCACCACCGCGATCGTGCGTTTGCCTTGACTCGGCCGTTGACGTTTATGGTCATCACAAACATATGGGACGCAGTTCATTGGGTATCTGCTCTCTTGAATGCCAAATGGTCCCCCAATTTTCCTCGGCTACGGGCTGCACCTCTACGTAAATAATATAATCAGCAGTCCTTGCCTTAGGCTGCCCTCATCATGAGGGCCAATAAGTATTGTCTCCAGCATCACGACCAGGTTGCTCTCCGACTATCCGTAGCTCAGGTCGAGAGTGACATACCGATAACCTCCACACAGTACGACGCTTGAAGCACCGTTGGTACCAGGAGTCCAAGACACCGTGAAGAGATATAATGACCTCTCGGTTTGGAGGCCAGACTTCCGCAAAACCCAATCTGACTCCCCATTCTAGCCCGTCCACCACGTACAAATCGTCACCCATCATGGCTTGCCCGTCGAGGCCGTGATGCCGCCGTCCACCACGATCTCCTGGCCCGTGATGTATCTGGCCTCATCCGACACCAGGAAGAGCACCGCGTGTGCGACATCCCACGCATCCCCCATCCTCCCCATCGGCACCTGCCGATCTCGCATCCGCATGTACTCGTCTCTCTTTTCTCCCGCCCCGTACCGGACCGCCAGTTGCTCGGTGTACGGGGTGTCCATCAACCCGGGCACGACGGTGTTGAGCCGCACGTTCTTGCCGGCGTACGTGACCGCCGACGTCTTCATCGCGTGGATGATGGCGGCTTTCGTCGCCGCGTACCCGACCTGAGGCTTCCCGATGTACCGCAGGCCCGCGATGCTGGACACGCTGACCACGCTTCCGCCACCGCCCTGCCGTTCCATGATGGGCAGCACGTTGTGGCACGCGAGGTAGACGCTCTTCAGGTTCAGGCTCACCTGCGCGTCCCAGACCGCCTCGTCCATGTCGCCCAGGTTCCCCGCCTCGGATTTGCCCACGTTGTTGATCAGGATGTCGATGCGCCCGTGCTTCGCGAGGCAGGCGGCCACCAGCGCCTTGACGGACGTTGACGAGGTGGCGTCGGTCTGCATCACGTCGCATGTGCCGCCTTCGGCCTGGATCCTTTGCCGGGTGATCTCTGCCGAGTCGGTGCTCCTGTTGCCCCCGAAGATGATGGCGCCTTGTCGTGCGAGGAGAACGGCGATCGCGCTGCCTATTCCCCATCCATCCGGGGATGCCTGGCCGAGACCTATGATGAGGGCGATTTTGCCGGTCAGGTCGTGCATGTTGCTAGTCTGAGGTTGTTGGGCCAGGAAATGAGAGTCCCGTTTGATCCTTTGCTTCCTTGGTGGTGGTACTTCGCATTTTCCTCTTTGTGGAATTGGTGCTGAAAGGCCCAAGATTTCTAGACACTCCCCTTTTCCTTTGCTGGTTTCCCGCCATTCTGGCCGACGTAGAGTGGCAAGCCCAAGTCTAATGCCCCAGCATCAAGGGGTCTAAGTTGTAACCGTCAAACCGGATCACATCCGCTGTATGGATGCGTATTTGTCGGCTGAACTCCGACGCTCGCCCCCGTCGGGACGCCGCCTTTGTTTGTTGACTTCTTGGACTCATTTTCGTCCAACAAACTCGAAGCACTAATATTACCCATTGCCTATTCATAAGCCAGAGCCGGGGATATAAGCTGATAGTCTCACATTCCGAAGACTACCAAGTTTACCACAAAGAATGGTCGCCGAACCCTCCCTCACCCAATCCTTCCCAGCCGACAGAGTCCTCGCATTCGCCCGGGACGTACTGATCGGGAATGGCGTTCCCAGGGAACAAGCTCACATCGTGGCGAGCTGTCTAGTGGCCGCCGATCTTCGCGGCGTCGACACGCACGGCGTCAACCGGATTCCGTCCTACATGCAACGCATTCGGCAGAAAGTCCTTGATCCCGCCGCTATTCCCACCCTCCACGAGGCCACGCCCGTAGTGGCCCAGGTTGATGGCCACAATGGGTTCGGCTTCCTGGCCGCTTCTATGGGCATGGACAAGGCGATCGAGATGGCCCGCGTGTATGGGATCGGCATGGTCGCGGTCAAACACTCGAATCACTTCGGCATGTCCGCCTGGGTGGTGCAGAAGGCCATCGCCGCCGACATGATGTCCCTGGTCTTCACGAACTCGTCGCCCGCCCTCCCCGTGTGGGGTGGCAAGGACAAACTTGTCGGCGTCTCGCCTCTGGCCTGTGGCGCCCCGGCTGGTAAAGCTCCGCCCTTCATCCTCGACATGGCACCTAGTATTGCCGCGAGAGGCAAAATTTACAAGGCGAAGAGGAGAGGCGAGAAGATCCCTCTCGACTGGGCGCTTGACGCCAACGGCGAGACCACCGACGATCCGGCCAAGGCACTCGAGGGTGTCATGTTGCCCATGGGGGGCCCCAAGGGCTCCGCGCTCGCCATCATGATGGATGTCTTTTCGGGCGTGCTTTCCGGCTCCGCCTTCGCTGGCCACGTTACAAACCCATACGACCCGTCGAAACCGGCCGACGTGGGACATTTCCTGGTCGCCATCAAGCCGGATCTCTTCTTCTCGCTGGACGAGTTTAAAGAGAGGATGGATTATCTATATCAGAGAGTGGTTGGGTGTGAGAAGCGGCCGGGCTTCGACAGGATTTACTTCCCCGGCGAGATTGAGCAGCTGACCCAGAAGGAGAGGGAAAGCAGTGGAATCCCGTATACCACTTCCGAGGTGGAATCTTTGAACAAAGAGGCCGAGATGGTGGGGGCTCAATTGCTAACGGGTTGATGTTATCCCTCCTGTTTGCCGTACGCTCTTTCTCTGGTGTCATTTGGCATCCGGGGATCGAAGGGAGGATGTCCCTTGACAGCGGCTCAAAAGTTATTTAACACAGAGACGTAACTAGGTAGTCTTCTAATGCGCGTTATACTAGTGGTTTTCATCCTTATCTGTAGTTAATATCAGCAATTTCCGACGTGAGCCTCCCAGCGATTGTTCCCTCACGGTACCATTCCAATTCTAAAGTGACCGCAGTCTGGCTCTCTGTTCAGAACAGCAGGAAGAACAAGAAGTATGGCCGTCGGGAAGATGGTAAGGGCAGTTGCGAGAGTAGAAGGGCTGATCAGCATCAAGAATTCCGGTATATGCAGTAATGCGTAAAAGCGGCAGGCCATAAACCACGAGAATTCAAAATTTAGCAGGTCTGAACGGGACATAGCTTTAACGGAATATCATGTCAAATACAAGAGTCGTATCCCGATTGAATCTTCTATGTCTAATTTGGCGAAATCTTTGCCGGTGTGTAGTTATACACTAGTTCTAGGAGCAACTGGAAGTGTATCTCCCAGGATTCCAGTCTAAGAGGTTTAATACACCGCCTTTAGGACGCAGCAACGGAGGCAAGGGCTGCGGAAACCGTCGAGCCGAGAATGGAATCGTCCGCAGTCTCAAAGTCGAACCTCATCAGATCGTCGTTGAATGGCCACATGTAAGTACTGGTCACGCTGGACAAGGCGTCAACCTCATGCAAACCGAAGTGCCAAAGCCACAGTGGTAACGTACTGATGATGCTCCGGACTCGCCTGGTATTCATCCAACGCAGCCCGGTCTTTATGATAACTTAGCAGACAGTAGTGGAAGCCTTTGCTGCGCGATGCGGGCGTCGTGATCGAGGGCCCTCCGACAACGAGTTTCTGGTCGACCACACAGGGCAGCTGCTTGAGTTTCTTGAGCTCGGAGAGGAAGACGCTCTTGGTGGCCTCACTGGTGTCGTCGCGAAATTTGAAGAGCACTATGAAGACTGCGATGAGAATGACGAACGCGGGATCCAGGGGTTCTTCATTTTACTTGCCGATATGTACTACCACCATGGTGAGCAGGCTGGAGGTGTTGGGGGGCCACTGACGCTGAATCGACTCCGGGAGGGCAGTTGAGTGACGGTTGCGTAACAACGAGGAAGACAACACTGGCAACTCGGTACATTCCCAGGTAATCACCTCTCAGTACTCACACCACTCGAGGTGAGTCTTCAAACCTGGCAAACCACCCGATCCTCGTCGTCCCAGAGGCAGTGATGGTTGGCTTCGGATTCAATCCGTCTCCCTCGGGCCGTCCACCCCGCACTTCACCGGGGCCCGCGGGGCACCTCCGTCGAGACGGGGTAAATCACGTGAATCTTCACTTTATACGTCCGTCTATGGCACCTCCACAGCCTCGATCCTTCTCACACTCTTTCAAACGCGCAGCAAGTCCGGCCCAGCTCTGCAGTCACGGCTCCGTTCCCGACGCCTGACGCCAAGTCGCCAATTCTCTGTTTCCCGGAGGCTCCGTATGTCATCGGAGCCATCCTCTAGGCCGCCGAGGACTGATTACCCGGACCAAGTGCCTGGGAGTGGCGATGGTTCTCAGCGACCGGCGAGAGCGCGGCGCGTACGCTTAGCATGTCTGCGCTGCCAGACCCGAAAGATCAAAGTACGTCGTGACCTGTCCAGGGACGAAGATCCAGGCAAGCAGCTAACCTCCGTTTACCAGTGCGATGGGAATATTCCTCAGTGCTCAGGATGTCGCCGTGCTGGCGCTCAATGCATCGACGGGAAAAAGACCATCCAAGAGGGTAGCATCTCACGGAGGTTAGCTCGCTGACTCTTCTCTGCATCGCCCATCTTCTAACACCAACACAATCCTAGTGAGGCCGCTACTCTCTATCGCCATATACAACGTCTAGAAGGAGCCCTACAAGCTCAATGTCCTCATCTCGATTTGGGTCTGGTGGCTGCTGATGGAGACCTGCCTCCACCGCCGAGAGAAGTGGCTGCTGCGAGCACACATAGCACAAACCTCTCCCGTCACCGAGACGTCGAGCCCGCCTCTGTGGATGAAACGTCCAGAAACAATCTCAGAGAACGTCCCAATCTCTCCGGCGGCAGCTCGCCTCCCCGAAACCCAAGTCGCAACGAAATCGCCCACGAGATTGGGCTCATTCCGCTGTCGGCCGGCATCAGCAAATATGTCGGACCCTCGAGCGGCCTGTCATTTGCGAAACTGGTCTTTGCACGCGCCGACCTCTCCGGCAGTCATGTGCCTGGCAGCATTCAAAACAGCACCACACACGAGTCCCCCTCGACAACAAGCTCTCGGTCGATGTTTATGATCGAACCAGCCCCAATACCAAAATCGCTTGAACAAGCCATCCAGTTATCCAAGATATATTTCGAGCACATTCACGTCCAGTATCCCTTCCTCCACGGCGGGACGTTTTCCCGTCAACTTCACGACCTGTACAGCAACCCCGAAGGTGCCTCACGCGTGGTCTGGTTTCAGGTCACCATGGTCCTCGCGATCTCGGCCAGCATTCTGTCGAAACGTCTGAGGATTCCGTTTTCGGGCGAGGGCCTCGCGACGTCGGCCATGCAGTACACGGACGAGATTGACTTTCAGAACTCCACCGAGGGAGTCCAGTGTCTCTTGCTCCTTTCCATGTTCACACTGCACAGTCCTTTCCTGCGGCTCAATCCCTGGTACTTGAACTACCAATGCTTGGCTGCCGTCCTGGACCTGGGTCTGCAGCGAGATGTCCCCATCAGCCCGTCGATCGGCCCTTTGGAACGAGAAATGAGAACGCGACTGTTTTGGGTCATTTACTCGATAGATCGGACCCTCGCGACGACCTTGGGCAGACCGATCGGTCTAAGAGACGAGGCCTGTGACCTGCGCGTAAGGACCTTCTCCATCGCGCGCGACGTGACTTCCGACTGATTCTTGATGCAGCTCCCCAGCGGACATGAAGATTGTGATCTTGACGATAACTCGCCAATGGATGATCAGCAACAGCCTCGTCTAGCCCGAGCAGGATCGATGTCGTGTGCAGTGGTCCTTTTCCAACTCGCACAGATGAACTCGGAGATCAAATACGTCCTGCACAGTCTCACACACAACACCCCTCGGTACACGTACCCCCAAATCCCCGACATCGAGATGTGGCAGAACGACATGTGGGAGCGTCTTGGGACGCTCCAGTCGCAGATCCCGCTCTTCGAGAACCAGGACCTGTACATGACCATGATCTGCCAGATCCGGTACCACGAGGTGGTCATGCATCTCTTTCGACCCACGCCGCGGATCCGGACCCCCAGCAAAGTCTCGCTGATGCGGTGCTACGACAGCGCCCAGGCCGCAATCCGGCTCGCGAAGCAAATGTACGAGTCCGACCGCATGTCGTACTCGTGGGTCACGATCCACTCAGTCTGCCTCAGCGCGCTGACCATCCTGTACTGCATCTGGACGGTCCCCGAGATCGCGGCCGGCGCGCACCTCGACGCCTTCACCAGCACCACGCGCGACGCTTCCAACCTGCTCAGCGCGGCGGGCGAGCACTGGCCCGAGGCACGCCGGAGCCGGAACAGCCTCGACAGGCTGGCGGCGGCCACGGTGCGCTATCTGCTCGACACACACGGGGCTCACCGATCTCCGCCACCGCGCGCGCAGGATCGCGAACGAGGACAGACGCGGCCTCGACCCGTGGCAGATTGGGAGGGACCGCGCAGGTCGCACGTGCAGTCCCAGGCAGAGACGGGCCGCGAACAGGCCAGTCTTCTTCTCAGCCCGACGACGCCGAGCGCCCGACAGCACCGTCTCAGCGAGCAACTGCCGGATTTCACTGACGGGTTCGGCGGCTCGACCATCGACGCGTACATCAGCGGTGGAGACCTGGCCATGTTTGTGGGCGCGCCAGACCCCTTCGCCGGGGATCTCTCTCTGACCATGGACGGCATGTTCACCGAGTACCAACCGCTGTTCGAGTTCAACGCCACGACGGATCTTGGGGGCGCATTCACGTCAGATGTTTAAGCCGCTGGAATTCTTTCCCTTTTGCCCTCGTCTTGGGCGGCGGCCAAGAAATACAAATTACTTTGTAAACACCAAAATACCCAAATTTTCCGAACCGTGCACTGTCCTAAGTCCCTGATTGTGTGGGCACTGTTGGTCTACGGTCTATTCGGACCGGAAGCTGATTCTCCCTCTACTTCGGTCCACGCGCGGTCAAAAAGTCGAAATCCGCGCCCTCGTGGGCTTGATTCACCGACCGCTCATACAGCCCTCTGTAACCCCTCCGTGCTTCCCTCGCCGCACCAGCCGAATGAGACTGCTCTCCTCGAGCCCTTTTTTGTTGCTCAAGCCGCGCCGCCTGAACGTGTTTGAGTCTTTGTTGGATTTCCTCGGGCCGCACCTCCAGCGTGAGCGCCCTCCGCTCCACGTCGCAGGTAATCAAGTCGCCGTCCCGGACCACGCCGAGCACGCTGTCCGCGCGCGCCGACTCGGGCGACACGTGCAACACGATCGTCCCGCCGGCCGTGCCGCTCATCCGGCCGTCGCTGACGCGGAGCATGTCCGTGACGCCCTGGGCCGCCAGCTTGCGCGGGATCGGGATGAGGCCCGCCTCGGGCATGCCGGGGTGGCCGACGGGGCCGATGTTCTGCAGCACGAGCACCGAATTCGGCGTGGCGGGGAGGGCCGGGTCGTCGATGCGCCGCGCGAGGTCCGCCGCGTCGTGGAACACGACCGCGGGGCCCATGTGGGTGAGCAGCGCGCGGTTCTTGGACGCCGACGCCTTCACGATGCAGCCGTCGGGGGCGAGGTTGCCACGCAGCACGACCAGGCTGGAGCTGGCCTGCAAGGGATCGCTGAGGGGGCGGATGATCTCGGTCGAGTACGGGAATGTCAGAAACGGGGTGCTGTCGAGCACCTGCCCCAGGGTCTGCCCGCTGATGGTCGGCGCCGAGAGATGGAGCAGCGGGCGTAGGGTGTGCAGGAGCGCGAGCATGCCGCCGGCGTTGTGGAAGTCGGTCATGTAGTTGTCCCCGCTGGGCTTGAGGTCCACGATCAGGGGCGTCTTCCTGCCGATCTCGTCCACGTCGGCCAGCGTGAGCGTCCCCTGGAGGTCCGGGTGGCGGTTGATGATGGCCATCAGGTGCACGACGCCGTTGGTGCTGCCGCCGATGGCCTGCAGGACCGTCATGGCGTTCAGGAAGGACTCGCGGGTCAAGATACTCTGGGGTGTTCGCCTCTGCTCGGCGGCAGCGACGGCGTTGCGACCGGTTTCTTCGGCAATGCGCAGGCGAAGTGCAGACACGGCCGGCGCACTGGCTCCCTTGAGCGGAATCAGGCCCAGGGCCGCGGTGAGGCATGCCATCGTGCTGGCGGTGCCCATGACGCCGCATGTTCCGGCCTGTGGGATGTCAACCCTGGCACTGCATAACATAGAGCTTTAGCCGCTTCGAGTGCAGGAGATGAACCTACCGTTGGGGCGAGCTGCTCATTGATGGCCGAGATCTCCTCGACGTCAATCTGGCCGGATCGAAACGCGGCCCAGTTGTTTCGACAGTCGGTGCAGGCGCCGATGCGCTTGCCTTGGTGGGATCCGGGCATCATGGGACCGGTGATCAGAGGCAACACAGGTTTGTTCGCGGATATGCCACCCATGATCTGCGCGGGCACGGTCTTGTCACATCCTTTTTCGCGGGTGGTTAGAATACAATGGCCGGCAGTCGGACAGTCCTCGCCCTCTTACCTCCTATCATGATACACGCGTCGACCGGTTGCGCACGGATCATCTCCTCGGTGTCCATGCTCATGAGATTGCGAAGGAACATGCTGGTCGGCGAAGAGAACGACTCGTGCACACTGATGGTGGGGAAGTCAATGGCCAATCCTCCGGCCAGCTGGACACCCCTTTTGGCCGCCTCTATCAGTTGAGGCGCATTGCCATGACAAGGATTGAAGCCCGAGTAGGTATTGATGATCCCGATGATGGGCCTTGATAGAGCATCGTCGCTATACCCTAGGGCCTTGATGAAGACTTTTCGGAGGAACAAAGAAAAATGCGCGTCCCCGTACGACGTAAGGCCTTGTCGAAGGCCCGATTTCGTGACCACAGCTAAGTCCAGCTGGTAATCTGGGTCGACGGGCTTGGATTGGTTGGCAGACATGTGAAATGGAACTGAACAGATCGCTCTAAGGCCTTCACAGGAGCTTTCTTGTGATCACGCTGAGCCTGGGTCAGTTGTTGGCTCTACTTAGCCGCATGGAGATGTTCAGGTGTATTTGTTCGGAGGGTTGAGAAGCGACCGGAACAAGGACGCCGGCAAGAGGACTTGATAGTATCGTTTGTGTATCCGTCAAATTGTGGGACGATGCAGTGAGACACAAGCCGTAGAATGAATGCTTGCCCGAGCGATGGGCCCAAGATCCGCCAACATGGGACAAAATTGCCGTCCACGGATCTGATCCGTCGTGTCCTTACTGGAGGTGAGAGGGACGGGATATTGGACCCGTTACATCAAGGAGAGGTCTCAAGGATCCTGCTCAGGTCGGAGTCGAGCCTTTCCATGCTATGGACGAGGTCACTGATCACCTCCGCCGTCTGTCTCGCGCCCTTCTCCCCCAGGAAGAAAAAGTGATTTCCCTCGACGACGGACCGCATCCTGTCGGGCGCCGAATCGATGAATCGCCTCAACTCGTGCCACTGTTGGGTATTTGGCTTCTGGATGCGTCTCTCTACTTCGGAGATGAGCTTGTACGTCAGGACCATCGCCCAAGTCGCGCGGTCAGCGAGGACATGGCGTAAATCCGAAGGCGCTGTCCCGTGGATGACGCCAATATACGGGTATCTGGCGTAGTCACTCTGCTCGGGGCCGGCATCCCGGAGAGCCTCCCATTCATCCTGAATGAAGGTTCCCGAAGGTGTATACGTCAGTCCCCAGTTTGCGAGCCGAATTGGTGTGTGCCCGTAGTACTCTTGCAGGTAGATATCGCGCTGAATGATGGGGCGTGAGTCGTTGAGCCTTTCTTGCTCCGAGATCTGGGAGAGAAACTTATGTTCGATGCCAGGGCTGCTGGCGTAGCCGGCCTCTGTCCGGTTTGCCGTTGGGTAAGAACGGACGCCGGTGATGCCGCCAGGTGTTGCGGCCAGAGAGATGAACAGAGGCACCGAGATGCCTCGCTGCTCAGCTGCTTGGATGAAGGACTTCAGGATTTTCCCACCCATGCTCCAGCCTAGTAGGATGGCTTCAGGCTGTAGACCCTCTTTCTCAATCACCATTCTGACCGTCTGAGCAGTCAAGTCCCCCCATTCAGGCATCCCTATATCAGCATGAGTCGGGGGGAGGATTGACGATAGACACTCCAGTGGATATGAGATTGCGACAACGTTGAACCCAGCTCGACTCAACCAAAATGTAAGGAAGTCAGACGGCCGGGAGCCGATATGCCCGCCATACGCAATTCGAGCCAAGTGGCAAGCTCCAGGAACAAAGACCATGAGAGGTTGTTCGCGTCGAGCAGTCTGAGGGGGTGATGCAGGCGTGTATCTGAACAACACCGGCCGCCCTTGCACTATCTCCAGTCTTTCGCCATCGTAGAGCTTTGGGGGAGTTGTAGGCATGCTGGTCGATGCCCTTTGTGTCAGGCCACACGCGTTGTTGCTCGTGCCTTTTCTAGGTTCGTCTCTTTGCAGTCTCTCTCCCGTTTGTTGTTAGTGAGCGGACTCTGAAGCCGAGATGGACGGATACATCCATTACGGAACCTCTCCGTCCTGCAGCATGACTAGCATATCAATCTCCGCAATGCTGTTCTCGGGGTTTGGGCCGGGGTATCTGGGGATCGTCCATGAATTATAAATACGCTGTCATGGATGTCGGGGAGGGGACATTGCCCATCTCTAGTCTTTCTGGACTTTCGCGTATCACCATGGGCACTCCAGAGAAGGTGACTAGTAGGATCTCCTTGAGGGGAAACTCTCTTCGTCGTCTTGTGGGTTGGCTGGCGGGATTGGCCTTCTTGTGCCAGGGCTATGATCAAGCCGTCGTGAATGGATTTCTCACTCTCGATACCTTCACCCACACATTTCCACAGATTGACACAATCCACGCCACTGCAGCCCAATCGTCTGAAAGGTCCAACCTTCAAGGTGAGGAGTGGAGCATGGGGACTTTCACAGAAGACGCTGATGATTCTGCAGGGCTGACTGTAGCCATCTACGAAGTCGGCTGTGCGCTGGGTGCATTGTCGTGCTTTGTGGCGGGCGATATCCTGGGGAGACGGAAAGTTGTGTTTGTGGCAAGCCTGGTGGTCATCATCGGCGCCGTCATTCAAGCATCCTCATTTTCGCTCGGGCAGCTGATCGTCAGCAGGATCATCAATGGTAAGGGCGGATATGTTTGCACGGTCATGGTCGAGGGAGACTGACCACGCTCTCTAGGCTTGGGCGTTGGGGCGTTCACGGCCACCATTCCCATGTACGTGAGCGAATGCTCGCATGCCAATCAGCGAGGCAGCCTCGTCTTGTTAGAAGGCATGTTCGCCATCGGCGGCATCTTTCTGGCGACGTGGGTGAACTTTGGCTTCTACTACGTCAAGTCGTCGGCGAACTGGAGATTTCCAGTCTCTCTCCAGATCGTCTTTGCGCTGGTGGTGGCCTGCTCGATCCTCCTGCTCCCCGAGTCGCCTCGCTGGCTCGTGGAGCAAGATAGGCTCGAAGATGCGAAGGAGGTCCTGGCCGAGTTGAACGACACGACCGTCGATTCTGACGTGATCGCTCTGGATATCTCGCTCATCCGGGCTACTATGGTCTCCAGCATAAACAGCGTCGACGACACCAGCGGTTCGCGGAATCCCTTTGCCAGGACGAGAAACCGACAGCTGCACCGCACCCTGTTGGCCATGGCCTTGCTCATGTTTGCCCAAATGACGGGGACCAACGTCATCACTTTCTATTCCAACACCATCTTCCAGAAGAGCCTGGGATATTCGGGATCTATGTCGAGAATCCTATCGGGGTGTCTGCAGATTGGCCACCTCGCCGGTGCCACGATCGCGGTATTTCTCGTCGAACGCGTGGGCCGCCGCGTCTTGATGCTCACGGTTCTGGCCGTGTTTGTCGTGATCCAGACCAGTCTTGCTGGTCTATCGTCAGACCTGACCAGCGCTGAGGCCGGGAAGGCGACTCTCTTCTTCTACTTTGCCGCCCTCTTCACTTTCCCCACTGGCTTCTTCCTGATCCCGTTCATGTATGCGGCGGAGATTGCGCCGCTCCGGGTGCGGGCTAAAGTCACCGCGCTGGCGGCGACGACCAGCTGGACGTTCAACTTCCTGCTGGCCATGATCACTCCCATCGGCTTTGACCACATCCAGTGGCGGTACTATATCGTGTACGCTTCCATGAGCTTGTGCGGCTTTGTCGTCGTCTACTTTCTCTACCCGGAGACCAAGGGCCGCTCGCTGGAAGAGATCGAGACCATCTTCTTGACGTCCAAGTCAATCTTCGACACCGTCCGTGTTGCCAGGGAATTGTCGGTGGAGGGAGAAGTCGAAGAAGACCCAGAACATGTAAAGACTGTTAACATGGAGCACAGGGAGAAGGTTGGCATGTAGCCCGGAGCATCCTGTGAGGCCGCGAGGCTGCGAGGCTGCGAGCCTTATACCCTACCTATTCAGCAATCAATCTATCTAGTCCCAGGTTATATTAGGTTGTTTGTAACACTACGGCCTTATAGCCGGCAGAATAGGTAGTATGAGATGCTAGAACAGTACAATAGTGAGGTGGCTCTATGAGTTGTCGCCAGTCCTTGTTTGGCACACGCGACGATAGCACCGCCGCCCAGCCAGTCCATGGTCAGGCCGTTGTTGCGCCAGAGCCTTGCGATCGTTGGGGCGCACGCGCTGCTCGGCAAGTTGGCGCCCAGAGCCGGGCCACTGGGGCATTTAGGCTTCAAGCAGGGCCAGTTAAACCACTGGGCGAGCCTGGGGGGCTTCGCTAGTCCTCGGCAGGACCCAGACGCACCCCACGTATCCCCCATTAGTCTGTTTGCTGGTTGATCTTCGGGGGCCACATGGGGCCCAGTGCCTCATTTTCCATGTTGTGTATCCATTCTTCGTCCTCTTCGACGTGACACCGCGACTTGTATGCTCTGGTGATCTCATCGCGTCCTGGACTTCGCGCTCGGCGTTGCAAGAAGATCCCTAAATCACAGTCTGTCTGCCCTTGGGAATTCCTGTTGTTCGTGTTGTTCGTCTGCCTGTTTGGAGAGAGAAGCGACTATATTGTTGTGGTTAGTTGGTGTGACAGCCTCAATTAACAGTGCTTTACTGACATGGCGGGATCCCTGCGCAGTCTGTTGGAACTCCCAGTTGACCCCGAGTCGTTTCTCGTCCACTGAATACAAAATGGCGTCTCCTGCAAGACGCGTGCTTGGTGACAAAGATCCCAACGCGCCTATCCAGCAACAACCCTCCAAAGTGCCAAACAGAGTCTCACAGCTCGCCAGTCCTGTGGCACCGCGAAGCTCGACAAAGCGTCCTCTCTCCCCGGAACAGTCACTTTCGAGCAGTCCTCGAACCGGCCAGAAAAGGAAGATTGGAGAAATACACGGCGGAGAACCAGCACAGATCCAAGATACAGCTGCAACATTCTTTCTGTCACAAACGACCGAGTTGTTGAGCGACACCCGGTCCGAAAATGAAGACAATGTACAGACCTCGACGACCCAGAGCAGGTCGACTTTGGCCACCACTCTCACCACGTTCCGTGCCTCGCAGGAAGAATCATCTCATATCGAGAGCGAATTCCACATACATGACGAACCGAGCCAGCAGACCCTGGACAAGATGGTATGTTACGCTCAATGACCCGACGCGTCATTTCTAAGTAATGCATGGTAGCACGCCGTCACGTTCACCCAAAGCACGTCTCAACTTGTCCCACCGATACGGCCCAACTTGGCCAAGGAAGGCTCTCAAGTCAGCCTGAGCATGTCCAGCCTGATCGACTTTGACACCAACCGCTCGTCGCAAGAGGATGAGATGCAAATGATTGACGAACCCGAGATAGTCGATGGCCAAGAGCCCAAGACAGAGGAAGACGCCAGGAAGCAGATGATGCTCGAGGTAAATGCCAATGTCGTGCTTTGGTTATTGCTTGCTCTAATCCTGTCCTAGAAAGCTGAAACCCTCCGCACTCGACTCCAACTAGCCCTGTACAAGATTCAAACCAACCAGATCACGAAGCCGTTCGCTCGGCTTCAGGTACCTCGAACCACATCTCCTCCACCGCAACTTCCTCCACCCTCTTCCTCCCCGCACTCTTCGTCGACTGTGCGACAGAGCTCCGTCCCAGAGATGTCGGCCGCTCAAGAGGCTCGAGTCGCTATAGCTCGTGCTCGCGCGACCATGGGTCCCAGACCGACGGTTAAGAATCTCTCCAGCCTGCCTACGCCAGAGATAGTCCCGACAGCCTTCTCGGCGAGATGGAATCATGAAGTGCACGCCCAGCCATCTAATATTCCCAGCAGTCCTCCCCTCTCACAAGCAGACTGCACTCCTGAAGCCTCCGGAGGAGCAAATCATCATGACAGCAAGCCTAGCACGCCATTACAGCTGTCTAGCCCAGCCCCTAGTCAATGCGGAGAGGATGTGGAAGGGGATGCCGACACCCGACGCGACCACCTTCGAATTGCTGGTCTCACCAGCAGCGTGATCAAAGGAGAAGCTGCGAACAGTCTGCTGGAGCTTGTCCGGGGAGTGAGATCCGGGGGAGTTGGGATGTGCGGCGTATGACCATGTGAGCTCGAATTTGGTTTTTCCTGAAATATTGCTATCGATCTGTGGCCAGCAAGGCAGCGTCGTTCAAGGGATATTGAGCACAGAGTGAGATCTATACCGTGGCGTTTGAGATGTGTTTTTGCTATGTTAGACATTCATCTGCCGCACTCACCGTCCAATGAATTTATGGGGGGAGCACCATTGGGCCTGAGATATGGCTCGTGGCATGGCCCTTCAACCCGACTAGTATCTTTTGAATCGAGCCAGTTTGCTTGATCCACTGCTTCCTTTGTTCCAGGATGTGACCCAACAGCCAGTGTTTGCTTGTCACAGACGCCACCCGCCAAACCCTGTCGTCTGTCTTTGTTCATGGACAGAGAAAAGAGCGGAGACAGTGTCATGCTCCAGCTGCTTATCTCTGGAGACTGTTCAAGGTACTCTCGTACTGACCGCCTTATACCTCTTGACCCCTCGCCCTCGACCGCCAGAGATACTCCCCCCAAATCAGAGACGCCAGTCTTAGTGGAAGAAAGAGAGAAGAAGGAAGATGCCACAGTCCACAAGCCATTCATCACCACCCTCCGAGGGAGTCGACGCGGACAATCCCAAACTCGACCCGTCTTGCAAGGTCGACCAATCCGCCCCAGACAACAGGGTTGACATGTCGACCTTCGAACCGACCGCTCCCGCCCCCAGCGCCGGCAATGCCCATGTGTTCTTCCACCTCGGACACACCGGCCACGAGGTCGCGCCGAGGCGGTTCCCGGCATGCGTCTCGGCCGGGAAGGGCGTCGTCGTCCGAGAAGGCCACCTGCACGGCGCATGGACGTGTGTGCGGCGTTTCCAAAACGACGCGTCGACGGACCGCTGCTGCTTCGGCGACGACGGCAGAGCACCACGAACCATCACGTTCCCTGCATACCCAAGCACCGGCACGCCCGCCCACGAGATCCGGATCGTGGGCTGTCGCTTGGTCGAGTTCTCGGTCCTTCGCGCCGACGCAAACGCCGACGCCGACGCTGAACCCGAACCAGCGCGCTTCGTCAGGCTCAAGGTCAAGGCGCTGGTCGCGGCGGCGAACGACGAGTTTGGTGCCCGGGGCGGGACCGAGGGCGTCCCCATCTGGATCGGCGTCGACGACTCCCCTGACAACATCTTCCGCGCTGTGCCAGGACAAGAGGGGGCGTGGGAGGTGAGGTGTGATGGGGGAGAGGTCGTGAGGTTCTAGTCTTATGGGGGTGGGAATAGCATGCGTCTCTATATCTCTACTTCCTTACAGGTACTGGGGTTAGGACGACGCTTGCTTGGGTGATCTATATCACAGTGGATTCAGGAGGTCGCACTATTGTTAATTGACGGAAGTAACGCATGGCCGTTCTCGTCGTTCTCAATCTATCTATCTTCCGAGATCCTAGAGGCCTACAAGCCCAGTCTACCCTAGCCAGCTAGCATCAAGGTGGCATTCCATGCGTATAGTGCTGTGTGGTATTTCTACTGTTTGCTCTGTTTCACGCTCGGCACAATAAATGATGGGATGACTTGAATACTGACTGGTCCTGGTCCTGGTCCTGGTCAATGTCCAAGAAACTGTGCCCAAGACCGTGGTGATCCGCAACATGTGGACCAACAGACCAGACATGATCCGTTTGATAGGGGACTGTGATGACCACCGCAAATGTAACCAGCCGTTCAGACTCATCTGACCCCCCCAAAGCTCTGAGTGATTCAAGAGCCCACGGCTGAGGGAGTCGGTGTTTACCACGCACAGATATTGAAGAAGCAAACAGAGTATCTGCAGGGGTTCAGCTTGGGGACTGTGTCACCTTGTTATCCAGAATCCGACATCATTCGCATGACTCTTCTTGTTGGCCCATGATGGTGGTGATCGTGGCCTCATAGCGCTGGCAGAGAGAGACGGTCAGAGAAACACAGGCTCGTCTGTGCAGTACTCACAAACGAAAGATTGTTACATCGATATGGGCCATGGCTGGAAACAGAGAAAAGGAAACGTCAGAAAGAGTCGCCCGCATCCTTCCTACCTCCCACTCGAAGATTACAACACGATTCCCCGGTCTATAAAGATTTCTCGGGGCGAGCAATTTAGCCAGGCTTTGTATATTCTCTTCTGAGAAGGCTGCTACTCCTACTGCTAAAGCGACAGCTACAGCTACAGCTACACCTCCTTCTCATTCTCTGTTTCACAATGGCTCAACCTCCATTCTTCCACGTCGACCACGCCCGGCACGACATCGAGGCTTTGACAGTGGCAGTACACAAGCCTGTCGAAGACAACGGCGAAGGATCATGCATCAAGTCCGGATGGTTGAACTTCCCCGAGCCAGCACCCGAACCGGAAGGAGATCCTGGGCAGGAGCAAGAGCACCAGCGTGAGGAGCATGACTCCGATGAGTCCGGGGCAGAGATGGAGGAGGACACAAGCGAGGACGGGGAGAAAAATGCCTCCGTCTGTGCCGCCAGAGGCAGCATCACTAACGACTTCCCCGTGCTCCTGTCGCCCGGCGAAGGGGTCATCGTGCACTACGACCTCTGGACGGCGGCGCGACCAGACCAGCGTCGAGCGGCCATCTACCCGTGGACGGACGGCCGGACGGGGAAGAAGACGGTGGCCATGCCGAGCGCGCAGAACCCGGCGTACGAGCTCGACATCGTCGGCGGCACCCACTTCCCCTTCGTCCTCAAGGAGTGGCATAGCTGGGGCTTCCTCCGGCTCCACGTCAAGTGTCTGGTCACCACCTCGGCGCTGCCCTTCATCCAGCCCGACTACGGCCACGGCCACAGTCGACCCTTGATGTGGATCGGGGTCGGGACGGACACGGCCTCCAAGGAAAAGAGTCCCAGCCTTGTCCACCTGGCGTACCGTATGGGTGGGATGCACCAGGGGTCGAAACCCGCGTACTGGGTCTACAAGGACGATGATGGCGTCGAGATGGTCTGATCCTGGTAGCAACGGAGCTGGGAGGCTGCAGGTCGCTCGCTTGAGCGGTACGGAATCAATCGAGTTGGGCTTGAACTTGTGCCTAGGAGGAGTGATATCTAGGAGTTGACGCTACAACAAATCGAGTTTCTGGATTCAGATACTTCCCATATCAAAAGGACGCTGGAGCAATCAATAAGTTTCGGGCTTGCGTCTTGCAAGTACAAGCAGCGCTCCTCTCATTACCTGATGCAGACCTCTCATTAATATTGGGTAGGTTGTGTTGGGTAGACAAGGCTGAGAGCCCCTGCCTAGGATATTGGCAAAAGCAGCAACTGGGACTAGTCCTCTCCCGGCTAGAATACACGTGCTCCTCTTGAACAATGAATGCCTCGAGGTGGCAGGATAACCATCGAGCCACGTCCCATCTCAAGTAACGTCCAATCCATGTGATGGGTATCCCGTTGTCGTCAGAAGGTTTATGTGTCCGCCACCCGCAGCAAGTTTCTTTTTGTAACCTTTTCGACGTCCAAGTTGTGCGCAAAGAGCCTGCTTCTATTCGGGCACTAGTAATGCTTTCTTTTGTTCATCCACTCGTCACAATCTTGGTAACCGGCTGTGTCTTCCTCTCACGGTCCACCACTTCCAAGGGGTTGGGCAGTTCTCTCGTCATTCTGTTGTTCCTCTTCCCCTAGAATGTTTCTGGTTCTTCTGCTCCGTTGGCTTCCAAGTCCGGAATCTCGAATCCCTCCTCTGTGCTATAGAGTATGGTCTGGATGTTCTTCACGAGACCATTATCGTCGGTTTCAAGGGAAGGATCCTGTTCGACTGCATTCTGCAATAGCAATTCGATATCCCGCAATTTGCTGAAATAGAAGTCCCGCTCTTTCTCTAGACCCGCGATTGCTTCCTTCAGCGATTCGTTTTCGGCCTTCAGCGCAGACGAAGTCGCTCCTGCTGCACCCGCGGTGCGCGGTGGAGGCCGACTCACAGGCGTTGTCCCGGTTTTGCGAGTGGTGCTTGCGCCGGTGCTTGTTCGAGGAGCGGTCGAAGCGGCTGGGGCTGAGCCGGCACTCTTTCTTCTTGCGACAGCGTCGTAATCATGGCCCGGAAAGTATTGGTCCCAGAACCGCTTTGACCACTGGAGAAACTCAAGGTTATCCTGCATTTTGCATTTGACGAGTTGCTCGACAGGAACGGTTCGGTCGATGCCATGCTTTGTAAAGCAGTCTGCGATATCCTGGTCAGTGGCGTGTCGGGTTACAGGCAAGGACTCGTCGTTCCCCCAGCGAACGTACTCTGCAGGATCTTGAAGTTCTGGATGTAGGCATATTCGGTATTGACATTGAATTTTACCCGACTCATGGGAATATCGACTGTAATCACCAATCAGCGTCTGTTCAATCATCCCTTGGTGTCACAAGCGCATTTCCACCAGGAACGGAACGGCAGAGTAGGCGACGACGTACGGAAGATGGAATCGAATAGCTGGCAAAGCGCGGCCCTGTCGATTGCTCTGTTAGCTTCTGATCCCAAGATTTCCTAGTATGAACCTTACCCCGTCCCGCATTGCTCGACCTTTGTGATGTTGAGTTGGAGGAGGCCGTTTAGCCATCCAAGCAATTCCTGCCTGTACGCATGTTAGCGACACCCTGCCCATTGCCGCAAATCCACCTGGATCAGGCTTGACTGGAGCATTACCTTGATTCGCCCATGGCTGCACCTATGAAGAGAGGAGATCGGAACGAGTTGAGGCGCAAAGGAATCTACGACAGCCAGGGGAAAATGAGAGTTACCAGCGAAAACGCACAAGGAAGAATCAATCGGCGCAAGCAAGAAGCAAATGATGAAATGCCGTGACTTGAGCCTGGTCTGAGGAAGGGGAGTACGTGGGCGGGTTGTTGCGAGATACAGGGTGAAGGGAAATGTTTTTATTGCGACAGTGGTTGTTGCTGCGCAGGACGGGGATGTTGACTGTGGTGACGCGGGTCCCTGAGTTTCAGGGATCGGGATCGAGGGGTTCAGCCTACAATCACCGCTACCGGCGAACCAGCCCTTGGGTCTTGGCCCCTTGCCGCTTCACTAACCAGCCTGGTGGCTCTTTAACTAAGCCACTCGAGTTAGCTGGTTGCCACTCGACCAAACGGTTAAAGGAGGGCCTAGTAGCCACCAAACGTTCCAGGGCCCACCCCCCCAAAAGCGCCATTGCCGGGTGCCAGTATCGCGAGACCCAAAAACATAGCATTTTTCATTGTTATTACACTCAGATTCTCGTTGCATCTATGCCCACCCCCGGCCTTGACTCGATCCAACAATCATTCACTTCGTTGCTTCGCTCGCATCGCTGGCCGGTTTGGCTTTGCTGTCATCTCCTTTCTTCACTGATCCGCCTGCTTGGGCATCTGCAGGCGACCTGTTGGCCTGCTCCTCGGGCACACCCTTCGTTGACGGGTTCTGGCCTTCTACATCCGGGTGGTCGGGGGCAACTCCTGAGGGATTGACCTCGTTGCCTTGCTCATCGACGAGTCTTGTTCTTGTCTCGTACTTCGTCTGGAAGGAAGCCTTGCCCTCTGCCAGCAATGCCTGAACCTGGGCTTCGTCCAAGAGATTCCCGTTCTGGTCGCGATATTCCACCCGTTCTTCTTGTCCAATCACTTTCCCTTCACCAACTTGAGGGGTGACCGCTGATGGGTCATCTTTTCTGTCCGAGTCGATTTGCATGGATGGAACAGTGGGAGTTACTCCACCTTCTCCAAAGGGTGGTAGCGGTGTCGAGTACTTGGCAATCTAATTCTAGTCAGTCTCGATCATTTCGGGCAGTTTCGTAGGCCTTACATCAGTGTGGAAAGTGTTGCAATCGAAGTCCCAGGTGTCAAACAGTTTGACCGCTCTGCACTGGTCCTGTGTCCAGGGATTGCCATAGATCAACGGAGCATACAGAGTAAACACACCAATCGCGAAAGCCACAAACAATACGGCCACACTCCAGCCGATCTCAGGATACTTCTTCAATCCTAGAGACGAGATCCGATTGACGACAAAGTCGAAGATCTGGCACAAAGCCATGATGGCGAAATAGAGGGCCGGGAAGTAGTGGTGAAGAAACAACTGCCGTGCCATCAAGTAGAAGGGGAAGTAGTGGAATGCCCATGCCAGAACAGTCTGACCAACTTCGTAGTCGAATCGTTTGAAGTTGACGTTGGAATAGTCGTTACAGCTTCGTTGCCAGCGTAGGACGGAGATGCCCTTGAAAATGATGTAGGTCAAGATGGCGAGACTCGAAGGCCACCAAATGGCGGGATTCCCGAGGAGATAGATCTGACGGTGGTCTTTGCCCCAGAAATTGATTCCACGGCGGAGAATGGGCCAGGAGCCTGGTCGGGAGTCCCAGGCGTGCGACTCAACCAAGCCGGCGTTCGTCCTCCACATGACTTTTTGCAGTTCCCAGAATTTGCCCAAGAAGCCGGGGTTCCTGTAGTTGACCTTCTCTGCGTCTTCTCCGAGCATTGGGTGTTGATTCTGTTCGACGTACCACACGCTGTTGGGGAGGGTACCTCCTTTGGCACAAGTGACTTCCTGTTGCTCGAATCCCCAATCAGGCAATTTGACCTTGTGCGAGAAAAGGACACAGCCCGTCATGATATGGACCAGCTTAAATTTGGTCTGAATTGTTCTCAGCCTCTTCTTAGCTTCTTCGCCATCAGACATCGACTTGACAATCTCCACTCGGAAAAGATCATTAGCGTCGCCTTCAAATCCTTCGTAGCCATAAGCAGTGACTTCATTTTGCCACTCCGCTTCGGTAATAGGAGGGCGGACATCATGAGAGTGAATGCGCCGATGCGTTGTGAGGTGGTACAGCCTGATAATGTCACCGTCCTTGATGTACTCTGTGAGATTCGACCATGCTTTAGGACCTGCAACAGTAACGTTGTCGGCGGTGATCGGCTGGGTTTGATTCTCGAGAAGGAAAATGTTGTTTTCGTCCTTGTGCGGATACAATGTAACCTGCTGTTGTTTGCTGCCGCCAGGGTACATGTGTGAATGGGAGTGGAGATAGCCACCCTGAGTGTTGTGATGTCGGATGGTCACTTCGCTGCCAAACAACACGTCGGCGGGGGTATCGGCCATTCCCTTGTTGTTCAGCGTTGCTTGAAATTCCGAAGACATGAACCCATCGCCGTCGCCAGGATTGACCAGGCATAGGAAATGAATCCCAAACATACCCACATAGAACGCAATCGGGATGACGATCAGACAGAAGACTCGGGCAAAGAAATGCTTGAACCATTTTCTCGGGGTCACGTTAACGCTGTCGCCAAGTAGAACCCACAACTGGAGGATGGTCAGGCTGCCGACCCAGGCGATGGTGAAGAGGCCGACCCATTTGACACTGGCTGTGGCACCCAGACCCAGACCAGTGGCCGCGAGCCAAAACCACCAACTGGCGTCAAACGCGCGCTCGGGCCCCAACTCATGTTGGTTTGTGAAGCAAGTCCACGCCAGAGCAGTGAAAGCGGTACAAATGACCAAAGGCGAGTCGAGAAGAATTAGCCTTGATTGTGTGATCAATCCATTTTCAAAGATCAAGAGCGCGGAACCGAGACAAGCCGTAACTGTCCGGCATCCGTACGCTTTCAAGGTCAGGAACATCGTGGGAATGGTGAGGACTCCGAGGATAGCAGGTAGGAGGCGCATCGAGACATAAGGGACTTTGGGTTCGAGATAATCCTTTCCGATGTCCTTGAAATCGAAGTCGCCATTGAAACCAGCAAGCCAGCCAGCCAAGGTGATCAGGAGTTTGGCCAAAGGAGGATGGACGTCCATGAAGAATTTGCCCTTGATATACTTGGTAGCAAAGCCACCAAAGCTAAGATTTGCATTAGGACACTGTCCTCGGCGAGGGGGTGGTCAACTTACTGGACCTCGTCGAAGACGACGCTGGTGGGTTGGTAGATCTTGAACAGGCGGACGACGCCAGCCAACAGAGTCAACAACGCCATGATCTGATAGTCTCCCATGGGGAGCAAGAATATATCGTTATCTGTCACACCGTCTGATGCGTAACTCTTCTTTTTGCTCGACTGCGTCCGGATCATGTCACTGCTGACTTCTCTCGAGGCCGGCGCAGGAGAAGCAGCCTTTTGCGAGGCCGCATTCTTCCGTGAGGGAGCGTGGGCCATGATGAGGGAATCAGGCCTGCTGGCTCAGATGCAAATGGCAGCAAATGTGCGGAAAGGCTGAACCGCAGAGGACACGGTTGACGTAGCCTGCGGTCCCCCCTAGATTTGGAGGTAAAGGAGAAGCTTGGATCAACGAGAGACAAGAAGAAAAAGGCCGATCATTAGCAGGTCAAAAGACCATGATGAGAAGGAAGACAAGCACGAAGGGAAAATAGAGCAAAGGGGGTTGAAGGCTGGACTGCAGTGAAGAAGTTCAGGAGTAACAATTGCCAACTTGTTCACTGATGGCTTGTGTCTCCGCAGCTGGCTCGGTGGGCAGCTGTAACTTTTCGTTGGCTCGCGTCCCAGTCTTTACTTAGAACGACGCGCATGTGCAAGGCGCCATCCTCCTTTTCCCGTTGTGCCCTTAAGCGAGCTTTCAACTCCACAGAACCTGCCTTAGCCACAGGCTGCACCAGCCACAGATTCAGATTTCTCCCCAAACTTCGCATTTTGTCGAGAGCAAGTACAAGGTCCAGACCACCCCAGATTTATCTAACCAGCAAACCGTTGGCACACACAAGTGTCTTCGACCCGATACAGAAATATTTCAAGTCTCGCCTGCTACCAACACAACCGTCGCGAACCCTGTCCAGGAGCAACATCAATTGAGCATTTGACACGAGTGCAGCCGGCCTGGGTTTGTCCCAGGCAGCCAGCGGAGAGCAGCAGACATGGCACAGAATGGTGCAGTTCCCGAACTTCCAGAATCTGTCTCGAAACCTCCCGAAGGCATCGTCCTGCCGCCCAAGGACATAAGAGCCATTATCGAGAAGACGGCCGGTTACGTGGCGCGCAACGGACCTGTCTTCGAAGACCGCATCCGCGACAAGGAACAAGCGAATCCGAAATTCTCCTTCCTCTCCCCTCACGATGCTTACGCTCCCTTCTACCAGTGGCGACTGTCTGAAGTGCGATCGGGGCGAGGCACGGCCGTTTCCGCTGGAAGAGCAGGCGATGCGACACCGGTGCCAGAAAAACCAAAGGGGCCAGAGCCGCCTCCAGAGTTTCAATTCAGTGCGCGCATGCCCAATATCAGCGCGCTGGACTTGGAGGTTGTCAAATTGACAGCGCTTCACGTTGCTCGCAAGGGTAAGAGTTGGATGACTACCCTGTCACAACGAGAAGCCCGAAACTACCAGTTTGACTTCCTCCGCCCGCAGCACTCGCTGTACAATTTCTTTCAACGACTAGTCGATCAATACACAGCCCTCCTTCAGACAGGGCCGGAAGGTCAAAAGGCAGAGCAAGCCCGCATCCAAGTCCTCCAAGCCAACATTCAGGACCGATTCCGAGTTCTCAGCCTGGCAAAGAAACGGTCGGAATACATCAAATGGCAAGAGACGCAAAAACAGAAGAAAGAAGAGGCCGAAGAGGCCGAACGAATAGCCTATGCCCAAATAGATTGGCACGACTTCGTCGTCGTCGAAACAGTCCTGTTCACCGAGGCGGACGAGCAGGCCGATCTTCCCCCTCCGACTACACTGAATGACCTTCAGAGTGCAAGTCTCGAGCAGAAAGCGATGATGAGTCTTGCCAGACCAGATATGCGCATCGAAGAGGCAATGCCTACGGACGACATGAGCAGCTATGCGTACAACGACAACCAGTTTGGAGGATACCCTCAAGCCAACGGGTGGGAAGCCCCTGCTTCAGTGCCGCCAGCAATGCCATCATATACTCCTTCCCCTGTGCCGCAACAACCTTCGCCAGCCATGCCTCAAATCCCGACACCGATACCATCCTACTCACCCGCCGTGCCTCTCGTGCCCTCTCCACAACCCCCGTCGATGCCACCACAGCAACCACCCCCTTCGACCGCTTCTCCTGCTCCCGTACCGGGCCAACCTCCAATGCGTATAAAACAAGACTACATCCCCCGCGCGCAACAGCGCGCAGCCACTGCTCGGGCGGCCACGGCTCTGTGCCCCAATTGCGGCCAGCAAATCCCCATCGCCGAGCTCGAGGCGCATTTGCGAATCGAGTTGCTAGACCCGAGATGGAAAGAGCAACAGTCCAAAGCTGCGTCACGGTTTTCAACCACGAATCTGGGCGGTACGGACGTTGCGGCGAATCTGAAGAGACTGAGGGCGAGGACGGATGGAGCCACTAACGACCCAGTCGCGGAGGCAGCAGCTAGGGTGCTGGGCGAGGAAGAGGAAGAGGAAAGGAGGAAGAGGTTGAAGCTCGAGGGCCAGCCCGGGGCGCCAGCGTATCCCGCTGTAGGGGCACAGGGTCAAGGTGGACAGCCCACCATGGATCTGCAGGAGCAAATACGGCAGATCCACAACAAGTACAAGTCGTGATGATGTGGGAAAATGTACATTAATACCTCCCCCGGCGTCTTCTGGGGAAGAGTTGCCGCGCGGGGAACAAACGCGGAAGAGGCGGTGCTTCTTCAAACATGATATCAGTCAGCCTGACGAGTCACTCAAGACTGCGTCGAGAGAAAATTTCGAGAAATAATCTGCCAGACCCACGTTATTCCCCGTCAATTCTCCAGTCTCAGCCCAGGATTAATGAAGAGGACGTCTCACTGACGATTCTCAATTCCGTTTGCTCCGTGGCGAGTGATGCATGACCTCCAGGAACTGGATGGCAGAGAGGCTGAACGATATGGTTAAGATTCAATGATGCATCCTTCCTTCCCTCCCCGGGGGTGACTTGTGTTCCTCTGTGTGGTGCTGCTGACTGGGGACACGCCGCTCTGCGTACTATGGTCGCTGTGGAAGCTATCCGAGGCCGACGAATGAAGATCAACAATAAACTGAACGCCTAGACGTGCTGAAGGGGCGAAATGGCTCTCGTTTCGTTGAGAGAGATGGGCTAATAACAAAACATTAAAGATATATTTCGTACCCATCGTGTATCTGGCAAATCATTACCCTTCCGAACCCGCACCGTTCCATCCTCGTGAGATATTGCTTGTTACATACTCTTGGATTCAGTCATTCAAAAGCAGATAGTGTACAGAGTACTCCTCGAGATCCGCGGCAAGGAAAGCCAGGATAACATCAGCCACAACTTTTGAACCAAGCCGCTTGAACGCGATGACCACAACAAAGACCCGGGTATCTCGTCCCAGACAATCTTTCGTGCAGACCAAAAATCGAAGTCCTCCAAGACTTGCAGAGAGATGAGCGAATGAAACAAGCGAGTCTCTCCCGTGAAACAATCAGATGGCAGATTGGTTCGGAATAGTAGTCCTGTCGTGAACTGTGGCATTGCCATTTGTGGCATTTGTATTATTGCCTAGAGTAGTGTTTGTTGTTCCAGAGCCTACCCGGACTGCTTGTAGAGAACTGGATCTCTCTTCCTTGGAAGTCCTTGACGTGCGGGACAAAGCGCGGTCAGGGATGACAGCGGTTGGACTGACGACAGGACGGGTCAGGTCTTCTTCTGGGTTGTAAGCAGAAGCCTCGAGGTCGTCGAAGTCTTGCCCAGGATTTGCAGTTTGGTATTCGCAACTCTTGATGAACCAAAAGAACCCGGCCGCAAGGAGCGAACCGAGCAGAGGGCCCACCCAATAGATCCAATGTTCACTTGGGAACGAGTGGTTGGCGACGCAAGGGCCGAAGCTTCGAGCAGGGTTCAGAGATCCGCCGGTGTAGTACACGCCTATGTGCTCTGTTAGTGGTGGGAGGTTGTGCAGAATGGACCTGGCTTACCAGCCAACTCAGCAATGAAAAGAGACAAGCCGATTCCCACTGGGGCGAGGAATGTTCCTTTATGTTTTTCAGCCTGTGGAGAAACTGTCAGTAAGCAATATACAATTGCCTTTTCGAATACTCACAGCTAGCATGAAGATGGTGAAAACCAGTTGGGCGGTGAGGAACTATACATATGTCAATAAGACTCCCCAGATCCATTGTGCCGACAAACTGACCATCTCAATGAAGAGTCCTTGCGCCTTGTTTGTTCCCCCACTAAGAGAAGTTGTTACAGCCAGCGGTCCCGGGAAAAGTGCTTTTACCACGCCAGCGGACGCTATCGCTCCCAGCATCTGTGCAATGAAGACAAGGGCACCTCGAATAAAAGGTACTGCGCCAATAAGGCAGAGACCGAGGGTGACCTGCGATGCTGTCAGTCCATCATCCACATCTTTTTGCTCCGCTTCTCGTACGGCAGGATTGAAGAGACCACCGGAAATTCTGAAGAAAATCCAAGCATTGACCGCAAGGGAAAACCCGAAGCACAAGCTGATGTAGAGGAGTTGAACAGGGTTTGGTCCTTGAGGGAGGTCTGTGCTCGTATTGCCAGTGACTGTTTGTGGAGTGTTGGCCACCTGCGTGCCGGCAAAAGCGAAGAAGCTGGAGGGTTGTCAGTTTCCCAACCCATAATGACAGGGAGATGGTGCTCACAGAAAGAGAAAAGTGCCAACAAATTCGCCGGCCATGGCAATGAAATGGTTTCGAGGCTTGTTTGGGATCCTCATGAAAAAGGAGCTCGGTTGCGGGCCCTTCATTTTCTCGTCTTCCCCAGAGGCTGTCGCTCCAGTCCTTGATTTTCCTTTCCGATGGCCAAAGATACCCGGAAGAAATCCGGACTTGGGCCTGATGTTATCCATCTTTGCAGTGGACTGTTGGGTTTTTCACGTGCAGCTGGCAGCAAGTGAAGAGGGAAGGTACAGGCTGTTGTACAAGGAAGGAGGCGCCCGAACACGAGGCTGAGGTAGGTCGCCAGACCACAGAAGTCGCGTCAGATCTCGAGCACTCGATAGGCACAATGGTTTGGCACCGAAATCCCGCGAGGAGGAGGAGGAGGAGGAGGAGGAGGAGGAGGAGGAGGAGGAGGAGGAGGAGGAGGAGAACAACGACAAAACACAAAACAACCAAGCATGCAAGGAGAGGTTTGCAGGTGAAGAAGAGAAGGGTCACCGCTCAGGATGGAGGAGATAAGGGTCAGTTGATCTACCATGAGTCGAAAAGTCACGGTGGTCTCCCAGCCGCACACGAAGGCTGTGAGACAGCCATAGGGCTCTTGGAAACGGCACAGACGCCATCCAAAGTAAAAAGTGGTGGGAAGTTGATATGGCGATCGACGTTCAATAGGCGAATGGTCGATGTAGGGACATGGATGGACATCGTATGTGAAGATGTGGCATCGGCGTTGGCATCGCCATGACGAAAGAGGCACCACTAGAATCCTCCAATTGGGCATGGCGCCTGTTCAGCGCAGCCTTGGGCGGGGGTTAATGGGCCAATCGCCCCTAAACAGCCAAAGCTAAGCTGAAATGAGGCCAAAGAGGGGGGCGCTGGGGGGTTTATCACACGGAAATGGGGGCCACTTAGGGGGCCGTCTAGGGGCCCGCTAACCGACACCCGCAGCCTAATGATCCCATCAACTGCCCATACCAAGCACAGACTTCAGCGCCCAAGAGGACCGGTCAAAAAGATCTCGAAAGCAAGATTGACGGGTCTGGAACACCCTTCCAGACACCGAGTACCGACGACAGGAAAGGGAGAATTGCATGTTTGGCTGTCGTGCTTCCAAGCCCTCAAACTCGAATACTCCGTAGCCCGAACAGAACATAGATCTCTCATACGGGATACGGTAGCGGGTCACAATATCCAAAATGTCATCATGACTTGTTAATATCCACCTACTTGTAGGCTCTAGAAGAAAAAGATGGCACAGTCTGACAGAGACTAGACGCCATCTCGGAATCTAACCAGTCACTCAATAGCGACGAGGTGGCCGCCAGATCAAATAGCTTATGTTGTTAGTAAGGGTAAGGATACCATTATGCCCAAGGACAGAATAAATGCCCTTTTCAATGATGGGTACCTTTCAGTCAATAGTGAACCACTTCTCTGTATACTTCTCGTCAGACTGTGCCACTTACTTTTGACATTCAGCTCGCCACCACCACCTCCTCCTCCTCCACCGCATCCAGCTGCGCACCCGTGCGACGCGCAATCCTCCACTTAGGAGAAATTTGGCCACGTGACCTGCCCTTGTTGGCAATCCCGCACTCAGTTTCCCGCCCATCCAGTGGCAGTGGCCGTGGCCAGGGTCTACCAAGTATCCTTCCCAGTATCAGGCTACAACCGGTACATTTAATCATTGAGGACAACATCTTTTCCTCACGACGCGAGCACCACTCCACCTTCGTTTGAGCATCCGTCGGAGTTCGACTGTCTGTTGCACTGTGTCGTCTTTCCGCGACTGCAGCCAGTTTCAACCGCATGGAGGATTGTTCCCGTCTCTCCCTGATTTGTGGCAATTGCCAGTCATATTAGCCAAACATGCGTCCCCTCCGCTTCTTACTGTTACTCCTCTTCTTCGTCGCTGTACCTGTAGCACTGACCATTTCGTCATTGCTGGCCATCAACGCTGGCGACACCTTTCAGCCCGGCTTCAACACCAAATCTGGCCGCCTAAGGGCTTTCTTCTCCTTCTCGACGCCCTCCTCCCTATTTCCGCCCTCTGCGGTTATCAGCCTAACCAACGACAACTCGACCTTCTTCCTAGCTAGGCCCGCTGCTTTCGGTCCCACCCTTCCATCCAAGGGTCTGAGTGGTCAATTGTGGGTGGGAAAAGGTTTCGGAGACGATGCTCTGCTGAAAGAGGAGAATATCGAAGTGGCAGGATGGGAACTGGGTTGCTCCGATGTGCCAGGCTGGGCTGAAGAGAAGGCTAAGAGCATCAAGAATCTTCCCGCGGTCGGCCAAAGTCAGGCAAAGACCAAGGTACCGCGAAGTATAGACAACGATGGATCAGGCCGTGACGATCCCGAATCTCATTCCGATGACAATCTCCTTCAAGACGACGGCACCGACGACTATTTACACCATCCTCTACCTGATTCGAACCCTGCAACCTCCGGTGAACCGGGCGAGCCTGCCAATGCTGATCTCTCAGACAAGAAGCAGGCCACCCATGCCGACATCGAATCACTGCAAGAGAGTGCCGATATTGCTGGCAAGATTGTCATGCTGAGCCGTGGCGGCTGCGGGTTCTTGGAGAAAGTCAAATGGGCTCAACGTCGTGGGGGAATTGCCCTGATTGTCGGCGACAATGAGAAGGGGGCGCAGTTGACAATCATGTACGCGAAGGGTGATACATCGAATATAACAATCCCTGCATTGTTCACTTCATACACGTCAGCGCACCTCTTGTCTTCGCTGGTACCTCAAGAAGATGGCGACGAAGAAGATGCCGGCTCCAAGGCACATGACAAGGCGACGACAGTTAATTCTGGTACGGACCAGAAGCAGCACGCGAACCAACCCATCTTTACGTCCACCAAACCCGGACCTACGAGACCGACATCTCTATCGGCAGCTGGGTCTGAGGAGGCACAGGATGAGAGCTGGGTGAAGAACGTTTTGTCGGTAGTGGGACTGGGAGACAACTCTCCATTCTCTCATGCCGAGGACAGCCGCCGTCCGCCCAGCAGTGGCAATATCGATTGGGTCCTCCTGGAAGATTGGAAGGAGGAGGCTCGCCCAGATCTGAAGGATAGCAAGAACACATTGACTAGTGTCGCCTCGGTGGCCACCTCCACGCTCAAGGCAAAGTCAACGAGTTCCAAACGGATTGGAGGGGACGACTTTGTGATAGGAGTCCAAGACTGGCGAGATACTGATCTCGTAGCACCGAAATCCACCACCACCTCACAAAATCCTCCTGAGGAGGCTGGCAAGGCCCTGCCCACGGACACAGTGAGCTCCCCAAAAGCTTCCAGCAGTCCAGATGCAACTCTGAAAGGCGGTAGCATCACTCCCGGCAGTGGAGAATACGATCATGAAAAGTCAGAGCATCTGAATCGTTTCCAGCGAGGCAATGTACCGTCGAATCGGGCACCTAGCGGTTCTGACACTCGTCAGGGTCAAGAAAAGGGTTCTTGGTTTCAAATTTTCCGCTCTGGACAGGGAATGAAAGAAGCCTTGCAGGAGAACGTACTTCTGAATGAAAAGGACAACCAGGGAAAAGAAAAGAGCTCGAAATCACCTTGCCCGGACGATGAGCATGATCATCCTGGTCTATGGGTAACCCTCACGCCCACAAGTGTTTCTGCCAGTCCATTCATCGACACACTTCTGGTCCTAGTTGTCAGCCCACTGGTCACATTGACAGTGGTCTACGCTCTTCTGCTTCTCCGCTCACGGATTCGACGTCGAAGATGGCGTGCACCAAAATCCCTGGTCGACCGACTACCGGTTCGCACTTATCATACCATGAGCACGGCATCGTCCACTACTTCTTCACGGGTGGAATCTCCGGATGCAGCCTCACCCACTTCGCCACTGCTCATCTCCGTGAGCCACAATGTGTCCCAGCGACCTCGTCCGCGCTCACAGACCACCACAGGCATCTTTTCTGGTGGAAGCGTAGAGAGCCAACTTTCGCATTCCCGAAGCCCGCACACAGAAAAGCACACTTCCAAGCCGGCGAAACGGAAACGCTATACGGGTCGACAGGTCGAATGTGTGGTGTGTCTTGAAGAGTACGTCGACGGCGAAAGTCAAGTCATGTCCCTACCATGTGGTCATGAATTTCACGTCGATTGTATCACGCCTTGGCTTGTTACCAGGAGAAGGACTTGTCCGATATGCAAGGGAGATGTTGTGAGGAGTATGGCGAGACAGGGAATGCAGCGATATGACGAGGAGGACGAGGATGATGATATTGGCGATAGTCTTGAATTCGGCCGGAGGGAAGGTGAAAGGACCAGTGACGACTTCCAAAACCGTGTGGCTCAGACTGTAAACCAGGAGCCCAGTGCAGCGATTCCGATCCCTTCCTTGAGTAGGGAAGACGAGGATGTCGAACGAGGGCAGGACCCAGATGTACCGTTCTTGGGGGGTTCAGACTCAGTGAGCTCGGAATCAACCATTACGCCGCAGAGACTGCGCCAAGATCATGGAAGAGGCACGGAGAGACGCCGGGACCGAGAAGGACAATCCATGTGGAGGAATATGGTCTCTGCAAGCGTTGGTCGACTCAGTGGAGATACACTCTGGAGACAGACGCCCGTAGACCGAAGTCGGTGAGCTGGTTCTCGGTCGCCTGGTGGCGGTCTGCCTTGACAGGATATGTACGGGGCATTGTTCCAAGAAGGGCGTATGAAGTTTCTCTCGTGTCTCTACAACTCAATAATTCGCGAAGGGTGGACACGGCTCGCATCGGGACACGAACACTGCAATCATGATACCAGATTCGACATCGTGTCCTCAGCCCAGTGGTGTGAGCCTGAGCTTGGGTACGGGGCCCGTGGGGTGTCACTTTTATATTCATTATCGCAAAGGGGACCATGACAACGGCTGGAGTCGAGGACTGTAACGAACACGGTGCAACAGGAGCGTCTGTAGCTGTATTTTTCTTATCCTGCAGGAGAGAATACTGCAATACTAGTTCTTTCTACGAAGCCAACACTACAAATCGAGGTTGCAATCCTCACAACAATCGTGGAGAGGACCCGGAGAAGCGAGCTGACTCAATGGTTTCATTTCACGGGGTATATTTTTGAAAGCTGTAGTAGTAGTACATTGCATTTAGAACCGCACGACAGATGCAACAAACGTAGAGTTGATCGGGATATCCTCCTGTTGTACGGCGCCTCTACATTTTGTCCATGTCCTTTATTATAGAAGCCACGTTCCCAATCTAGTGCCGGCCACTCATTCCCCCCCCCCTCCCAGCTCGAGACCTGGCGACACGGGGGTTGGGGGGGGGGGGGGAGACAAATCACACCTGGGGTTTGGTCGGGCTGTGTTGTGACAAGGGGGGATTTGGAACACATGCAATGCGTATGTCATCTCACTTTCGGGAATGGCGTCCAATTCCCGGTACCGCTGGACTTCTTGGTCGCCCTCAAATCCTGCGAAGATGCCTTCTTCTTGACATTCAGCGGGGCCGGCTCCGCAGCGCCGCTGGGATGCTCGTCGTCGACGAGATAATGCCGCGTCACTGCGCCCATCCCGCTCAGATCTGGCTTGTACGGCTGCAGGTTGCTGGGCATGACCCACCCCTCGGGCGCTGGGATCTCGACTTTCGTCCCCGTTTCGGCGTCGACCAGGAAGTGTCGGGCGGGGAGGATTTCGACGGCTTTGATGGGTTGGGTGTAGGTGTAGTAGTGGTGCACGTGGATTTCGCGGGTGATTTCTTCTTGCACGATCTCCTTTGTGTCCTGTTTGACGACCTCGTGTGTCACCGCCGGTCGAATAACCTCTTCAACTTCGGTGTGCTCGCTTTTCCCCGGCTTGAATCCGGGCGGCAGAATCGCGTGCTCGTTCTTCTCTGTCGTGGAGTTGGGGATGGGAGAGGTCGCGGGTTGCGCCGTGTCGGGAGTTGGTACATGGGCGAAATATGAGCTTGGAATGTGGTAGAGGGGATTCAGCGGAGAAGGGTCGTTCGGAGCCAGCGGTTGATGGCGTGCCGTCCTGATAGGATTGGGACGGCCAGGAGAGCCACCTGAAGATGACTTTTCGCTGTCAGAGTCGGCCTTTGGGCTCTGTTCTGCTGGTGAAGATTTGGGTCTTAGGGAGAGAGCCGCATGGGTTGTCGAGGGAGGAGACTTTGGCTCGTCAGAGGGGCCTTTCTTCGATTTGGGACGATCAATAGTCCCAAGAGATTTCTTTCGGAGAGAAGAAGTTCGCTGAGGGACAGCATGGTCCGGCAATTGGGGCAAGGCTGTCATGTCTTTTGGATCCAGCGATGGTCTTCGGGGGTGGGGGGCAGTTTGCGACATTGCAGAAGCGCTGGCCGACTTCTTCAACATGTGCTGTGAGGGGCGCTTTTGCAGACGGCTTCTTGAGCGAGTAGGACGGGCAGCATGCGCAGGATCATGGCTGTGATTGAGGGCAGGATTAGCTGTAGCAGGCCGTGGGACGGCCTCCTGCCATTGGCGAGGAGCGCTGTGGTAGCTATGGCTGAGATTGCGACTGTGGTTGGGATTCTGGCTGCGATGTCTTTGTTTGCCAGTCGTGGTGGAAGTGGTGGTGGTGGTGGTGGTGGTGTTGCTTGTATGCATGACGTAGGGGAAGCATTTCGGGTCGCAGTCTGCGGGAATCGTTCGCCGTTGACTCGTTGCCGCCATCATGGTCATGATACTTTTCGTCCTCGCTGCACGAGACAAGGAAAAGTGGCGCTCTTGCTTTGGCCTATCGAGTACAGTTGCAGGTCTACCAAAAGAGAGGGACAAGAGGCAGGTCGAACTGGAGAGGTGCGAACAGCAACGGCGAACCCAGAACACCTACCTGTCGCCAGCCAGGCTCCCAGCTCCCTTTTTCCCACGCTACTCACCTCCTGTTTGAGTCTTGGGTGAACTACCTGTTCAACCCATCGACGGATCCCTCAAGCGACAGCAAAACAACTTTTTTGCGTGGCTAGGCCTGAATTGCTCGACCGGTCCACCTCGTCTACAAGCACGGTATTGAAGACCTTACCCAAGATGGCGCAAAGGAACAACGGTCGTCAAGGAAGACCCATGGAGCGGTGGTCGACTTCGTGTGAATCAAAATCCACAGCCCCTGCAATACATGCTCAGCGATTGGGCGACGACTCGTGGCAACCTTGGCTCAGGCTCGACCGGGCACAATAGACTGACCCCAACCCACGCGGGAGCGCACAGGGGCCTCGAGGTGGCTTTAGGGCTCTAGGGGAAGACGTGGTAGGACCCTTAGGCACATGTTAGGCCGGTAAGACAGTGCCAGAGTGGAATCGGTGGCGCCTGCTTGTAGGGGAGCAAGGATTGAGCCGGCAGATCAGAGAACGCCCCCCTCAACAAAGTGAACAGGGGTCAAATGAGGTCAGGAGAGGCTTTCCGCCTGTGGCTTGAAGCCCAAACGTCAGATTGCCAACGGCTTGGGGGCCAACGAAGCCTCGGGTTGGGACTCACGAGCCACATCCTCGACGTGCCACAGGCCAGCATGACGCAGACAATAGCTGTTATTCTCCACGCCCGACCCGTCCATGACGGAATTTCAAATATACTCAGCACTCCGTGTGAAGAATATGGTCCAAGCACTCGGGCCAGGACAAAGGTCTCCCCCGCCTTCTGTCCTCACAGCAATCGTCACAGAATGGAGGTTGCTGAGACGATGGAAATGGATGCCTTCCACGGAGATGGACAGAATGGGACCGAATTGCAGACGAAATCTCTGGTCGGGAAGATCAGAACTCCGCTAAGGCTTGTTCAGGACATCTGGATCAGTCTGAGTGCGTTCAGCATCAGATCGACATGCAAAAAGGGACTCTGATTGCCGAGATCAGATACCAATCTGTTGCACTATCACGATATTCGGCGAAAAGGTCGATCTCCTCTGACCTCACCTCACTCGGTTGGCCCAAGCTTAGCCTTCTCCAGATGATATCACGTCCTTTCTAAGGTTTGAGATTATCTCATATGATACCCCCAGCGAGTCTATGATGTATATAACCTAGCACTTTTCAAGGATCCTAAACCCCCCCAAACGATTCATCTGAATTAGAACACCTCGACACGAGTTCAATTACTGCCCGAATAGCAAGCCTAACCTGGATACAATGGATGCAGCAAAAGCAGCCGTCCAGAAAATCACCGGCAACCGGGGCCACCACACCACGGTGGAAGAAACGGTCAACCCAGCAGTCACCCATGAGAGTGTCAAACCTCACCGCCATGAAGAACATACTCAGGCCGTTGACCGCGAAGTGCATCAACATCACTACCACACGACGGTGCAGCCCCTCAGCCACACCGAAAAGCTCCCAGAGAAGCATCACCACAACGTCTTGCCTGTAGAGCACCGGGAGTTCCACCACGACGACGAAGCAGACACCAAGGAGAGGATCACCACAGAACTAGGTCGTTTTAAGGACCATTCGACAACGCACGAGACTCACCACACCCAAGCGGCTGCACCCACCGTCACTGGAGAGCATGTCCATCACCACGTCCACGAAACTGTGGTGCCGGTGATTCACAAAGAGACGATCCAGCCGGAGGTTGTGCACACCACCGTGCCCATTCACGAGTTAGTTTCGCCTGCCATATCTGTCTAGCATCGACTAACCTTTGCAGAACACACCACGCCGCAGCTCAGCACCACGGACTTTCAGCATTACCCATGAAGACTCTTGATGAATTTAAAAAGGCTGGTGGCGCCCTGACTGGTGGGAGCCACGCCGCGCATGAAGAATATGAGGGTGCACCCCGACCATACAATGACAAACTTTCCACGACGTTTGAGAAGCTGGAGGAGAAGTTCCACGGCACCTCGTCCAGCCCTACCACCAACAAGACCCACCGGCCTACCGACTCTGGTGTCGGTGGCGTGGGCAATGACCACGTTAATGGTGGCTCAGTGGGAAGAGAACACCACAACATAGCTGGAAATGGAATTGATGTTGCCAATCGACACACCGACGGCCCTGGACATACCACCACGGAAGGGACTAAACCCAGCATGGGCGACCGCGTGAACCCTCGCACAGACGCTGACCGAGATGGAAAAGCTGGTGTGATGGACTAGGGTCAGACATGTGGGCATGACAGCGTGGAGTTAATTGTCTTTGGCGGGCAGTGTCATGGGAAATACAACTTCATACGAGGTACAGCAACGAGAAACATCATGCATCGACGAACAAAAGCACATCATACCTGCTCAGTGGCATCTGCTAGCTACTGTCAACTGCAAATATGTATATCCCATATAACTTTGAAACAGACATGAAGATTTATGCTCATGGGCATTGGAATCTGTCCATCAGGCTTAGAAATTGCGTCTTCCATCCACTCCATCCACTCCATCCACTCCATCTCCTATCGTTCTGTAGGATTAGGAATTTCTCTCCTCACAGTAGCCTCGGCTAAGCGATGCTCGTCCCTCATTAGTTCAGTCTCTCTGCCCAGGCCGACTAGGACGCTCCGAGTCTACATACAACCCAACTTTCTTCGACCCGATGCGGGGGTGCGACAACCACCTTCGATTGGCCTCGTGTTCGCGTTTAGGGACGAAGTCCTTATGTGATGCCGAATACGCTCTCGGAGAACGAACCGTCACTGTGGAGATTGGATTGGACGCGGCGGCTGAGGCCCGACGGCGATCCATCGTTCTTCGCTGAAAGACTTAATAATACGGATCCATTGAGTCCCCGAATCCATCGTCTGCGGAACATTAATAAATATATATCTCCGTCTCGTCGTGGAGATACAAGGTGTTGCGCGATCTAAAAGTATTTCTTTGCTGCCACGGCCACCATGTCCAACGAGGTCATTCTATACGATCTCCCTTCCAAGGGAGGCTTCTGCTGGAGTTTGAATCCGTGGAAAAGTATGTCCTCCTCTCCCCAATATTTCCGGGTAACATGATCGCTCGAGAAGGAATTCGGGCGATGCGATGCGAGATTGCGACGTTGCTCTTCTGACCACGAAGCCAGCACGCCTGGTGCTCAACTACAAGGGCATCCCGTACAAGACGGAGTGGGTCGAGTATCCGGACCTGAAGCCGACGTTTACAAAGTTGTAAGTCCCTCCGCCTCTGGTCGTGGACTGGGGGAGTTGCTGCGAGCACCACGACACGAAAGGGAGCGGAAACCAACTCAACTCACTCACGTCCTTTCTTGATCCAGTGGCCTCCCCCCCAACAGCAGCGGGCCGTATGAATACACCTCGCCGGCCATCCGCCTCCCGTCGGGCGAATACCTGATGGAGTCGCGGGCCATCGTCGACAAGCTGGAGCAGCTGCACCCGTCGCCGCCGCTGTCTCTGGACTCGCCGTACCTCGCGCGCGCCGAACAGCTGGTCCCCAAACTCGCCAACGCGGTCCGCCCCATCTTCATGCCGCTGGTGCCCAAGACGTTCCTGAACCCGCCGTCGCGCGACTACTTCGTCGCGTCCCGGGAGAAGGCGCTGGGCATGCCGCTCGACGCGTACGCGGCCGCCAACACGGCCCAGGCGTGGGAGGACGCGAAGCCCGTCGTCAAGGAGGCGGGCGCCGTCTACGCCGAGAACCCCGACGGGCCGTTTCTCCTGGGGAAGCAGGTCTCGTACGCCGACTTCATGGTCCTGGGCTTCCTGCGCATGATGGACCGGTTGGGCATCAAGGACCGCTTCTTCGCCATGGAGGGCGGGGAGAAGTTGAAGGAGCTTTACGAGGCCGGGGCGAAGTGGTTGGAGAGAGATAGCTACTAAACGAGCATAGCGCCCAGGGTTGGGGCGGGCGGGCGCCGCCATGTATTTAAATTAGATCTCGAGGAAATGCTGGCCTCGTTTTCATCCCATTTGAGATCTGCCGCCCCGTTCACAAGAGAGAGAGGTGGTATACTATATTATCATCTCGATGATTGACGCTTTTCCACCCAATGGTAGCTGGATTCTTCTGACCCGGGGGGTTTGATACCAACCGATACACCCATCTCGTTGTAATGCTTCAGGAGCAAGGCAGAATGTGCGACTACCCTGTGATATGACGAATAATCACCTAAATAGGTAGGTGGTGTCCTCTCATACATCATCACTCCATATGTGTAGAGGAGACAAGCAACGCCGTGGCGGCCGCATTCGCCGCATGGCAAGACCCACGAGGCTGGTTCGAGGGGCGGCTTAGCAAGCACGTCGAATGTGATTGATGGGAAAAGACCATTTGTACCTCCTGGGGAGACATGGAAGCGGTAACTGCCAGGGAGCAGCATTCCACAGTAGTCTAGACCCAAGACAGTCGGACTCGCAAGGCAGAGCAGATACTATAGATGCCGCAAAGAACCATCAAAGCTTAGTAATTGTACGTGTCTGTAGATGCCCTGTTGTCGGCATCATTGCCAAATCAACTTAGTTTGCATCTGCTCTAGGCAGTGTCCATCCCCTTGGTGTCTCTGCACGGGTGGGTTTCACCGACTCGACCCCCTGACTGACGCTGCTCTCACGTCAATGGAGCATGAAAGCCGCTCTAAAGCTGGATCACCACCTTACCAAAGTTCTTCTGCTGCCACTGGTATTCGTAAGCCTCCGGCGCATCCTTGAACCCAAATGTCTTCTCGTCCACCACCGGGTGAATGTTGTTCGCATCGATGCATCGGTTCATCTCGATCAGTTGGGCTTTTGACCCGATCAAGATCCCACGGATGATGCAGCCCGCTCCCAAAGCCGCCAGCGTGTTGGGCTCGTCCTCCGCTTTAACGCCACCCAGAAAACCGATCACGGAAATCACGCCTTCGAATTTGATTGCTGGAGACAGATGTCAGAACGACGCCGGCATATCACAAGCAGAGAAACGGTTACGGACCTTTTAGCGACTGAGCCATTGTGCCAGGCCCGCCAACCTCAATGACATGATCCACGCCTGCTTTGCCAGGAGAAAGCCTCTTTGCGGTCTCCCCCCAGTTCGGATCCTTCTTGTAGTTGATGACAATGTCGGCTCCCAGCTTTTCCAAGCGCTTGGCCTTCTCATCGGATGAGGTTGTGGCAATGACAGTGGCGCCGGCGGCTTTGGCGAACTGAACGGCGGCGAGCGAGACGCCGCCTGTTCCTTGAGTGAGAACCACCTCTCCAGGTTTCAAGGCTTTGGATTGAAGACCGAACAGAGCGTTCCAAGAAGTGAGGGGGGCACAAGTCAAAGTCCCCGCCTCAGTTGGAGTAAGATTTGATGGGGCGTGAACGAGGCCCGATGCAGGGAAGACTGCATACTTGCGCAGACAGCCATGGACAGTGCCACCCAATGTCGTGTTCATCATCTCGGCGGTAACGGGTCCGTATTGGTGTGCTTGGGTGAACTGTGTGACCACCTTGTCGCCTTCTTCGAATTGGGTGACCTTGGAACCTACGGCGAGAACCTTTCCCGCACCATCCGAGGCAGCGACGCAGGGGAGGTTCAGCGGCAGTGGATACTGGCCCTGTACATTTTGTCTCAATTTTGGGATCCTGTGGTTGAAGCAGTACTCTTTACCTTGGGGATAACAAGGTCTCTATAGTTCAGAGACACTGCCTGGATTTGAACCAAGCAGTCGTTCTCGCCGAGCTCTGGGACGGGGAAGTCTTCGACAAGCTTGATATTGCCCCATCCTGGCGTCGCCGAGTCCGTGGATTCAATGACCCAGGCAGGAGTGGTCTTGGGAAGAGACATGTTGGATGTTGTGGTTCGGCGCAAGTATTCACGGAATAATTTGAGAGATGGAAATATCGCCTGGAGTAGATTCAAGCTCGAAATTGAGGGTGAAGAAGACTACCCGGAAGGCTACATGCACACCTTGGATTTATAAAAATGAAGTCACGCAACAGTTGTGCATACCTTTATATGCTCCACTTGCGTATAAAACCCCCAACGAACGAAGACGGCAGCTTATCTCCGGACGGAAGGGTGTGAATGGCTGGATATGCGGCAGAGAAGCGTTCGACCTAAGTCGCTTCAGGTCTGCTCATTGCTCAAACGGTGGGGTTAAATGGTCTGTTGGTCTGTCTGCCGAATTCCAAGCGTCACGGTAATATTGACGTTTTCGCGCCTGACGCAACGCATATTCAAACATATGGGGCCCAAAGCCTGTGGATGACAAACTCGTGTCATGAATTGGAGCCCCTTGGGCGGTCTGCCCGTAGATCGTTCTCCGGGCCTCAAAATCCGCAAGCACCAATCACTCGATGGAAGCTCCATGCTCCCAGAACAGGCACAGCGTCTCGGCGTTCTCGCCAGTGGAGTTACTGAATACCTGAAAAAGGGATTCAGAATTTATCAGCAGACGAAAGAAGCTTGTCTAAACTCCATGATTTATAAGGAGTGGCAATGTTGCTGGCGGTGGTAGTGGTGAGGTGGTGGTGTTTTTTCTAGTCGTGGTGAAGGAGCTGATCCGGCTGGTTATTTCACGTCAAGCGCAGTTAGTACGGTGAGACATTCCACACAAGGCGCTCCTTCCCTTTTCGGATTTTAGGGCAACGCACGAAAATCTTGGCGAATTCCCAGAAAATGCGGATTGAGGGCCCCGATCACTGTCGACACTCTCGCAAGGCTTTCAACCACCAACCTTCAATTCCCTGGGACAACTACAGATTGCGAATCACTGGACAATCCTCAAGTCGCAATCATGTCTCAACCTGCCCTCAACAAGATTGCCCACAATAGCCCTTCGAGGCAACATCCTTCTGAGCTGGAAACCAGCATCGCAACCGCTCTCTATGAACTCGAAACCAACATCCCCGATCTCAAGGTCGCCTTGAGACCGCTCCAATTTGTGTCTGCTCGCGAGGTATGAATGCCCAGTACATCAAGCAGCTCTCAACCTGCTGCAACGTCCTAGAAAAAAAGGTGGCCACAAAACCGCTAACATGATTTTTGATCCTCCAGCTCGAAGTCGGCCACGGCAAGCGCGCCGTCGTCATCTTCGTGCCCGTGCCCCTGCTTCCAGGCTTCCACAAGGTCCAACAACGCCTGACCCGCGAACTCGAGAAGAAATTCTCCGACCGTCACGTCTTGATCCTTGCCTCGCGCCGCATCCTTCCCCGTCCCAAGCGCTCCAACCGCTCCCGCACCAGCCAGACCCAGAAGCGTCCGCGAAGCCGTACTCTGACTGCTGTCCACGATGCCATTCTTGCTGATGTGGTCTATCCCGTTGAGATTGTGGGCAAGAGATTGAGGACCAAGGAGGACGGAAGCAAGGTGTTGAAGGTCGTTCTGGATGAGAAGGAGCGGGGCGGTGTGGATTACAGACTCGACACTTACTCCGAGGTGTACCGAAAGTTGACTGGACGAGTCTGCGGCTTCGAATTCCCCATGAGCAGCTCCACCGACTTCTAGATGACAAGCGGGACGACAAGATGAGCAGAATGCATAAGGACAGGCTGGGTGGGGTGGCTAAGATGCAGGAGAGACCGGAATGCACAGATGCATTCGGGCCGGAGGACAGTCAGTCTATTTCATCCCTCCCTGCGAGGTCTCGGTGTATGGAGGGAACGGGTTTCTGTGGTATGCTACAGGGAACATAGTGCTTGGATCGAGCCAAACACGGACTGCCATTCAGTTGAGGGTTGTAACCCGCAGCAAAAATGCCCAGCAGATATCTTTCGAGCGAGGAATAGAAGACAAAAACATGTGTTCAAATTGCCCATGTGGCCTTTTCGTTGAATTTTTTGTACAGGATTACTGCTACATGAATTCTCCTCCACCTAGTATATCCTTCATATTGACATTCCCGCTGCCTCTTTCCAAAGGCTGTGGTTGCCCCCGCCCGGCCTTCCACCCAATCATGTAAATCACTCTAAACGTGGCTGGTATTCTATCCTTTTCGTCCTCTTTGCAATGCAACTCCCTGTAGATGGCCTCATTCGCCAGCAACACATCCCGACTTATGGGACCGCCCATAGACTTGAGGATTGCATTTCCTTCACCCATGGCTTGAATATCTGTCATCAGAGCAAATGTGTCGGGATATTCGACGATGATATCGTCGACGTCGACAGTCAGGAGCTTGAATCCTGCTCGACCGAGCAGGTTGCCCACGTCTCTGACGTCTGCTAAGGGTGAGATATGCGGCGAGACGCCGCCATGGCGCTCAAGATCGGCCAATTGCAGCGACGACCGTAATTCAAAGAGGGTGTCCCCGCCGAACATGGCTGCGAGGAATGGGGCATCGGGTTTGAGAATGTTGTTTATGCTCGACAGCACCGAGGGGAGGTCGTTGATCCAATGGAGAGATAGAGAAGAGAGAACGGCATCGAAAGTGTTGGCTTCATAAGGCAGGGTCTCTAGAGAGGGGAGGACTTCTTGGGTGATGGGGACTGCCGGTGCAGGGAGCGAATCGTCACGGTGGAGGGCTGTAGGAGAAGTGTCTGCGCAGGTGAGGTGGTGTATCCGTTCCGACAGAGGAATCTTGGCCTCTGCTGCTTCTTCTGGTAGTTCTGGCGCAATCAACGGCGGCTGAGAGAGCGCTCGTGCGATGTTGCAGCTGTTAGCACCCAAGTCGAGGACATGAGGGAACTCGCGATTGATGTCGAGGAGTCGGTCGACAAGCCTCTGAGCCACCTCGTCTTTCAGATAATCGACCTTGCGGCTGTATTCTGCGTTTGAGGCCGCCCGCTCTTTCTGGAGGTATTTGACATTCTCATTGAAGACCTGGAGGGTTGGAGCGCCCGGCGACTGTATGGCGTATGGTCTGCGGAAGCAAGGACGCCGTCGTAGAGCTGAAGTCGGAAGCCAGGGCCGAAGCGCTGGCGGCTTCATGTTGGTATATCTCTGGTAAAATGGTCCCGGACCACACAGTTAACCTGGCAGTGAAAGAGAAGTCGCACTCCTCGACTGGTTCGTCTGCGGCATGATGTCAATATCGGCTCTCATCGTGTATCGTGAAGGGAAGGTCTGCCGTGACCGCGTCTGACCGCGTCTGTTTTGGCGGCGAGACATGAACGTCTCCAATAAAAGATGAAGAGAAGGTAAGTCAGTATCTTCTATGGTTCAGATGAATGCGACAGACTAGTCGATGTGTTCCCTGTCGAGTTGTGACCGTTTTAAGTGCGCATTGGACCCAAGTCGGCGCCGTGGCAATGGCGTTTCCTTACACATTCGTCTCTTGCCCCTGTTCCGACGCATCCAACAGAGCACTGAAGTCGAAGCGATCCTCTCGCGATGTCGACTTTGAAGGGGTTCAAGACGGCGAAGAGAGCTTTGATCCGCGAAATCCACGTTCTGCCTTCTCTCTTTTTCCTCCCGAGCATTTGCTGTACTGCGAAGAATGCCACGAGATCAAATGCCCGCGCTGCGTGACTGAAGAGATCAATGCGACCTACTGCCCGGACTGTCTATTTGAGAGTCCCAGGGTCATGGTGAGGAGCGAAGGGAACAGATGTCCCCGAAATTGCTTTCATTGTCCCATATGCACATCACAGATGATCACCACCTCCATCGGCGATCCAAAAGACGGCCCATTCATCCTCAACTGCAACTATTGCATGTGGAGCACCCTCGACGTTGGCATCAAGCTCGACAAAGCCACCGGTGTCCGCGGCCAGCTTGATGAGATTGCAAATGGGGGAAAACGCAAGACCTCCACCTTGAAATCAACGCCGTACCAAGATGATCCCGCACGCAGGTCTTCACTCTCACGGCCCCCTTTATTGCTGGAAGAGGTAGGAGAGGCTGTGGAAGCTAAAGATCAAACCGAGTCGCAACCTTCTTTAGATGCAACGGCGAGGTTCAATGCCCTGAAGACATTCTACAAGGACCAAATCGCCGAATCTTCAGCGACTGACGCGGGCTTTCCCACGTCTGCCTTGGACATGGCCTACTCTTCTCCGTCATCACTCCAGCGTATCATGAACATCTATACCAACAGAGAGAACTCGCTCAAACGGGCTCGACAGAAGCTTACAATCATGCGAGAGGCTCGGGCAGCGAGCGAAGGATTAAAGTCATATGACCCACAAACCTCTATGCCTTGCGACTACGACGAGACCACAACTATGGCACAAAGAACCTTACAAAACCCCTCTTTCATTGGCAATCCTGACGCCCGCACAGTCTCGGACCTCAGACCCATGCCCACACTTATGCGCACGAAGCGATCCAAGCGCTGCGCAACCTGCAAACACATCCTCACTCGGCCTGAACTGAAGATCTCGTCTGCACGGTACCGCATCAAATTGATTGCGCTCAGCTATATCCCCTTTGTAACCATAAAGCCGCTTCCCGTGCAAGGTGGCTTGTCCCCTTCAGGGCCCGACGGAAGTGATATTGTCCTTGCGGCCGGAAAGCCCGTCCAGTTTATAATGACGCTTCGCAATCCACTGTTCGATGATGTAAATGTCAGTCTTGGAAGTCCTAGCGTGACGCCGGGAAAGCATGGACATCGGGTCACGATCTTGTGTCCTCAGTTTCAAATCGGGAAGAACAGCGACGCCTGGGACGATGCACTTAACAATCCTCCATCTCAGGCAACGGGCGGTGCCAACAACACAGCGGGCGGAGAACAAATCGCTGGCAAATTGTACGACCAGGGCCGGAATTGGGCGAGCGTGGTGATCGAGGTCATCCCGGCGAGCATTCTGAGAAACGAGAGCGAGGAACTGGACGAGGATGAAGATGTCATTGAAATCCCCATCAGAGTCAGGCTTGAGTGGACGGTTACCGAGGACGAGACTGCAGGTATTGTGGAGAGAAGGAAACGGGAGAGGGAGAAGGTGCTCGAAGAAGGGGAAGAGGCGGATGATGGGAAGAGAGAATTGAGTTATTGGATGGCCCTTGGTATCGGAAGGGTCGACTGTTGATGGTAAAACTGCCAGTCGATAGGAGCCAGGCCTCGAAAAGATACCCTGTCCTTGAAAAATTCGTATTTCCAGCCAGTGATCTTTTGATTGAACACCATGCCATTCGTCCCTGTCTTCTGTGTCTGCTCAGGGATGTGTTTCTTTCAGCATGCACTGGCGCATACGACCCGTCCATAGACTCCTCCTACGACGTGTTGTAGGAAGCTGTGGATGGGAAGATCTTCTCGTTCGACAACTCCTTCATACCGTTCGTCGATCGCACATGACCCTCACAATGCCGCCCACGCCCACCACCTCCGTCAGCTTCTCATGCCAGCTCAAGAGCACACTCATAACCTGACCACCTCCGCCCTCTCCAAAATTCCTTGACTGAATCTGACTGAACCCCGTGCCGGTTGCCTGCGGACTCACTCCCTTACCACTAGTTGTGCTGCTCCCGCTAGCCATACCCTTGTATATGTACTTCATCAAGGTATCCCCCAATGCCGTCCCGCTCGGCTGTTTCAGCATCTCCGTCAGTATCCGACTGACATCGCTCTGCCTTATTCCTTGTAGCACCTCCAAGACAGTGGTGAGGTGGACTTGCTTTGCGCCCTCGTCGCCCGCTAGAGGGGCGGTTTCCAGCGCTGATTGTAGAGCTCCCAGGCTGTCACCGGCGCGGAGGAGTTGCCGGACTTGTTGGCCTATCTGTGCGGACTCGGAGGATGTGGAGGGTGCGGGTAGGTTGGCAGGGAGAAGAGTCGAAAGAGGGAAGTTCAAGGCCGAGTCAGGATCATAGGCGTCAACGTTTATTGTGCGCCAGTTTATGTTGGCCATCGTGCAGAGTGTGGTGCAGTCCTGCTGCTTATGCCTGGCAGTTGGCGGGGGAAAGCAATGAGGGCTCGGGATGTGTCTACAGCTGCGTTTCTCGGAGTTGCGGCTGACCGATCAAGATGGCCGTTCAAGGTGCAGCGTTAGGGCTTGTGCCTCCGGTCAAATAGACTTATGGAAAGAAAACACAATGTAGTTGTCTAGTTGTGAGAGCGCTTCAAGCCACGATGCGGGACAAGAGCGAAGTCACTAAATTGCCCACTGGGGTTACGTAATCTTTGCCAAGACCCCCAAGGCTCGGCTGCAGCCTTGCGCCATCCAAGATCCTTCCAACTGCGTTCTCAACACCAACTCTCATTCACTGCGGAGGGGATGCCATGTTTACTACCTCAATGCTTGTCATGCCTTTGTTGCTTGTGGCAAGTTCTGGTTGAAGCTGTTGACAAGTCAATATGGTCCTTCTTGGCAGGATTTTCACAAGTCATACAATACGAAACCCGGTCTCTCATCCTGTCCCTCCCTGTTAAGACCCCAAGCATACGGGCTGTCATCATGCACCGTGGTCCTTCTCAGATCTCTTCGGTATTTTCCAGCGAATGATCCACCTTCAGCCCGATGCATAACACATCTGAACATTCGAGTTAGCCCTCCTGAGGAATGCATGGTTGCCTGGGAGACTACGCAGGAATCTCGCTGACGGGATGATGATTGACTTACGTGTTGTCCCAGATAACCAAGTCACCAGGGTCGTTCCATGGAATGCTTAGAGTATACTTCTCTTGCGTCGCATGCGCCATAAGCTTGTCCATAAGCTCTTTGGACTTCTCCGGAGGCACGTCCACGATATGGTCCATATGGGCGGCAATATACAAGTTCATCCGACCTGACGGTTCATGCTTCTGCACAAGGCGATGTTTGTGCATTGGAAACTTTGTCACATCAACATCCTTGAAATAATCCGGTGCTGCCTTCTTGCGAGACGAGTAGAGGGAATGGGCGCCAACATAATTCTTTTCCAAGAGCTCGGCCTTCAACTCGGGATCCAATTCATCAAATGCCGTCCGCGTGTCCGCGAATCCGGTATTACCACCAGTGTTGGGTGGCGGCAGTTCGTGGGCCTTCAAGATCGAGTACGATGCCCTTCGAGGATTGAATGACGAGTCGACGTGGTACAGGGCATTGCCCTTGTTGTATTGCGCACGTGCGCTATCTGGTGACAGAACAGTATTCGTATCGGGGTCGATATTGCCGGCGTCAAAAAGCTCATAGTATTCATATCGTGGCTTCCGCCCGTTGGTCATATACGGCCTGATGTCGTCCAACTCGCCAAACCGGCGAGAAAATTCGACGTGGCCTTTGTCGTCGAGTCCAGTCTTCCGGAACACAATCACGCCATACTAGGAAACAGTCAGGGCCTTGTGAGTTGCAGAAATTACAGTCTATCTCCGAGTTTTTACCTTTGCAGAAGCAGCGAGGATCTCCCTGAAGACGTCGTCTGGAATTGGCTTGGAGAAATCAACGCCTTCAATCTCGGCCGCAAACGTTGGGTGCAGCTTCTTGATCTGAATCGTCTTGAACTCGGTCTCTGGAGTTAGGAGAAGCCCAGGCATGATGACGACTGACAAAATTCCGGAATGCAAAGTTCCACGCTGGATGGTTGGTCACAAACAGTTCAACGATGCGACAAACATATGGCATGACCACCTTTTCGTCTTATATCTTGTCGAGTATGGACTGAAACACGCCCGAGCAGGCATTCGGCAATTCTCCGTTCATTTTGGATGCATCTGCCGAAGCCCCATATTCGCACCTGTTGACCTCTCGACACTGTCAGCCTTGAGGTTCCCCACAGAAGTCCGTGGACGAGGTGTGCGGGGAAGGTTGGAAGTTCCATTTCTTCATATGGAGGCAATGGAGAAGAAGCAGCACTCTTCGTCCAACACCCGTGAAGGGGATACGCGCAATGGGAATACCGGGGAAATCCGATGCGCTGGTCTGCGCCATACATGCCTGGCTTCTGTGGCAAGGGGGGACTCCTGATTGCTCCCTGCCGACTTCCGAGTATGATTCTACTTTTGGCGATCGGAATACCGCTTTTGGCCACTGGACTTCTGACGACTGTTCTCGCACGAGCTCGTCCACAGTGGCATACTCAGCTATACTGGTCAAGGAGTATATTTCCTTGTGGTCGGAACGGCCGTCTCCGTTGCAGACTCCTTCCATACGTTGATTCTGGTCTCTGGAAACGTCTATGGCACTGCGACATAACAAATGATGAACATTCCCAAAGATAGGGCGACAATCTGGCAGTCAACGCCATTGGTGATCCGAGAGATAATGAGGGCGATTCTCTTCACCGGTAGGGGATCCAGGTCGCCCGATTTGAAATTTGCCTTGGCCGTACTGTTCCAACCTGTAACGGGCAAGACTGGCCTTGAGTGGGTTTGGCAGTTGAGGTTAATGGCAGCACGAAACATGGACAAAGATCAGACGCGAGGTCACTTGGATCAAGTCGCCCGAACTTCATTTCACGAACTCTGCTGGTAGTCACAATCTTCAACCGAACCTTCAGATGGTAGCAAACATTGCCCGTCTACTCAGAGTGAAGGCAAATGCACAGCCAAGGCGTCAGGACAGAGACTGCCTCCAGCACTTTCAGTGACAGATTCCCCTCTTCCACTCAGTCTTCACTACATGGCCCAGGATTCTGTGCGTTCGCGTTGTCACGCGTCTCTCTCAGTGACATGTTGTGAAAATTTTGCTCAGTAAGTGAAGATGGACTGTTGACATTCTGTTTATAAAACCCCGCGCCATTCTTGAATTTTCGCGCTTCCGTCTTCTGCGTCTCTCCCACTTTGACAGGCCTTGAGAGTCGAGCGCGATTGTCAAGGTCATCTTCAAGACCGATACAAACACTCGCTCACCCGCCGCAATGGCGCCTCTCGTTAATTTCGTTCTCTTCGGCCTGGTCGCGACCCTGAGCACCTCTGTCCAAGCAGGACAACTCAGATCGGACATCAAGCGTGCTGATTTGGATATTGACTGTCCGACCTGCGGCAATGAGCCTGCCCATCCTAGTATGTCTTCCCCGTATTTTCAAACCCATGAGTTAATGTGGTGACTAGGTCCCCATCCCTGGGAGGACTGGAGCATGGCCAGCAGCGCGACAAGCAGTTCCCCTGTTGTTCCAACTCCTTTCCCAGTGCCCACTTATGGCGGCGTCAACTCTACCTCAGTGGCTTCGGTTGAGACGCCCGTGAGTGAAGCGAGTCCCGGCACTTCGACCTCGCATGCTTCGTCCATCTCTGTTACGGCAACTGTGGCTTCAGGTTCTTCCTCCCCGGTTTCGTCCACCTCTGTTCCGGCTACCATGGCTTCAGGTTCGTCCTTCTCGGCTTCCTCGTCCTCTGGCTCGACAAGTGCAGGAGTTGCGCCACCTGTCAATTCTTTTTCCTCGACTTCGGGTGCTTCCAGTGTGCAGTCGATCAGCAGCACCAACTCTTCCATGCCCAGTCAATCTTTGCCTGGTGGCACTACAAATGGGACATCCAACACTCAGATGACCTCAGCCTTGCCTCCTGCAAGTATGTCTTCCATTGCTGGCTCAGTGTCTGTTGTCTCGCGGTCAAGTCAACCCCAATCTCAAGCCACACTGTCCGTTGCGAGCGCATCAAACTTCTCTCAGTCTATTACATCATCGAGTATGATCCCATCTTCTCCTGCAAACAGCACATCGAGCGTGGTACCACCGTCCCCAGGAAACAGCACATTTAGCATAGTCCCAACGTTCTCGGCAAATAGCACATCGAGCATGGCTCCGCCTTTCCCGGCTAATGGAACGTCAAGCTTAGTTGCGTCGTTTTCATGGAACAGCAGCGCGCCTGGAAATACACCGTCGGTACAGAGCCCAGCCACAAATCGGACCTCACTAAGTGTGAGCTCACTATCGATCGCCTTGACATCCAATCTGACTGCTGGATCTGAGATCACCACTTCATTCACTAGTACAGTTGCTCTAAGTTCGACGACATTCGTTACTGTCATTCGAACTACAATAAGCATTGTCCAAGTCTCTTCAGTGACTCAGCCTTCCGGTTCTAGTGTTGCATCCTCGGTCTCTGGGTCAGCGTCGAGCCTTGAAGCAACTGTGTCCGGTTCAAGTTCGTCTTCTGGTAATGGCGCGCAGTCGACACCGATCGGGACGAGATCCACTTCCAGCATTGTCTCCAGTGTGGCATCAGTATCTGGGTCAAGCTCATCTTCCAGTGGCACGATTACCCTCCTACCTGGAATCATCATGACTCCTCCCGTCATCACCTCAGCACCAGCGCTGCCCACTGTGTCTTTCATTGGCGAAATGCCGTGTATCTATGCTTACTCGGCCAACGAAACTAGCACGTACAGTCTTGCTCCATGGTGCTGGCCCTGGTTCATCTCAGGGCCGGAAAGCACGACGGTGATATCGGGAACAGTCGTGGTTGCAAGTACAGCCAACTGCGTGTGTCCGTACTGCTGGCTTGCAGACCCACTGTGTTACGATCAAAAGCCGTCGGGTTCAAGCTGTGCCGATGGCTGGATTTGCTCTGTGACCACTTCTGCTGAACAATCAGGCGTCGTGTATTCGCTCCCCAGCGGCTTCTTTTCCGACTCAACCACGCCGGAACCATGGAGTATTACCACCGAACAAGGCGTGACCAGAACAAGCGGAAGCAGCAGTACCACAGCGGTCTCATGGAGCGCTACTCTTTCACATAGCACTCGGAGCATCCAGGGTGGCTACATTGACTTTCCGTTCTGGTCATGGAGTTGTATCGGGCCTCTGTGCAAGGGCGATTGTGGAGATGTCCTCGACTGGGCGGTATCTATGGCTACTTGCCTCTTTGGTTTGGGGTGCAAGAGACCATGCAGCGATCATGGCTGGAACGGATTTCATTTGCCGCCGGTGTGTATTCCAAATTTTTACCTGCGACCTTCCATGTGAGACTGAGTGATGCAGATTCCCGTCTTTCCGCCGATTCCTCCTCTGCCCGTGGCATCTATGACGCTGCCAACGACGCATTGTTTAGCGCCGCCTTGTACCAACAACCCATCCGCAAATCCGTCGTCTGAGCCAACCACGAACTCTCCAAGCTCGTCCGGTACCTCGAGCTCGTCGAGCTCCTGTTCCTCGACAGCATTCTCTTCATGCCTAGACATCTGCACGACTTGGAGCTCGAATGGAACAGGCTTTGCCACTAATTCGTGCAGTCGGTCGTGCACGACTGTTACACAGTGCACTGGAACCAACACATTTACGACGAGTACTGTCAACGCCTCAACAACCGCTCCGGCTTGTACAGTCAGTCCCTGGTGGAATGACCCGGCCATATCTGCTGAGATTGCCTCGTGGATCACTCAATTTCCACCAATCCCTGATAACGCGACGGTTCAATTCAGTACTTTCAGCTTCGCGTCAAATTCGACCCAGACCATGGGCAACACCACCTCGAGCACTACTGCGAGCACGTCTTATTTGACAACCACGACGTCTCATAGTTCGACCATCTCCAGCGCTCCTATCACAACGCCCATCCTTCCAAGCAGCCTGCGAGATTTCACAGTATTGGCCACGGATGACAACGGCGATGTGTACAGCGAGGTGTTCTCAGGCGGTGTAATGGTATCGTCCACCCTAGTCTCGTCGAGATTACTTCCCACATTGGGGCCAAGTGGCCCGTGGACCTTTGGCTCATCTGGAGTCTCTTTGGTGAGCAAAACCACATCGACTCCTCCAATCTCTGTCGGCTCTGGCGCGCACCCAACCCTTACGAGTATGACGCGAAGCTACAGCGAAGTCTCGATATTTACTTGTGACGGAGTCGCCGCATTTGATAGCGCGAGCTGTACAGACTCATGGGGACTCCAAACTGTGTCAACTACTGTTCCAAGCGCGGACGAGCAAACTTCTTATTGTGCCCACTGGACTGCATTCACAACCACTACGAGCCCAGCGATGGCTGGTGTGCTGAACTGTGCCACGCCTGTCAGCGGGAAAGCAACAAGCACAGTTGCCACAGCGTGGAACTCAGGGCTTCCTTGGTCACCGTTCCAGTTGGACACTGGCCCTATCAGCAAGTTCTGCCAGAGTTTGGTAGACCGCAATATCGTCTTCTATCAGGGAATTGCAATCACAGCTGCGTCAAGTTCGGGACTCGTGTCACCAGGAGAGTGTGACCTGTTTCCATCGCATGGAGACTCCAAATTCGACTACGAACTGACGATCGGTCTCGCGTTCGACTTCAACGGGTGCGCGTCGCCAACTGGCACGCCATTTGTGAACGGGATTTCGATGAAGGATTATGGCGAGCAAAAATGCATCTCTACATTCTGGAACCATCTCAATGACAAATGTGAGTCGCTTAGCTTCCAGAGACGATTTAGGGCAGCGTTGCTAACCATCAATAGGCAAGTTCTCCGACTCGGATGCAAAGAAGAGAGGCCTTGGTCAATGGACTAGGGTCGGCGGAATATACTGGGCGGATTGCATGCGATGGACCATTATTGCTGCGAGGAGTGACTTGTCGCCGCCTGACACTGTTGATGGAAACTTACAGTGATGGGGATCAGTCTTCTTCGTCCTTTCTCACGCCCTTTTTCTACTACGAGAGACGTCGAACTTGAGGAGGATGGTTCGTGAACTGCAGAAGACTGCATGTGCCCCCTGCGAACAATGTTTGGCTAGCCGCTGAGCTGCTGAGCTGGAAATAGAGCATTACCCCTTACTGAACGGAAATTTCATACTGACTGCTTCAAACTCTTCGCAATGTCCACACTAACAGCAGATTGTTTCTTTCTTCTCAAGATAAAGGTCTCAGCAACTTATCTGACCAATTCTACACGGACCAGCAAGGCGGTCTGTCACGACGGCGCTGCATCTACTCAGTTTGTGTGCTCCATGTCCTGCAATGCACGTGTCGAACTTGTAAGGCGACTCTCGCCTTTCTTCGTGGAATGCAAGCCACTGTTACCAATTTACCGCCCACATTCCTTGACCCTGTTGCATATACATACCCCCTCAACAAGGTTACCATGGAGGGAGTCAGTTATTTCCGTCGTTGTTTTGATGGAATAGCCTGCATAACGGTAACGTCTTTCTTATACTGTGTGGTTTCGATTGTTCCCGGCATACGCCATTTCAGTATTTACTATCGAGTTCTCCAACATGCACACATTGAAATATTGAACAGGCGCGTATAGGTAGACAGCGTGGTACATATATCAAGACGACCTGGAAGAAAAGAAACAGCAATATGCCGTCTTCATGGCTGGAGGAGGAGGAAGAAGGAGGAGAGCAGTTCCAGCACCGCCAATCAAACAACACACACTACTCGAACGAGGCACAGAATCCCGTCCGTGGAGCTGGATCGACCTACTCGGCGCAGGTACCCAACAATGGCGCCTTCGAGACATACAGGACGTCCTCGTGGGGGGCCAGCTATACCCAGGAGCCAGCACGGGCTATGGCTACAATGGTGTCCCAGAACCAGTCCCCGAGCCAATATCAATACCAGGACCAGTACCAGTATCCAGACGACATCGATCGATCCCGCTGGACCGAGATCCAACCTGCCAACGACCTCACCTACAGCCCTGCGTTCTCGGACTCGCCCATCATCTCGAGCACGGCTCGCCGCCAGACCTGCTCCTCGGATATCGATTCACTGTTTGAAGACACTGATGACTTTGACGACGAGATGCTGATGCCGCGTCGTAGTCTGTCCGAGAGCGCAGCAGATGAAAGTCCAGCGGGCGACCTCTCGCGGCATGAGCATGATCAGGATCGGCCTTCCCCGGGCGGACTCAGCAGGCAGCTCCAGGGCCAGCTGAATGTCTCGTCGTCAGAAGCAGGAGTCGGGCCTGGGGAGGAGGTGCATGCTCAAGGTGGAGATGGCATACATCCAGCAGCGCATGGGGAGCTATCGCAGATCCAGTTACCGGGACAAGAATCGGGTTACAACACATATGAGGCGGCGACCCAAAGCGTCTCGTCACCAACCGAACAGCTTCAGGCACAAGAGCGAGAATCAGAGACAAGACCTCAGGCCGTTCACACTTGTCCCTGTGGCTGCTCTACCGCGGAGTGTGCCTGCCATCCTTCATACTGCGCATGTCTGGGCTGCGACCACACGGAGCAAGCGAGGCAATTGAGACACGAAGCAGAAAAGAAATGGGGCATTGAAGGGATTTCTGGCAACCAAAGCTGCGGCTGTAGAGATATGCAGCAGCGATGTTCATGTCTCCCGGGTCTGTGTCACTGTGCCACGTGCAGTGAGCATGGCCATGCGATGGCAGAGCCGGTCAAACATTGCAGCTGTGCTACAGGTGGTCAGAGGTGCCAATGTCAGCCTGGACGATGTGCCTGCGCCGACTGTGATGAGCATACATCTGGTGGTGAAGACTTCGAAGCTCCCGCGCAGCCTCGTGCAAACCAGGATCAAGCACCAGAATCCTACTCGATAACTGACGATGCACCACCACCACAAACTCAAGCATGGCAGCAGATCGGTTCAGGCATTGGAGACCGGCACACAGTAACGGGTGTAGATGCTACCCAGGCTTGCCGGTGTACACTTGAGGGTGCTTGTTCCTGTCCGTCGGGCAGATGTGGATGTGAGAAAGGGTCTGCGGCAGTCGGAGGAAGAGACCTGGGAGGTCAACACCGAGGAACAGCACAGTCCTGTCTCTGCAGAGAGGGACAAGAGTGTACCTGTTGTCCTGCAGCTTGCAGCTGTCGCAACGCGGAGCCTGCACCAGACCAAAGAACCTTACACGGACCAGAGGAGACTGCCGGGTTGATACGAGCTCCAACTCGGGCAGCGCGCCAGGATCATCGTCCGCTGCACCTCAAACTCGAAGAGCTGATTGAGAATCCAAAGCCTGTACCGTCGCCGCAGGGTAGTGCCCCGATATTCAGTCGAAAGGGATCCATGCTGCCAATACCGGCACAGCCTCCGACGCCAGCATTCAGCCAGCAAAGCTCAATACCCCCAAGCCGTCCGGATACCCCACGTCCTCCCGCCGACTCGACGCCTTCGACACCGTATGCAGCAGATGTGCTCCAGGACTACGTTCAACAGAGCATAGAGCCCGGTTTGCAGCCGCCATCCCAAGAGCATATTCGACAGAGTGTCGAGCCCGAGCTCCCGCCACCAGACTGGGCGCGCGAGTCGACGCCCGCGTATGTAGACCGCTCATTCACACCGTCTCCATTCTCGCGACGAGACACGGATGTCGAGATGAGAGACGCTTCGCCGACACTTCTTCCCGGCGACTTTGGCCGAGAGCTCTCGCTGCCGCCACCGACCTCCCAGCCGGACCCGTCTCTTATTGGCGACTATCTGGCCGTGCGCCCCGTGAAGCCCATCCCTCCCCCGATCCCGGATGGTGGTTCGGCGATCAAGCAGCCCAAACGGGGTGAGCGGCGAAAATCCGCCGTGCATGGCTCGAAAGTCGAGAAGCGCTCGGCAACAGGCTCGGTGGCGAAACCGAAAAGCCGCAACGTGACCAGGAAGCCGACGGCCTCGGTTGGCAAGTTGGTCGACAAGGCCAAGAAGAAGTCCAAAGAAGCTGCTGCGGAGACTGCAGAGGGACGAGAAGAACAGAGCCAGGGACCTAGCAGAGGGTCGCAGCCCGCCACAACGACAGCGGCAGCAGAACACGGAGGCAAGGTCGCAGCCGCGGTGGCAAAGATCGAGCGACAGGTCAAACAGCAGGACCAGGAGAAGACCCTGACGCAGAAAGACGGGACGGCTGTGCGGAGGAGTCGGCGCGCGAACAAGGGAGTTCGGACTTCGTTTGGCTATACTTGATGCCAGCATGGCGTGGGACAGGTCGTTTTTCACCTTTCGTATTCTCTACGACTTTTTGATCCCGGGGATTTCCTCGGTGCGGTGTGTTGGAGCAGACTGTGTGGCATGCTCGAGAGCGAGCTTGGTACTTCGCACTACCCCTAATTCTGTACATAGCGCTGCTCGTTTCAGCTCTTTATCTGGCTTTTTTGGCCCGTACCTTTTTTTAAACTGAGAATTTCAGCTCACTCACGCGGAGAGTTAATCCTCTGTCGATCTACTCGCAACGGGATGAGACGATGACGGTCATCGAGCGAAGTATCTCTGCACGAGGCTCAGCGGCGACTGCGTCACAAAGATGCCTTCCAGACAGCACGTCAAGTACGGCGTCGATTGTAAGATCAGGAACGCACTGTCATCCGCGGCAGCGCGGTTCGCGCCCAGGTCCCCGCACACGGCCTCGACGAGATCCTCGACCTCGTTGGCTGGTTGTTCCGACCGTGCCAGTGAGGCCACAGCGGTTTGCACGTCAATTAAGCTCATCAGCAGCTCGAGGAGAAAGCTCCAGTAGCAGATCAACACGCCGGCCTTCTGCCCGTCCCGGAACCTCAGCTGGTACTTGGGGTCCTCGAGGTCCGGGACGCACACTGGGTCGGTGTAGGCGTGGGCACTGTCCATCACCGTCTCGGTGTTCCAGTAGATGGGCGCGGGGGCGTATGATTGCTTGAAGTTCTGGAACCATGCTTCGAGATCAGATTTGACCGTTGCAAAGTCCGTGACGAGCTGCTGGGCTATTCTCAATCGCTGGACGCGGTCACTCGGACCGGTCAAATCTCCTTGTGGTCCTTGTGCAAGGGACGGCACAAGGTCGTCCGTGCGACGCAATAGCGCGGGAATGCCCAACGCGATGTCGTGGAGGAGTTCCCTCCTTGTCTTCGGACGACTCAAGAATGGCGTATATATCCATTTAGGTTCGGACAAGAAGATAGGACGCCTTTTCTGCAAAGCGACGAATACCTGCATAGCGCAAACTTTCAGTACGGACGGGGGAAAATTAATGCGAAATGGTGACCGGTGGGGTTTCCTTACGGTTATGCCACGGATGCCCGAGAAAGACTGGAGCAGGTAAGGTGACTGGTACACTCCGGGTCCGGATATTTGGAGGAGTTTGAGCATTCCCTCGTGGTGCGTCAGGAAGCCTGATCGAGTTTCTCCCATGTCATTCACGTACTGGCCTTGTCAGCGAATTTGCATCCATCATGGGAGAAGCGGACCGCTGAGGTGATTTTTCGGCTGTGCATACCTCGAACAGCTGCAGCGCTGTAGAGAGAGCGAGGAAGAGTTGACAGTAGCTCGTCTGCGGGTGCGCCAGTTCCGCTGGGAAGCGACTGCCAATGAAAAGGCGAAATTCTCCCACTGCTGATGTGTACGCGGCTCGGGCCATCTCTGTCAGCTTCGGATCCTTGACTAAGAGACTCAAATACATGGTCAGGAGGCTGAAGATCGATTGGTCCATGATGTGCCGTTCGGATTGTTGCGCGAGGGGCAGCAACGAACGGATGCACACGGCCACGCTGGAGCAATCACCCTCGGTCGCCGACGACGGCACGCGATCGCCGCTGAAGACGCCGGTATCGTGTTTTGGTTGAAACGCATCCAGGACTGTCGAGTAGAAGAGTTCTACAGGTTTCGCGGTCAGGGACGCACTGGCACTTAGAAGTGACGCTTGCGTGCTCCGCACGAGTCTCTGAAGAGCCTCCAGAGTCGTCGAAGCAGCCGCCGTCCTGGCCTGCGTCTCAGGGTCTAAACTAGGCTCATAGTGGGCAGTTCGCCGCTGCATCGCAACCCTGAGAGCACCACGATGCGACTGTGTGCGCATGTTCTCTGCATTACGGTGGACGTAGATGCGGTCATTGTTGGGCCCGCTGCATTTGATGCCCCTGGAGACACATCGGTGACATTCGGGCTCCTCGAGACCGCACTATTGGACATGATCATCAGCCAGGGATCTTTCGCATTTGGGGGGTTCGCGCGACAACGTGCCTTCTTGCGTCTACGACGACACTCGTCACAGCGCCGCGATGTCCCAGGAGAACTGGCCATTGTTCCAAAGAGGAAGGGAGGGCGACAGAGAGAGAGACGAACACACAGGACCCTCCCGACTTGGCGCTTTCATATCAATAGCTGCAGAGGTGGAGATGTTCAGTAATCATGCGGAACGAATGGCGATGATGGGAAACGGCAGATGCGGTTGTTATTAATGCAAAGTATATCCGCCCTAGTCCCCGCCCGTCCCAGCGCTAGGACCAACAGGGCAGTCAGCGCGCCGTGCGTGAACCAATGAGGATCTACGAGGCTGCCATAGAACGCAGCAATCCCCTAGACGTTCTCACGGAATATTCAATGTGGGCAAACCATTTCGGGATAGGGAGGACCGCGCCCGAACTCGCGCAACGGAGGGGCACGCTTGAAGCTGGTTGCTGTGTTCTTCACGGGTTGCCACATCGATATTCTATTGATCCTTTTGTGTATTCCCAATGCACCAAGCTGCTCCTCTCCCCAAATCGGACTCTGCAACACGCTTCAAGCATCGGCAGCATCTCCTGATAATGACTTCCACCGATCACTCCAAACTTTTGGCCCATTCACCGACAGTCAAGATTCTGTTCGCAAACAATGGCCAGATCAAGTTTGTGGCCGCGTCCTTCTGCTCCGTGCTGAACCCGGCTGTCCCGTCCGAGCTGGATTTGTTTTTTTGTTTAGCTGTGAGATTCCCAAGGCAGGCAAATCAACTTACATCATGGTCAAATTATAACCACTTGCGTCAGTCAGCATTGGCGTTGTCACATTTGATGATTTGAATCGGGCACGGGGTCAACTCACAGCTCATACCCGTACCGTGCCGTCGCCTCAATGCATGTGTTTGTAACAAGACCTGCTAGGACCAAGTTGCGAATCCCCCGCTGGCGGAGTTGATAGTCCAAATCCGTGTTTTGGAAAGAGCTTTATCCGGTTGAGGAGAATGTCAGCCAGGCAGGAGAGGACAAGGCAGGAAGCACCGGGGCGTCTACCTTGAATTGAGATGCTGCGAGACGACAACATCCCCGTTGTCCGGATTGGGCTCTAGGCCTTCATAGATCTCGGCCCCCCAGGAGCCCTTCTCAAACACCAAGTTCTCTTTGAGCCCCGTCAGCGACCAGTTCATCATCTGCCACCCCTGGAACGAGTATTTGTCCGTCTGGCAATGAAGGCAGTAGTAAATCGGGATTTTGTTCTTGCGGGCCGTAGCGACCACTTCTTTCAAATGCTCAATGGTTCCCGTGGCGGCGATGCTTTCGGCGAGACGCGGGTTCAGCTTTCCTTTTGGGTGGAGGAAGTCGTTGTAGGGATCGATGAGGATGACAGCGGTCTGGTTCGTCATGGTCGGCGACTTGTACTGGATGTTTCCGTGGGAATTTAGACTTGGATGCTTGTTGCGCTGCTGAAAGAGAGGGATCTTGGTCTTTTAAATATCCGTTGGACCCACGAATAATCGAGCTCTGCGTGACTTCGGTGAGGCTCTCAAAGCAATGTGTCTTTCGTAATAGTGGCTGTTTGAGTTCGAGCTTGGAGGCACAATCCAATCCAGGTGTCAGCGTTGCCGACTAATTGGTCTATCCCCATATGGCAGGAGACGCGCCAAAGATGCATCAGTCAACTCCACAAGCCATGGCATACTATCTGTAGACCTGTATTCGGGAACGTCATCGGCCGGGTTGGACAAATCTATTACGCGGGCTTTTGCTGTCGGATCCTGCGGGTGTGGGCAAATTCCATGAGGCAACGACTAGATGCTTCTACTGCCGCCAAACGGTGTTATCGGCTGTAGACGGTGTAAAGAGTTGCCACGATTTATAACCAGAATGCGTCTTTACATATCTCTCTCGCAGGGGTATGTCGACATAATGGGATTCGTCTCAAGGCAGCCTTGTCTGCGTCAGTGGTCATCTCGGTTTTCTCTCCCGAGGCTTCTACACAGCCGGCGGGCAGGTCTACTAGACCTCACTCTTCACCTTTCACAACTGATGACGATGAGAAGAACATGGCTTAGGCTGTCGACATTCAATGATATTCACAAGGCCACAACGACGCAGGCACCGAAGACCAAGAGACTGGAAGTGCTGTCTCTCAATGGCGCCTTTAGCAATAGCCGAAGTCTACCAGAGCAAAGCAGGAGCAAATCCGCCCGCCCCAGGAGAAACTCAGTATCTCTTTCTTCTGTATCAGTGGGTTCAACGGCGAGGCTTACAAGCCCATCGACCCTTAACCTCGCGCCACTCTCTCCACCTCATCTGCGAACTCTTTGAGATTCTGGAACCTCCATGCATATCCGACCAGCTTCTTTTCGAGTGCCATCTTGCTTTCCGCCTCTTTCCCCCACCTCGGCCCATCACCAACCAACCACACAGAACTTAATCCTAACCGCTTTGCGGGGGCTTGATCATGACCGAGACTCTGTGCAACGTGAAGGATTTCCTCTTTCTTGACGCCGTGATTGGTGCAAAACTGGATTAGGGTCTCTAGCTTTGCATCATCCGCGCGGGTGGCATCGTCGCCGAATTCCTCTGCAGTGAAAACTTTCCACCAGCCCACCTCTCCAAGACGACCTGCCGACGAGTTTGAGGTAATGTTCCATGCAAATCGATCGATATTCGAGAGGGCCACAAGCCTATAGTGCTTACTTAGTCTCTTCAGCCCGTCCAAGCTTCCCGGGAAAGTCGGCCACCCGGAAATGACAGCTTCGCTTCCGAAATCCTTTGCTTCATCATCGCTACTTTCCACGCCCAGTTCCTTGGCGATCCGCCTCCATATTTCGGCTAGGATCTCATCGAATCGTTTCACTGGCTTCTCTAGCTTGATGGCATCTTCTTGGCGCTGGAACAGCTTTAGAAACTCGATGGAGCCCACGGAGGCGGAGTTAGGAACGGTTGTGGTGAGGGGGGTGGAATCGAGAAAGGGCGACGACTCTGGCAGACGGGAGAGGAGGGGTTGAAATGATTCCAGAATGTGAGCTTTGTATTCGATCAGGCTGCCGTACACATCGAAGGAGAGAACTTTGTATTGGAGAAGTGGCAGTGGTGGCACACTGGGCTCAGGCATAGGGAGGGCCATAGCTGCTTTGACAAGGGTAGAACTGCTGACTGATTGATATCTGCTAATTGCCTGAGTCTGGGTAGAGTGAGATCAATGGAAGATGGTGACAGAGACCCTCTGTTTCGAATGACACGATGACGAATTCAAAAGACCAGTGGTCACGTGTCACTTATAAGCTAAAGCGGCGCGATAGGCTAGTTGAGCTCGGAAGGAGCGGCCCGTAACGCCGATGGTAAAATGGTAATTTGGTTTCTCTCGTTGTCAACCTTCAACGCCCAATTTATTCCTCAACGCCATCCAAGAGCACGCTGAAGGACAATCGACACTCATCCTAACCTACTCCCTACAAGCTCCAGCCCAAATCGTCCACCAGATATGGCTGACACGGTTGGTGGGACCATCAATAGCAGCTCTCCTGGCTAAAGACTTGACTGATGCCGAAAACGCTCCAAGCGAGGTCCATCTGGCTAGTACTCCAGCTGGACCTCCAGTCGCACAAAGTGCAAAGATCACGGCAAAAGGGGTGATGCAGTGCTCAGACCTTCCGAGATATACCCCAGCTAAGACGGCAGTTTTGGTGATTCTCGTCTTGTTCTCACATCGCATCACATGTTCGTGCTCGCTGTCCACAGTACTTTTGCGCAGAACGACCTCGTAGCGGATCCGGTACCCATCCTTGGTAAGCGATAACCCCTTTCGCGACATATTAACCCCACTGACTTTATGCATTGGGCTACAAGACAGAAACCAAGTCTTCAGGGTCTCAGCCACGAGTGATGGTGGCTGGCTGAGCCTTTGCACGCGACATTCGAGCCCTCAGCCTCAGTCTACAGAACTGAAGCTCCAGACCCGCGCTCAGCCAGCCTCGAAGACCTCGACGTAGCTTGAAATGTGCATTTGTTTTACTTGATTTGCTCCTGTTGGGGAACGTCAATTCTTTTAATGCGTCTTTATTGAAACGGTGGATATGTCTGTGGCAATGTCTGGCCTGGAGCTGACACGGAGGCCACGATTTCCTCAAAACAAGCGAGCCAGGTCAGTCCAGAACCACCCAAGGCTTTCAGCATGTAGAGTCTTGCAAGCACGGTTTCCGGGACTGGAGAATGTTCAGTGCGTGGTTTGTATAAATTGTCGCCCTCCTGTCCCTCGATTACTTGATTCTCTCCCACATCGACTTCTTCTTCAGATCCCTCATCACCACCAGTGCCACCCTGTTCCTTCTTGCCAATAATACTTTCTTGTGATCTTTTCTCATTCAGTCGATATGGCAGCAGTCGTTGTTCCGAGTGGTCTCTCGGCACCTGTCGAAGCGACCAGCTTTGATAAGCTGCCCAAGGTTGACGTCAAGCCCGTGGTGGAGGATCCATTACTTGCAAGCCGACCAAAGTTCGAGCTGATCCCGCAAGTTTCCATCAAGTCCATTCCGGAGGAAAACAAGTCAGAGGCTTCTGACGATGCTGTCAACTCTCTCATTTGCGCCCATGCGCCAGTCCGCTCTACCTATCATAGGGAGGCTGTCTCCTTCCGTTCGGACATTCAAGTACACCTCAGATCGGTACAGAAGACCAGCGACGATATGCTGTTCAGAATTCGGGAGATTGTCGAAAGCCTTGACAAAGCCACCCATGAGAAGCTCCTCCACAAAGAACAGTACGACAGCCTGTGCCAGAGATACAAGGACATTACTGCTCGTCTCGAGACATCTACCCAAGAATGCGTCACATTGAGAACCAGATTGTACGAGATGTCCAAGGCACGCGATCGCGCCGAGATTGAGCTCGAAGCCCTGAGCGGCCACCTCCTCGAGAAGGAGCACGAATGCATGGAGCTCAGAGAAGAGACCAGCGTCCTTCACAAGCAGATTGTGACCATGGAAGCAACATTGGTGGATCTCACTTCCAGACTTGTTGAGGCCGAAGCGACCGCAAGAATCCGCCTGGAGGAATACAACGCCGCCGTCAAAGAGCTGGAGATCCTAAAAGCTTCTATGGCAGTCCTCTTCACAGAAAAAGAGACCTTGGCCACAGAGCTCGCACTTACACGCATGCAGTTCAAAGAAGTCTCGTCAAAGCTCGAAGTTATCAAGCAGAAATTTATCAGCATCGAACACAAGTGCAACACTCTGGAAACGGAGCTCAAGTCAGTCAGGGAAGAACTTATCAAGGCTAAAGACGCAAGAGACAAGGCAATTGCAGAGCGCAAGGAAGCCATCCACGAACGTGATGTGGCCGTGCAGTGTATGGACGAAGCAATTGAGGACCGGAACGGCGCTATCCGAGCGCGTGACAGTGCCATCTTCGACTACCAGAGTGCGAAGACCGAGTTGGTCCGTGACCAAGCCTTACTCAAGGACTGCCAACTGAACTTGGAGACGCTGCAATATCGGTTTGAAATTGTTATCAAAGAGCGCGATCATGCCGTTCATAACCAATCCAGTCTGGAGCATTTCCGAGATGAGCTTGTTGAGCAATTCAAGGAGGCCGATGCCCGGGCCCATCACTTTAAGATCGAGTTCGAAAAGGCGGTCGACGCTAAGCAGCATGCCGAGGACGAGGTGTCGACTACGCTGAAGAAGATGGAGGACCTGCGACATGATAAAGATGTCCTTGTTATCGAGCGAGAGCAGCTCTATCTTCAGTTGAAGGAATCTGAGGCAAGACGGAACGAGGCCATTGCCAAGGAATCCAAGGCATTCGAAGATCTCCTTGAAGCCACACAAGAGTGCGCAAGGATGACGAAGAAGTACGAGGATATGGAAGACGAATTCCAGAAGGCCGATAAGGAGCGCGCCATCCTTGAGGAGAAACTAAAGACCATTGAAGCCGACCTCAAAGCCGCGAAAGTGAAAGAAGCATTGATGGCTGACCAGCTGGAGCACGCCAAGGCGGATGAGATCAAAGCACTTCGGGAACGGAATGAAATGGCAGAGAAGCTCTCCATTTCCGAAGACCTCAACAAGACCCTGAAGAAGCAGAAGGACGAATTGGAGAGACAGCTCGAAGCCAAGATTAGGGAACTGGAAGGCAAACTGGCGCAGAATGGAAACGAGAATACTGCACTCAAAGCCAAGGTCGACAGCCTCGAGAAGGCTTGCAGCAAGGCTGAGGGGGAGAGAGACAACAAGATCAGAGAGCTCGAAGACACGAAGCACCAGGCTGTCGATCAGAAGACCAAACTTGACAAGGAGGTTTTGGATCTCAAGAGTGACGTTGCAGAAGCCCAAAAGAAAGAGCGTGAGACCGACAAGATGCTGCAAGAGAAGGCCGGTGAGCTTGAGAAGGAGAAGGGAACCATGAAAGCTTATGCTGGCAATGGTGAAGTGCGAGGCAACATCTGGGTCAAGAACATCAACTATGGCACGATGCGTCTCCCAGACAGCCACAAGGCGTATAAGATGGCCCTCGACCGTTTCTACAATGCAAAGGCTACCCCTCTTAGAGCGGACAACAAAGCCATCGGCTTCGACCCCAACCCGGGCGTTCAGAAAACCTTGATTGTCCGCTGGGCTCAGAAGGACAAGGAAGGAAAGTGGGAAGACAAAAAGGCTCTCTATGTGTGGGAGCGGGGCTTGACCGGTGATGAGATTGACTTTCCCGTGGTCGGAAAGGCCTAGGCGAGAACAAGAGGCTCGTTGGACGGAGGACAGCGCCGAGGCGTGGCGGCGAACGGGCAGATGCATAGGCCACGCATGTCACAACTGGCTTTTTCTTTGTTTATTTGGTGATAATTTTGTCTCTTATGTATTTGGGTAGCCAATGAATAAGCACGGAGTCCTCTGGCCCAACGACTGTCCTCGGTGCTCATGCCATGTAGCATCAGGCTGCGGCTCTCTAGCAAAGTTTGATACGCAGCCTTGTCGCCAACATTAGACGCCAACCATATTAACCTTAGCGTCATTGCCTGGTGAAACTGCGACGCTTTCGCGACATATGCCTGCCTCATAAGCACTTCAACTTTCTTCCTCTCACTTAAGCATCTCATTCATTCAATAATCGCAGAGGACCTCTCACACCATCTCAATAATGTCTACCAACACCCAAAGCTCAATTTTGCTGCGATTGATGGAGATGGGCGAGTTCAGCGACCTCAGGTTCGTCTCCAACGACGAGGAGTTCAAGGTCCACAAGGCGGTTGTTTGCATCCAGTCTCCGGTGATCAAAGCGGCACTTCAAGGAGCGTTTGAGGTCCGTGCACCTAGCCGGGAGACTCCGCAGAGGTGGTTCGATGTCTCACGCTTGACAGGAGTCACACACCAATGTCGTCAACATGGATAAATTCAACCCTCCCACCGTAAGGCGGATGGTCCAATTCATGTACACCGGCGACTACGATGTGGGCGAGGATCTACTTCTGCCTCCTGAAGAGAATATGTCTGAAAGCATGAACGATGCGGTCGAGGGAGGTGAGGAGAATTCCTCCTCTGGCAACGTGGTTTCGGAACTGATAAATGGCTGGAAACAGGTATACTGCCGGAAGGTGAACCTCAGCCTCAACCTGGTGGGAGTGAAGATAATAGCAGATGCTCTCCAACGCCATCGTCCAGGAAATGCAGCACAGTATCTTCCCTCTTAGCGCATATCCGTGTTAACTCCATTGGCGACTATTACGGCATCGATGCCCTTGTTTCGCTCGCGAACAGGAAGATCGGCAATCTTCTTCAGAGCAGTACCGAGGATGAGCCTTGGCTTGAAAGCCTGCCCGCCATCATCGAAGCAGCCGTTCAGTCGACGGGAGATCATCAAGTACAGCGGCTCTTGGCTGGGGCGACTGCGGGGAATCTTTCCACCCTGCTGGCGTTAGATCGATTCAAGAACCTCAGCGTCCTGACGGACTTCTCGATAAGTATCTTGCAGAGCTGTGCGCAGGAGATGGTGTCCCTCACCAGAGACCTCGGCGAGGTCAAGATGCTCTTCCTCAAGTCGGACGAGATCCTACGAGACAATAAAGCAGAAATTGTAAAATTGAAAAAGTCCCTGTCGGCCTTGAACAGGACGAGCCAGTGCAGGAGCTGCGCTGCCGAGTTTACGTGTTCCATTGATCCGTTTGAACAGATTCTTCGCTGCAGCAGGTGCCGGCGCAAGCACTACGCATAGTTAGCTTTCGTGCACGTCCCGCGTACCTGGTTTGTTCCGGGCGCGCTGGAATGACTTCTGTGGTAGCTGCGCTCAGCATACTTTGTTATCTCACCGACGCCAGAATCAAAAGTTCCATCGGCGAAGAAGCGTGCAGAAAGTGACTTGAGAGTAGGTACCTGGCACAACTAAGAGGTGGATATACGGCACCCGCGGCCTATACACTCTATACACTTCACTAGCTTTTTCCCACACGGGGACAGTACAGCTAAGATCTGCCGGGCAGGCATACCTATCATTCATATACTCCCAGTTCGTAGCTTGACGCCTGTATGTCAGGTAAACTTCCAAATAGAAGGAGGGTCCAACGAGAGATGTATTTCATTACCATGAATTGGAATGATGTGAAAGGGGGAATTTTTCTGTCGAACACAACAACTAGACACAAGTCAAACTTGTTAACTAAGTGAGCGATGGCATAATCTCCGCGACGATATCTCAAGTTCGATCCGCCGGGTCTGAATAGCTTGCCTTCCCTGCCCACTAGCTTCAAGCAAGGCCCAACTTCTGCTTCTGCTCCGCCAGCCATCCTCGGGCAATGTTTTCGTGGGTGGAGAAGGTCACGCTATCTCCGAACCCCTTCAACCAAGTGATGAAGCGCTCCGACATGCCGATGATGTGGGCGAGTCCCGAGGTGTCCGGGTGCATCAGGATCGGGAAGACGAAGTCCGTGGACTCGGTGCCCTCGGTCGAGTTGTCCCACAGCCACATGAACTTGTCCTTCCACATCTGCTCCACCACGCGGGTCGACACGTAGCCCATGCTGTTGGCCAGGTGCGGCAGGTACTGCAGCGGCATCATGTCCTCGTTGTACCACCCACAAGGGATTTCGACGAGCGGATGTTGCCCTTCCGGATACGTCTGCGCCGAAATCTCCGTCGGGTGAAGCCACGACGAGGCTGGCTGCGAGAAGTCGATGGCCTTGATCGGGGGATCGCTCGGCGTGAACTACAAAAAGTCATTCAGCAACTGTTGTCTGGGAATAATGTCCAGAGCTCCCGCGCAGAAGGGGAGGTAAAGAAGCCATTATGGAATCAAAAACAGGTCGCAGGCACTTACATATGGCTGCGAGTCGTGATGCATGAGCGATGTGTCATAGAGGAACTCGTGTTGTCGCAGTAGTTTGACCGTCGTCTCTCGGATCGTGTACATGGGCGCGCGATACCCCCTGGGCTTTTTGCCGCACAGCTTCGTGGCCACTTCGATGCATTTGAGAAGGACGTCTCGCTCTTGCTCTTCGGTCATCTGGTAGATGCCTTCGTGGGAGTAACCGTGAAGTCCGATCTCGGCTCCCGACTCGACAACCTTCTGGACTGCGTGGGGAAACGTCTCGACGGTATGGCCGGGGATAAACCACGTCACCTTGTCTGCAATTCCGCATCTTTTGAGCATGTCAAGTAAGCGGATGGCGCCGACCTGACCAGCAAAAATCCCGGACGAATAATCGGCCATGTTGTTGTCCTTGTGACACCCGGTTCCGAGCCAGTGCGACACGGCATCAAAATCAAACGACAGAGCTACTTTGACGCGGCGCCGATGTTGCGGAGACACTGTAGGTGGAATTTGTGCCACGCTTCCCGCGTCACCGACGTAATATTCGCAATCTGTTGGCATTCCCCCGTTGACGGGCGCCAGATCCTGAGGACAAGCACTCATGACTACGATGAGGTCCGTCTGGGCCTGCAAAGTCACGAACTGACCCCGTTCGGAGGTTGGGGTCTTGATATCCAGTCCGCCGCGGTGGTCAATGGCCACATTCATGAACAGATTCAATGGATCAGGCACCCAGTCGTCCGCGATATGGAAGTCAGGGAACCGGTCTTTCAAGGCGTTGTGCATGTTGTCGGTGCAATTGTCATGGTACCCGTCGAAGCCCTGCATACGATATCTCTCGGCATCGCAAGCCGACCAAATGATGTCGTGAACGCCCTTTGTTGTGTCCTCCGTCAAGACTAGCATGGGCTTCCTCCGAGTGCTGTATAGCGCATCGCCTTTTGAAATGGCCACATTGAGTAATATGGTTCTGGTATGAACCATCGACAGAAAGTCATTTGGGTCGCTGGGGTTGAACGCCCAGAAGTCCACCACTTGCTTGCCAAACGTGTTGACAATCTTCAGTTCCTGTCCGGCCGCGACGGGGATCGCGACCGCCTTACGTGCTGGTAGGATGGCCATCTCGCTGCGGATTTGTGGCGCGAATGACCAGAATGAGGATCGGCAGGCAAAGATTGCAAAAGCTCGCGGTTCAAGTGTGATTTGGTGTTGCGGATTCTCGAGAACAAGATGATTGAGGAGATGTCGGTTTTCATCCTGCAAGCTCCCAAGCATTTCGATGGTTGTCGGACATGAGCGCTCGAAAATATCCTGCCTAGGAGAAACGCATATCTATTTCCATTCATTGTGGTCAGCGTGGAGATTACACCCATCTCTTTAAGTGGTTGAGCCGCTCCGTTCGATCGTTCATCATTCGTGAATTGGTTTCGACCTGTAAAAGCCTCAGCTCATGGGAGGCCAGAAGCGAAACGTGGAGAGCGGAGCACTCCACCTCACTGGGTACAGAGGGATCAAGCCTTCCGTACAAGATCTAATGAACGCAGCAGTACTTACTGGACGAACGTCTTTCTTGAGCAGGTGTCCATATAGGAGCATGGGTGACGATATTTCGATTCTTGCAAGCTTGCCAGGGCTGGTGTGGTTGAGCATTGCGGTTGAACTCGATGTTGCCAGTGGGCTGATGGTTGCCGCTTTTAGGGAGTGTAACTACCAGTGTCTTGGCCGACCCAAGCAGCGAAAAGATGATGCCGCCTTGTGAGTTTCCCTAAGCAGTCTAGTGCCTCTTGCCCTGATACGACGGAGGAAACTCGCTGGTTTACTGCCGATTCGATATCAGTTTCCCCGGGTTTATCGTCTTCGACCTTCCAATCGTCCATTCTTGCGCCGGTGTTGCCTAGACATGCCACGCACTTTTTCTTGACACCAATCCTACGATGCAACAGCCCGCAGCCGAGAATGAATCTTCCCGCAGACGGCGTTTCAAGATCCGAAGCGAGTTCGGGCTTGCAAGGCAATGGCGAAGCCGGAAGAATCGCCCCTGCGATGCCTGCCGCAAAAGGAAGAGCGCCTGTGTCATCGAAGATCGGCCACCATGTGAGTGATGATATGGGTGAACTTGGGCCACAGACTCACTTATCGTTAAAGGTCTCTTCTGTAGAGGGAGGGGACTAGACTGCCAATCCACCTCTCAACCTCGAACTGTGCGGCAATCGCCCAGCCAGGAACCAGACCTAGATGAGGAGCCAATGGAACCATTGGAGTCGCTGACCGAATCACATCTGGTTGAAGAGAGAGCGCTGGAGATGCAAATCAGCCCTGGAGATGTCGATGGCCATCATCTTCTCCCTTCACCCGATTCTCACACGGGGAGTATAGAGATGCACAGCCGTCTGTCAAGCTCTCATCCAAGACCTCCCAGCAGCAATGAGGTCCATGTACTGGAACCCCAAATCCATACCCTCGAGGACGGGAAGGACTTGACAGCACACTGCATGGGGTTATCGGCAGAGCAGGATACTCATCTCCTTGCGTCCTTTCGATCCGTCATCATCAATGAGACCAATCGTGTCGACGGTGACATCATCCAGGTTTACTCCGGCAATCCTGCCACAGGGACACCGCCTCTTCACTTCTCCATACTGAGAGATTGGTTCATGCCATACGATGACCGTATCAAAGAGGAATCCTCGCGAGAAATCGAATTCAAGGTTGGGCCACACGGCCCTAGCCTTGTCCGCCTCTACTTCAAACATGTCCATCCCGTCTTCTGTGTCGTGTCCAAAGTCCGTTTCCTTCGTGCGTACAAGGAGGATAGGCTGAGCATCCCCGCATCACTACGAGGAGTGGTCTACGGAATGGGTGCGGTCTACTGGAAACAAGATCCCATATTGAGGACACTCCATCGCCCGTTTGAACAATATGAGCTGTTTCACGCTGCCCAAGCTTCGCTTGAGAGGGAACTTGACGCACCAAACCTCTGGAAGTTGCAGGCCTGTCTATTGATGATTCACGAGAAGGCCGCGGGCAACGGTACGTTTGAAACGCCACGAACGTGGACGCTGTCGGCACAAGCCGTGGCGTGCGCGCAGATGATAGGGCTTCACCGCGATCCGACCCATTGGAAGATTGCACCGTGGGAGAAGAGCCTGAGGAAAAAGTTGTGGTGGGCTACATACGTAACCGACATGTGGGCATCCGTGAGCCATGGAAACCCCTTTTTGCTCCACGCCTCATCATACACGACTTCCAATCTGGACATGGACGATATGCGATTCGATGAGGATGTCCCCGAAGATCTGAAGGATATGGTAGACGCCGCAAATGGGAACTTTGATGTTTCAACGGCAGCACGGTTCCTCGAACTTGTGAAGCTCACCCAGATACTCCACAACCTACTGGACACTGCTTTGTAGGGGCCTTCTTTCTCCGGGCAGAAGCTGCACCCAGACTAATCCTCCTTACAGTTCAGACCATGCATACCGAGCCGCGATGCTAGACCTTGCAAGTCAGGAGATCAGACTGTTGAAGATCCAGAGGGAACTTGAATCCTGGCATTCGCTGATGCCACAGTGTGTCACCATGAACTACAACACAACCAGATTTGAGTTCCGCAACAATGGTATGCACGGCAAGAAACGCAGGCGGATCTCGTGTCACAGCTGACTGTCGATTAGCACCACTCCACCTTGCGTACTTTGCAACTCAAGTACTCCTTTTTCGAGCTTTGATGACGCCAGCTTCGATGGCTGCGAAAAACAATCCGTTGTCATCTTTGCGGCGGTATTTTGGTGCAGCAATAGAGCAACTCCGTGCCTTTTTGGCATTCATGAACGAGATAACGCTCGAGGGTCTGCAAGCATTCTGGGGCCGACGCAAGTCATCCTTTGTTTCCTGTGGTGATATGAAGAAGTGTAAACTGACAGAAGTAGATGGAAGATCGCAGTTGATCCTCATTGGCAATTTCTTGATACATCTATTCCTCCTGTCCTCCAGTCCCGAGCAGGTTAGCGCCACATTTCGACTCCTGGAGCACTTTCATGAATCCCTTCAGAGGATAGGTGAACTCGTGGACGAGGAATCGGTGGGTCTGATCCGGCCTGTGGCGCTAAGGATCGACTCCTTCTTCACCCAGGCGGCGCAGATTATGAGACGAGGCCTGACGACAGGCTCCTATTCCGAAGCAAGGATGGTGGAGACTCCGCCATAAAGACAAAGTGCAATCCCCGTGGCCGGCTGATGAGTAATAGCAGTATCCGGGGTGTTGGCTGGAGCCCTTGACGTCCCTCGTCGGCAGCTTCTCTTGCGTCCAGAAGCGTTGCACCGCAATCGCTGCACTACAACGTCTACTAGACCTTGTCGCTCGATATTTGCGCCCTCACAGCTACACAGCGTCTGAATAGCCCGTACATTTCCAGACCTTTCATTCATCACCTCCGAAAAACACCTTGATTGGCATCCAAGAATCGTTGACGACCTTGAACCTGGTCGTGATACCACTGAGCGCTTCCATTTCGTGTTGAGTCAGCTCCCAGTCATCCAACTGGAAATTTGTCTCAATCCTTGAAGGTGTCACGCTTTTCGGGATGATACTCGTGCCTCGTTGGAGGCTCCATAACAGTCTAAAAATCCGGTCAGTCCCATACATCACCCCTTCACAAGAACAATAGGGACTTACAAAACCTGGGCAGGAGTCTTTCCGAGTCTCTGAGATATTTCCAACAATGCCGGTTCCTTGTAGAGGGGATTGTCTGTTGCACCTCCGAGGCAGGAATAAGCTGTACAATGTATGCCTTTCGACGTACAATACTCCAATAGTTTAGGACTGTCCATGGATCAGCACGACTTCCAGAACCACCACGGAGGGACGGAGGGACTCACGACGGGTTGCCAGGGTGCAATTCGATCTGATTTACTGCAGGGACAACCTTGCAAGATGGATCACCAAGGAGCTTTTCCAAGTGTCGGATCTGGAAGTTGGACACGCCAATGTTCTTGACTTTTCCGGTATCCAACAGCTTTTGCATCTCCTGCCTTCGTTGTCCAGTCAGCGGCTCATTGCCTCACTAATCAACGGTAATAACGCACCACGTGTTGACAAAGTCCCAGTCTGGCAGATGCTTCGCTGGATCTTCTGGGTCAGTGGAGCAAGGAAAATGAACCAGATACAGGTCGATATAATCGAGTCCCAAGTCAGCCAGGGACTTGTCGAACCCTTCACGCACTCTGTGGTGCCATGGATTGTCCAGCTTCGTGGTTACCCAGATATCCTCTCGCGGAACCCCTGAATTTCGGATGCCTTGGCCAACCTCGACCTCATTGCGATAATTCAGGGCTGTGTCGATGTGGCGATATCCCGTCTGCAGCGCATGACTGACCGCGTTGCGGACTTCGTTTGGCGGCGATTTCCAGGTTCCAAGACCTACACCGGGCATTTCTGCTCCGGTGTTCAATGTGAACTTCTGAGACGTGTGGTTGATAGTCGCCATCCTTCCTTATCTGGGCCCTCGACGATGACAGAGATAACGGACGAACAAGGCTGTTCAGAGACATCATGCCGGGACCGCATTATTGAGTTGGGCTTTTGTACCAGCTCGGCCATGGGAGGTGCTGGCCCGTATGACCAGCGGTATCAAGATCTGGTCCACATACCAAGTATTCGATGGAGATATGGGTAGCCTTGTGGCACCAGAGGGAACCCTGCATACGGAGAACTTCCCCTCCTAGATCAACCATTTCCAGTTCGCCGAATCCAGACCCGACCGCAGAAGAGATACCTACGTTAGCAGAGATCGGCCAACTCTGCTCCCCACTTTATCGGCTAACTTGGAGCAACTGGGCGACCAGCATAGTCGTTGTGCCACTTAACCAACCAACATGTATAAGCACTGTCTCCGACTCCCTCTCCCACTGTGATCGAATTTTGCCCCATCCAACTCCTGCCACGACTACACGTTTCATTCTCTTTCGTAACAGTTTCTTGCCTTACGGAAACGTGCCCCCGGCCACAGGCTTTCTTCGCGAAAGACCGACCAATATGGGGCTCAAGTGGGAACAGCTCAAGCAGCGGCTGCAAGTGTGAGCAGCGCCCAAAGCACTCCAAATTGCTATGGAAGGTCGATTTGCTGACGATCGACGTCCCTAGGCCCAAGGACGAGAACTCGTACTACGACAACACGAGGTGGTGCAACCGGGATTTGATTCCCATGCCGCCGGAGAGGCGGACCTGGGGTATATGGGGATACTGTGGTGGGTGGATACAGGCGTGCTTTGCACCGCGTATATACTGACTGGCTCCAGGATACTGGACTGTCTCAGGATCCTGCATCTCGGCATGGTCGACGGGAAGCACATTGCTGGCCTTTGGGCTCAGCCCACAACAAGCCATCGGTGTCGTGGTATGTCATTGTCTCAATGAATTCAAGATGGAACATGCTGACAAGGGATGTAGATTTTGGGAGGCGTTCTAACAGGTCTTCTGGCCGTGGCGTGTGGCTGGATGGGTGAGAATCATCACATTGGTTTCACCGTGTCGTCCCGATTTTCCTGGGGCATGCAGGGGAGCTACTTCCCAGTGGTACTTCGTGTTTTCGTGGCGTAAGTTCCCCTACCGACGACCCATATCATTGGTTTCTACAAGTCAACGGATCTTCTTGCCATTATACCTGATGATCGAGACAACAAAGCTGACTTCACTGTCCAGTTGCATGTGGTTCGGAATGCAGGCATACTGGGGAGGTCAAGCCACAAGGGTCCTTTGGGGAGCTATCATTCCAGGTACTTTTGACATTGGTTGGGAAGGACTGTGCTGACCAGATATCCCAAAGGCTTTGCGCACATGAAGAACTACTTCAGCGAGGGGTCGCACCTTTTGACTAACGACTTCATCGGGCTGATCATTTGGATGTGCGCTTTCATCCCGCTTGTCTTGGTCCGTCCGGAGCGACTGCAGATCCCCTTTGCGATCTCCTTCGTCCTTTTCGCCGGGTCTTGCTTCGGGCTGCTCATATGGTAGGATATAGAGGCTCGCTGTTGAAGAGATAGGCTTGCTGAAATATTGTTAGGGCCGTCCACGTTGCAGGAGGAGCCGGCAGCATGTTCCATGAGCCGGGAAGCAGCGACAATGTGGGCTGGGCATTTATGTTCGGCATCACCGCCATTCTCGGCGCCTGGGGAGCGGGAACCTTGGGCCAGTCCGACTGGACGAGGTATGCTAACCGCAAATTCGCTCCGACGCTGTCCCAGTTGGTTGCGGCTCCCATCACCATCGCTGTCACGGCCACGATTGGCATTATTGTTACCAGTGCTGCCAAGGATATCCTCGGAGGAGACATTGTCTGGAACCCCATCTACTTGTTGGCGGATATCCAAGAAGAATATCACTCCAGCCCCAGGGCACGAGCCGGTGTATTCTTTGGCAGCTTGGGGCTTGTCAGTTCCCAACTTGCGGTAAGTTGACATTGAACGCTATTTGCGCGTCCGTCGTTGGACAGCTCTGACGGACTCCAGATTTCTGTCGTGCTGAATTCGGTGTCGACTGGCATGGACATGGCTGGGCTGTGTCCCAAATATATCAACATCATCCGAGGGAGTTATATCATGGCGGTGATTGGTATCGCCACCCAACCATGGCAACTGTTGAGCACGGCAGACAAGTTCCTCAAAGTCCTCAGCGGCTTTGGCGTTTTTATGGCGCCTGCGACGTATGCCTCCCATTTCTCTTTGGGTTCATCAGGAAGTGACTGACCTTGGTTCTTTTGGCAGTGGCGTTATGTTGGCTGACTATCATGTCGTACGTCGTACCAAGTTGAAGCTCAACGATCTGTACAGGGGAGACAGCTCGTCGATCTATTGGTTCAACAAGGGTGTGAACTGGCGGGCCGTTGTCGCCTTCTTCTCTGGAGTCTGGCCATTGTTGCGTAAGTATTTTGCCCTGTCAGTGCACTCGGGCTGGATGAGAGATACTGACAGAATGTAGCTGGTCTCGTGGGCACTGTCAACAGCAGCACAGATGCATCCTTTGTCGGTTGGATCCGTCTGTACAATCTCACCTTCATCGTCGGGCTGGCCATGAGCTTCTTCGTCTTCTGGATCTTGAACTTCTTCTTCCCGCCGCCCGGTCTGGGCGAGGAGGCTCCTTTCGTCGAGGATGACGTGCTCTACGGAGTCGACGAGCGCAGTTCCGAAAGCACCGACGAGAAGAACCTTGCCTTCGGTGCTCACGGCAACGGCAACACCGGCGACAACAAGCAAGGCGCTGTGGCGACGGTTTCCGTGTAGGGGTTTCGCGAGCGTTGGCAATCTTGTCTGTCTGTGCTGGTGACTGCTTCTGATGTGGCAGGGGACGATGGCGGCTTGGGTGTGGTGCTGTGGCAGCGAAGAGACGTGATGGCCACATATACAATTGATCGTGGTAGTCGCCCCGTTGCTCCATTCTGACATTTTTCATGCATTGAAACCAAATTATGTCTGCCACGAGTGTTGACAATCTCGAGAGCTCTGTCACACCCAAACTCATTCTCTGGGCACTCCTTGGCCAATTAGCATATCCTAACATTAATTCATCTCGACAATGATATCGCCCTCTTGACTCTCAGCAACACAGTCTCACTGACTGTTGAATCGAGTGCATATAACCAACTACGCAATTCCGAAGGAATCTCTCTTAACACGTAAAAAACAAAAGCTATATCATTGTAAATTTGCAAGGGTATTTCTCTTCGACATGGCTATATTTTAATACCTCTCCGTCTCCATGCTATCGAGGAGATGTCAGACTTTGGCTATGCTCAATCTGTTGATCTCAACTAATACGTCGCGTTCAACCTCATCTCGATATACTCCCTCGCGTTGATGGGGTCGTACTTCTTGGGCTTCTCGGCGCTGTAGCAGCCGGGGATGCAGTCGATGGTCCGGTCGCGGTCGGCGGTGACGAAGTAGGGGATCGAGTAGCGGGCGCGGGTCATGCCGTGGGCCATGGGGGGCGCGCGGACGCGGTGCAGGGTGGACTTGAGGGTGTCGTTGCTCCAGCGCTGGAGGAAGTCGCCGATGTTGACGACGACGGTGCCGGGCACGTAGGGCGCCGGGTTGAACTGGCCCTTGACGTGGACGTCCTCGACCTCGAGCCCGCCGACCGCGTCCTGGAACAGGAGCGTCATGGTGCCAAAGTCCGAGTGCGCGGCGATGCGCTCCATGGCCCCGCCGCGCAGCAGCTCCGCCTCGACGGGCGGGTAGTGCAGCAGCCGCAGCTGGTTGTCCTTCTTGGTGTGGTACTCGCGGAAGAAGTCCTCGGGCAGGTCCATCCCCAGCGCGATGGCGCGCAGCAGGCTCAGCGCCGTGCCGTAGCACGTGTCGAAGAAGGTTGTCATGAACTGGCGGAAGCCGGGGAGAACCTCCTCGGGGAACCAGATGTTCGGGGTGCGCTCGTCGTCCTCGCGGCCCAGCTCGAACGACTCCTTGAAGTCCGGGCACTTGCGTAGCTGGTCGATCGAGGCCTGGTCAAACACCATCTGCACCACCTTCTCCCGCCCGATCCCAGAGTATCCCCGGTGCCACCACCCGTAGGGGGGATGAGGCGCCTTGTCCTTGTCCGCCTGTGGGAGCGCGAAGAATTTGGAGCTCTGTCGCGGGAGATTAACACTGTACCATTGACGCAAAATGAAGAGGAGAGAAAGGACGACGAAATGCTCACCCAGTCAAACGCCTGATCCAAGAGTTCCTGGGGCAGTCCGTGGTTCTTGATGTACGCAAAGCCCACGTCTCGAAACGCCTGGTAGACCAGTTTTCCCGTCTCGCGAGCCTCGTCAGGAGTCCCCGAGCGAATGGGCTCGAGATCGATGATGGGGATGGCGAGTTCTTCGGGCTGAATGGCCATGGTAGCTCTTTTTCAAGGTCTGTGTCTCTCTTTCATCAAACAATGTGGCAATGGAAATCTTGTCTCGTCCCGGTCCTCAGCCGGTGGCAGTCACCTTGTCTCGTAATATTGATGATGGTCTTGGACCAGATGTCAGCGTCGACATCGATATTGGGCTAAACGGGGCTCAGCATATGTTTTTGCACCTACCGCCTGCAGTATTTAGCTGCTTTGACACCAATACTAATACTTAGCCCGAGGGGAAAAGAGCGGAGACGTCCATCCGCGCGTGAGCCTAGAACGACTTCTTCCGAGTATTTGGCCGATCTGTCGCCACGCCAGCATTGTTGATACTCCTCCCCAGTAGTCTCGACTGATATGAGAGGATCGGAAGTCGCATTATCCTGCATAGCAGTGCATATCGGTAGTGGTGTTCGATGTGAAGCTGCGAAACGTGGCGTACTTGATTGTTAACCGATCGCGCCCATGGCTTCGGCCAAAGGAGCAATGTGGCGATTGGGGATCTTCCTTATGAGACTCTATGTTCGATGGATAAAGGGAACCGGAAGGAATTAGCCTCGTGGGACCCATGCACGTCGATCGTTGTATTGTAAATGTGCCGATAGACATACCCGGGGTAGTGGCTGGGATCGTTGGAATAGTGTCTGAAGTTGGCCGACCATACAAGGCGCCTTCGCCCAACCTTTTATTGTCGATCGACCGTTTGATAGGCGAAAGAGAGGGCGGGCCTTACAGCGAAGGAGGAGAGGAGGAGGAAAAGCAGAAGAGAGGGCGCCATCTGCGGGCCCGTAGAGGGTGGATTTCTGCGGCGCGGCGCCCCAAGAAAAGTCCGCGAGGGCTTGAGTTGAGTCTGCGTTTGCGGGTAAATCAAATCTTGGGATATTGATATGCTGCCACAAAGTTCCTATCGTCGTGCTATTGCCAATGTGGCCACTGAGACAAGACAAAGCCACGCACATATTCTACTCCTCTTCCTTGTCGAACTGGTTGATAAAGACGTGCAGAATGACAAACTGCCGCCTGCTGGGTCCCAACCGCGCAACTCCGAGAGATGATGGACTTTGGCCTTTCGACTGAGAATCCACCATCGGCCAATTCCTTGCTCGCGCCCTGTCCGGATCGGCCAAAGAACTAGAAACAAAAATGAATGATGCCTTCAGAATCCTAAGGGCAACGAGGTACAGGAGGCAAGAAGGAGGGAAAGATAATCACCTCACCATCTCAACAAAGAGGAGGCCACAACCAATGTGCAAGAAACAGGGCTAAGGCAATCACACCATGGGGAGCATAGGCACAACCGATACGCAGCATCAGCCATATCGCATCGGGGTGGATGTGGGAGGTAAGCAAGAGAACAAATACCACCCAGCCACCTACCTCCTTACGCATCTTTGCGCTCATAACAGGCGCCTTGTTCGCTAACAGCGTGTCTCCCAGGCACCAACACCGACGCCGTGCTCATCTCGCTGTCGCCAACCCAGATCGTCGCCTCGCACAAGGCGCCCACCACGCCCGATGTCACAACGGGCATCACCGAGGCTGTGCGCGCCGTCATCCAGGCCAGCAACGTGGCCCTGGACGCCATCAGCTGCGTGATCATCGGCACGACGCACTTTGTCAATGCCGTCGTGCAGCGCTCGTCGGCTCTGCAGCGCGTCGGCGTTGTCCGCCTGTGTGGCGGCAGCGAGCACGGCTTCGGGCTCGGGGTGCCTCCCTTCGTGGACTTCCCCCGCGACCTGCGCCGGCTGATCGCCACGCGGCCTTTCTTCTGCCACGGCGGCCACCAGATCTCGGGTGCTGAGATCTCGCCCGTCGACGAGACCGAGCTGGCGAGAGTCGCTCAGGAGCTGGTCGCTGACGGTGTCTTCAACGTGGTCGTCTCGGGCATCTACTCGCCGCCCAATGCGGCACACGAAATCCAAGCCGGGAAGATTCTGCTGGAGAAGATGCACGAAGCGGCCGCTGCGGCTGGTCTGTTATCATCGACGTCGACGGCGGCGCGACCACGACCCCGAGTGACCCTCTCCCACCAGATCTCGTCCCTGGGCTTCCTTGCGCGCGAGAACGCGGCAATCCTGAATGCTGCATTGAGGCCCCTCGCCGAAAGAACCATCTGGGGCTTCCAGAAGGCCATGCTGGAAATCTTCCAGGGGGCGCCCTGTGCACTGTACCTCACGCAAAACGACGGGAGCGTGCTCAATGCGCCGGACGCCATCGACCTGCCGATCCGCACGTTCAATTCCGGTCCCACCAACTCCATCCGAGGCGGCGAGTTTCTGTGGACCACAGCAAGTACAGAAGCGGAACACAGGGGCATCGCAGCAGTACGTCAAGATGCCCTCGTGGTGATTGACATTGGCGGGACAACCTCGGATAGCGGCCTGTTACTACCCAACGGACTACCCCGGATGAGCTCGCTGATGAGCCTTGTCGGCGGCGTGCGCACGAACTTCGCCCTGCCAGCCGTGGAGAGCGTCGGTCTTGGGGGTGGAAGCATCGTCAGGAACACGGAAGACCATCTCACGGTCGGACCCGATAGTGTGGCGCTGGAACTGCCCCAGAAAGCTCGACTTTTCGGCGGCGACGTCCTGACGGCGACTGACATCGTGGCTGCGTCTGAGCTGTACTCGCCTTCTGGGGAGAATCCTCTCGAGGGTCTAGGAGACCCTGCGCGCCTGAGAGACATCACGCCGGAGAAGGTCAAGAGAGCTAAAAAGGAGATGCGCCGGATCGTCGAGGAGCTAGTCGACCGGACCAAAGTGCAGAAGGGCGATGTGGACGTCTTGATCGTCGGTGGCGGTGCCATCCTGATCGACACGGACGAGCCGCTCGCGGGCGTCCGCGCCGTGCGGAAAGTCAAGGGCGGCGAAGTCGCCAACGCAGTGGGTGCGGCGATTTCGCGAGTCTCGGGCGTCGTGGACACAGTGGTGGACACGTCGCATCAGACGCTGAAGGAGGCCCAGGACGTGGTGTCGAGGCTAGCTTGCGACGCTGCTGTAGCTAATGGCGCCAGGCGCGAAACCGTCGAGATCGCCGAAGTCACCATCCTTCCCATCCAGTATGTCGACGCAAAGGCTCGGATATTGGTCAGGGCGGTAGGCACGCTGGATGCCGTCAAGCACGCCAAACAAGGAGCGTCCCTACAGGTCGCTCCGCCAGATCTGCCCCAGCAGAATCTAGACAAGACACTGGGTGGTCGTGTTATCTCGGGCCACTCAGCAGAAGAAGACGAAGAGACTACCGAGACCGTCATCGACTTGGAATCGTACCAACCGCGGGTTGAAAACCACGAGTGGATCATCTCAATGACAGATCTCGAATGGATCTCAAGCGGGTGCAAGATCCTCGGGTGCGGCGGTGGCGGGGATCCCTACCAGCAGTTCCTCAAGATCACGTCGGTGCTGAGGAAAGCTCCCGGCTCCATCAAGGTGATGTCGCCGACAGATCTGCGTGAGGGCGCCATGATCGGGTGGACGGGGTGCATGGGGAGTCCCGAAGTCAGCATGGAGCGGATGGAGGCGGACGAGTGCAACAAGGCTCAGGACGAGCTGAGCAGGTTCCTGGGCCTGCGTGGTGACCGTCCCGTGGACGGGTTCATGGCGGTCGAGATCGGCGGCGGCAACGGCCTGGTCAACCTCGAGGTGGCGGCCGCGCACGGCGTGCCCTGCGTCGACGCCGACTGGATGGGCCGCGCGTACCCGACCTTCTGGCAGACGACGGCCAACGTCTACGGCTCGCCTCAGGGAGAGGCCCTACTGCCCGCGACCATCGCCAGCGGCGACGGCTCGTTCATGACCATGACGGCCAGCCGGACAGACAGGCTGGTGGACAGCATTCTGCGGGCCGCCACGGTCGAGATGGGGTGCCGAGCCGGCAAAGCAGGCCCGCCCAAGACGGCCCAGGTCGTCCAGGACCAGGCCATCCTGCACACCGTGTCGTTGGCGTGGTGGATCGGGCGGGCGGTGGCGCTGGAGAAGAACGTCACCGACCGGGCAACGCGTATCGTCGAGGCCGTCGGCGGATCCGCAAGCGCACGCATCCTGGCCGAGGGCAAGATCACCAGCGTCGAGCGCGTGCTGAAGACGGGCCACTCGTACGGCGTTGTCGAGATCGACGGCGTCCTGAGCTCCGGAGCCAAAGCCACGGTCCGCATCCCGTTCAAGAACGAAAACGCCTTTGTCGAGGCCACCACCACAGCTGACAACCAGACCTCCATCCTGGCCTCCGTGCCCGACCTCATCGCCGTGCTCGACCTGGAGACCGGCGCGGGGCTGGGCACGCCCGAGTACAAGTACGGCCTGAAGGTGACGGTCGTCGCCATCGCCGCGTCTCCTCGCTGGACCGACACCCCTCGGGGACTGGAGCTGGGTGGGCCCGGCTCGATGGGCTTCGACCAGGTCGAGTATGTGCCGATTGGGACGTACACCAAGCCACGGAGTGTGATTGAGACGTTTTCAAAGAGTTAGAGAAAAGGAAGCATATCTTATTAGAGATGGGTAGATTCCACGGATGTTTTATCATTTACATGATGGTTGTTGGCCATAGAACTTTGATATTCGTAATCTCTTCGGCGACCAAGGACAAGGCCAGGACTTTATTGTTCTTGGAGTCGACTCGCTGCTAGGGTCCGAGTGGTAGAGTGTCATGGACGACCACAACTCTAAAGTGTTGGAGACGAGGACGAGGACAAGGCTGAGTTCCCAAAAGGGGGGCAAGCTTCCCAAATCGGAAGCATATGATGTTATTAAGAATATCAACTCGGTGAAACGGAACAAGTGGAATCAGTCCTCAGGACAGGACTCCAACTGACTGCGCAGGGAATCGTGAATTCCATCATGCATGCCCTGTAAGGGTGTGTCCTCCAGAAGCAGCCCACGAGTCTCGGTGACGGCTCTCTTCTGGGAACAGATACGCTGGACTTGCGTGGGAAACGGTGCTAACGGTGTCCATCACCTCTTCAAGGGGATGATAAACAAGAAACGAGACCGCGTCTACTCATGCATGGCATCAATTCGAAGAACCCTTGGCCAAGTGGCGTCGTATCATTGCATTTGTCACATTTCAAAACTCGCATGTCTTGCTCTCCTCTGGACAAATGAACCTTCAGCTCGACAGCACATGGCGGTTTCTGCCCTCTTCATCTCCTCAACGGGTTACTCATCGCACACGTCCTCCCATTCTCATTGCTCATTTCATCGCTTCCCCTTCTTCTTCGTGGCAACAACCTTGAATTGCGCATTGCTCTCCTCCTTCGCGGCACTGGCATTCGCCGGCCCTTTCTTTGCAACCTCGCTCCAGCCACCTCCCGCGCCGCCCGCCCCCTTGGTGTCTGCGCTTCCGCCGATCCCCATCATTGGCTGAACTCCAGTGGCAGGTTCCACGACGCCCTTATCGGCGAGCTTCCGGCGGCGGACAAACTCCTCTGCAAAGCGACGTCCATCAAGGGTCTGCGAACTCGCATAGACACTATCTGATATGATTTCGACTTCGGGTGGGAGCTGCAGCAGGTCTTGAACGAAATTATCCACTGCCGCCACGTTAGTCTGACTACAGCCCATATAATATGGAAATGGACACTTACAGTTGATACCGCTGTTCAGCCCCTTCCCGAGTGACCCCTTGATCCACTTGGTAAATTCTTCATTGGCTTTGCTCTGGTTGGTGAGGGTGGTGTTGCGAGGTGTTTGGAGAGTTGGTCGTGCCTTGGGTGCGCTGCTCGCCGACACCGTGCGTGAGACTGGCTGGGGCGTTGCGACGACAGCAGGCGGGGCCTTGGCCTTACCGCCCGAGCCCACAGTCGTCCAGACGCCGCCCGACGCGGGGGGGTTTGCCGGAGCAGCTTTGCCAGCAAGTTCAGCGTATCTCTTGCCGGCTGAAGCAGTGACTGAATTACTAGCATTTTGTGCGCTCGCTGCAGCTGCTGCCGCGGCGGCAGCCCGCTGTTTGCGAGACTCTTCCTCTTTCTGGATCTGGGCCAGCGTCTTCTTCGGAGCTGCATTCGTTCCGGTACCTGTTTTGACAGGGTGTTGCTTCGCCCAGACAGAAGCGGTTTGTGCCCCGGGGGTCGCAGGTGACGTAGAGCTGCCCCAGGTTGACGTTGATGGAAGGCCGGGGGCGGGAGCGGGAACCTGAACTTGAGCCAATCTTTCCTGCTCCGCCTGTGCACGTCGAGCCGCCGCAGCGATTTCTTCCTGTTCCGCGGCACGTCTAGCTTCAGCTTCTTGAATTTCCTTCAAAGATGGACCTTTGGCATGTTCGGCGGTGCGCTCGGCCCATGGTGCAACGGAGACGACAGGCGTCTCGATAGGTGTTTGGGTTGCTGATCTAGACTCCGCGGCTAGGGCGTCGGCAACGTGTTGCCTATTGCGCTGGGCCGCAGGGGCGGGCAGGGGTGAAATCGAGACCGGTGGAGGTTCTACGGGAGTGTCTTTCTTTGCCCACGCACTTTCTTCAGCAGCAGCCTGTTGGCTAGCTGCTGCAATCTGCACTTGTTGGGCTAAAGACAGTGGCTCTGGCTCTGGCTTGGCAGTAACGGCAGCATGTCCAATTGGGGCCGGAACCTTTGGTGGCGCCGACGTGGTAGGTGGCTCGCTAATTTGACGTGGTGCACCAATGGGTTGAGGTCGAGGCTCTTCAGGGCCGAGACGACCAGCTGGTATGTCTATTTGTCCACGTAGTCTGTGGAACTCGTCCAGCCGCTCGTTGCGGCCCTGTGGGCCTAAAAAAGCGTCCTGATGACCGCGCATATCGGCTTGCTGCTGTTGTTGTTGCTGCAGCCGAGCCCTATCTTGAAGCATGGTGTTGACTTGTTGGGATGAAGGGCCAGCCTCTGGCGGTGGAGGACCTAAAGGGGCGCCTGCAAAGGGTAAATTTGCACGTTGAGTGAAGCTCAGACGGTCCATCATGTTGTGGATATCATCTTCGCGGCCAAAGGTTGGTCCTGCAGGAGGTCCAGCGTGATGGGCGAACGGTAGACTTTGCTGCGGAGGTTGCATCAATGGCTGGATTGGTGAGGGCTGATAACCGGTAGGCGAAGTGATGCTTCCGAAGCTAGGTTGGCTTTGCAGAGAGTGGGCGCTCGAATGATGGTGCAAGGAGTGCATGCCATTTTGCATCTGCATCTTCATAGCCATCTGCTGTTGCGCTAGATGTTCCTTTTGTCTTGCCATGAGGTACTGCTCTTCTTGCTTACGTCTTTCCAGAGCGTTCTGTTGCTCAGCGGTCAAAGTCGTGCCAAAGCTTGGGAAGCTGTTAGCAAAGGGTGGTTGGGCAGTGCCACCAGCAGCTCCTCCCATAGACGGATTGGCCCAGTTATTTCCTGGGCCAGCGGTGGGAGGACCGTGGGGAACACCAATTTGAGGCACCAAGAAAGGCTCGCGAGAGTTACCTATGCGTCTCACTAGTTGGGCAAGAGGCTCAAATTCGGTGTCCTCAAGTTTCTTCACCTGTAGCTCGGCCGTAAAGAAGCCGGCTTTGAACCAGTCGTGCATCTCTAGCCCTGACCATGGTCCTTGAGTATTTCCTTGAGGGTCACGGTAGATCCAGCGCATCCGGTCTGGCATGACCATTTGTCGCTGTTGCGCAGCTGGCAACTGACTCGAAGAATTACTTCCGCTCGATTGGCTGAGTCCATGGCCGGCTTGATAGTTATCCGAGCCGCCCGTTCTCGGTGCCGCCGTCTGCGAAGCTGATCCAGATATCGAAACCGATGTCGTTGGAGGTCCCGAGCTCGGAGGTCCAAACTGAGCAGGCTGGTTGGAATTCAGAGGTTCTTCGACACTCCTCATAGAAGGAGACTCTTCGAAGAGACTAGACGGATGACCAAACTCGTCTTGTCGACGGTTCGTACCGTCGAAAGGGTCGCGCATAGGATGTTGCTGAGCACTGTCTGGCCGAGAGTCAAAAGATGCAGTCTCGTTTCTGCTATCCCCTCGAATTTGTTCTTGCATCGCCGCAGGCAACATGGCTCCCAGCCGAGCAGCCCGTCCTCCAGAGCCAAATCCACCGAAGCCGCCTCCGAGGCCACCTGGTGACTGCAATTCGGACAGAGGACTGAATATTGGGTCGCCAAATGCGGCCGAAATCCCTCGATCCATTGCAGGTTTGCTCGATCCGATACCAGCGCCAGACCAAGTGGGATTGCCGCCGAGCCCACCAAAGCCCGACAGGCCACCAAACCCACTGGCACTGCGGAGGCCGCTTGCTGAATGGCTTCGATCGTCAGAACTAGAATACATGTTTCGACGTGCAGCGCCGCCAAAGGGCGGGAGACCTGAAGCCTGGGAGGCGGAGTCATTTGTGTCACGCTCATCATCATCAACACGGCCGTGAGGACTTTGATATGGGTTGGTGTTCGTTGGGCTCATGGGTTCGTGGAGGTTGTATCGTCCGTGGGGTGTCTGCTGGTATCCTTCATCGTGGCCGAAGTCACGGGTGCCAATCGCTGCATGTGGACCGAGCGCGGACATGCCCATTTGTTCGATGCCTACGCTGGCTGGTATGACCTCCTGAGCGCCACCTAAAGCTGCGCTGCCTGCCCGCACTGGTGCGTCCTCATATGGGTTGGTCTCACTACGACCAGGCCGCGTCTTGAGCTCGTCGCGCAACCTCGCCTGGCTGGCGTCCACATCTTCTTCCGGCAGCTTCTCAAGCGCTCCAAAAAGACCCTTGTCTTTGCCAGGTTGTGAGACATCTTCCGAACTCGACTTGGACAAAAGATCCTTGAAGCGACTCGCACTGCGCGCGCTACCAAAGCCAGGTCGTTTGTCGGCGGATTCGGTTGGCGTGCTTGCCGCACCTATCGCAAAGCTGCCAAATGTACCCATAGATCCAAATGCCGACCCTTGCCCTCCAGCTGACCAGGGTGATGCGGATGGAGGATTTAAGCCTGCGCTTAGAGGTCCAGTGCCTGCTCGGCGCAGTCCCGGAAACGAAGGTTGGGACTCTGGGGTTTCGTCCGGCTCGGGGTCTTCTTTTGTAGTGGGCGTGGCTTCTTCCTCCTTGTAATCCGTTCGACGTCGTAGCAAAGCAGGCGGAGGGGTCGCAGTGTTCGATTCGGTCCGGAAAAAGGTCTTCGTTTCTACAGGTGACATCGGCCCATTACTCATGAAAGATTCACTCGTCTCCCGACGACGCGTTCCTGGTCTGGAAGTTCCAGTCGTGCTGCTGTAGTTTGATAGAGAAGCCTTGCGCCCGCCAATTACACCCACTCCAGTGCTGTCTTTGGTGGTATTTTGCTGCGGTTTGATTGGCGAGTTGACCGAACCGGAAAAGAGCTGCCATCTCAGATCAGCCACGCCCAGAGATCTCGCGCGAATATTGGGTCTTGCTCACCGATTTCTCCTCCTCTGTCATGCCCCTTAAACCAAACGGCTCTGGATTTATGTTGTAGCTCCAACAGACCTCTGGCCCCGGGGTCTGGTCTTTTCCATCACCGCCGGCACCGTGACCGCCTGCCCCGTTTTGACCGTCCAAAGGATTCCACGTCCCCAAAAAGATATCTTCAAGGTTCCGGTCCAAAGCCGATGATTCTTTGAGATTTTGGAATATGTTGAGAAGTTGATCCTTGGAGTAGCGGGTGTCGCCAAGAGGAGCGTTTCGAGGCATGGTAGGGATGGCGGAGTTGAGGTGTGGAGGAATGTACACACCGCCGTTGTTCGCAGTGGACGATGCTACACTCGCGTTTTCTCGAGTCTGTGATTGTGTCTGTGAATGTGCGGTTGCTTGAGAGACTCTGCGAAAGGTTTGCGGGGCGCCGTTGACACGGCTTCTGGACCTGCAAAGGACGAAAATGTCAATGAAAATGGCCAAATGCGTACAAAAGTAGACAAGACAGGATGGATTGCGAGAGAGAGAAAGGTTTTGGCATTGAGGGTGCAACAACTCGAGACAAATTTGTGGTGCGCAATGTTGAAATCCTCGAGGCGGTTGGCCTACCAGTCATTTGAGCCCGCCGTGTCCCTTCTATTCCCAGAATTGTCACCATTCGTGCTAGCAGCAGCAGAGGCAAAGGTAGACCCGAATGGAGAAGGCATTTTCGAGGGAATGGAGGAATGGAAGTCGTAACGTGGACAGGGTCCGTCGAAAGTAGCTTTTTGGGGGGAGTCGAGAGTGAAATGCGGTATATGGGCGCGTGAGTTCGTGGGAGAACAGGCTGATCTGCCAGGCGCGGGGACGGGGTCGAACGACGGACGAGAAATATCGCGGGATATGCGTGATGATTTTACAGGATGAGATATTGGCGACTTGTAGATGTCGATTGTTATAGGTGCCAGAAAATCAACGCAGGACAGTTCGTGGGAGAACTGAGAAAGAGACAAGAGGAGAGAGTTGCTCCGGAGCGCCCCCAAGCAGTGGCATGCAGCCAGTAGGAGAGGCCCAGCAAATGGCCCTAATGGCCCCGGCTAAGGTGGCCCCGGCGGTCCCTAAGAGGCCACACCAAAGTGCCCTAGCAGCTGGCTGGTTGGGGGGCTCGCCTATAGGACGTGGCCCAGTGTTCCCCCTAGCTAGGCACCACATGGCTTGACTGGAAAGGGCAAGGGCAAGGCACAAGCAAACCCGGATTCTCCTGAGATCGATGAAGAGACCCATCCCACGCTGAATGTCGAAATTTCGGTTTGCCAATCACTACCTAGGTATCTTGCCCCACGCTTAGTTTTTCCCTCAGAAGGCCGCACAAAAGACCAGGGCCAGGGGAAAAAAGGGAGTGCGAACTGATCATATTGCACCAGAACATTGTCGAAACCAGGCCACTCTGTACAATTGTCTCCGGGAGTCCCCCAAACTCCATGCCTCCCCCAGCCCAGGTGTAGCTGTATGAGTTCCATCATCTTAACCGAAGCCTGCCCGTGTGACGGAGAGCAACGCCTACGCCGACCGCTGCTAAGCTCAGCGCCGTCAATCCCATGGTTTGGTAGCTGATCTGCGACTCTTCGACGACTCGCCCGATATGCGTCGGCCTTTGCTTGGCCACTTTATCTGCACTACTTCCAGAGAGTTCATAATCCGACCAGTCGACATTGCTGAGAAGCTGTCGAGAAGTTAGCGATCGGAACAGGGGCTCGGACCACTTGGGACAGTATCTCACCTTTTGATAGTCGATGACGGTGCGACTCCAGTTGTTGGTAATCTTACCACTTTCCTTGACCTTGTACCAGCTGTTGCAGTTGGGGTCTGCGAAGCTACTCTTCTCCAGTTCCGACTGGATTTCATCGTTGTACTCTTTGACCTTGGCCGGGTTAGGCTGGATCACTAAGCTGCCACCGTTCTTCCGGGCATCAATGACTTCCTTGATCATGGCATTGATGTATTTGCTCTGCGTCTCGATCATGAGGATGATGCTGTTGTGTCCCAGGTTCGTGTTTGGCCCGTACAGCATGCCGAAGTTGGGAAGACTCTCGACAGTCACACCGTACAGAGCTTGACCACCCTCCTTCCAAATATCGCTCAGCGTTCGCCCAGCGTTGCCCGTGATGTCAATGGGATGCATAAACTCAACGGTGCGGAAGCCTGTGGCGAGCACGATGAGATCGTAGTCCTCCTCTTGCCCGTCGGTGACGATGCCGTTGGCGGTGATCCTGTCAATTTTGCCCGTCTCCAGACGTACGTTGTCACGGAGGAAGACTGGGAAGTAATCATCGCTGATGATGACGCGCTTGCAACCAATCGAATAATTGGGCTGGAGCTTCTCCCACAAGTCGGGTCGATTTGGAAGTTGGGCATGCAGATGATCTTTGCTTTGCGCCTCCAGAAACTGTGCGGTCGTCGATGCGTTGTCAAAGACAGCTGCATGGAAGCCTTCCCGGAAATCCATCATGTCGGCTCGCTTTCGCCACCGGACAAAGGGAAGATATTTGTACACACTCCTCTTCCAGGGTGGAATGGCCGAATCAAGACGAGGAATGACCCAGTTTGGTGTTCTCTGATGGATGGTAAGATGGCCAACCTCTTTGGCAATCTCTGGGATGATTTGTGCAGCCGTGGCACCGTTACCAATAATGGCAACTTTCTTCCCTCGCAGATTGTAGCTCCAGTCCCAGCGAGCGCTGTGCATGATTTTACCCCGGAATTCGTCAACGCCTGGGATATCTGGCATCCGCGGCACATTCAGCTGCCCCACTGCAGAAACTAGAAAGTCAGAGGTGATGGTATATGTGCTCCCAAACTCAGCATCTTTAGCCCCCTGCACAGACACGGTCGTCTTCCACTTTTTTTCTGAATCGTCCCACTTGGCTGAATCGACGGCGGTGTTGAAGCGAACATAACGGTATAACTCGTACTTTTGTGCGACACCCATGAGATACTGCAAGATTTCCTCTTGGCCGGGATACTCCCTGGTCCAATCTGGGTTCTGTTCAAAGGAGTAGCTGTATAGATGCGACCAGACTGCGAAAAGCGTTAGAGTTTCGTTACCCTCAGACGGAGGAATGGTCTTACCATCACAACAGCATCCTGGATACTTGTTGTCTCGCCATGTGCCACCGAGCCCACCGCTTTTCTCGAGGATGACGAAGTTTCTGCAGTTATTCCTTTTGATCAGGTCGATTGCGGTGCACATGCCGGAAATGCCAGCTCCGATGATGACCACGGCTGCTTCAGTATGGTCCTTGTTGCCCACGGGCACCTGCGGCCATGGCATATCACCTCCCATTGTGCCGGTTTTGATGGTCTTTTCAAAGAAAATTCACCGAAGACGAGTTGGTTTCTGGAAGGGCACTCTAACGCGATCGATGTAGAAAGAGAAAGCTTCTATCCAAGGGAGCAAGATAGCAATTTAAGAGAGCCGCGGGAGCAACCAAAAAAAACCTCCAGGCAATACCTGATCTAGTGCCTGCGACACGACCGTCGAATTGTTCCGAGGTAATTGATGCGCGCCATACTGGGGTTTAGGAGTGGATGGAAACGAATGATGCTGCGAGAATGCGGGGAAGGGTTTGCCAGCGGCCGCGAATCCGCGTTCAGGCTCCCTGGTCTGGCCCCTGCAGATAGTTGCAAAGTCCAGATCCCACACACTGGGGGGCGTTATCTGGATGGGTCCCTGACTCGGCGATTCTGACACACATTTGATATCGGATAAGTCTGGGCGGGAACCGTGTCAACAAAGCATGACACAGTCTCGAGAAGGTACATTCGCCGGGCGGAAGAGTCAGCCGTTTGGTTGCCGTCGGCCCTAGGGATCAAGCCACGCGCGGTATGGAGAATTGCTGAATCGTTCACAACCTCCTTGTCAAATCCGACTCGAACAGACGAGGCGTCGGCATCTTCACGCCACCCCTTCCGGCTCGAAGTCTCGGGTAGCCTTTGAGGCAGGTCGCATGATGAACCCTGCCCTTTATCATGTGTTCGTGAAGGACCCTCAGCTTTGAGATTTTGATGCCGGGTTTTGCTGATCGTGGCCCACATTCACCGTCCATCGCATCAACATGGACCGAAACGCCGCCGCTGATAGCAGGATGACCTTGTGGGCTTTTTGCCGACGGGATCGAGCTCGCATAAAGTGTGGCCACGAGGCATCGCTCATCTCAACAGGTAGATGACCAAGAAGCAGAAGGAGAAGAAAACCACAACACCTCCCCAGAAGATCCATTTGTCTTGCATAGCTCTTCGTTCGACCATCCGGATGGTGTCACCGCTGACACCGAGTGTGTTGGCAACACTATAGAGCTTCCTCTGGGTACCCTTGAGAATGTCTCGCTGATGTCCCAAATCACCTAGCACTGCTCGGCCTCGATCTAGAAACTCATCGAGTTGGGCGTTGGCAGTATCGAAGAAGCTCTGTTCTCGCAGTGCGTGTTCCTCCCGGGTATAATTGCTGGAGCCACCGCCGAAGGACAACCCGTCTTGTGTGTTCCGATGGGCAGGGGCGAATGCACTCTGACTCGAGGCATGGGCATATGGGTTCTCTGGAGTCGCAGCGTGGTGCGGCCGTCGGCCTAGTAGTTCATTCCTGTTGTTCGCAGCGACGGCTGCCTCACGCTCTCTTTTTAACTGATCAAATTGCGTGCGGTAGGATGCTAGATCAGCGCGAAAGTTCTTCAGTCTCTCTAAGGCCTTCTCTTTCTTCTCCTCGTTCAGCTCGTTTCGCGAGAGATTTTGGTAGTCTTCTAACGTTCGGGAAAGACTAGTGAGGGTGGTGGATATTTGTCCTTGTAGAGCAGGAGATGCAGTAGCAGGTGCTTGTGCGAAAGCTTCTAGATCTTTTCGGATAGCCGTGGATTGTTTCAGGGCTTGGTTGAAGAGTACGTTCTGTAGCATGTGAGCGGGATGGCTGGACCGCGCACCTGAAGGAAGGTCGACTCACCATCTTGGAAACACTTCGGGGTTGGGTATGGTGGAGGAGACGTATGAGCTTGAGGCAAGGTCCTTAAGAGTTCAATCCCGACCGTGAACGCCGATATTTCATGGCGTTGAGGGGAATTGACAAAAGTACAGACTGTCCTCCCAGCGCCCACGGCCGTTGAGTTGTAACCCCAAAAGGGGATCAGACGCTGGAAAATCCGCGGCGCCACACATGATTCGTTCTATGCACATCTACAACACAGGACAACGCGAATTGATTTACCATGAGAACCCTTCCCCCAGTGAGAATGAAGATGTTCAACACTATCCTGGCATACGTAGGTGGATATGATGGACATGATCAACCAATTTTGACGCATATGTACTTTCTACTGAGTCCCTTGTCATTGTCACTCCAGTCTCCTTGAAATCCTGCGTATGCTCGTGAGCCACAATAGACATCAAGACATGCCTGCGGCACCGCGACTGCCCAAACGTGTTCCAGTGTCACCTGAAAGTGAATCGCCCTGTGGTGAGGAAGTCGTGCCCGTCAACAGTCGCAAGTGACAAGACAGTTTCTTTGACTGACCTTGTTCCATTTTCCCATCCACCTATGCCGATTACTAGCATAACCCACTGTTATCAATTCCATATTGTGAAGCCTGCAAAGAATCGTCTTGTTCCACTCAGCAAGCCTCCCTACCGCGCCCCCAGCCAGCATTTTACCAGAACAGCGGCCGATATCCTTCTTCGCAACCCCCTCCACGATAACACACGACTGCTCATCTGGTCGCAGCAATGAATGGCGCGTCTGCCAAAGGGCCGCCCTCCTTCCGAGACACTCGATCAGCTTGGAGAATACTCCAACAGAATCCTTCGTTGTTGTACACCATGATCTTCTGCAATCCGGTGCTAGTCCTCCACGTTATCAACGGGTTCCTCAGTTTCCTGTATCCAACTGCCACCCACGACTCGATCTTCGACACCTCAGTCCGACCTCATCTAGACGCTCATGCTCAAGACGGCCTGTGTCGCCTCTTCACCCTGTTCATGGTTGCATTACAATCAGCACTCTACTCGTCGCAGGCAGCCAGAATAACAACGCCACGCCTTTCAGACGGAGATACGGACGAGAGAGCTGCTGACGGATGAAGCCATTGGCACGGGGAATGCCGCAGGGGCAGTGCTTGAAATTTCCTGTCGGTTACTGAATAGTGATCGGTCAGGCAAAAGAAGCTGTGGAAGGAAGCAGATTGGGTGGAGGCAATCGAAAAGGGGATATCATATTCATGAGAGCAAAGAAATGTGGCACCCAAAGGCTTGCACGCCAGAAGCCGCCCCTCTCTGTCAACCGAGTAGAGTGTCCGCGCCAAAACATAGACAATTCCTTTCCACCACTGCCACCAGAGAGTCGTTCAAACTGGGCCAGTCGCCGCCTATTTTGGCGGGTACTTGTTCTCGAGAAGCCACCTAGAAAGTTCATCAGCTTATCTTCTAGAGAGATCAAAAGAAGAAAACCAAACTTACTTGCTGCCAAAATAATCTGCAACCGCGAAAGCGCCAATCCCAGCGGCGACGGACCCAGCAAGCTGCCAGTCCAATTTGCCCTCAGTGTGCTTTTGGTAGGCACCATAGCCAATCGCAAGAGTAGCAATGCCCCAGATAATGGCATTCCCAACGACAACCGGGTTGTCTCTGTTTTCGCTCAACTTTTGTCCGTCCTTCTTCATCTCGTCCTTGAATTGCTTGGCCTTGGTAGCAGCCTTCTTCTTGGCACTTGCGGCATCTTCTGAGAATTCCTGCCTCGCTGCACGAGCCTTGTCCTCCAGTTCGTGCTCGATTCGTTCGGCCTGGGTTTCCGTCTTGATAGCTTGTTCTTGGAAATCCGACTTGACGGAGCTGACGTGCGGCGAGTCGACGTCGATCAAGCTGGCGGCTTCCGATTCAGACTGCGAGAGGGAGGGAACAGGTGGCGCACGACTATGGGCACAATATTAGCGGAGGGGACACACGCTCACAGGCATGGCCGGATACATACGCCTGCAGAATGATTAGCTTTGGGACTGTGGTGTGGTTGGAAATGGGTATTGACCGACCTCTTCTGGGGATTGTTTGGGCCCTTTGGCAGCAACGTCGGCGTAACTCATCTTGCCAATTGCCTGGAGGACGACGCAGCTCTAAAGAGGCGACAGGTGATGAGGTTCGAGGGGATGGTGGGAGCAAGAGACGGTTTTCGCACAGGAGTGACAAAGGGACAGAAACGGAGCAAAGGAGCCAAAGCTTCTTCTCGCTGCTTGCTGCCCGGTTTCAACCTGGCGAGCTGGGAGGGTGGAGGGTGGAATGGGTATGACGAAGGTGGTTGCGGATCAGATGATGATTGGCTGACTGGTAGCTCAAGCATGTGATTTCAGAATTGGCGTGTCCAGGCATGGGAAATCAAGAGACTGTGGCTAGTGCGACTATTATGGTTAGCGGCTCACGCCACACCCAGTGGCTGGTATAGCTTGGCAGGTCAAGCGTTGCTCGCAGCTCGCAGGCGGCTCACCCCGAACGCGCCGCTTTTATACATACACCCACCTCACCCCTCACCTTCGACTCACTCTCGACGCGACTGTCCCAACCGTGATCCTGATATTGTCACGTATGCAAATCCATTGTGACAGTCCTCTTTTGCTTTGCTCTTTACCCACGTGCTAACGGTACTGACTATTTCAGCTTCGAGGCCGCGGCAAAGGAGCATCAAAATCTGTTCTACAACGACGCCGGTGTCCTCTTGGCCATGGCTATTACCGGCGGTGCCCTCTTTGGGTACGACACTCTTGATGACTTCCGCCAGCAGGTCATTCCCGCGGGCATGGACGAGATTATCCTCAGATTCAAGCGCTCCTCCTTGGATCTGCGGAAATGCACCTGGCGTGACTGACGAGCCCATGACCAGAGCCGCCTTCCTCGACATCCTCTGAAGCACCCTGGTCAACGCCGGTTACTTCTGTGGCGCGTCGATTCATCTGCCTATCCTTCTCTCCCTTCGACGAGCTCCAGGTGTGTCCCTAATTTTGCTGACTGGCGATCCTTCTAGGGTAAGGCGCCCATTCCAAGATCGGCAGGTCTAGTCGTCTTGAGATGAGGCCTGGTGTGTCTTCGATGCCTCATCAACTGTGGTTGTTCGGTCTTTTCCTATCATAATCCTTGCTTCGTGGCTGTACACAGTCGTTGCTGTGTAATCACAGGATGATGACCTTCAAAGGTCGTTGTAATCGTCTTATCGGGAGTATTCCGAGGAGATTGACCCTTTCGCCCTGCGTCGTTGAAAGGGCAGTCCTGAGGTCAAGGTCTTCGAGTTGGGTGAGGACGCACCTCACTCGCAGAAGATGAGAATGCGTTCAGGGTGTCAATCTCTTCAGTCTCGCAAAGCTTCATCGAGGGTTCGCTATACTTGTCATGTTTCTTTGGTTGAGACGGCGTCGTCCAAGTTGGTCTCAACAAGGCTCTACCAGACGCAAGGAATGACGATTAGGTTGACGGCAAGGTTGACGGCAAGGCTGACAAACAGCGGAGCAATACCAGAGCGTAGTCCCTGCTCCAACACCAGACCTGGTTTTCATCCGACGTATACCACGCTCCGAATACACATAGACGTTCAGGGTCTAGGGACAGGTCCTTCCGGGAATAGATCTCTCGATTCCTTCAACGGTGTCTTCGACCGAAGGGTGCCCTCATATGAAAAATGATGTCGCCACTCCTAATGCAGACGCCACAGTTGCCCAAGAAACTATCCTTCTCAAAGCAGACGATGTAGTTGTCGATAAAGGCAAGATATTCGATGTTGTGGAAGCAGGTTGGGCGGGAGGTGAGGTGATGCTTGTAATCGTTGTATCAACAGTCTTTGTCACCTCAGCGTCGGGATCATACCGCGTGGAAGAGCTAGCCTTTTTGCACCTCTTGGATTAGTAAAAATATAACGATAGGGTGCCATTGTGCAGTCAGAGCCGGAGGGACTCACGTCCGGTCCTGCACAGTCCAACACGTCGCAAAACTCGGAGCAGACGCTGTACGGCCCCAGCCTGGTCACAGTCGCCGGTATTCCCAAACACGAGACATTCCCGAGTATTTCACAGGTGAAGGCAAGTGACAAAATCTGGGGCTGGCAGTAGCATGAAGAAAATCTGCTGTCGGTTGAAGCGTACGAATACATGCAGTTCTCGATCTCGGCACTCCGACTGACACAACTCGACATCGCAGTTGGGCAAAAGGCCGTATTCTGCGTCGTTATTTCTGGCAGGGACCCAGGTGTCCACAAGTCTGAGGTTGCGGAGAACACTAGAGTTGATAGACTCATGGTTGCAAGCCAAATATATTGTAGATGGGGAGTCATTCTTGGGAGAGGGAATGTTTTGAGATGTTTCGGCAGGAATAGGATTTGAATGACGCGCTTTTCTTTTCAAGAACCTGGGTTAAGACCAGCAATCGAGAGCAGAACTTACCTGGACCGACCACTTCCGTCATTTATGTACCTGTGGTCGAGTTTCCAAGGGGTTCGGCACAATGCCGTCGCTTCAGTTCTGACGTATTGAGCGAGACAGCAAAAGAAATGACTTGTATCCCGGCCAAGACGAACACTTCTTTGCGTCCCTAAACTTCAGCCTGGGCACGGCCTCCTGTCTCATAAATGATGGTTCCATTGGTTCAATAAGTTAATCCAAGATATTCGGTTGTTCTCGGCGCAGCAAGAATCAGCCTTTGTGGCGCGAAATTATTCCCTCGATTGGCCATCTTGACGCCAGCCTTATTCGACTTACACCGTACTGTTATAAGAAAAGTCTGCTGCCCTGTGGCTCAGTTCTTGGCCTCATTAGCACGGCTTGGATGCCAGCCTCACACACAGATATGGTCTAGGTACCGGCGGGCACCAGGCAACCGGCACCTCGTAGCTTCAGGAAGGGATGGTAGTTGATTTTGCGTGCTTGACGCGAGTTCTCTGCCCTCCTTTCTGCCCATATTTCACCTTCATCCATCTGACTTCATTTTCCTCTGAGAAACTTATAGTATGCGGCATAATTTTACAAAGTTTTGGTCCTGGGCAGGCGGATCCTTCGATCGGCAGGAACAGAAACCATTGTCCAGAGATTGGCTCTCCTGGAAGTTGAGATGGTGGTGGATAAGCGCTGTATGCCTCGTCGAAGTCGGTTTCATCTGCGCTCTTGCTACTCTGACATGGCTGTCGAGAAGAAACGATGGGGTGGTTGATGTGTCTGTGGTCCCCATTTCATCAATGTCCGACTTCTCTATTCCTCACCGGGGAAGCAGCCAGCTACGTTGGACATTTGTACCGGCGTTAGTCATGGCTCTATTCCTCCTTGCGTACGGCGCAATTGTCACCGCAATGGCTGTCCGCCAGCCTTTCGTGGAACTACAGCATGTTCCCAAGGACCGCAGGAACATAACAGTCACCTTAATGTTGGACTACATGACGTATCCCCTCTTCTACGTTTGGGTGATTGCAATGCGCAACGGGCATGTCGTTGTTGGATTTGCGTTTCTAGCTCAGCTGGTTGCTTCTGTTTCCCTCGTTTCCCTCTCAGCAAACGTCTTCAGGGCAGACACATCAACATCCGTCTCAGCTATCTCAATGACATTCCCCCAAGAATTCAATGTCGACCTATTGAATTCAAGGACAGACATGCAGCCAGCTCTAGATATCGCCAGTGCAGTCCACATTCACGGTGCAACGGCTCCAACGTGGATGGCTGCTGACTATGCTTTTGAATCTTTTCGACCGGTTGAAGAAGGAATTTCCGGAAACTTCACTGCGAAAACATTTGCGTTATCTTCTTCTCCGGATTGCAGACTTATGGATCCTTCGGAATATAGCGCTGTGTTCGAACCTTCAGATGAAGAGGGAGTCGGCTCTACAACTATAACAATGGTCGACCGTGGCTGCGACGTCTGGGGAAATATTGCTTTCTCTCCCCAGACCCCAATTTACGCATTGAGCTGGTACCAGCGGTGCAGCGATGAGCCATACGATCGCATCGGGATATTTGCGGGTCTCTACTCAAGCGAATCGCCAGGGAACCTTCAAAATCTGACCGTTGTATCGTGTAGGCCGAAGTACTGGAACTCAACCGTTTCCTTGACGATGTCGATGGATTCCTCTAATAGCAGCGCCCCCAGCTTTTCCTCGGCCCAGGAAGAGAGTGTTGTGGAGCTGGATCCACTGAGCATGAGTGATATTCACCGTTTCCTCCATTACTACATATTCTATGATCCCTCGGCAACGTTCATGGCCGACATATTTGGAAAGACGGTTTACAAATTTGCTCGAATCATTAATCCGCTTTCTAATCTGGATCCTCACTCCATTAAGAGTGCAGCAGAATCTATTTACGCCACAATGTTTGCCGCTCTGGCCACGACAAGTCTCAAGCAACCACGCCGTATTCCGACTGTGGCTCACGGTCAAGTCCGCACCGTTGTGACGAGGCTGTATGTCGTAGAATCTGTGGCCTGGGTTTTAATGGCTATTTTATTAGCGATGCTCCTGTGCACCGCTAGCTCACTGATTTCTGTGCGCACCACGACCTCCATCCTGCGTGAAGAGCCAAAGGGATTGCTCTTCTACGCGCGGCTGCTCCACAGAAGTGATGTTCTTTCACTCATTAATGACTTTGATCAGCGGCACGCGCCGGAGGACAAGGCGCGAGACTACATGAAGAGGCACTACAGCGCGTTCATCGCAAATGCAAGGTGTTACTTTGATGAACAAGAGGCGAGAATTCGGATCGAGGGGGGATGGCTAGAGCTCGGTCGTTTACCAAAGTTACGCTTGCGACAGATGAATTGGATAAAGGGAAAGGTCATATCAATGGGAAAATGGAGGCATGCCATCGCGAAGAAGATCAACGGGAGTGGGCTATCGAGCAGAAGAAAGGTGCAGACGAGTTTTACAATGAGGCCCCAAGGAGCATATCCTGAGTCTTGATATGGAGGTTCTGCAACAACGTCCTCCCTCACATGGAGCTATTACCACACATGAGTTAATCTACATGATTCTACATGTGACCCATGTCTTCCACCAACAGCCGGCTAGGGCAGCTCGCGTCAGTCGATGATCGAAGGCTGCCAACGCCCTGGGCAAAGCGCGCCCGGGAGGGCCAGACCAAATGGGTCGATATGACGACGCTGCGCTGCTTTTGGCCGATCGCGTCAGTTTTGATATACGGCGAGACGGGTGATGTCTCACCCGACTCACGCGAGCCATGGCAGAGCACAGGGCGGCGTCACCCTAGTCCCAGAGCGGGGTAAGCCAACGAGCAGTTCTCCCGCACCTTGGCATCGGACAAGTCCCGCTCCCCTCTGCTCTTCTCTGCCTCCATCCCCCACCCCGGCCTCGTAACTCTTGACCTCAGCTGGCACCGTCATCAATGCTTGCCGATATCCAATCCCATCCTCGCAATGAGAACACCTCCTGCAGCGTGCCTTTCCACCTTCCTCTTTCGGAGGATGGAGGTGATAGATAATGCGGCGGACAGTGTGAATACTGCTGCTAATATCTTCCCAAACTTCGTCCTTCCAATCTCTCTATCTCGTGCTTGACGTGCCGCTCACTTTATTGATATGATCGTTGCGACTCGGAAGAGACTTGACCAGCACCATTGAAAATATTGATAATTGAGACAACAGGAACATCCGACTTTGGACCATGTCGAGCTACGAAAAGAGGTTCGAGTATAGAGGTCCAGCGGACGAGATCGTCGAGCCCGAGGGTCTTTCGACGACTCGCTCGAGAGATCTTGTCGGAGGCGCCCCTGCTGGTTACCATGGTACATACGTTCCGCACCGATCTGGGTTTGTGCCGTTGCTGACAGCTTCAGATCGTGACGTCTTTGGCAACGAGGAAGATGCGGATATCAAATACAAAACACTGTCATGGCCTCTCGTCGCCGTCCTCATGATTGCTGAAATTGTCAGTAATGGCATGCTCTCCTTACCGGCAGCGACAGCGGTGGTCGGCATCGTCCCCGGTGTCGTTCTGATTATCTTTCTTGGTGAGATGGCTGCAGGCTCTAAGCCATGGACCCTGGATCTCTCGTCTCTGACCGCAACTTTGCATAGGGGTCTTTGCATTGTATACCTCTCTCGTGCTTATAGACTTCAAAATCAACCACCCGGAAGTCCACAATATGGGCGATGCCGGCAAGATCCTCGGAGGCCCCCTCCTGCGAGAAATCCTCGCCGCAGGGACTGTTATCTTTGCTGTCTGTGCAACAGGGTCACAGCTACTTGCCGGACAAATCGCCTTGGGTGTCTTGTCGGACAACAAGCTCTGTCTGATGTGGTATACTGGTGCGTTTGAAACGTTTGCGGCAATGTCTATCCTCGACGACTGACAAGCCAGGAATCTTTGCAATTCCAACCCTCATACTCTCATTCCCTCGGACCTTGGACCAGCTCTCCTGGCTCTGCATTCCCTCATGCTTCTGCATTTTGGTCGCCGGCGTTGTAGGTATGGGGGCCGCTGGAGGGAATCCCGCTCCCGATCGACACGTCGACGTCGTTCGCTCAGCCAGTTTTTACAACGCTTTTGTGTCCATTACGAATCCCGTTTTCGCGTACGCAGGACATTTCATGTTTTTCATCTTGATCTCAGAGATGAAGCGACCCGCCGATGCCAAAAAGGCGGCGTGGGTGTTGCAGGTTTTTGCCACTGCGTAAGTGATGACCATCAGCCAGAGGGGTGGTGGATGCTATACCAGTGGGTGAGGCTGACCGAATGCCATCCATGGCGACGTTATCCAGATTCTATGCCGTCTTCGCCGTCGTCATGTACGTTTATTTAGGGCCATCGGTTCAATCGCCAGCCTTTTCGTCTCTCCCCACCAAATGGGCCAAAGCCACGTACGGCATCGCCCTCCCCAACTTCCTCATCGCTGGATCACTGTACTCCCATACCGCTGCCAAATTATTCTTCATTCGATTCTTCCGCAAATCTCGGCACCATCTGCACAAACATACCATCCTAGGCTGGGCCACTTGGACCACTCTCATCATCTTAGCCAATGGGGCTGCATTTGTGTTGGCTGTGGGTGTCCCTATCTTCGCGTACCTAGTGAGTATCGCGGCGAGTCTGTTCGCAAGCTGGTATACCTATGGGATCGCCGGGGCGTTTTGGTTGTACGATGCTTATCATGGGCTGGATAAGGGTCGGGTGAAGGGTATTTACGGTATGCGGGCATGGGCTGGGAGTCCAGTCAAGGCAATCATCAATGTGGCGACTTTTGCTGCGGGAGCCTTCATTTGCGTTGCCGGTATGTGTTTTACATGTTTCCTGGCTTCCCTATCTCCCCCTCCCCCGGGTTGTGTCTCCGTGCATGAACACCGGCAAGGTGACGGATTCCATGGCTGATGGCTCAAATCACCTCTCAGGAACGTACGTGTCTATCAAGCTCATCGTCGACGCATACAATAGCGGCACAGTCGGGGCCCCTTTTGCCTGCTAACACGACAGACAATTTGTCCCCATGTCTGCGCCTTGACCGAATGGCCTGCTAATTTTCCTGTCCTCCACGCTTATCAACGATGCACAACGTTACCTAATCTGGAGCTGAATGGAGGTACATCTGGATTGCAGACCATTTTTGATTTCCTTGTTGGAGCTATGGCCTATTTCCACCGGACATGCCTTGTTTTGTCAACTACCATAGGGCGTATACCACTTAAGTAAAATTGGCAGTCTATCCTCCAGAGACCCAATGAAGCACATTCGCCGAATCTTTGTCGCAGGGTGCCGCAGTGGACGGGTACCGCTCAATAAGTCCCCCATGACTTGAATTCGTTGCGAGGCTGCAACCATGGCCTCTCAGCTGATTAAATAACTGAACACATGGTGCCAGTTAGAAAACGTGTGGCCGAGCTATAAAGGAAGAAAGGTCGCCCTTGGTCAGAAACCCCCCTCGAAGCACTAAATGGCGACTCCAATACCATGGCGAATGGCCTGTCTTCCGTGGCCCAGGCGGTGTACAGAGAGTGTCAGGGCGCAGCAAGGCGCAGCGCACGACCCCGCAAGTGAACTGGGCCTTTAACAGAGAAGCCTGCCATTCTCAATGATCTTTATGTGCCTTGGTGCATGAACATGGCTTAAGATGTCACAGGGTCTTCTTGCGCAGGTTGACAAGTCCTTGCTGAGGCTGAAGAGCTCGAAGCATTTGACCGATACTTGTTTGCAGTCAACATGTGCGTTTGCTGCATCTGAGAACGAGAACAGGTCCAATGCTGACACTCAGTCCTCTCAAGCCAACTGGGAAGGCGATCTGCCCAACGGCTAGAGACTCAAATTGGTCAGGTTTCGTGCACTCTAGCTGGGGTTGTCCAATTCGTCCAGACGACACAGCGCAACGTGCCCAGATGTCTTGGGTATCCGTGGGAAGCCGACGTCGCTTCTTCTCACGTCTATCTCGAAGATGTACTCGGCCGGTGTACGATTTTGCCCGCGGTCCTCTGTCGTACTTTCGACACGTTTCACGATACCCTGAAGATAATATTCTCCGACCATCCTGGGTTTCAGAAAGTGGTCCGCAGGGAGTTTGAGATTATCAACGAGACCGTTGGCCGCACAATCTTGGAATATACGCCCGAGTCAATTTTGGAATATACGCCTTGGTCGGTGCCCCATCGAGATTCTCCAATCCAACCATGGGTAAACCCAGGAGCTAGGCTCTCAATGAACATAGTGAGCAGGAGATCCCTCGATGCATCCAGAGACTCTTCGATTGCTTCTGTTCGGGCAGTGGAACCATGTCCAACCTGCGGGTTTCAGACTTCAGGTCGAAGGTTCAGGAAATGGTGAGTCTGGCATTTGGCCCCAGTCGCTGTGCCATGTAAAACCGAACAAAAGCTCGACCCTCCAACTTCAACATGCGCTGACCACATTCCTCATTCTTCTAGCCTGAATCGCAATTTCGCCTTTCGAAAAACTGTGAGAGAATGTCGTTCGAGTCGTTCTCGTGGGGAAATAGGTTTTCCCTTTGAACATGTTCCAAATGCATCACCGCCTACTTCAGACCACGATTCTGGTAAGAGTTTGGGGGTCCTACCTAGAAGAGTCTTATCAAGGGACCGCATTTCCGTACGATTACCGGACATCGAGATGGAAAGCAAGTTTTTTCGGCGTGTGCATCACATTGTTGAGTACTTCGACCGCTCTTGGCAGCTAGATACTCGCATATCGAGACTTCCTCTCACCCAAGCCATCGAACAGGGAGATGTGCGATGGGTCCACGATCTACTTCGTCACACAGATATCGATCCAAACCGTAAAGACTATCGAGGCGGGACAGCTCTGCAGCTAGCTTGCTCAACCAAAACTACAAACCAGAGAGCTATTATTGATCTTTTGATCGCAAATGGTGCAGATATCAACGCAGGCGGTTTCAGGACGGCTTTGGAGAAAGCCTGCACTGCCGGAAACGAGGAAATTGTCGATGTTTAACTCAGCAAAGGCGCTGAAACTAACGCTCAAAGTGATGCTATCTATGGCACAAGCCCTCTTTTAGCGGCAGCAGAGTCAGGACATTTTGAGATCCTCAAGAAGCTCCTCGATTTTGGCGCCGATATCAACCAGAGATCTGCCGGGTTGTATCTACGCCCCCCGCTATGTGGTGCTGCTGTAACGAGAAACTTAGAAATGATCGATTATCTTGTCGAAAGAGGCGCCGTTATCTTCGGAAATCATGGTTCTCGCGCCTTATGGGACGCTGTTGGCAGGGACCACGTCGACGTGGTCAGCCGTTTACTCGATCTGGGCGCCAACGTCAATGCTGAAGTGAATGGAGTAGTCGCCATTCACTGCGTCAAGTCCTTACGGATGTTAAATCTTCTTGTCGAAAGAGGCGCCGGTATCTACGGAAATCATGGTTCTCGCGCCTTGCGGGCCGCTGTTGGCAGGGACAACGTCGACGTGGTCAGCCGTTTACTCGATCTGGGCGCCAACGTCAATGCTGAAGTGGATGGAGCAGTCCCCATCCACCACGTCGAGTCCTTACGGATGTTGAATCTTCTTGTCGCTCGCGGAGCGCAGGTGAACGAACCATGTCCTCGATTGCCAAACGGGACGGCATTGGAGCGAGCGGTTTCAAAGGGTGATATAGGTCTTATCAAGGAACTCTTACGCCTGGGAGCCGACACGCACATTCCCGACTCTCGAGCTCGCGCTCATTCTCTACTACAGTCTGCTGCTGCCGCCTCTAAACTTGTTGACACGGTGCCAACGACCTAGCTCTCGATTGAGCAGTATGGCAGAGTCGTTGGGCCCTTGGCGATAGAAGTAGGAAGATCGTGAGACTGCACATTACTGCGAGCATTTCTATTGTCACGAGTCGCATTCGTGGCATTCTCTGATGGAAAGTGCCTCCCATAGAACAATCTTCCGGTTTCAAGATGGGCTGGAGACTAGGGGTGAGGGACCGCGAAGACGATATGGCCGAAGTTGGGGGTTGGACGTCCAGCAAAGAAAGGCTGGAATGGTCGTTGTTGAGAGGAGAGACGAGAGGGAGGGAGAAGGAGCTCGAGTGGTACAAGTGTATTCTGGATGCACTCTAACCAGACCCAGGTCATATTTTCTCTCTAGCATGATACTCGTTCCTCTTGTTCGAATGCAATGGGCGTAACGCATCTAGGATCCATCCCTGGATCCATCATCCTTATTTCCATTCGGGTGCCTCGTGGTCCATTCCCCGGTTCCATCCTGATGTCCCTCCCAGATCTCATAGTTCCTCCCCCCTTTATTCCCATTCTACTTGCCTTTCCCGCGATCCTTCTCTTCCGGACTCGCCTTCCACGACTGCATCCTCCCCCACCGCCTGAAACGCCTCACGGCAAGGGCAACCCGGTCATCATGATCTTGGGGACCTCGCCCGCGGCCAACTCGCGCCTGCTGCTGCCGGCGTCGATCTCCTTGACAAGGGTGCCGTCACGGGCGCCGAAGTTCTTGCCCTTGGCCTCGCCGACCACGTCCTCGGGCATGCCCTCGCTGACGCTGTCGTGATGCTTGGCCGTGCTGCCCTTGGGCCGCCACGTCGACACGGCGGGAATGTCGGCCTTGAAGCGCTCCACCTCGGTGCCGTACGCCTTGGGCGTCAGCTTCATCAGCGTGTGCAGCGGCACTTCCATCCATGGCGACTTCTCCTGCGGGATCTCCATGAAGTACGCGAATATGCATCGCACGATGGCTTGGTGGCTAGATCACAAAATAAATGTGTGAGTAGGAGAGATGGCATCTATGGACTTTTAGAGGGTGGGAGAAATGGTGTTAGGTCGGCAGGCGTTGTGGTTGTAATGCAAACAAACGGCCTTGTCGAACTAAGGGGTAGAGTTGGGGGGGATGAACAAACAGAGGATGCACGTACGTGATGATGATGATGTTCTCGCTTCGCTCCAGCTCCATGATGATGGGTTCCAGCCGGATGACCACGTCTCGGTAGGACTCGCCGCCACGATACCGGTAGTTGTATTTGTCGTCGTCCCGGGCCTGAAAGTCTTCGGGGTACTTCTCAGCTATTTGCTGGTACTGCACGGAAAGAGAGGACAATGGTTAGCACGCAATGGAGCAACGATTGGAAGAGGAGGAGGACATCGCCAAATAGTCAACTTACTGTCATGCCGTCACACACCCCACTATCTAGTTCATCGAGCGCCTTCCACTGCAACTTCTCCCAGCCGAGTTCTTCCTGCAGGTAATGCGCTGTCTGGCTTGTTCTCTTCAAGGTCGAGGTCCATATCGTCAAAGGAGCATCCTTTGGCAACCCAGAGCGCTTGACCAGCTCCGGCAGCATCTTCGCGTACCGTTCACCACGCTCCGACAGGTTGGCATCGCCACCAATCTTGCCCTCGAGGTTGTATTCAGACTCGCCATGCCTGGACAGCCATATGCTGCGTGGCTTGATGTGCAGATTAGTGAGGTAATACACCAGGCGAGACTGCAAGTAGTCTTGGATGAGGTTGATCACCACCCGCGCGCCAATGTTGATGATTTTCACGTAGGTGAGATGCTTCTCTGACTCGTCGATCGTCTGGTACACTTTCTCATAGTTCCGGATACGGTTGCGGAAATCTTTAGCCGCCACCTCGGGATCCTGGCCGATATAGTCTGGGGACGTGGTCTTGACTTCGAGAATGTTGGCCATGATGAGGTCTTCATCGTCACATTTGCTCTCGACGAACAGGTGAAGCAGGTTGGCCTCGACTATCTTGTCGTGGATCCATTTCCGTCGCGACTTGGTGGAATTGGTTGCGTCTAGAAGGGCGACCTTGTTGTTCTTGTCCTTGAACCACATCAGCATGTCGGCGACGGCGGCCTCTGCTGCGGCGCGGCGAGCCTTCTCGCCTTCGGCGTTATTGACATCGAAGAACTTGGCATCTGGATGGGGATTGTCGGTTCGTCTGTATTTGCCGACGTTGAATACTTCGGCGTTGACCGACGTCCATCGAAGATATCTTTTGACTGAACCACGTTAGCACAGGAGCAGCGGCTGGAGACGGTCACACGAACCTTTGCCAGCTATTAGACTCTTGCCTCGAGCTGGCAAGCCCACCATAACCACCACGATCTGAGTAACCTCGGACTACATTCATGCCAGTTAGCGTATGACCAATCACGCAAGTAGGCAAAAAAAGAATAGCGAATGAGCGACGTCATACTCGATCGCTTTGAGGGATGCAGAACCCCATAGTTATGAACAACGTGGATGGCACAAAGAAGTAGCTGGGTTGAGGCAATGATTCGTTCCGGTTGACGCGGGACCAGGGGCAAAAGGACGCATGTGTCGAACACGAAGGCTTTGCCGTGCCTCGTGCTCTGAGCGTGGGTAAGTCTCAAGAGGAAAACTCGGGCGTGCTCACGTCTTGGCCCATCCCAGCAGAATTGGGCTGGGGACACAGAGATGGATTGAGGAGGGTGCTCTGCAGTGGCAGCGGTCTCAATCCGACAGCAAAGGGTGGTCTTGTCGCAGGTCGAAATCCTGAGCTTGCCGCAAGCGTTGACCCGGGAATCTTTAATTGAACGTCCCAGCAAGACCAAGAATAAGGCTCAGGCCCAATGCGTCACAGGCAGGTGCAGACTGGCAATTGTCGAGAATCAGACCACGTCTCGTTCGGGCTAGATTGGGTGGTTTGAGGGGGAAGGCGGTTGGTCGCGTGGTGATGGCTCGATGGACATTGAAGACCATGTTGCATCACGAGAATTGTTCGTTGTGCGCCTTTGGGGGATTTTTCGGCTCAACACAATTTTCTGGGCCGGAGGCAACGGACGCGGCCTGGTTCTGGTTGTTGGTTCATGGGGGCGTCTTTGCCCGCTCGGAAATTTCAGGGATGGCCTTTTTTTTTGAGGGGTGAGTGTGCTTGCAGATCTGCCTCTTCTCCACAGCCCAGCCCAGCATTGCGACCTTCTCGGCTTACTCCATGCAGAAAGCCAATGCGATGGGCAAAAACATGGGGGCGTGGTCGGTTCACCGGATGCCTGCGTTCCCAGGCGCAAGAGCGTCGAGCCTCATCCACACAATGCGGTCCAGCTGGGCCTCGGCTGTCAAGGCGGAAGTATTCCTTCGAGCGTAGGAGATGATGTTTCTCATGTGACAATCAAACGGTATTCTTTGTCCGACCAAAGGCGACGAGTGATAAAGCAGACGACGCAAAGGCTGCTGGAAGACGCATCTAAACCAAATACAAAGAGACTTCCTTGACTCACATCAGAGGGCTGAAGCACTCGGTTCAAGGTGCTCCTGCTCAGCATCGCTAGCGGACTGGATTGAATGAAACTCATGACTGGCGGACGAGGGGGCGAGGTGTGCCCGTGAGGGGCTTACGGCTTCGCTGAGGAGTGTGGCAGAGGTGACCGATGATTCTAATGAGCAGTATGCAGCGCCAGTATCCTCATCTTTTGGAGCTCTCAAGGTCTCATGATATTCCGGTATCGATCAGTTTGGAGGTAGGCAGTTTTGTTTGCAGAGGAGGCGGTCAGAGAGTGGCTACGCAATCAACCAGGCTCGGTTGCCGACACGGTCAGTGTTTGCTGTTGTTGAGGGAGAGGTGAGAGCAGGAATACGCGGGGAAAAGGGCAAAAGCGGGAGATGATGATGATGATGTGATCTGGCCTGAGGACGGCCTTTCGAGGCAGGACGAGGTCTGGACGAGGATTGATGATGCTTGTGATGGTGCTGGTGCTGGTGTTGGGGGTGCGATTCTTTTTTTTGCGGGTGGGACAAGATTCCTTATCGCGGCGGCATCTGCTTATCGGCGGCAGCGAAGAAGCTTTTTTCTGTTTCTATAGCATGACCGTTTGTTGCAATTCACGGAGCACACTACAGGGAGTGATTTCGAGGACAAGTCAGGATTCATCAAGCTTGGATTGAAAACTCGCTATACTGCCAACGAATCTCGATAGTCCTGTTATGCCGAGGGCAGGATGGTTGACTGCAACAAACTCGTCCAGGCGGTTCAGCACCATCCACTCCAAGCACGATGCGTCCCCCTCTCGTTCGAGGGTGCTGTCACTCTGCGCTCTCCCCTTGAAAGAACCTGAATAAATTGACAGAATCCAATCCCCCCTATTTTTGCACCATCGTCCACCCCGTAAGCACTCAGGCCCAAGCCTTATGGAGCAAGCTCCCTGCAAAGAGGAACTCCATGTCTGCCCTGCGACAATCGTAGCCGTTCCGCTCCTGCACAGTCGTTTGCTTCAAGATCCCCTTGTCTCTTTCGACTTGAACCGCACAGGAGTCACAGAGCACCAGCCCGCAGCCTCTTCCCTTTCCCTTTACGTCATCCAGTTTCCTCAGGTATTTGTCCACACTCTTGTCAGCACAACATCTCCAGAACGCAGGGTGCGTGCATAAGGAGCAAGCGTAGTATGTTCCGCGCTTAAGGGCCGGTCCTTTAGGGTACCCGATGTCGACCAACTGACTGACGTACATACAATAGAGCTCATCAGAGGCTGTTGCGAATCGCCGCATTGAATGGACCTTGCATCTGGAAATATGGAGCCTGCTGAGAGAACAGTTAACGCACATACGTGTTGCTTCTTTACCCGAAGATCGATGCCCATTTCCCATCTCTTGAAGCTCGCACTGCCCCGGTGACTGGAACACCTTGACGCTAATAATGCCATATCCATAGATTCCATATCTGAAGTCCTCGCAAAAGTGACACGGCTTGTCTGATGTCTCGAGAAACTTGAAATTGATCGGATGAGCCCACGGAGTCCGTATGGTGACTGGGACGTGCACATTTGCCGGTACTAATTTTGGGGAGGATTGAGGCGAATCTAGAATGATTGGGTGTTCCCTGGAAACTCCAGCTAGGACGTTCCGAGCCTGTTGAATCTCCACAGCAGCAGCACGAATAACCTGGATCGGCGTCGGTTGAGCAGGTGAGGTAGGAGCAGAATGGTCGTGGATGAGGCCGGCAAGGGCTATGTCCAGGGCGTCCTCAGATGTTTGTTCAGGTGTGCATTCAACCGATTCCACAACCACTTCTTGACCTGATTCACATGGCCGATCGCTGGGTTTGGCAGAGTAGACCTCGTCCTTGTGCGCCATAGGTCCTCCCCCCCTAATTAAACTCTCCCTGTTCCTCTTGAGACCGCTGCGGTTTGTCCCACCACCAATCTTTTCACTCTCTTCATCTTGCTTCCTCAGAAACGTCTTGGCCGAAAGAGTATGATTTTGTCGTCCACAACTTGATCTGTGGCCTACACCATCGTTGAGAACGTCTCCTCGTGTGCCGCCACCTGCGCACAAGCTGGCCTCGTAGCCAGTGCTATCCTTGGCGAGGTCACACAGTAAAGCCCTCCCAGCATCGGACTTGAGATAGAATGTCACTAAGGAGGGGATGTCATGAACGGGTGGAGAAGTAACCGAACTTTCAGGCTTGATATCATGCTTGGTTCGTTTGGCTTTGGGTATCTTGCGGATCAGAAGCCGACGTCTCTTCGCTGCAGTGGGACGGTATTCGTCGGAAGAGTCATCGTCATACCACGATATGGCTTGCGTAAAGTTCGAGGTAGAGTGGACTCGTCGGAATTGGTAATCCTGGCGAAGGTGACGTGCCTTGTTGGTTGTGGGCGTCGACCTTTCCCAAGCGCTTTGGTAGACATCGAGAGCATGCTGGAGCCTCGGCTTGGAGTAAACCACCTTGGGTGGACCACCGATCTCGAGTCCAGGCATGGTAGTATGGTGTGATGGAAACGAAAGCAAAGAAAGGAGAGTTTGAGTGGAAGTTTGAGTGGAAGTGAAACCGAAAAGAAATTGGAAGCAAAGTGAAAGGTCTTAAGCTCGAATACTGTGAAAGTGAAAGAGAAGTCGAGACAAAAATCAGAGGTAAAAAAGATTGCGCATCGCAGCACTGAGAACTAGCTAAAGGGTAATCTTCTGCACATAGAAGTCAGTTTGGTCCGCAGTTATTGAAAATATCGACAACAATGGAAGGGGCAGTGTATTCAGATCTAAGCCTTGTCACAGGCGGTGGTCGTCAAAACATAGGCTACGTTGACCGTCGTGAATTGTAGAATAAATCATCCTAATAAGAAAGCATTGAAGGAAGAGACCGTGTCACTCACATGAGAAAAATCTATCCAAGTGAACCTGTGTGGAGTCGTTGTCAGCATCCCCCTTGACAGGGCTTGGGATAAGATATTGACGGAGATATGTATCAGGCTTGACAGTCTCGTCTTGGTCGATATGAGTCGACTTGGACATATGCTTGTCTTTTGGATGCGTCGGTTCATCATAGGTATGAATGACTGGAGGGGCGTTGACAGGGCTGTAACGTACTTGAACCGTCACGTAAGATCTGGAAGACTCGATCGTTAGCAATGTCGCGACCAGACATGGAACGAAGCTGTCAGTCCAAACAAAAGTCAGGAAATGCATGAATGGTTGTTTGAGTTTATCTGCATCAGAATACTGGATAAGACTCGTCATCTAGAAGAATCATCATTGAGAGGGAGGATGTAAAAGAGATCTCAGAAGAGACACTTACTCAAGAGCAGAGAACGCGTCGACCTCTCCTGTTTGAAGACAGGACAATTAGTACAAGTCTGGAGAGAGGAACATGGCCAAGAACAGGGCATTGGGCAAATCAGTGGGCGAGGTTTTCTAGGCCTGCCACAATGGGGCATTTCCATCAAGCCCGGCTAATGTGTAGCCGTGGTCGGAGCCCAGTGCCATTCATCAAGAGAACCGCTATATCCAGGGAACAGAAGAACCAGCCATACCTTCCAATATCTATCTTTTGAACACCAGTCAGTAAAATTCTTCGCCAGTCCTTGTGCGAATTGTGTGGCGGAGGGATTGGAATGATCAGATATAGCCATTTTGTTATCTTCCACAGCCCGAAGGCCTCTGCCGGTAATTTCCAGCGTATATTATTCGAAACAATCATCATAAAGGTTGGTACGTTCGGTTTGGGGGGAAAGAAATGACATACCGAATTCCCAGGATTGTTGCGCTGCGAGGAATTTCTAGGGCGGATATTAGCCAGAGAACTTTCAATGAAGTGAAAGAATGATGGAGATGCTGCATGATCAGACTGACGTGCGTTGCGATCTTGAGTTTCATACCCAGAAGGGTCAAAGACTCTAGTTTGTTACGGTATGCAGATTCATCATGAATAGGAACGGAGAACTTGGGGAAACACACCGAAGAGCTTGTTTGATCCCCCTTTTCATGTTCGTGGTTTCCTGTGTTCAAAATCATCTCGATCAGGGTGCTCATCGGCCTGGGGGAAGGTGTGGCTAGGTGAGAGACATTCATTCTGAATCATGGGTCGTGGAACAGGCAGTCGGTCTGTGGTGTTAGCAACTATCCTCAATTACCGTGCTTGTAACATCCTCGGGATGCGCATCTTCTTCGTTGACAAGCCGGCTGGGGTATTCCAGCAAGGAACGAGATCTCACAAGAGCTAAAGCAAACATTGAGGTGATTCGCGTAGAGTGCGAGATGACATTCGAATATGAGACAACAACCAATTTTTTTTTTGGTTGCTCCAAATTTGAACGCGCAGTGGATGCTTGACCAGACTGGAAGGTCAAGCGAACGAGTTTTCGACGCGAGCGTTCTCGTTAAGGCTAGGGGCAAATGCCGGGCCCTCAGCTTCCCCGTCTCGCGGGCACAGCTGGCCTTCTGGGCGAGATGCTTATGCCTGAGGTACTGAACAATAGGTGTGCCTGTTCCCCATGAGTTCTAGCTGCTGCTATTTTCTCCCGCCCGCCTGCTCTTCTTCACCCCCCCAGGCCTCATTGGCTGACTCAACTCACGCGAGGCTTGCCCGCCATCCCGCATCCGCTTTGGGTTCCTGCACATTGCTCGCACCGGGCCCGTCAGCGTCCAAATATTCTCGACTCAGGCCACCCAGAGCCCGAGTTATTCTCCGGCCACATGCCCTGCAGACACCCTCTTCCCCCATGGTGTTGGCTAACGACTTGTAAGCGACCAATTGTTCTAGGCTTGGCTTGCAGGCTTCAGGGCAAAGAATAGCAACAACGTCTGCCACTCGTACTCTCCTGTCCCCACTTCCGCAATCGCCCTCCATGCCTCCCATCTATCGCCTTCGCCCAAGATCAGGTTGCGGATAGCTCGTTGTTTCTGTCTCTATTGATATTCCGCTTTCTATCGACGGAGAACTTCATCTGCTGTCGGGTTGGTGAATCGAAAGACCAGTATGGCTACCGGTGCCAGACAGGATGCGATGCCCACGATGCGCGAATGTGACTTGAACCGTGTGGGCGCTTAATCCACCAATCTCAACTGGGCGGTTGGGCAAGACTGTTTCTTCACACTATGTCCTTGTATGTTTACGTCGAAGAATGTGGTTCCTTGTCACAATCTAGAGCTCCTAGGCAGGACAGGCTAACAGCGTTTCGAAAGCCGACCATTGACTGCGGCTGAACATGCCCAGGTTCAATATCAACACTCCCCAAGAACTCCCACCGTCATTATTCCTCTCCCTCCTCCACCACCACCACCGAGGGATGGCCAGTCTACGGCCTCTTCAGTGCGCCTCGGCCATGTCCCCCTTCCACCGCCATTGAACATCAACATTGTCTCTGCGCGTGGTCTGTCGTCTCCAGGTCCCGTCTCCGCTCCTTTGTTGCACGGTCCCTTCTCGCCGACGTACATCAATTCGCCTGTCCCAAGTCCTCAAAGTGCTATACCGATGGCTGCAAGAGTGTCGGGAAACTACAACGTGCCTTATGACCCTAGGGAGTGGGTGGGAGGGAGTCGAAGAACGTCATTTGGATCAGATTGTCGGAATCCGGGGCCTCAAGCAGAAGGTATATCGGTATTCTGAGAGCAAAGAGACTTGTCTGACTCTGTGTGCAGAAGGGCTTTCCAATCCACCGCCACCGTATTCAGCTGCTGCCGCTGCAGCGACAGGTGTTACTGTTCGTGAGGCCACCAGTGCTGGGTCGACTATATCGCCTGCGGACTCGACGTTCACAGCTCCTGGAAATCAATCCCAGTTAAACACTCCAAATAGTACTGTGGGAGTGCTGTCACCACTGAACCAGGGATCTCATTCTCTAGGTGACAGCGGCCAGACCATCACGGACACAAATGGACCAAAATATTTCGGCCCTTCAGGGCGATCCGGTGGTTTCGACCACCACCAGGGCCGCTTGAGTATATCGTCGCAGCAACATGGATCCCGGCCAAGTTCTGCCTTGGGTGTGGCGAGACATCCTCTAGGAACATCTCTGTCGATAAATACGGTGGCCGCGCAGCAGAACGTGCCTATTTATCCACCAATGGATGCAAACCTGGGACAACATCCCGCTCCGCCAGCGTCAAGAAGAGCTGCGTCCGCGGATGGATATTCTTCTCAGCCGCCATCGGTTCCGAGTCAAGAAGAATCGTCGTCGAGATCATCTTCCAAACAGAGAAGTTGGATTCCAGGAATGCCTCTACCTGGTCCGCCTCCAGGTCCACCTCCATCGGCCTCAAGGTCACAGAGTGCAGGTGGAAGTCGGGCTCTTACTCAACCACCGGCGGCTGGACCCAGCAATCGATCAAGTCATCGCGTACCACTGCATGCGCCTCTTCTCAGCCCCATGCCTCCTACACCTGCAAATTGGAGGGATGAGTCTACTCATCGATCTAGCTCCAGAACCCCGATGCCGTTACATATTGAGACCACAAACCTCGATCGACCGGGCTCGACGACTACTGGTTTGAGCAGAAGCGCTGCTCTCCGAGTCTCCTCTGCAAAAGGTCTGCTGGAACGTCGGAAGCAACGCCGTAGTCTTCACGAGGCTCAACTGGCCGATCTCAGCGCCTTAACCATTGATACTGACCCCTGGCTCGACGGCTTGAGCCCGGGCGGTATTAGTCCCGAACAATCACCTACCTTGAGCTCATTGGCACCAGAACGAGCCAGCCCCGAAACTGCTCGAAGAGGTCTACGGACCAGCAGCAGGACCAGGAACCGACTTCGAAGTAACGATCTCGATTATCAACCGCTAGATTCACCGTTTCCTCCCGGCTTGTCATTGAGGAGTAGCCGAACACCGCTGGTCCCGCCAAAGTCGCTGCCTACACCACCACTGAGTCAGAAGAACCCCACTTCTGCGCACAGTGTTCTTCCTTCAACAGCGTCTTCGGTGTCTGAACTCGCCCAAGTTGAATATGATCCGTTCATGGAAGAAGCTTCGCGGCGGCATCAACAATTTCTCGTAAGGGAGAGCCAAGCAAACACCGAGCTAGAGAGATTGCAGCTTTTTATGGAATTTGTGGTCGAGGAGTCGAAGATCCGGAGGCAGCATTATCCAACCCCGTTTGCTGATGGAACTTTCAATCCAGAGGAAGGCAAACAGCGGCTCTTCAGTGATCTCAGGACGACTGGCCAAGGTGAGGTACGAGCTACGGCACCCGGCAGAATGCGATCACCTATGCACGGGATGCGGATCGATCCGACTCAACTTAGCGAGATGTGGTCAAAGGAGTACCGCCCAGAGCTTTCACCGATTGCCAGTATGAGTAACGATGGACTCAGTTCCCGCGGTCGAACTGCTAGCCGATGGTGGCAGTCACAAACTGGCTCGGAAACTGACAGCGTATCGAACAAGATGAAAAGGTCGAAGAGGGAGTCCAAATATATGGGTCTCTCTGCCCTGTCGATGCAAGAAGTGCTGTCCGAGTCCGCGACACCAACCAATATCAACGAAGTATACAGCTCGACAGAAGGCTATGCTGCTGAAAAAGCCAACCCAGAGACATTTGGCATCTACGAGGACCTCGAGCCTCAACAGATGCAACAGACCACCTCACCAGATCCATTGTCTCCAGTTGGGCTTGATATCTCACGGTTCATTACTCTACCTCCACCATACCCTCGACACCACCCTGCCGTCAACAACAGCCATCCGAAGTTGGCCACGTATCGGAAGCTCGTCCGAACACTCAGTGACTTGAGTGAATTACAGAATAGGAAATCACGCCATGACTTGAGTGTTGAGGCTTTGAGGACCGAGCACAAACGCAAGATTGCTGAGGGGCAGAAGAACTTTCGGACCAATATTTCGGCACAGATCAACGAGGGCAGTATCACGTATGCGGAAGCTGCAGAAGCGGAGCAGGCCCTCAAGATGGAGGAGAACATGTCTGAGAAAACCTGCCTTCAAGCGGAGTTCGATACGTTGCAGGACGTGGTGATCAACCCGATGCACGAAATGCTCCATGAGCGTGCAAGGCAACTCAGTGCCCACATGACTGCATTGGCCGAGCAGCTGGAGGCAGACATGCAGGCTTCGGACCTCGATCGACCACAACAAGAGGGAGATGCTATGCCCGAAATCTTAGAGTATCTCACCCAGTTGAAGTGGTTGTTTGAAACCCGGGAAACTGTCCATAAGGAAATATTCGACCTCCTCACCGCGCGGAATGACAAATACAAAGCCATTGTGCTTCTACCTTATCACCAGGTGAGTAATTTCGACAAGATCCGAGACACAGAGGATTTCTTCAATCGCGACAGTGCCGAGCGACACAAGGCATTTTATGAAGAAGCACTGGTCCGTCATCAACGCTTTGTCGACCTCGTTGCAGACCATGTTCGAGACGAAGTCCAGCTGCAGTCGTCTGCGTTTTGGGACATCGCGCCTGGATTGCTGGATCTGCTCCATAAGATTCCCGATGACTTGGATCGGTTCGGCGCCATTGCGGTTCCCGACGCTGAATATGCCGAGAACCCCGAATACCGGCAGTTTCCGCAACAATACCTTTTCACATTGCTTGATCACGCGGAGAAATCGACGTATCAGTTCATAGAATCCCAAAGCAACCTCCACTGTCTGCTCCATGAAGTCAAAGTTGGGTTAATAGCAGCAACAGGTCGAGCTGCTGAAGCCCGGCGAGCTCGCGCCGAACTGGATGGCCCAGTATCAGGAGAGGACCCCAAGAAAGTTCGAGACGAGCAAGAGAGAACAGCTACCGCAGAGTTGAAGCAGCAAGTGGCAATGATTGAGGAACAATGGCTCGAAGCCCTGGGGAGTGCCCTGCAAGGAAAGAAAGGACAGGTCAAGATGTTCTTAGAAAGTGTCGGTGGCTGGGATGAATCCCTACAGGCCGCGGAATGACCTGGGAGCATTCTTGCCGGGGGGAGGTTCAGAAGACGGCATTGAGATGATACCAACTGAGCGACTCACTAGTATGTATGGCTATGAATAATGAAGGAATGACCGGACTTGTGCACAATACGATGATGGACTAGTCGTTTCCTATCCTGGCGACTCCCTCTTTGCCTTCGGATCGTATTGGGTATAGTAGTAGCAGTCGTCTGTACGATATCAATTCGAGGGTTCCATGTTCTCAGGACACAACTACTCGTACAACCCTTCATAGGTGTTTGTAGATACTACGAGTATGCTAGACTACATGAAAGTGTCATAATAATGATATGGCAAAGCTAGTCACGAATACCGCCGGCAAAAGAGTTTAGCTTCGTTCGCAGTGCAAACCTTTTCCCAATTGAGAATAGTTATCGTGCCGAGATTTGCGCCTGGTGTGAGTCTACCCAAGGCATAGGGTATACGATCAAGTTTACGAGCGGAGGGTGGGCGAAACGGCCAAGGGTTACGTATCTACATAGTACATGGGAGAAGGCTTCCGGCCCGTGGAGAGGGATAGGGCTCAGGATAGTCGGCACACCACGTGACCCGGAGTATCAATGGAGCCGGTGGAGAGGAGAGTGGAGCCCGAGGCTCGGCAGAGAGCCAAGACCCAAGACGGCCAGGATCGGCGTCAGGGCCTTTTGTGCCTCCTGCCTCGAGGGAGAGCTCGATCTCGATCGGCGTCACATCATTCACATCATTTTCATCACCCGCGTTGCAACCCTGAAAACCTCCGAATTAGCACAGATGATCGACTTGCCGCTCTGACGTCTATCGCACAAGGATACTGTTACAACCCACTGTCGATAGGGTCAAGGGGTAACTGAACGGTCTGTGTTTATGTTCCGTCTGAATAGCTAACCACGGGATGCTATTGGACTGCTCTCATCAGGCGCGGCATCCACCCCCAATTCTACCTGGATACCCCCATCAACCGCATGGTCCTGTCGGTGGCCCGACGGACACCATGACGTCGGTTGTTGATCTCTATGATCCCGCCCTGCCATCGAGCGTGCGGCGCGTTGATACAGGACCAGGCCCGCCCTGAAGGTGGGTTGTGGTAAGAAATACAAGAATGTCTTGACTTCTCTTGACATATCTGGTCCCATTTGCTTGTTCCCCTCAGACACAATAGGCGCTTGCTTTTGGTCCCCTCTGAAGCGATTCTCTAACGCAGTCCTGGGCTCTCATTCACGTCAAATTCATTGCTCAAATAACATGGCTGAAAAAGAAAAAAATCTCTACGACAGGCGCTCTGGTGACAGTGAGCGTACTGCCACTAATGTTGAAAATGCTCCTCCCCGCAAGAAGTCCTTCGTGGACGTTGACATGACCAAATTGAGCGCCGCATTTGAGAATCCGCTTTCCGATATCCCTAAGGAGAAACTCTTGGAAGAAGTCGAGGTCTTCTGCAGAGATAACAATCTCATGGAGTATATCGAGGCATTCCGCAAGGGTGCGTTGGTAGCTCAATCACCCAATGCCGTTGATGGTATTGTCGAGCTATCGCCCGAAGACCGTGAAGTCCTCGAGCGAGAGCACACCCACCGCTGGTCTCAACCATTCACTCTCTACTGGTTGGTTATCATGTGCTCGCTGGCGGCTGCTGTGCAGGGTATGGACGAAACGGTGAACAACGGTGCACAGGCACTCTATCTCAAGCAACTCAACGTCACCACCAAGCGGTTCAGCCAAGACATGGTTGACAACTTGACTGGACTAGTCGTCGGTGCACCATATTGTAAGCACCCGACTTGCTCAGAACTCTCGCAGAATGTGGGAGATTTCTCCGGCTGAATGCTGATGAAAAGTCCAGTGTGCTGTGCTGTTCTCGGTTGCTGGCTTACAGAGCCGTGCAACAAGGTCTTTGCTCGTCGAGGAACGATCTTCATCTCTTGTTTCATTGCCGCAGTTGCCTCGGTGTGGGAAGGGGTTGCTAATTCCTGGGTCAATCTGTTTTTGGCACGATTCGTTCTCGGTAAGTCGATTCTCTTGCTTTCGCAGTCGCGCTCCCATGTGAAGCTATGCTAATACTCCCCTAAGGCCTTGGAATTGGTCCCAAATCTTCTACGGTACCAGTCTACTCTGCCGAGTGCACCCCAGCCCCAATCCGTGGCGCGCTGGTTATGATGTGGCAAATGTGGACAGCATTCGGTAAGTCTCTTGGGGTGATCCGTGTGGTCTCGTCCTCTAACGGCTTTCTAGGCATTATGCTTGGAAACATTATGGGCGTGGCATTCGGTGGACTCGCTCCAGATCTTGGCTGGAGACTCATGCTCGGCAGCACTGTTGTCCTTCCGCTTATCGTCTGTGCGCAAGTCTACTTCTGCCCTGAAAGTCCCAGGTACGTGGGAAGAAACCTCCCAAGACGCCCCGGAGCCCCTTGTGTGTCCTTCAACAGAGAATTGCTAACGAATGTTCCATAGATGGTACATCCAGCATAATCATCCAGAGAAGGCATTCCGATCCTTCCAACGCCTGAGGTTCACAGACCTCCAAGCCGCAAGAGATACCTACTACACCTACATCGGGGTGGAACTTGAACGCAAGGCCCACAAAGGCAAGAATTTGGTCACACAGTTCATTGAGCTCTTCACTGTTCCCCGCAATCGACGAGCCACCTTGGCGTCATGGATAGTAATGTTCGGGCAGGTATGATACCCAACCCTCTTGCTCTACCCACCTGAGATATCGTCGAATCCATGTTGCATACGTTGATACTGACGCGTTTTCTAGCAATTCTGTGGCGTTAACGTCATTGCTTACTACTCGACGACCATATTTGTCAGTTCCGGGTACTCAATAACGTCGGCTTTGTTGGCTTCAATGGGCACAGGCATCCTGAATTGGGTTTTTGCTTTGCCTGCCGTGTTCACCATCGATCGCTGGGGGCGTCGCAATCTCCTGCTCTTCACGTTCCCTTTCTTGGCCATCTTCCTGTTGTGGACTGGCTTCAGTTTCTGGTTCCATGACACCAAGACCAAAGTTGGGATGGTTACGACGGGCATGTACTTATTCGAGGTAAGTAAAGTCCTTTCTGGATCCATAAATCTTCTGACAGTCGTCCCGCAGGTCTTTTACTCGCCCGGCGAAGGCCCTGTGCCATTTACGTACTCGGCAGAAGCATTCCCCGTGCATGTTCGGGACGTCGGTATGAGTTTCGCGACGGCCACCACATGGTGTTTCAACTTCATTCTCAGCTTCTCTTGGCCTCATCTCTTGACGGCTTTCAAGCCTCAGGGTGCATTTGGATGGTACGGGGCATGGTGTATCATCCTATGGGTCTTGATTCTTCTGTTCGTTCCCGAAACCAAGGTACGCGTTGATCGAACATATCTCTGCTTCGTATACGGTCCTGACTCACTCTTTCTAGGCCCTGACCCTCGAAGAACTGGATCAAGTGTTCAGTGTCAGCACTCGTAAGCATATGAGTTACCAGATGAAGAATGCTGTCTGGCATTTCCGCGTGTGGGTTTTGAGGCAGAAACTCGAACCGTTGCCACCATTTTACCACCGAGCAGAGAAGGTGAATGAAGCGTGATATATGAAATCATTGCTTTGTCAAGTGTGCTGAGGGTTTGGCTGAGTAAGTGTTACGATATCTGGGTTCCGGTCTAGGGGCCACTGGGGGTAGATTTGCTGTTGCTGCTGAACTATTATCCGGAGAAAGCCTGGGCAAACGTGAAGTATGTAGAAACGCTGGGCGAGTAGAAGAACGATGGGGATTGGGGATCATCTGGGCTCTGGACCTTGCTGTCGACCCATTCCGAAAGTGCCCGACGGGTGTTGCTCGGGCTGATGTTTACCGAGCTCAGCCAGCGGAATTTGGCGATTGCAATGGCCTACCAGCCTCTCTCGAATAATATGTCCACAATTGGAGACCGGGGAGACTTGCAGCATCCCGTGTACTGGTGTGCATCGTGGAAAAAGTATTTTTGCTCTGCTAAAGTGCATTCAGTGTAACCAGAAGCCTCAGCCTCGTCGCCCATGTGATATCACGTGCAGAGCGAGGCCCACCGGAAGAAGTCGGGACGTTGATTCCTCGGCTGCCGTCAGTCGTCAATGCGCAGCGCAGTTTTGCCCCTCCATCCCTCCATCCACTCAACATGTCCCTCACTGCCTTTTCCATGTCTCCCATTTGTAGAGCGACTCGACTCGGATCGACTGTCTGATGCGGAGAAGCATCCACTGCCATCATCTCCCGCAGACGGGCCACCAGGGCCAAACAATGATGTTGACAATGCCTCGCCCTGCTGCCACCACCCGATATGGGGCTGTCGGAATTGAGAGCAGCTACTTCTCCTTAAAACCACTGGCTTTCCCTGAGATATCTGGCTTCTGTTCTTCCTTGATATCTGTTCCACCTGAGCCATTTCTCATTGCTAGCCCAGGCTTCTGCATCCCCAGTTTTCGTCGCTTCTGTTCCTCTGACGTCCGTCTTCCATTCTACCGAGGGCCAATATACCCATCGCGTGCCCTACATCACCCACTCCGATTTCTCAGATTCGACCGTTCTTTTTCCTATCTCGAGTCACTGTAGGAGCAGGAGCTGCAAATATGGCAACCAACGGAGATACCAATGGCCAGTCTACCGGTACTGGCACGGAGAAAATCAACACAGACATCATCACTCTCACTAGATTCCTGACAGAAGAACAGTCGAAACACAAGGAAGCCACCGGTGACTTTACGTCCGTTTGCCCATCCATTTCTCTCGCAAATAGCATCACGCGGCTGACATTGTGTATGCTTGCAGACTGCTCTGCCATGCCCTTCAATTCTCCTTCAAATCCATTTCCTACTATATCCGTCGTGCCACCTTGATCAATCTCACCGGTCTAGCTGGTTCTTCGAACACGACGGGCGATGATCAGAAAAAACTCGACGTGATTGGCAATGACCTCTTCGTGGCCGCAATGCGGGGTTCCGGAAAGGTCAGAGCTCTCGTCTCGGAAGAAGAGGAGGAGGTGATATACTTTGACGAAAGCCACGATGCCAGATATGTTGTGGCCTGCGACCCCATTGACGGGTCGAGCAATCTGGATGCTGGTGTCAGTGTAGGAACCATTTTTGGGATTATGAAGTTGCCAGACAGTGTCGTGGGCAAGAAACCTTCTCCGGAAGATCTCCTGATGCCGGGTACGGAACTGCTTGCTGCTGGGTAAGTCCAAAACTGGGATTTCATCTTATGGAAACGTAGAAGAGTACTGACAAAATTAGGTTCACCATGTATGGCGCCTCTGCGCAACTCGTCATCACCATGAAAGGCGGCTCGGTCAATGGATTCACTCTGGTAAGGAGTCACCTGTTCTTTCCCCTGTATACACCACAAGTATTTTCCGTACTAATGTAGACGGCCTTCAGGACAATGCCCTAGGAGAATTCATTCTCACACACCCCAATATGCGCATCCCTAAGAAGCGTGCCATCTACTCTGTGAACGAAGGAAACTCCCTCTACTGGACCGACAAAACAAAGGCTTACTTTGAGTCGCTCAAATACCCTACTGAAAAGGGCGGCAAACCATACAGCGCCCGCTATATTGGATCCATGGTTGCTGACGCTTATCGCACACTACTGTACGGAGGCATCTTCGCGTACCCGGCGGATAAGAAATCACCCAAAGGAAAACTCAGGATTCTGTACGAGTGTGCGCCGATGGCGCTGGTTATGGAGAATGCGGGTGGCATGGCAGTGAACAGCAAGATGGAGAGGATGTTGGAGGTCAAGCCGGAAGGTATCCACGACCGAAGCGGAATTTTCATGGGCAGCAAAGAAGAGATGGAGAAAGTCATTGCGGCGCACAAGTAGATTAGGGGAGTCGGTAGCGAAGCAGATCACGGGGGAGGACGAGACGGTCCCTCAGGAGGAGACGGCACGGAGCTATCAACGACATAACGGGAGTTGTTGAGCGGGAATCAACTGACAATCATGGAATGGATTTGGTCTTATGGTATATGTATTTACCTACCATGTTATGCATGACCTACGAAAATCAGGAAACCGGCATCCATATGCAAAATGTCATGATGCATTTGTTTGCCCTCTGCCCCCTTTTGCTTTCTTCCTATCATTCGACCTATCGATGCAGGGCCCTCCTCGGGCGCACACGGGAGACAGATATTTGACAGATCTCGAGATCCTATGGCAGTTAAAATGACATTTGGATGGAAACCAAGACGTGGTCCTGAGCTGGTGCTTGCCCAGTCACTCTACTTCATGAAACAGCGTAGTTATGGACCTCACGAACATGATTCTTTTCCGATCTCCTTTGACCTCTCCCGAATCTTCGCGTGTCTGCCCTTACGACATTGCCTTCACCAGGTTATCTTTCAACCCCTTGATTGCAGCTACCATATCGTCTTTGAACTCGTCCAGCAGCTCGTCCCTGGTTTTGGCAGTGTCGGTGTGCGTGGTGGTTGTGCCGCTGCTCTTCCGGTCTCCGCTCATCCGCCCGCTCGACATGGCAAACCGTCCGTATCGCAAGTCACTCAGGTTCCCAATGGTGTCCTTGGCCTGCGTGCGCAGCGCGTCGATCTGGGCCTCCAGGTCTGCGATCTCGGCGGTGAGGTCCTCACCGGCGGTGGCCATTGCAGCGAGGAGTGTGGTGGTTGTATGGTTGTGCTTTGCGGTCGCGGTGGGCAGCGTGTTGCCGAGCGCTCGTCCGTCGTGGAGCGCCGTGTCGAATTGTGTCTCCTGTTCCTCCTTATCGACGTCACTATCTGACTTCTCATCGTCGTCGCCGTCGTCACCGTCGTCGCCGCGAGCGCTACCCTCCTTCCTTTTCCGCTTCCTGCCCCTCCTCAATCCCTCCTCCTCCCGGCGAATCTGCCTCCCCAGCCGCGCTGTGAGTTCGACGCTGCGACGACGCTCGTCTTCGATCCGTCGTCTCACGTCGTCAATGACAATGTCCCTCTGAAACTGCAGGTCTCGGTACAGTCGCTTCAGCTCGGTCGGGTGCTGTCGTGCAGAGGACGACGCGCTGGGAGGGACAAGTGCCAGGAAGGATTTGTACGGCAGGATTGTCGGGAGCGGTGACGGGTGGAGGAGGTACGATGTGAGGATTTCTGACTCGGAGGGTGTGTGGGGTGGCATGGCGTTCGTTATGATGATGGCGGTTTCTTATCCTGAAGCCGCTGATTCTTTTGGCTGAATGCCTTCTCGTCGTCACAGCCTCGCGCCGCAAACGAGGAAGTAGATTCTTTGGACTTGCAGCCTCGGAGCGCGGTACCACTGACCTAGAGTAGCACCCTTCCACTCGCGCTCTCGCTTGGGGTGTAACCAACTGGAATGAAGTTCTCCCTGCAATCGACTTCCCTGGACCTATCCAAGTATTTGGCGACAGCTGCCGTAGTTTCCTGAGCCTGCAGCTTTATGCTGCCACCCTGGCCGTCCGCGCTCTCCCTTTTTACCTCAAGTAATGTGAAGTTTACGGTATTTTCCTTGTATTCTTTCGCCGCCGAGAACGCAGACCCGCTCCTCAGATATTCCTTTCGTTGTTGCCCCGCAATATATCCCCTGAAACGGTAGCCTTGTGGTCGCAACGACAGCTCCTAACTCTGCTTCTCCAATAGACTTTGCAATACACGTACCAGCAGCGCAAAAATGACTCCTTCTCGTGTCTCAAGGCTGTTTGTGCCCTGAGCAATCCGTCACAGAAAAGGGCGAGCAGATTGCTGGTGTCGCTGCCCCACTAGTTCCAAATGTCTTTGTCTGTTGGAGCTGCGACGGTCGTGTCTTGTTCATGAAGCAATGTGAAGATCCGTGTAAGCCATAAGAGTAGCCGAATCGTGTCGCTGTCTGTAGAATAGTCGGGGAAAGCCTGCCTGGTGGTCTTTGGCAGCAAACGCGTGTGTCGATGTGAAATACCCTTTGGACACTGCACGAGCGCACGACCAGGATAACCAACAGCGGTCCGTGGACTTCCTTTCTCACTTTTTCTGGGCTTCCCAAACAAAGGTCAACGAGATCTCTGGTCAATTCTCTCCTGGGAACAGGATGTTGCTGGGTCTCCAAGGCCCGACCGACGCTCACCAACATCTCGGATCGGAAAAACTTCGGATGAACGACGCGTTCTCGCCAGCCAATGAGCGCCGGCTTCGCCTTGGCTCTGTCGCTCGGTCTGTATGGCAAGTCGCTGCCTCTCCCTTCGATGCCTTGACAACATCTTCACCATTGTCTGCTCCCTTCTTCTTCCCTGTGTTTTTCTTCTTTCTTTGTCTCCTCGAATTTCCTGATCGTGTGGATCGAGTCTTCTTCAGTGTGAGGACTGCTGTCGGGAGTTTCTTCCACTTCTCATCAACCCGCCTCGAAATCTCCCCCTTTGTCCTGTGAAATCCGGGATTAACGCCTCTGTCTAACTCCATCGTTCTCATGGCTCCACAGTCGAGTGACAGCAAACCACTGTTCCAGAAGGATGAGAAAGCCCTCTGTTTCCATGGAGAGATGTTGTATGATGCCAAAATCACAGACGTGAAAAGAACAGATCCCAAAGAGACGAAATCACCCTTCCACTACAAGGTCCACTACAAAGGCTGGAAGAACACGTGAGTTTCTGTCTCATCCATGGTTACCTTTGTTCGCGTCCTTTTCCTGTGAATTTGCCATTCTGTGTTCGTGGAGGCCGAGTTGCTTCACGCAACGGGACATTGTTTTCGTTTCGCGCAGCGACTGTGGATTTTGTGTTGGCAGCTGAACCTGTCCGACCGTGAATTTTGCACATTCACGTCCAGTGTCGGCACCTCCTGCCACCACATAAATCTCTTCGCGAAAAGAAATTCTTTTCATCTCCCATCCCATCCCCCAAACCTCCCAAGTCATCAAAAGCTAATCGGTTCTCTTCCAGCTGGGACGACTGGGTCCCCCAGGATCGTCTCCGAAAGCCAACAGAGGATAACCGAGAACTTGCAGCGCACCTGCGCCAACAGGCAATTCTCAAAGCCAACCCCAAGATGGCTGGCAAGACCCGTCGAGGACAAGGCTCAGAGATTGGATCTGGCAGAGGGTCAGAGGAGCGCACATCTTCTGTCCCTGCTGCCGGTGGTAGGGGATCCAAACGCGCAAGAGATAACGATCTGGAAAAGGTTGGTGGTGATTCCCCGTCCCACAAGCGCACCCGTGTTCGTGATCGTGATTCCCGTCATGATGATATCCCCCCTTTTGATATGATAGCCTGGATTGCCGATCTGCCCGCGAGCGAGAAGGCCCGCAAGTATGCTTCAAAGGTGAAGAAGCTTCCCAAACCCAACTTGGATATCGAAAACCCCTTGGATGCTGAATCGATCACAAGTATCATCGCCCATCTTTCGGATGTGGACAACAACATGGACCAGCCGACAACCGTGGATGACAATGAGGACAAGCCAAAGACCGCGGACGATAAAGAGGATAAGCCAAAGACCCCGGACGGCAAAGAGGACAAGCCAACAACCGTGGATGACAACGGCGACCAGCCGACAACCTTGGATGACAAAGAGGACAAGCTAACAACCGAGGACGGCAAAGAGGACTCTAAGCCCAGCCAGAGCGTGGAACAACGACGGAATGACGAGATAGATCTGCGACAATTTGTCTATGTGCCCCGCAAAGCTGCGGTCAAAGCCACGACTGCTCTTGCAGAAGCAAATTCGAAACAACTTTCAGTGGCCGCTCCCTCTGCCAAAAAGACGACGAAGAAGACCGCGTCCAAGTTGAGCAGTTCTGCCGCCACAAAGAAGGCCGATGCTGCAACCCCTAGCCCTCATAACGTGCCAGCTGGGCTGTCGAAAAAGACATTGTCAAACTCTGAGACTGTCACATCTCGCACAAAAGATACGAAAGTTGTCAGTGGTAAAGGGAAAGCGAATGTTGGAAAGAAATCTGATGCAACAAAAGCACAACCAAAGGCCCAGCAAGCTTCTGGTTCTAATCGCTCCCACATCACCGCGAATCCTGACGGTGAGGGCGTGCAAAGTGATGAACTGCTCTCTGATGCAAAGCCGGAAGACAAATTCGCAGGCATCAAGGACGAAGAAAGTGAAGTAAATGTTGTCACTTCTCTCAGGAGGAGCGTTAGGACCGCAGCGGCGGTTTCCACCGCCAAGGTCAAGTCCCAGATTCAGTCCATGGCCACCTCCTTTTCGAGGACAATCAACCAAACCCACGCTTCATCACCAACTCCGTCCTCGCAATCTTCCACCAGTTCAAAAACGCTGCGCAGCAGTACTGCCACCAAACCAGACGCGCGAAAGAGAGGGAAGTCGTACACAATGCAACAACACCGCGGACCAAAACACCAGTTGCCGCCGCATTTCGAAGAGCTGCCCTCCGATATCGATAGCGATAACGAGGATCACGGGGCTGCGCCCGCGACAATCGCTCCTGGAGCACCTTTTGAGGTTGATCCTCCTGGATCAAACACGCCTCTCGATGCCCTCAAGTTCCCTTATCGCCTCATCGAGAAGATAAACCGCGATGGCGACAGATTCCCCCTCGGGTGGACCAAGGAACATCTCAAGTGCATCCCTGACCATTGCCTCGTCTGGGTCCGTGAAGAACTCCTGGTCAAAATGCCATACAGCGTACTTGAGAACCGCCCCCACTGGGTTCTCAAGGAAGTGCCAGACAACGCACCCTTTTGGGACCAGTGGGAGCGAGAGAACGAAGCGAAGATTATAAACGCGTTCGTCACCAAGGTCAAGGGAAGACCCAACGACGACCACTATGCTCTTAACGTCCTCGCCAGCTTGGCCACAGACCGTGCCTTTGAAGACGCGGCCCGAGCAAGTCGGTCCTTTGGCAAGGTCACCACCGATAAATCTGAGGAGAGGTGCAAGAAGTGTGTCAAATTCGGCGTGAAATGCGATGGAGTGAAGCCGGTCTGCCATCCCTGCAAACAGGCTGGCCGTGAATGCGACTTTTCTATCTCTATGGACGAGGAGAGCTACGGGCGACGAGGCAGTGTCGACGATAGACAACAGGAGTTTGCGAACTTGAGTGGCGACAATCTCGACGTTGCCTTGCGTGCCAGGGTCCCTGCTACCCGAGCCATCACAGGACTGGATGTTCTTGCTCTGGCTGCAGAAGTGGTCGAATCTGGAGCAGCTGATCGCGTTCAAAGTAACCCTCTAGGAAACACCCAGGACCCCGGATATGGAAATGGATCTGACTCCCTAGGAAATACCCAGGATGCCGGTTATGGAAATGGATCTGGCTCCCCCTCGCTCCGTGGTCTTTTTCCAATGCTACAGCTCGCAAAGATTGCCGAGTCCCTTTTCCATCATTTTGACCTTGAACGAGGAACACCTGCTTACTTGAACATGCCTTCACAGGAAGACGCGTTCTACACCCGTCCATCCATACGCATCACCATCCCCGACCATTTGAAAAATCTCCTCGTTGACGACTGGGAGAATGTCACGAAATCCCTTCTTCTCGTCCCCTTGCCAAGTCAAGCTCCAGCGAACTTCATCATTGACGAATATTTCAACGAAGAGAAGATGAATCGCCGCCTGTGTTCGCCCGAAGCAGACATTCTGGAGGAGTTCTGTGCTGGACTAAAGATGTACTTTGAGAAAGCAGTTGGTAAGATCTTACTGTATCGCTTTGAGCGAAGTCAACTAGCAGAGGTAAGTCATTCTTTAGCGTTATGGTCTCTTTTCCCGTCTACATGCTGATCACGACGCTGCGGACAGGTTAGGAAGCTCTGGGAGTCCGGTCGTTACAAGGAATGGGAGGGCAAAGGTCCCGGCGATTGCTACGGTGCCGAACATCTCACACGCATGATCGTCAACCTGCCGGAAATGATTGCCCAGACGAACATGGACTTGGAAGCCGTTGCTCGCTTGAAGACCGAACTCAGCAAATTCAGCATCTGGCTGTCGAGGAACAGTACGAAATACTTCTGTGCGAAATATGAGAAACCAAGTGCGGAATACATCGAGAATGCCCGATAGGAACGGATGCAAGAACGAGTTGACGCCGACTAGGAGAGTGCGAGTGCGCAGCTGAGGACTCTGAAGGAGCTCATTATGGTGACAGAGGACATTGGTGACCGGAAATGCGAGTGCAAAGCTGAGGTGCTTCAAAGAGTTTATCATGGTGACAGGGGACATTGGTGATCGAAAATGCAAGTGCAAAGCTGGGGTGTTGCAAAGAGTTTATCATGGTGGGACATTGTCGACTGCGAATGCGAGTGCAAAGCTGAGATCTTTGAAAAAGCTTGTCATGGTGACACGGGACATACCGACTGCCACACTGTACCGGAGTATTGATTATTTCAGTGAAGGCCACTGGGCGCTCTTGGGTTACGAGGGCAGCAAATGGCTGTTGGGGTTTACAGCCCTCAGAAACGAAGGGGTTTCATCATAGCGTGGTCGTGGTAACTACTCGGTATTAGGTAGACCCGCCAATTCTCATTATCGTGAGTATGCGAAATGAAGATCGATTGTGATTGCTCAAAAGGTTGGCAAGGCTGGCAAGGCTGGCAAGGCTGCCTACGGAAGTGTCGAGGAGAGTTTCTCACAGAAGCTTGGCACGCATTCGATTTCGTTTCGTTTCTTTTCCTTTTTCGATGCCGAAGCCGCTGCCAGCGAGTCAGGCACCTTTTCTCTCCAATTCTCTCCAATTCCGTTGCGAAGCAGTCGATAATCTTTTCCTTGTTCCTGACACGCGATCTTTCACACAAGCACTGATGCCTCGTTAAACTGCTGTCCAAAGGTATGTAGAGAGTGAACATGCTCCTGCTCCCCTCTTGCTTCTTATGATGAGAATCCAGCTGGCACCAGTCTGAGAAGACTTGTACTCTTTACATGCGGATCAGCTTTCCATGGCCTTGAGCCTACAATCTGAACATTCCCCCTACAAGTAACAGTGCACGGTTTTGTTTCTGCGGAACTTGGGACTGATTTGTGCCGCAACTACAACAGGAACCCCCATCTGACGTCTTGATATCCTGTCAATCCCTCCCCACCATGGTCCTCCACAACCCGAACAACTGGCATTGGGTCAACAAAGACGCTGGTCCCTGGGCCAGGGAGTATTTAGACACAGAAGTCAAGAAGGTCTCGGCGGAAGAGGATGGAGTGTCGGCAAAGATCACAAAACTGACCTCGATGGACGGCGACGTGGAGGTGAGCCAGCGAAAGGGCAAAGTCATCACAATCTTTGATGTTGCTTTACAACTAGAATATGAAGGTACAAGCCTACACCTAAAGAGGATGGTGAAAGAGGTGGCTCATTCGTTATAACAGGCAAGACCCAAGATGGCACCGACGTTGGCGGGAGTATCAGAGTCCCGGAATGCGCATATGACACGGAGCCTGATGACTACGTGGTATGTACCACATTGACGAAGCGTGCGAAACTTGCTCGGACTATGACTGACAACTTTGGCAGTTTGAGATTGACATCTATTCCGAGAAGAAAGAGAAACAGCCCGTTAAAGATCTTGTCCGATCGAAGTTGGTCCCTCAGCTTCGACAAGTGTTTTCTAAATTCGGGCCCGCCTTGATCGAGGAGCATGGCAAAGACCTTCAACACGCGCCTGGCTCCAACCCGTCGAGTGGGTTCGCAACTCCCACGTGGCATCCTGAAAAAGAACGCAAACCTTTGTCTCCTGCCCCTACCACAACCTCCACAAGCGGAAAATCGTCCATCAACACGACTACAGTCGTTGCGACGGATGAGTTTCGCACAACGGCAGAAGAAATGTACCAGACCTTTACCGATCCCCAGCGCCTTGCAGCGTTCACACGCGCCCCTCCTCGACTATTCGAGGGCGCCAAAGTCGGCGGGAAGTTCTCTATTTTCGATGGCAATGTAACTGGGGAGTTTGTCGAACTCCAGCCCCCAAAGAAGATTATTCAGAAATGGAGATTAGCGCAGTGGCCCGAAGGACACATGAGCACCCAGGAGATCTTCTTCGACCAGAACGATGTCGACCGAGTGACTAACATGCGCGTTACGTGGACCGGGGTACCGGTTGGACAAGAGGAAGTGGTGCAGAGAAATTGGGAAGGCTACTACGTTCGCAGCATCAAGCAGACATTTGGGTACGTCTTGCACACTGGTTGAAATGTTTTGGAGTGTATTGCTAACCAAGTCAACAGCTTTGGGACCATTCTTTAGGCTGCCACTGCCCAGCAGGCATTCACGCTGCATTTTTATAAAAAGCAAGGCGACCGGAGTGATGTGGATCGGCCGGCAATCGCATACTATAGGTCACTTTGTACGATTCTAGACTTTCTGGGGGCGGAAACCCCCTAAGAAAACGAGCCCACGCAAGGACAAGATTCGATAACGACGGAACGCAATGTTACACAAAAAGTAAGAACACGTCGTGTTTAGTTTGAACGTCTTTCTTTGGCTGCGATTCCCAGGTCCTCTTTCTCCCACGATCCGCGAGCAGCGCCAATCCCAGCGATCGATCGTTCATCTGCGTGCGTGTTTGTGTGTGGCAGGGAACAGGGGGCAAAGAGATGGAAGAACAAGCATCGTGATATGCCCGACCAGTTTCCCATACGTCATTTCCCCCCTTCAGCCGTCGCCAGCTTTGATCATCGACATCAGGACAACCTGCACCGCCACACTTTCAACTCCTCCCAAGTCTTATTGTCTATTGTGCTTCATAACAGTCCAACGGCTTTCCGCTCGTCAGATCTTCATGCGGTTTCGCTGATCTCTGCCGCTCAACCTCCTGTTCCTATCCGTCGAGCGTGGATAGATTGGACTTTACCTAGGCGGTAGAATACAATCTTGTGTTTGCACCGTGTGGAGCAAAGTGATTTGAGCATCAGTGGACACCATGTCCGAACAAACTGTTGCCGAGCCAGCCACCAAGGCCCAGACGAGTAGTGAAGATGAGACAGACCTTACGAGCGTCCTAAATACAGGCCAACGAGCAGATCTAACACTGCTCATTGCAAACATCACCGAGTCAATGCGCAAAGTGATTCTTGATAACTTCAGTTCAACAGCAGGCCTGGACAAAACGCTCCTCCGAGAAGGTATGACCGAGGAGGAGAAGATGATGGCAGTGGATCCAGCAAACGTCGACGTCTCTGCGTACGACCGCGAACGGAAAATGAAGGCTGAGATCGACAAGGATCTGGCAACGCTGAAGATGAAGAACCTCAAGAAGAATTCTCTCAAGGCCTTTGACGAGTGGCGCGAGCAGGTCATCCTGCGGGTTGGCCAAGTCGTCAACAGTGAACGCACCGCTCAAGAACAAGTTCGGAAGGGCGCCAATGCCACATTATCAAGGCCTCAGGCACCAGTCACCACTGCCAGAGTCATGGAGGCTGGGTCCAGAGTGGTCAACCTGAAATTCAAAGACCTGTTCCCTCCCACGAAAACTCCATTGACGAAGCTGCCCATGGACAGGCGAACGCTGGTCCTCCATTCTTTGCTCTTGCTGCTCCTGTCCTTGGAGCACTACAATGCGTATTCTCGCATTCTGCTGCTCAACTTGACATCATCACTGAAACTGCCCCTGAAGGCCTTCGAGCAAGACGAGTACGCGACGGCCAAAGGCCTACTCGAAGCGGCCAAAGAGCTGACAGCCGACGAGGAGAAGATGAAGAAGATCAAGGAGAATGAGGAGACTCGAAAATGGAGAGTTCGCTACGCAACTGCGGCTGGTGCTGCAATTCTCGGTGTCACGGGCGGTATGGCAGCTCCTCTCGTCGCAGCAGGTGTCGGCTCTGTCATGGGTGGACTCGGGCTTGGTGCTACATCCGCAGCTGCATACCTGGGCTCCGTAGCAGGAAGTGCTGTCCTCGTCGGTGGACTGTTTGGTGCATATGGCGGACGAATGACGGGCCAGATGATGGACTCGTATGCACGTGAAGTCGAGGACTTTCAGTTCCTGCCTGTTCATGGCAGCAGTGACAAGAAGACCAGCGAAGATGAAGCTCAAGGTGCACAAGACGCAAGTGAACATGACCACAAACTCCGCGTCACCCTTGGCATCTCAGGTTGGTTGACCGAGAAAGAGGAGGTGGTGAAACCATGGCGGTCCTTGGGTACAGGCGCCGAGGTTTTTGCGTTGAAGTACGAACTGGAAGCATTGCTGAACTTGGGCAATGCAATGAACGGCATGGTCCAATCGGCGGCCTGGGGATATGCACAGAAAGAAATCATATCACGGACCATCTTCGCAGAACTTGCCGCGGCGATGTGGCCGATGGCCCTCATGAAGGTCGCAAGGGTCATTGATAACCCCTTCAGCGTTGCGAAAAGTCGTGCCGACAAGGCGGGTGAGGTCCTGGCGGATGCCCTGGTCAATCGCGCACAAGGCGAGCGTCCAGTCACCCTCATCGGATATTCGCTTGGAGCTCGCGTCATATACACCTGTCTCATGAGTCTGGCGAAGAGAAAGGAGTTTGGAATCATTGAGAATGCCGTCATGATTGGCTCACCAACACCCAGCGATACTAGCGACTGGAGAGTCCTCCGCAGTGTTATCGCGGGCAGACTCGTCAATGTCTTCTCGGTCAACGACTACATCCTTGGCTTCATGTACCGTACGTCAGCCATTCAGTATGGAGTGGCTGGACTGCAAAAGGTTGAAGGCCTGAGGTCGGTCGAAAACTTCGATGTCTCGGAGGATGTCAGCAGCCACCAGCGCTACCGCTACCTGATCGGCGCCATTCTCAAGAAGATTGGCTTTGAGGATATCGACATGGACGCCGTCAAACGAGAACAGCAAGAGCTAGTAGAGATGGAAAAGGAAGAGGAGAAACAGTCTCTTGCTGCGCAGAGAAGATGGCTGATGAGGAGGGAGTCCCATGGCGGCAAGGTAGACGAAGCCGCTGAAGGCGAAGAAGAGGCCGAAGAGTTGGAAAAGAAGATCCAGGAGCAGACGAAGAAGAGCCTGGTGAGTAGGGCGATCGAGTATTTCTACGTGCCGAGTGTCCCAAGTGCGCAAGATGCGCAAAAGTTGGCGAGCAATCTACAGAAGGCCGGACAGGACCCTACCCAGGCTGGCAATGTCGCCAGTCAAACAGTCAAGGACGCCCAAGCTTCAACAGAGAGCTATGCAACCTACATTTACAAACACCTGCCGAGTATGCCACACATCAACCGTTCCAATCCCAACGCAGTTCAGAAACCGGACGCCACAGACGCCAGCAAACTCACAGGCCAGGCACCCAAGAGTGCAGAGGGAGCAACAAGCCAAACACAAAGCTATGTCCAACAAGCCTCGCAATATCTCTCTTCTCTGCCGAGCATGCCTTCCCTCTCAAGCGGCATCAAAGGGAAATCCCAGGCACCACCAAAAGCAGCGACAGAGAAGGCGACGGAATCTGCAAATAAGGCGGCAGAGACTACCACCGCCGCTGCCAAGGGCACAGCGAGCACAGTGTCCGACGTGGTCACACCGACGGTCGAGAACGCGTTGAACCCCAAGGACAATCCCGCAGTCAAGTCCACCAGGCGTGTCACCCGCCAGACCCCAATTATTCATCAAGCAAAAGATCGCACACCGGCTCCACTCAAAGATAAAGCGGGTGAGGCAGCTGAAGCAGCGGGGACAACCGTGCAGAACGCGACTGAAACTGTACGAAAAGGTTTGGATACCACCGCCGACAAAGTTGGTGAAGCGGGCAAGGCAGCACCGGGTCTATCCCAGGACCCCGGTAAAAGTGCAGCAGATACTGCTCAGAGCGCAGTCAAAACCGGGCAGAGCTATACCTCTAGAGCAGCGGCCTATCTGCCTAGCATGCCTAGCATGGGATTTGGACGCGCAGGGAAGAGCGGGAAGAGACCACCGCCACCAAAACTTGAGAAGAGATCGTCCGAGTCAAAGACAGGCGCCGCGACCAAAGCAGCGCAAGAAGCACCGAAACTGGAGAAGGCACCGGCAGGTGTCAAGTCGCCACCGCCCAAGCTCGCCCGGATCCCATCAGGAGTCAAGTCGCCGCCGGCGCCAAAACTCGACAGGATCCCCTCTGGTATCAAGTCGCCCCCGCCAAAGCTGGACAGGACTCCCTCTGGCATGAAATCCCCACCGACCAAGCTCGATCACGCTCCATCTGGGGGCGTCAAGTCTCCGACAAAACTCGGCCCTCCACTTTCAGGAGTCCCCACGCCGTCCACGTCAGTCCCAACACCGAGTCTCATACGGCAGGTCAGCAGTGGTGGCGTGAGATCGCCGCCGCCGAAACTGGGACCCCGGAGGAGCTCGAGTCAACAGGTCCAAGTTCCCGCAGCGCCGACTCCCGCGGCCATCGGCGAGAGGCTGGCAAGTCTCTCCCAGGACGCAGCGGCCGCAGCCAAGAGGGCTGGGAATGCGGCCACCGGCGCGGCGGGATACAAACAGGGTGAGAACGCCACGAAGGACACAGAGAAGAAGAATAGGGGAGTTAAAGAGACTTCAAGCCCTGTAGCCACACCTTCTGTCCCTGGCGCAGGTGCTGCGAAGGGCGTCACCTCGTCAGCCACAGATGCAGCGAGCAGGGCCGGTGAAACTGGCAAGAACGCCGCGGGTGGCGCGCTGAGGACGGGCGGCAGCATGATCTCCGGCCTGGGACGGACAGTTGGGTTCGGGAAAAGTTGAATGGCACTGCGCCTGAGACGCAGTGAAAGCTTCTATATCAGATGATTGCTTCAACGGGAAATTTAGTTTCTGTGGGTAGGAAAAGAGGAGGCCATTGTCTCATCACATCACATCGATGGCATGTAACATGTAAAAGGTTCGGGTGCGACCACGGACCACGGACTACGGCTTTGGTCACCTTGTTGGGCTTGGGAGCACTGCATGGTTGTATTCATATTTATATCCACAGCACTGACGTCTCTTAAAATCGTACAGTTTTCCGGGTGATGAGTTTCTTGGGGCACACAAGTCCATTCGAATACCTTTCACTGTCTCATCCTTGCCTTTTCTTCTTCGCGACTCGCGGCCGGGATTGCCTCATGCACGTATATCACACCCTTCTCTGTGCTTTGGTCTCTAGGAATGAGTAGGAGGCCTCATACGTCGGAGACATCTCGCACTCGTATATACCACCTGCCTGGGTAACCATGGGTGAGTGATTCAGATAGGGTGTGTATGTGACGATATGGGAGTAAGGTCGGAAGGATAGGGAGAGTGGGGAAAACTACAAGATCAAGAGCGCGGAGGAGATGAAAACAAGCAGACGTGGAAGAATATCGACATGTTGTTCCTTGGCCTTGTCTGATTACAGAGGCTGCATGAACTTTTTGGGTGGAAGCCCTATCCCACTTATAAGACGAATGAAGGTATTATCCTACCATTTTCCCCGTTTTTGTTTGCCTTTGTTGTTCTCCTTTTTACAGCCAAATGTCGCCCATTTTGATATCGCAGGCCCAGATCACGTATACATACACATTCAACATGCCCCCTTACCGGCGGCGTCTTCCAGGCAGCAGCTCTCCGAGACCGTGCCTACCTACCCAAGCAAGGCAGATGCCTAGCAGCTGTGGCTCTGCTGCGCCGTCGGCTCGTCCCCGACAAGAATGTCCAGCTTGCCCCGGACGGTCTTGACGCTGATCGAGTTCCGGTCGCTATCTCCCTGTCGGCCCACCATGCCGCCGATGACTTTCTCGACAGCCAGGTCCTTCCCCTCGAGCTTGATGTCCCCAACGATGCCTCGCGCGTCGACCGTGCCTTGGAAATTCGCGGGGTAGGTGATCAGCTGGTCGCCCGCGACGGACGTGTGGGACGACTCGAAGAGACGCTCCGCGGCGATGGAGTCGACAAAGACGCGCGAACTGCCTGAGGCGATGCGCGTCGAGAGCGTGGCTCGTGGGGCGGCCGACTTGAAGGCGACATTGACGTAGATGCCGCCGCTGCCGATGTCGATGTTGGTCGAGTTGTAGATCGCCAGGCTGCCGTTCAGGTGGCCGTGGCCGAGGTGAATGTGGGTCGAGCCCTGGTCGCCCGTAGAGATGGAGGGGATGTTGAGTGTCACGTTGCCCCGGCCTATGTCGACGTTGGTCTCGTCGCGGGCGTGGGTCAGGGCACCGCGGAGAGCGCCATAGCCAATCGAGATTTGGGTCGTGTTGGTGTGCACGGGGCCAGGCTTGACGAATCCCCTGCCCACCCGGACCGTGAAGGTGCCGATTTCAAGGGACTCGGGCAGCTGACTGAAGTCGACCATGTGGCGGGGAACATCGACTTCGAACCTGGGAAGTGCGAATTCTCCAATGATGTTGGATGGGATCTGGATTGTGGCGGCGGTGTGGGTCTTGAGCTTGCCGGTCGACGGAGTGTTGATGGTGAGGTGGCCATTGTCTTCCCCGATCGTGACCTCGCCGTCCTTGTCCTTCTTGTTGGTCTTGATGTCCAGATCGATCACGACCTTGTTGGACAACTTGGAGGTCTCAAAGACGACCTTCCCAAACACCTTTGGCCCTCGGACGGAAAGGCCACTGGCTTGGGCGGGGTCGAATTCGAAATGCGTGGTGCCGTTGAAAGGTTTCCACTTGTCGATGGGTGGGAACGGGTGCTGATGGTGGCCATCGTCGTCGAACAGTAGTGGGATATAACCGGGGATCTTGTGATTCATACCGTGGCACGGTCTCGAAAGGCCCCCGGATTGAGACCCAACCACGCTGCAAAGCGCCTTGAAGACCAGAAGAGCGCCTAAGACGGTAGCAACGAGTCTGAGCAGACGGGTTGCGAGAGAGGTCCGTTTCACTGGGGGCGTGGAAGTTGCCGGCGCTGGAAGGACCTCAATCTCAGGATCCTTCTCGTCGGTGTAGCCATTGGGGGTGGTCGACATTTTGAGGGATGGTTGGCGATGCAGGCAGCCACAGAACAGGTCAGAGAGAGGATCTCAGATGAGGAGAAGCACAGGGCGAAGGGATGAGAGGGTAGGAGAGAAGGATTCAACGGATTCTAGGATGTTGTAGGATGCGTGGTTTGTATGGAAGAGAATTGAATGCTGCCTGGAGAGAGAAAAAGCAACATCATGCCATCCCCTCCCATCATCCTGTGGCATTGCGCATGATGAAGTCACTGATGCCGCCACCGGCTGTGACCTGCACAGTGAGACGATGACGCCTGTATTGTCGCAGTAATACGGTACTGGCACCACCTTCCGTTGGGGGCTAGTGCAGCGTGATGAGAGGGATATAATACCGGTAATGTCTTGTATTACTTCGTGGGCAGCAGTGCCAAGCATTTCACTTTTCTCGTCACTTCGGCTTCACTGGAGAAAGACAAAAAGCATCAGATCAAAAGTCGCTGCCATGAACCATCCTCTCATATCGTCCTGTTCCCATCTCACGCGCTTGCAGATGGGCATTCATCCTTTGATGGCAGCCTCATATGAAGGTGGCTGTTCACCGTTGTACTGCGGTCTCTGCGCCTCCCTGTCCCTGGCACGCTGTTCCCGCTCCCGTAGAGCCACCTCATCATCAAACTCGTCGTCAGGCTCGTCTTCGAACTCTTCATCCTGCTGTCGGCGCCTTCTCGGGTCCCCGTGCTTCTCCATCCTCTCCCTCTGATACTCGCCTTCCTCCCTTCTCAGCTCCTCTTCAAACTCGATGCCCCTGGCCCTCCTCTCTTCCTCCTTTTGTTCGTTCTTCGCTTTTTGATGCCGATACAGCGCCACGCCGGCCGAGACCAAGAGGCTCACAGGACCGCGATTCCGGCGGCCGCGGCGGTAGGACGAGTTGCAGGGACCGGCGTAGCCATTGCTGACCGCATAGGCGTTGGGGGAATAGTAGCCCCGACGGTCACAGCGGCATCTGTGGGCTCGACGGCCGCAGCCGGAGCAATACTCGCTGCCCCAGTTGGTTGTGGACGTGGTTGTGGTGAGGTACATGGTTGCTCCGTTGGGGTCCTGGAGAGCAAGAGGTTGGTTGCGGGTGTTTGTGTTCATGCCGCCATAGGGAGCGGGCGGGACATAGGCACCGTATGGGGCCGGTGAGTTGTAATGATGATGGTGGCCTCGGCACATGGTTGCGATTGAGTTGCGAGTGGTCAAGTAAGGCCTGCCTCTTGATGACTTCTTGCAGTGGAAAGCCGGGGGTGTTCAAAGGGACGTTTTTAATGCTGAGTGGTGGATGATAGAGAAAGAAAGCACCGGCCTCAATGCTTTGAGTGGCGACCACGAATATATACGGAGGACGCACTCCCTTGTCCCTCTTACTTTGACAGGCACCTAGTGCAACTCTTCATAGCTATTCTCTCCAACAAAGAAATCAATCAACGGGTGTACTCCATACGGTTGGGAGGGGATCAATGCACAACACAGCCCCGTTTCTCGTCAATAGCTCCCAATGCGGTTAGATGCACGAGGGGTGCGCAGCCACCGCCCAATTCCGTCAGCCACCTCATCACTGCTCGATCCGAGTACGAAAGAAAGAATTGCTGTTGCCTTGAAAAGAGCCTAGCAGGGGATTCTAAATATCAATGGCCACGTAAATTACCGTCTATGGTGCCTACGCTTTTTCGTTCTTGAATATCTAGGAGCAGAGGGCTATGTAGGGACGTACATACACCCTCATCTCCAGTTGTCGGCAAACTCACTCCCACACATGAACGTGCTTGAAGCTCTTGAGCACCTTGGTCCTCCTCGCCTTCTCGACCCGCCGCTTGGTAAACGATCCACGCACGCCCTCGGACTCAACCTCGGATTCCTCCTTGCTACCCTCCTCCGCCTCGACCAGTTTATCCTGGTCGACGTCAAAGCACACGCCGCCCCCAGCCTCGGCTCCGCAGGTAGGATAGACGACGCGAGTCTCCATGTCGCAGTACAACTTCTCGCTCAGACTCACAAAGTGGGGGCCCTCGCTGTACTCGTTTTCGCACAGTCGCTTCGCGCTCGACTTGGTCAATTGGCTTTTGACCAGGTGCTCGCTGAAGTCAAAGCGCTCGGTGCTGCTTGCCATATCTGCCGGGTGGGTGTCGTTTGAAGGCCAGATGAAGGGCACGCTGCCGTTGACCCCCTGAGGCACCTCAGCATTGGGGACCAGCTCGAAAGTCAACCCGGCAATCCCGACGCCGTCCGGGTTGTGGTCAATCCAGGTGCACGACGTCGATCCATTCATGACCTGCTGGCCCGTCTCATAGTGGTCGACGTCGAAATGCTCCCCCAGGTTGCCGCTCAAGCTCACCCAGTAGCTGTCCAACGTCGTGATGTTGACTCCTGCCACACAGAGTGGCCGAGGGCCGGCGTTGGTGAGGTGAATCCGCTGCACCTCGGGAGGGAAGGTGAGTGCATACTCGGCGCCGGTCGACATGGGCACCGTGATGTAATCGCCGTCAAACACCGAGGACGTGGTGTCGTTGGCGGTGTATATGCCCAGTGCCGGGAGTGGGTCAGTGTACATCCAGGTCAGACCTTGCGTGACGACGAGGGTCGTCTGCGGCATACTCGGACGGTCCATCACAGGTGAGGCAAGCTCGCGCTTGTGCACGTCCTTGTACTTCTCCTTCATCTTGTTCTTGTGGAGTTCGCCCATGGTGTTCCCATAGGTGTAGCCGGCCAGAATCCCGGCATAGGCGGTGACTCCATAGGCGGTAGTGAGGGCATTGCTTCTCGACCGAAATGGAGTCAACTTTTGCAGTTCCGGCCCGGTCAACTTTGCAAAATCCTCGCCGGACATGGCCTTGAGCTCTTTGGCCGTGCTGGGGCGCACCGGCTTGCCCACCCGCGCCAAATACTCTGCGCCCGTCATCTTCCCTGGCCTCCGGCCGAAAATCATGCTGACCTCCTCGCCCGTGAAGGCGGCCTCCTTTTTGATGTAGGCTCGGACTGCCTTGCCCAAGCTGGAGAACGTGTGCAAATTCGCCTGGACTCCCGCACCCGGCTTGTAGAAAAGGGGCGCCGGCTCCGACGCGCCGCGGAGGATGTGGAATCTCGTTTCCTCCGGCAGGCGCAGGATCTCGTTGACGCTCCACGTGTCTTGCCATCTGTTGACCTTGGCTGGTGCCCCCCCTTCCGCCGCCGCTCCTGCAGCTGCTCCTCCTCCTGGCGGCGGATGGTGAACGACGGTTCCTGTGGACTCTCCCGACCCCGCTGGGAGTGAATGCCCGTCGTAGATGACCTCTCCTTCTATCACCTCGCCCTCGGATTGCGCCATGGATCCCGCTACCGCTTCGGTTGACCCCTCCGCCACCGACGACGGCTCCGACCCTGAGAGCCACTCCGCCGATCCATCGATTGCTTCCATGGAGTTGGGGTTATTGGGAGGAGTATGGTGGACGACCGTGCCCGTCGAGTCTTCCGATGATGCGAGCCACTCCTCCGAGTCTGACACCGGTCTCGGTCTTGAACCTGCCTCTGCTCCGGTCGACGATATCTGGGAGGGCGTACGAGGTTCCGAGAAAGCCTCTGGGAACAGTTCCGGCTGGGATCCATCGACTGCTTCGGTCGACCACCCTCTTGACACCGAGCCCGAGATTTCCCCCGATGACACTGAGCCTGCTGTTGCTCCCGTGTCAGAGACAGGCGACAATCCTCTGTACCAATCATGGACGGTCTCTTTTCCTTTGAGGTCGCGGAGGAATCCTGACTCGGTCGAGGTCGAGGATGATGACAACTCTGCGGCCTTTGGGGATGCCCCCTGGGGTACTCCTTGCTCTGTGAAGTCCCAGTTTCGGTATGCTCCCCCCTCCGAAGCAGGATGGTTTCTGAATCCTGGCCCGTCCCATGGCCTCCCTTTGGAGAATGATGGAGGTACTGAGTGTGGTCTCCTCGGTCCGTAGAATATAGGATCCAACTGCTGCGGGCCTTCCAGTCCAGATGCCTCGGACGCAGTTACGCCTCGAAAGGCAGAAGAATCCGAGGCCGTGCTTCCTAGTGCCGAAAAGAAATCTGTCGACCCGGAAGACGAGGCGACCCTGCTTGCCGTCTGACCTACCAAGCCCATGTCTCCTGCTGCCGCCCCTCCAGTCATGACGACAGCCTCTGCCGCCTCAGCACCTGCCGCGGCGACTTCTGCGCCAACCACGGCCGCGCCTCTGACCGCTGAGACGGCTGCACCCATCGCAGTGATAGAGCTTAAATCGGTCTGTTTCTCGTTAAGGATTGTCGATAGGTCACAGGCAAGATGGCGAAAAGCGAGCGACTGACCTGAAAAGCAAGGGAGGGAGTGTCCTAGAGTGCACAATGTTGAGGGAATGCGAGGACCACGCATTTATTCTTCTCCCGCGCCAGATGTCCAGAAAGCGTGGCGTGGTTCAGGTATCCCGGGACCGCGCCTCTCATTTCCTGTCACATATAACTTACCGTCTCCCATTTCACGTTGAACCATGGAACAAGTGGTGGAAAGTGGAGGCATGTCCAAGGTTAGATGGTGATGGGCAGTGCGGGTTTTCAGGTTGCGGGAGCCATTTCCTCGAGGTCCTCATCTCATTTGGGGATCCATGACCTCTCCCTCGGAGCGAACCAAGGGTCTGAATTCTTTATTCTCCGGCAGATCAAGTTCCGCTTCCAAGAAGAACGCTTTGAAGAGGCTGAGGCAAACTCACCACCAGAGTGTGTGGCTTAGCCAAGAGAAGGCTGCGATAAGAGTCGCATTAGGTTCTTGAGGTTCCGTGGATTTGCGAGGCTGCAGCCTGCTCTTTGTCAGTTTCTCGAACCATAGGTCTCGGTTCACACCAAAGAGGGTCCGTAGAGACATTTTGGACCTCGAAACATGAAAGGATGGGTGGTCCCTCGTGGTTGGGAATCTTTATTCATGCCAGCCTCAACCAGCTCCGGCGGCCATCGCGCCTTGCGATAAACAGATGTGCAATGTTCGGTCTGTGCTCTGTACTTGTTACCTGTTGACAATGAAATTCCAGCGCCCCCGCAAAACAGAAATAGTGGCATGGTCTATCGCAACTCTATATCTCAGTCCCTGTCACAAAGGAAGAGCCTCCTGATTGTCTGGTCGTTCTATTCGTTCCACCTGCCGGATCGCCAACCATCGTCCCCACAAGCCCAAGATGTCTATGCCCGTCCGTTCACCAGTATCACACCAAGCACATCCCCCGGTGAGCTGGAGGCGGGTCACAGCTTGGAGGGTTCGGGCGGCGGACGCAAGAAGACCTTGTCGTGGAGGCACGTCACGCAGACCTTGCCGTCCATGAGAATCTCGCCCCGCATGTTGACGAGCGTCCTGCCGCCCGAGACCAGCTCGCAGACCACCCTCACCGTGGCGCCCTCGACGACCGGCCGCAGATACGTCATGTTGATGTTGCGGCTCACGTGCCCGACGTCCATATACCCCGGCCTGGCCCCGGCGATGAGGGTGGTCGTGGTCAAGTTGTCCATGATCGTGGCGGCGGCGCCGCCGTGCAGCTTGCCGCCCTTGTTGCAGAGGTGCGGCAGGATCTCGAGCTCCCACTCTGTCCGCGTCGGCGTCACCGAGATGCACCGCACGTTGTTCCGGAGTGCGTACGCGTCGAAGCCGTCGAAGTTGGGATCCGCCAGGAAGTTCTTCTGGTACTCCATCACCCGCTCCTTGAGCGGGAGCGAGAAGTCGACCCCCTTCATCACATACCGCGGATCCACCGATGTGTCGGCCCGGGTGGGATCATAGTATGGGGAGGAGCTGCACGGTCATGGTTAATGGACGATATATCAGAGTTGGGCTCAGGACAAGAACCGTCTTCTTACATTTGTTGGCTGGTCTGTCTGCTGGTCGTCATGGCTTGTTGTGGCTCTGTGTCCGCTCTTCCGCGAAGATATTTCGATTCAACCAACAACAAAATGCGAGGTCGCTGTTGGGGTTGGGTTATCCGAGTTATGTCCTGGGAATCTACTCAACACCCAATAACAACATGGCAATAGCCGATTAAGTTGAATCGACGTGCCCAGCAGCTAGCTCGGCTTGGAGACAACCACAAGGAGTTATCGGGAAGTTATTTCATCCAGCAATTTCGTCGGCTAGCTGCATGGCTATGTGGATGGCACCTAGATAATAGTGGAGAATCCGCCACACAAGGCTCATCTTGGGACGGCGGTCTAATGGTCTGACCGAGTCAATCTGAACGTGTCAACGACTTCGTCCCTCGGCGACTCAGTTTTCCGAACAAAATCGCTTGACCAGATATCCGTACGACTTGATTACAAAACGGTGGACCGCTGGAAGCCATATCAGAGTCATCAAGATGGGCTCCCGGTGGCTTCAAACTACTCGGACTCTCTTCCCAGGACTACCCGTAAACACCACTAGACGGAGGTCAAACGCCTGGAATCGAGAGATCCACTGCAAAACCCGTTACAGGCATGTCGAGATCTATTCTGTCAATCAGGGCCATGCACTCGGTCACAGTTAGTCTATTATATCACCCCTAACAATACAATCGCTTGATCATATGGACCTGCTACGCGACGGAGCAGGAAGAGTTCCTGAGAGTGAGGATACGTGCTATGCTATGCTATGCGCAGAAGCAGCTCTATGATTTTACATTTGTGCTTCCCTCAACCCAGCCCTGCCAAAAGGTCGAAATCATTCGGGCAGCTAATTACTTCTCGGGATAGTAAGTATGGCTTTGGCTAGTCGGTGCTTGTTTCATTTCAAAGATGCGTTGCTGATACCCGTGCCCGCTCAGCAAGCTTGTGGTGGTGATATTGGCCCCCCGTTGCTTGCCGAGTTGCCGCGGTCCGATATCCCCTTAGGTACAGCCTTCCCTCGGTCAAAGCAGAATACTCCCTTTTTCACTCCTTTTCATTGTCTCCCTTTCTGTTTCTGAGGTTGTATAGAACATGGCCGAGGGTTATGAGCGTCCTCGAGCCCTGAGGGCACCAAGGCTTGGGCGGGGCCACACTGACTTCGTGCATGCGATCTAAAACTCCACTTCGCTTCAGACAGTATGCTCATAATGCTCTGCAACGGAGGCCAGCTTGCTATTGGCGTTGACTTTCTTGGTCTCGATCTTTACGCCATCCCCATCCGCTTCACCAGTCTCGCAGATCTCCTCCATGTGGATGGGTGTCGGCAGGATCTTGGGGATGTCTGTGAAGCAGCAGCTGTTGAATATCACCGCGTAGCCGACCAGGAAGAGGAACATTGCCACCACCGCGAGATGATGTACGCTCGCGCCGTGTCACCCGTGTTTTCATACGAGACTCAGAACACGCACAGGAGGGTCGAGGCGGGGATGATAATGGCCAGCTGGCCCAACGAGCATAGCAACGCGGCGTCCGATCCGGTCAAAGTACCATGCTTCGTGTAGGTTGCTCAGCACGCCAACGGTGCCCCAAGTTTCGGGAGGCGCTCAGCTCACCCGTGGGAACCCGATCACTGACGTCGTTGGGCCGGAGTCATCACCATAGAAGAAGGCTCAGAACGTTAGGTATATCATGCAGAAGAGCCCCTAGCTATTCATTGCGGGCTGGTCATTCGTGCTCTTCCTTATAACGACTAGCGATGCTTTACTCGGGAGAACCTCAGGGTTTCAGCATGTCAAGAAGGTGGGGGCACAACTGCTACCTGCCTTTATAACGGAGGTATGGGTATATCAGAGATGAGCTTGGCAAGGCTGAGGTAACCGAGGCGGTCGGGCAGCCCAGAAAAAGATGGCAGGCGTTCCGTTTCATCTTTGCCATCTGACCCCTAGGCATGAGAGACTTTATATAGCCATCTAACAGAGCTTAGCCTTCTTTCCCCGAACGATATGGCATCTCGGTGTCCGCACAGCCTCATCCCTCGGTGACCCCGGCAGACTCAACACTAGATCTCCCGCTTCCAATCCCGGTATGTCTGGACTTAATATTTACTACTCGGTGTAAAGATATCCTCTTCGCTAGGGTGTCAGCACGCATCCCTGAGTATGCAGGAGATCCACTCACCTAGAATCTTCTTCTCTTCCGGCGTCATGCTCAGGCGCGGATCATTGCCCATGATGTCCTTCAAATGGCGCTGATAGCCGCTTTCGACCTCGCGGTATTTCCCGCCGTTGATGAAAATCGTGCTGCCGTTGTAGTCCGCGTTGGCACAGAGGAAGACCGCGGCCAGGGCACAGTCGTCGCTGGTGTTCATGGGGATCACGCCGCTGTTCCAGAGCTTGGGCACGAGGTCCGGGAGCGTGCGCAGGGCGGGCGTGTCCGTGATGCCCGGCGCGATGCTGTTGATGCGGATGTTCCAGGTCTTGGTCAGGGGCCGCAGTGCCCGCATCAGTCCGACCATGCCGTGCTTCGCGGCGCCGTAGACCGGGATGCTCTCGGCCACGTACCCGGCCCTCGACACGGTCGAGACGATGACGCCCCCCTGCGGCTCCTGCCGCCGCATGTAGTGCATGGCCAACTTCACCGTGTACATCTGCCCGATCAGCGTGACGTTCAGGCAGTCGAATCTGGGTTTGACCGGGTCGCCGTGCTCGTCGACCTTGTCGAAGAAATCGCCCTTGTCGCCGATCCCGGCGTTGGGGATGACGATGTCGATTCGGCCCCATTCCTTGACCGCGCGTTTGAAGAGACTGAGCAGCTCCTCCCAGCTGCTTGTGTCCGTCTTCATGTACAGCACGCCGTCCACGGCCTCCCTCAGGGGCTGGACATCCCCGACCAGGACCTTCACGCCCGACGCCGCGAGCTTCTGCACAATGCTGAGCCCAATCCCTGAAGAACCCCCCGTGACAACGGCAGTCTTCCCTCGGAGCTTGTCGCCTTTTGACACTTGTGTCAGCTTCGACCCAGACGACCTCCATCGGCAATGACATGTATCCCGATCTCTTCGGTGACGGGAACGAGTGGCTTACCTATATCGGCGTCCGTGATGTTCAAATCAGTCATCGTCGCCGGACCACAGTTTACGTGAGAAATCTTTGTTCCGGCAGCCTCAGTGGTTCCTCAACCCTCCTTCAAGCACCAGCCTGGTAATATGTCATGCCCGCGTTCCCCCGCTTTATTAGGAGGCATGCGAAGCCGCCGTGATACCCAAACCCCAACCTCGGGCCGAATATGGCATTGTTGCGACTGTCACGACCTGGATGTGATCGCCTACAGACGGATCTTTTGCTCATTCTTTCGGCCCTCTTTACAGATTGGGATTCTACTGGGGATCCACGCTCGGCACGTCGGCCACGGGCACAGAATGAGAACTTTGTTTCTCGCACTAGCTGGAGGGTATTTCTGGACGGACAATAAACAATATATGCGCCCATATCACTTCAATTTCCATTACCGGACACTCGAAAAGTAGCCTGCTCGGCTATGCCCGTGGTGCATGACATGCACTCAACATTCTCTCCCCAGCCCAAGTCCCAATTCGGCTCATTTACAACCTGCCGTCATCATTAGAAACCCTATGCCCAAGTGTACCCGTTGAGATCAAAATCCAGTAATGCATGCCCCGCGAGACCGAAGTCTTCGTCGTCCAAGTTCCACTCGTATGACACCGGTGCTACATAGCCGTTTGAGGCATTGCCATCCTCGGCACCGGTATTGCTGACCTCTAAAGTGCTGCCCGATAATGATTGATGATCTATTTCACTCCTGTCCTCCAAGTTCGCTTGGGTCAGGGTCATGTTTGATTGAGGCGCGTATCCGGAATTTAAAGGCGGTCCTGGTCGAGAAGGCCGGCCTTGATATCCTGTTCTGGCATCCTGCATTTTTGTGACAACCTCCCTCATGCTCGGTGCCATGTCCGCCAGCAGTTTCGAGACCTTGATACACACATCCACTTTCTGGAGGCTGGCTTTGCGCGTGCCTGGGTCGGCGGAATTGGCGTCTCGGAACAAGGTCGAGGCAGCCAGGCACATGTTGATCAGGGAAGAGGGAGGTAAAAACCTCGCCAGTCCGCAGTTAAGAAGCGCTTCCAGTATCTCAGTTGTTTCATTGGCGGCCTGGCGTAGGAAGCACCGGCTATAGTCTGTGGGCGGACAGCGGTCAGTGACAGAGTCTGGGCTGATGTGCTCCGAGATATCGTCCATGAGCATACCGTCCCGGTGGACGAGGAAGTGTGCGGCGCAGTATATCATCTCAACCACGGATACTGCCCACGTGACACTGCGTGGAGTACCCCCTAACCCGTCCCGGAGCAGATTTTTGCTGTTTAGCTCGATGGGAATCTCTGACCGCCAACGGTAAAGTTCTTGGACCATGTATTGTCTCAGAAATGGTAGTGGGTTGGCGCATGGCTGACCATCCCAGGGCGAAAGGTCTTCGTGTATGTTGCGCATGATGCGATAGATATGCCAGCAAAGCTTAGCTTTCAAGATGCACACCGTGGCGAGCGCCGGGGAAAGTGGATCGAGCGCTTGTTGGGATTGAGGGGCAAGGCTGTCGATCGTAAGAGCTCCCGTCTCCTCCAGCCCAAGATCGCTCATGGTCAACATTGGCGTGCCGAATGGCCATACGCGCGGTGGCTGACCGATGGACATGCAAAGATCGCATTCTTTCATGAGAATACTCCACCACAATATCCGGCGAAGATTCCGCTTCCGGTGCTGTTTAGGGGGATTCATTGAGCTGGTCTGCTCTGATCGGTGCAATTTCAGAACGTGAGCCTGGGAAATGGCAGTGCCGAGCCAGTAAGTGGCATCCTTCAAGTTACTCCTACTGGCCCATCCGATGAGAAAGAGCGATGCTTGACAGATAACAATACGATCTTTCTCCGTCTCCAGTTCAAAGAGCGTCTGGTCCACCGCGTCAGATTCTGCATCAAGGACATACATTCGGCATTCTCACCTTGGCCTTCTCGTAAAACGTCTGCCTAGCGGTAGTCTTACTCATGTAAGCTTGCCGGAGAACAATCTCACTTTCAACGGCTCCCACTCCAGCGAACATGACAGCGTGGAAGAGAAGCAAAGACACCCTCTGTCCTGGCTTCTCACCAAATATTGCTCCTCGGAACGCCGGGAGATCTAAGACTGGGAGGAGCGGATGCACGAACTCGGTGAACCGGTCGATTATCACGCGTTGGAGTTGTGGCGGCGGTAAGACAAAAACCGACCTCTGCCTCAAGAATTCTAGGTCGTTGGGGCTGCGCAGAGGGAAGGCTTCAATGAAATCCGGCAAGGCTGTGTGCCAGCCTGGTCCATTTTGCGGAAGGGGCGGTGGCGTAGATGGGGCTGAAAGCAAACCGTCGTTTCTGTCGACAGGGCTTTCATCCTGCTCAACTGTATCGTTTGGGATTGGAAGGTCCGGTTGCTCCGACAAGGACAGTATGAAGCCGTGCGACTCTGGTGCCTTGGAAACGGAGCTGCCTCGACCCAGTCTCGACTGCTGCAAGGAACTGAGACTGGCATCTGGTCGGGTGCTCTCTCGATCTTCCCATTCATTTGCCGATTGCCTTGTTTCTTCAGGTGTCTCGGGAGGTCGCTCAATCAAGAAGGCCCCTTCTCCAGCAAGGGTCGTCGATCCGACGCTCGCATTTCGGTTTGAATCCAAATTCTGTGAAGCTTGCAGAGCGTAATGCTCACTAGTTCTGTGGCCACGACGCCTGCACTTCATAACTCGACATTCTGCACCGTCTAGCAAACAGTTGGTGCAGTAGCCAGCCTTGTGGGTGACATCACATCTGACCTTGCGAGAGCGACAGCGCAGGCATGCCTGGGTAGCTCGACGATGGGTGACACCTTTCTTCGCGCGGGACTGTGCCCCGATCGCATCTGCCGCCTGGCCTTGAGATCCAGTTCGCTGCCGATCCGAAACCGACAACGGCGACGAGGTCGACGGCGGCGATTCTGCTGGGTGCATGGCGGGTAGATTGATATGGGAAATCGCGATGTCAAGAAGCATCGAAGCTTGTTTTCTTATTCATGTAAAAAGGAAGTGTGCTGTAGGCGTCGATAGTTCGAGTTATCCTCGGGTTAATCGCATGCTTGCGCCACCACGGGAATGCGGGGATTGTCGGTTACGAAGGAAGTTCCACCGGAAACTGGAGAGCTATATGCCTAATCAGGCTAGCGTCTCTCCGCAGGGTCTCCAGTCTAGCGAACCCTCCTGATCTCGGCCAATCAAATAGCACTCGCACATAGCCTGGTTAAAACAAGGCTGCATATAACACGAGGCCACTGAGATCCACCAGGGAGCTTCCTGCGGCCTACCCGCGTAGTAAACTCTGGCGCTGTTGCTTACGAAGAACATAGAGAGATACCTAGAGCATTCTACGCAGGAACCCCACAACGTTCATCTTGGGGTGGGCTGTTCGACTCGGGGAATACAAAGAAGATTATGTTTGAATGAAGACGACGATATTTTCAATATGAAGCGTATTTCACAGCGGCATGGAAGCTGCGAAGCACCAAGAGCATCTTGGCGCTCACTTTTACTTGTGGCTATAGTGACTCCTGAACAAAAATGATAAGTGGTCTGTCGTGGGGCCCATCCACCTGGTCTTACTTACCATGGTTACTGCCGTCCTATTCATTAAGGCCGTTCACAGAGAACTCTCAATCGGCCCCAATCCTCGAATTGGAAACATCTTCTTTTTCAGATAATGCCAGCACTTGCGCCGCGTGGCTCTTGTTGTGCATTTGCTCGCTGAGATCACCCGTGCCTCATTCATGGCGCCATAGTCTCTGAGTGGCCGAAAGCAGCTTCGACGGTGTGTGCCCCCATGCGAACAGAGCAACGGGTGGACATCTTCAAGATCGAGTGCACAAGCTCGAGGCTGCTGCCTCGGCCTTTGCTTGTTGAAGAATATACGAGGCCGCCGTAGTGCGCGAGGGGCGATTTCCTGAGGCCATTCCCGAACAGAGATCGCGAGAACGAGGCCCAGGGCTGCGCCAGCGGCGAAAGGTTGCCCGGCGCCTGCCATTCAATCCATTCACGTAGTCAAATGTTACAGAATGTGACCGGGGGCAGATTTACAGTCGCCAGAAACACCTGGGTTAATGAGTATGTCGCAGCAGGTGCCCGCGGCTTGCAGAGCGATGCCCTCGGTTATCTGGCATACAAAAGAAGCAAGTACCACCCCCTTGGCGAGCCAACTCTCTTCGATTCCTAGCCGTTGGAACAGGGTTTCGGCATGTGCAGTCGTCCGGGGAGTGCATTGGTGTGGCCATGGTCTTTACCCCACCCTGGGGTCCGGTTAACCCCTTTTTCGCAAAGACCCTCGGTTTGACATCGCCTGTGCGTGTGATCACGTAAACGCTTCTGGCATACTTGCTGTTTGATAACTCTGAGCAGAAGACAGTGGGAAATGTTTGGGGAGGTATCCAGAAACATTCCCCATCTCAAGTACTTTGCTATCCATCCAGCTCGCGGCAACTAAGGCAAAAATGAGCACTCTCAATGGTGATGCGCGTAGCGGTGCCCCTGTATGCCTTGTCACAGGAGGCGCATCTGGAATGGGGCTTGCCGTGGTCGAGCACCTCCTGAAACTGGGCTGGAACGTAGCTATCGTCGACTACAACGAGGAAACCGGGCAAGCGGTCGCAAAGGCGTGCGGGCGCCAGGCGATCTTCATCAAGGCAAATGTGGCAGACTACGAAGAGATCGCGGCTGCGTTTGCTCGAACCTGGAAAGAATGGGAACGGCTTGATGCGGTCTATGGCAATGCTGTATACCCCGACTCTCCGCCCACACGAGGAAGGTTGCATTCATGAATCTGACTCTAGGACCACAGGGGATTGGCGACCGGATCAGCTTCTACGCACAGCAGCAAGACCGAGAAGATGGCACGCCTCCGAAGCCCAACACGGCCGTGATTGATATTGATCTCTACGGACCAATCTACTGCGCGTGGCTGGCGTTCCACTACTTCCGCAAGAACCCAGACAAGGCCGGCAAGCTCATCTTCACCTCCAGCATGGCCGGGATTTACACCGGAAGTACCGTTCCGCTGTATTCGGCTGCAAAGTCTGGGGTAAAACCTTCATGCCTGTTCTCACAGGATGGGAATGTGACTGACTGACATTGACCTTCGCAGGTTGTCGGATTGACAAGGTCCTTGGGCCAACGACTCAAGGAACTCGGGGAACCCATCACTGTGAACTGCATTTGCCCAGGTAATTTGCCGTGCTCCCGGGTAAGGGCTGCCAACGCTCATTTCTACCAGGTCTTGTCCACACGGCGTTGACGAAAATCTATTCCTTCACTTGCCCAGAGGAATACATCACGCCAGCTTCTACCATTGTCAAGGCTTTCATGAGTTTTATTGATGATAGTAGCTTGACGGGGCAGGCTGCCGAATGCAGTGGCGAAAACGTCCATTACAGGCAGCGACCAGAGTTCAGCGATGACAAGGCCGCGTTTATCTGTGGCGGAGGATTGGGTGAAGCCATGTCGAAGCTGGATGTCAAGCTCTACTGATGTTGGTGAAACTGTACTGCTTCTTTTGTGCAACATCGATAGCGTTTAAAGATGATATCTGTCACGGACATCATAAATCCATGCGTTTGGCTCCTTCAAATGCCAGAATGAAAGGTGTGGCCCCATTTCTGTCGCACTGAGAAAGTTAATGATGCATCACCAAGAAAGAAGATGGAATAATGCCATGAATGCATTGGCAGAATCTGTTGGAAGAAGGAGTCAGGAATCATGTTCGTGGCAGGTTCCAGGTTGCCAATTCATATCTTATTGATGCAGTAGCTACTAGATCCTAGAAGACTATCAACACAAGCCATCAAAAAAGAGGAAAACGCCCCAGTTGCCCCAATCAAAGGCGGTCTAGGCAGTATCAGATTCGGGGTGAAAAGTTGTTGCGAGACCCTCGAGTTTGCCAGCCTCGCGCCATTCCCTCAGCATATTAATGACCCACAACGGACTGCCTCCGTACCACTGGTTCTTCGCCAGCTTCCGGGTGATCTGGCCTTCATTGTTGTAATACCCGGGCGTGCATTCCGTGTGGAAGGCTCTCGAGTTGACGCCCGACTCGATGATCGTCTCGACCCACTTGTCCTCGGCCTCCTGGGTCGGCTCAACCGAGCGGATGTTTCTCTTCTTGCATTCCGCAACCACATAGGCGAGATGCTCTGCCTGGATCGCGGTGGTGTGGAGGAAATTCGCCGTCACAAAAGCCTGAAGGGTCGTGATCATAAAGAAGTTCGGGAAGTCCTTGCTGACCCAGCCCTGGAAGGTGCTGGGGCCGTCTGAGAACTTCTCCCCGAGGATCTTCCCATCACGGCCATAGACCTCCATGCCAGCGCGGTGGCTCCAGCTAGTGGCACGTTCAAAACCTGTGGCATAGATCAAGCAATCAATTTCAAACTCCTCCCCGTTGGCGACCACTCCTTTCTCGGTCAGGCGGTCTATACCTTGGCCTTTGGTGTCGACAAGTTGTACGTTGGGCCGATTGAAGGCCGCGAGATATTCGTCGTGGAAGCAAGGCCGCTTGCAAAATTGATTGTAGTACGGCTTCAAGCTCTCAGCCGTCACAGGGTCCTGGACTATGGCATTGACGCGCTTGCGGATTTGTTCCATCTTCTGAAAGTCTAGAATTTGTCGCCGTTTGGCCATCTCTTCTTTTCCCATTGCTCCTGCTGCTTCTCGGGAGGGATATAGGTTACGAATAATGTCTGTCCAACCGTCGTTGACCAAATCGACGTCTTGATGTCCGCCGCAGACGATCGTGTTGAAGTTATCCATTCGCTCTTTCTGCCATCTCCCAGTAAGGCTTTTAGCCCAATCTGGATCCGTAGGTCTGTTGTTCCGCACATCAATGGACGAGGGTGTTCGTTGGAAGACATAGAGCTGCTTGCACCAAGGCGCGATATTTGGCACAATCTGGACGGCGGTAGCTCCAGTCCCAACAATTGCAACTTTCTTATCAGTAAGATTAACAAGCCCTCCTCCAGTGGCGTCTCCGCCCGTGTACTTGTAATCCCAACGGCTGGAGTGAAAGCTGTGGCCCTTAAAAGTTTCGATCCCTGGGAAGCCTGGGAGTTTCGGTCGGTGTAGTGACCCGGCAACGCCTACAACGAAGCGTGCCTGGATGTTGTCGTTGTGGTTCGTTTTGATTGAGTAAGTCGCGGTCTCTTCTTGCCAGTGAATGCTTAGAATCTCAGTTTTGAAGACTGCCTTTTCGTAAAGTCCAAGTTCTTTGGCCAGTTTCTGTGCGTGTTGCAAAAGTTCGGGTCCACGCGCATACTTTTCTGTGGGGACATATCCAACGTGGTCCAGCATGGGCATGTAGACATAGGATTCAATATCGCATTGGACTCCTGGATATCGGTTCCAGTACCTAGAACACTACAAGTCAGGGCTGAAATCAATAATGAGGGAAGGATGAACCCACCAAACTCCCCCAAAGTCCGAACCTTTCTCAATGATCTTGAAATCTTCGATCCCATTCTGCTTGAGGTTATGTGCCATCAACTCCCCTCCGTACCCAGCGCCGATGATTACAACTTCGGTGCTGATGTCCAACGGTTCGCGTTTGTCATCTTGACCTGCCCATGGATCATCGAGATAATGGGACAGCGAGCCTTCAATCGCACGGTACTGTTCCACTCCATTGGGATTGGCGCGGATACGTTTCTCCCGTTCAGCAAGGTACTTGGCCTTGAGGGCATCAGGATCGAATCCCAGATCGTCTTCAACTTCTTTAACCGTCAGGTTACTGGACTTGGTAAGGACAGGCTCAGCCACTTGGGAAACCGAAAGCGTTTCGACAGACATTTTTGCTCTAACGAAAGATAGATGGTGTTTTCATCCAAATGCATTAGAGTGCTGCGCAAACCAAGATATACCAAGACTTTCAAGTACCACAGATCCGGAATCCTTTGGGGAGGAGCTGAACGATAAGATTTAACCGTGTACAGCCTCGGTGTTGACGAAACAAGTAAGAGCATAAGCAGTAGATAGCCGTATCACCGGTAGGTTCCTCCCATCAGACCTGGTCGAAGCATTGTCACCAAGTCCTGGGCCTCGGATGGAGGTCGAATATATACAGAGGTAGGGTAGGTCCACTGGCAACCTAGAGTTCGCAACGCTGATGAACTTGGGGTGTGAAGCGCGAGGGGGCCGTATCTGAGCAGGACAATATCAGATAGTCCTCTCGACGACCCTTGCCTTCGCTATCAAATCAGACTCCTTGTAAGTACATGTGGATGCTCCTCCGCATGTCCTCCAAGGAAGTGGCATGATGGAGATAACGTCCGCATGCGGAGCGACGATGTACAGCGTCTCGAAGCTATTCCATTTGCGCTCCTCGGGCCTCGGGTCGCCACCTAAAACACGTCTAGCCCTGCTGTCTTTTCAATTGCAAGAATATCCCGTATAGGACTCTCAGCTTGACTTGCTCGTAAACCTGGCTACCCTCGGTATACTGTTGCTGTTCTGGTAATGGCACAAGAATTCCCCTCATTGCCCCGCCGCGTGAAGCTAGTATGGATCCCATTCGGATAGTCGTTTGCAAGGCTGGAACGAATAATCTGGAATTGCCCAGGAAGCAAATTGTGAGGACAGATGAGGTTGTCTCATAAGCGAATCTCTGATGTTCACGATAGATTGCTCTGCTGGTTCAAGGAAAGGTCGCAAAGTATTTTTTTCGCACATCAAGTTCGGAAAGAACAGGCCTATTATTGGTGTTGGTAGGAGACCTTCAATGAGATTTTCTGAGAGCAATAGGACTTTTGGGCCCCTGTCTTTTGCGCCTCTAACCAAGTCTATGGGTATGTCGATAGCATTGACATTCAACGCCAACCTCAAGCCAAGCCGCCTCTACCACCCACGCTTGACAAAGCCTCGCGCTGTGTATCCGAGACCGTCACCTCTGGCAAACTTTTAACCCCATCCTGATCATTGCCAGCATTTGGAGGCGGGAGAAATCCGATCTGGACCAGATAAGCCAGATACAGGCCGATCTCGCGCTTTGTGACACCGCTTCCCGCACTAACATCTTCTCGAGTCCACTTCTCGTCTGCATACAGTGCTTTCTCCGCATTGCTGTCGTCCAGCTCTGGTGCGCGGGTATTCGAGGGGAGGTCATTGGCGACAAAGGTGAAGAGTGGCATCAGTGCGAAATCGGCGTGCGTGCTCACGTAGTGCTCGAGCGAGGAAGCCCAAGGAACGTAATCCGTTAGGTCCGCCTTATAGCCATAGGTCTGGAGTGCCGCAAGGTATTGATTGAATCGCAATCTTGGGTGCCCCGTGATCTGAGCCACGCTGACTCCACGAGGAGACGGAGGATGGAATGCACATGCCACAACGGTGCGAGCAACATGGTTCACTGGGACCATATTGACGGTGTTGTTAATGTTCGGCCGCGTCCCAAGTTGAATGCAGCCCTTGAGCATCCGAATTAAAAAGTCGTCCGTGTTTGTGGCGCCAGTCTTGGAGGAGCCAAGCACGTAGCCAGGTCTGATGATGCAGCCACGTAAACCTCGTCGTCCGGCTTCGCGACAAAGGTATTCTGCTACCCATTTGCTCTGCCCATAGCCGGTACCTAATCCTTTTCGACTCCCCATCAAGTCATCGTCCTCGCTGATTCCTTCGCCTCCAGCGGCGATGATGCGTTCTGATTCGAACACAAAGTGTTCGTGGTCCAGCACGCTGGTGGAGGAAACAAACGCAAAAAGTTTGGGTTTGCCTTGCGCGCAGATCTTCATGGTTTCAATAGTACCGAGAACGTTAGCAGGCTTGAGCATTTCGTACGTATTGATCCAATGGACTTGAGCACCGTTGTGAATAACAACGTCAACTTCGTCAACGATTTGCTTCCATTCTGTGTTGGGAATGCCAAGTTGCGTCGGTCCTAGTTCGCCTGGGACACAGTGGATTCGAGATTTCCATGAATCATCCCAAACACCGTAAGCCTGGCATGTTGTTTTAATTCGGGATAGTGCGGCTGTCTCATCTTTGGCTCTAACCAGGACAAAGATTTTCTCCACTTGAGGATTTTGGCGGTCTAACAGATCTTTCAAGATAAATGATCCCAAGAAGCCTGTCGCCCCGGTGAGGAACACCACTGGCGCTGAAGGAAGATTTGGAGAAGCAGAAGTGAACGAGGAAGGTAGCGACTTGACCATTATGGGGGCATCATTGCCGTATTGGTCTTCGGCCTTAAGACCATTGGGTTGGGAGCTGTCCTTGACCTCGACAGATTCTCCACCGCCCAAAGAATCAGCTGCTCGTAGATGGTCAATGACAGCAGCCATCTCCTTGAGAGTGTGTCGATTGTATATCCTGCTGATTGGCAGATTCACCCCGAGCGTTCTTCTGACCTGATATGCGAGCTGCTGGGCTTTCATACTTTCACCACCAATAGCAAAGAAGGAGTCCGTCGGTCTGATGGTCCGCGGGATCAGTCCTGGAACAAGTTTGGCCCAAATGTGTGCGAGCGCTAGTTCCCCCTCTGTGAGCTGCTGTAGCATGGAAGACTTCCGCCGCGTCCGTGCCGAGAGTATTCCTGCGTCCGGGAAAGGCAGCTTTGGCTTGTCGACCTTGCCATTTGGATTCAAAGGCATCGCTTTCATTGGCACTATTACCGAAGGAACAGCGTAAGCAGGCAGCTTCGTCCGCAGATACTCTTGCACCTCGGTCTGGAGCAGTTGGAATCGTTCGACTCTCCCGACCAGAGTTCCATCATCTGGGAGGTCCTCTTTGCCCTTTTCGGCAAGGAATTGCGACCATGCTTTCATCTGGGGCACAATGTAGCTGACAAGAGTCTGCTCTTCAAACTTGTCTCTTCGCACAAGCGTGACATTTTCGCGCACCAGCGGATGTCGAGACAGGTGGGTGTCAATTTCCCCAAGTTCGATCCGAAAGCCCCTGATCTTTACTTGATCATCAGCCCTGCCGGAGCACTCCACGTCTGCTGTTGGTGTATAGCGGCCGAGATCTCCACTTCGATAGAGGCGGTCACGAGGCCCGAGGTAATACTGTGCCCAAGGCTCGTGCTTATATTTTTGCTCAAACCTGGCTTTATCCGACTCAAGGCCTTTTTCGTGACCAGGGAACCAGTTGTTGACGAATTTCTTCGCCGTAAGCTCAGGAATCCCTAGATATCCTTCTGCAAGCCCTGATGCTCTGATATAGATTTCTCCGATTTCGCCGATTGCACACAGCTTGGTCGGGTCGAAACGGTTTATGACGAGCATCTGAACGTTATGCATTCCTCTGCCAACGGGGATGACATCTTTCATGCCATCGAGGAAGGCATCATTTTCGTTCCATGAAGGTATCTCGTAGTAACTTACCGCCCTAGAAGTCTCTGTTGTTCCCCACATATTGACAATGCGGACGTTTGGTGCCAGGCTCTGTAAGGATCTACAATCCCTCTTGATCAAGATGTCCCCCACGAAGAAGGCATGGTGAAGCTCTTCAAATTTTGCAGTTGCACCTCCAACCAGAATTTGACCCATCGCCGGTGTCAGATGTGTCACTGTCGCGCCATACTCTTTCATCCACTCGGCTAGCAGCTCGTTCTGGATATCATTCTTTGATGGCACGAGAATCTGCGCGCCCAAGAATAGAGGTGTAAAAATGTCTCTTTGAATAGGATCGTGTGCGATGCCGCTGAGCATGGTGAATTTGTCTTTCTCGGACAAGTTGAACGTCTCCGCCATCCAGTCGAAGTAGAATGCCAATGAATAATGGCGACCTCTGACACCTTTCGGTTTCCCTTCAGAGCCAGAAGTGAAAGAGAGAGTGGGAACAGAATCGGGTCCAACCACAACACCAGGACCTTTGGCCTTGAGGTCCCGGACAGATTCAAAAACGTCCTTTCCGGCAACTTCGCCACCTTGAAGAACGCCATCGTCCCGCAAACGCAGAGCAGGAACTTCTGTCTTGAGGTCCAGGTTGCCATTTATGAAGTTTCGTACCTTCTCTGAAAGCTCACCAGCATCTTGAGTGGCTTTATCTATAATGACAAGCGCTCTTGGTCTTGAGACGTCAAGATAGATGTTTTGTCTATCAGGTGGATAGGCAGGGTCCAAAACCGAAAACGTGCCCCCAGCCTTCAAGATACCCATGATGGCAACTACTAGGTCGACTCCTCGATAAGAGTATATCATAACGACATCGCCCCTCTCCAGGCCAGCTTGGACCAGATGATGCGCAAGGATATTGGAGGACTCGTTTATTTGCTGGTAAGTAAACTGCCTTTCTGGCCCATCCTCAGATTTGGTCTCCGTCACACATGTGCGACCAGGATAGGCTTCGGCATTCGCAGCAAAAATATCGTGGATAGCGCCACGGAAAGACGACCACTCCAAATCGCTGGTCGGATTGGGTATAAGAGCCTGCTCATGAGGAGTGGCGAACACGATAGCCCCAACAGGAGCATTGGCATCGGCGGCGGCATTCTCCAGCAGCTGCGTAATTTGGGCGAGAATACCGGCTATCCTTGCACTCGAGACAAGACGCTGGTTGTACCGCGCCGTCAGGCGAAGATCGCCCTCGGCAGAGCACGAATAAGACAGCAAGAAGTCGGTTGTCTCAGCACTGCCAGGCAAACTAGCACCATCTTGGTTGCTATTGATAACAGCAAAGCGAAATAGGACCGGTCTCTTTAAGCTTGTCTGGAGATCTGCAAGTGGGACAATCTTCTCGGCCGCTTGGCCAGATAGCTCTTGCACCTTCTTGAGCAGCTGCGAAAATGAGTCTGAAGCGACAACAGCTGCTTTGAGGACAAATGGAGGGCCGTTAGTTTTTGCGTTAGTGCCAATGCTGATGTCCTCATCCCCCGTTAATCTGCTCACCAGAACAATGAGAGCCGTCTGAATGATAGCGGTGAATGATGCGAGACTGGACAGTGCCTTCAAGGCATTTCTGGTGGTGACCGGAGCAGCGAGCGACTCGGCTGCTTCGATGGGCCGTTTGGGTACATTCTCCGCAGTGGCTTCAGGGTAGTCTCTAGTCAAAGGCGATATCGTTTGGTCTTGCAAGTGCTGGGTCCACCAGGCCAGGTGCTCGACGTGAGCAGCCCCGTTAGCCATCGCTGGGAACGTCTGCAGAAAATCGATGAGGCCCGAGTGAGTCAACCAGGCTCTGGGCCAGGAAAAGAAAAAGGGAAAAATTATCTTTGCGGTTCCTTGACGAATGCTCCGCCGGAGAAGCGCCGCCCGCCGATGCACGAGAGGCTGCGGGACTGGCGGCGGGCTTGGCAGTATACTATGCTCCTATTGGTCTGCTCTCCACCCGCCCTGTTTCCCCGGACTCTAACGAACCTGTCACAATTTCCAATGGCGCAATCATCGACGCTTCCATCACAGCCATCAGTCTGTTGACGACTCGACGGGCCTGTTGATCCTACAACAACCCTCATCCTCGCAAAAATGTTTCTGCCCTTGCAATAGACTTCTTTTGGCGCGTTCAAGCCCTCGGCTGTTGTTTCCTGCTTCTTTTTCCCTTCTTGTCAGTCACTCGCTTCTTCCAATCAGCGCAATGCCGCCTCGCCATTTCACCCGGTACATTGTCACCGCGGCAGTCTTCATTTGCGGCCTCATAATCTTCTCTTCGACCTCGAGTCCCTCTACTGCTGCTGTTATCGATGCAATACCATACCCAGAAGTCCTCCGAGATGTGATACCCAAACTCACTGTTCCCAACCTCCGCTGGTCCTTCCAGAGTTCGGCGCACAAACCTCCTGAACAAAAGAATAGCACACATGGAGACAGCTCATGGTACAGCGATTGGAAATGGCTCAATCCTTTTTCCTCCTCTGTGACGCTCGACGAAGATCGAGTCGTCTTGCCTCCTTTGGCAGAACGGCCTCCGATCTACACATTCTATGATACTTCAGTCAAAAGAGATGACGAGACAAAGAGCATCGATAAGGAGTTTCTGTTGACATGGAGGCGGGCCTGGTGGGCTCGTGGATTTCGACCGGTGGTTCTGACGGACGCTGAGGCCATGAGCCATCCACTATATCAGACGTTACACGCAAAGGGCATGCCCGCAGTCCTGGAACAAGACTTCCGGCAGTGGTTGGCTTGGGGTCATATGGGGACCGGCTTGCTTGCCAGCTGGTACTGCCTACCCATGGGCTCTGTTGACGATGATCTTTTGTTTTACCTGCGACGAGGGGAATATCCCCAACTTACCAAGTTTAAAGGCTTGGGGTCTGGCCTGTTTGCCGGGGAAAAGACCCAAATAGATGATGCCATCAGATCCGCACTCGACAACATGAAGTTGAGCTCTTTCAAGACCGTCACAGATGCCATCGACCCGGAGCGCTTTGCGATCGAACAGCCAACATCCATCGCCCATTATGATCCTCAGACAATCGCTTCCAAATACCCTATTCTGGCAGAATTGATCGCCAAAGATGTGAACAAGGGTCGACGTTCGCTCAACAAACTCATGATCGCTCATCTTCATGTCATGTGGCAAAACACTTTCAGTGCTGGCATTGCGGTCCTGCAGCCTCTTGCAGCCCACACCTTCACTCTTGTTCAGCCGTCCAAGGACCTAGCCCGTCTCCTTGCGGAATGTCCCAGCTCTCTCTTGCAATCATCTTGTCCACCGAATCGACCGAAATGCTCTCCGTGCACCGGCTCGAAATTGAGGATCACGACCGCTCCTTCGTTCAGGAATACATCTTCCTTGTTTACAATTGCTGTTGTGCCTCACCCTTATACGATGATCACGCTGACAAACCAGTCTGATGCCGTATCCGTTGCTCACATAAGGCGATACACTGAGCGAGATCCTTGGATAACTGCAGTCACGCGGGATATATTGGGAGACGGTCGTGGAGGCCCGAGCCGTGTGGTGGCCTTAAAGGATGCGGTGGCATCAGAATATGGCAGTAGTCGTTCCTTGTGGTTTACCACCGAGCATTTTCCTGCGTCGTTCAATCCGCCGCCCCCTCCACCAAAATCGCCTACTAATGACGCCCGTCCAGCACAGGAGGAGGTCGCAGCATTTCCAGAAGATTGGCTCACGCATCTCGACTGGCACTTTGGCTTTCCCATCCCGAGAACGACAGTGTCTCATGGTGAGTCTCTGCCTCCAGTGCCCGGACCTGAGCGTTGGGCCAAGACACCTGCTGGTCTCCCCGCCGATCGTAAGAAGGCCTCTGATCCTAGTCCGCCAACGGAAGAGCAGGCCGCAATTGAGGTCAGCCTCTTACAGAAGGCAAGGGGAACCATCAACAGTAAGGATGAGGCTGTGCTCAAAATCCGTAACGTGGCAGAGGCGTGGAACCTGGCCGACACAGAGGCTTGGAAGTTTGTGAAAAGTTTCCGAGCCCGTCAGGTTGTGGAAAGATTGAAATTTGAAGAGGAAGAGTCTGCATACGAAACTGAGGGTGTGAGAGGAAATACTCGATGGTGGGGTCCATGATCCAAGTCCGCTCGAGGTGATCGAGGACGGTGGCTCCGAGCCATGAGCAACTGCAACCACTCAACGGATTTAAAGCTTCGAAAATCGACTCAGCGTTCCATGCTCAACCCGGCAGTAGACCTTTGCGACTATCAAAGCCTTCAAGCGGGGTCGGAAGCGGGTCTGAACCACCTGAGCGTCGCTATCTGGCAGGCGATGCACAGATCCAGGAGATTGACAGATGCGGTGCTTCTCTTGGACTCAGGTTGTCCTCCATTGATGCCACAGGGACCGACGGATGTATTGGAAAGCACTACTCACAGCAAACAGGGCGAAAACGATGGCGCAGAGGAACTGCGCCAAATGGAACCAACGGAGCGCGACGGAATGTCCTGACAAACACTTCAGATTGCTCTTGAGACATCCAGATATGGGTTAAGGGCCATATGCCAGTATATGACCCTGACTGCTTGCTGGAGAGCGAGCAATCGCTCTGCAGATTGATTGGTGGACTCAGCATTCGTTGCAACAGGTTTATCTGCCCAATGCTCGGGCCTTTGCTGTTTGTAACAACCTCGCTTTCCCCCTCCGGGGTCAACTTGGGCTTAGAGTCCGATTTGGCAAACTCGCTTGCGGCATCCGGCCCACGAAAGTCGAATTGGTTATGGATCGACATGACGCTGTAGAACCAGGATTTGCACTACGGGAAGAGGGGAAAGAGCCCGCAGATCCTGTCGCAGCCAGAGTTGAATCGCCTTGAAGCAATTGCTTCCCTCCCTGGATCTCAGGTAATTGAGGTGGACTGTACCGCAGGGTCCTCAATGAGATGTTGTTTAGTCTGCCTGACGAAGCGGCCTTTGCACTTGACGAGGCCAAAGTGTCTTGGGGTTTGTTGGGATGGATTCTTTTCTTGGTGATGAGCGCGTCTCCGCAGTGGCCACTGCGCAAAGCAATGTAGAGAGATAGTCAAAATCGCAATTCTTCGGAGTGCCCAGCATCTCGATCTCTGCTTTTGGAGGGCAATTGTCAACCGATACGCTCCTGGTGGTCTAGCATCAACAATTCCCGAGCCTGCATCGACAATGCTTCGCAAACTGAAGCCCCGACGCTGTGTCGCAGTGGAGAAACCCTTCGACGCGAGGGATCTGTGTCTGCGAATTGGAAAAGCCATGCCATCGTTGCAATGCCATGGTTCAGTCATATCGGTAGCGAGAACGGATTCTTATACTTCCGGGACGCTGGAGCAGCTCCTCCCAACCGCCTTCCGAGAGCCCCCGCTGCCATGTCGCCATTGCTGTGGCCCCTCTTCGTCTGTAGCAAAAGTCACCCTGTACGCCACGGCGGTGCTCGCATGCGGCAGATGGGTGGTTAGATGATACCGTAGGACGAAGCGCACGTGGTGTGGCCGCTAGGCGTGTGGGATGGAGGTGCTTGTAGAGTCGTTGACGCAGTCTTCCACCGAGAGATGCGCAGAGAGTGTATCGTCAGAGGGGGAAGGTCTAATTCGTTTGCTGGCCATTGTGTTGCGCGCCTGCTACGCTTTGGCACGGCTGGCAAAGGAGTCCAGCGCTATAGCCTTGTCGTGGAAAGAAGGATAAACTGAGGGAGTTGATGGAAATGAGATCCCAGCCGGCAGAGATTCCTGTGCAACGCCCCCGCTTGATTTTGGGCCGTCAGAACCGGGAATGTCATTGCTTTGGACCAGATGTATTCATACTCTTGACAATATCTGTGTGTCTCATCCCTTGTCGTCCAGGGACTGCTCGCATTCCAGACGGACGGAAACCCTAACTAAGGAGGAGGTATCGAGGCGATGTAGTTGGTTGGGCTAGTCGAACTCATCAGCTAGTCAAGGTGGCACATTCTGACGCAGAATACACGCTGCATCTAAGATTCAACCCTCATGGTATTATCCACAGACGTTGTGGCGCGATCCGCAAGCAGATCATGACGATCTCACGAGGCCCAGTGGCGATGAGCAACAGTGACGTACGGGTGCGCATGTCGATATCCGCCCCAGGATGCAGCGCCATAAAACCGAACTCCCCCACAAGTTACGCATTCGCACGGACGATACATATAATTAACTCTCACAGGGATCAAGTTATTCGCAGAGACCCGTCTGTCAGCTGAGATGCCACCCAAGAAGCTGCCACCGAAGACGACGGCTCAGAAGCCGCAAACACGGACACAGCAGCAACAGCAACAGCCACAGCCACAGCCACAGCCACAGCCACAGCGAGATAGTCAAAGTGCCCCAAATCCCAAACTCAAACCCAAAGCCCACGATGCATCATCACCTCCCACTCCTACCAGCAGCGAACCCGCCATCCCCGAGCGCGATCTGAAACAAAGCTCGTCCGTGAGCGCCCAGCTGGCCCTCGAAGCCGCAAAGAAGGCCTACGAGCTCCGACAAGCCGCGTATGGCGCCGCCGACCCCAACGCCCGCGAAGAGATCCTGGCCAAGGCCGTCAACAAGGAGATCGAGGCCGAGTCCTTCGGCAAAGCTGCCAAGTACACCCGCTCAGGCGCGTTCCAGGGCCTCGCGGCCGGCGCGGGCCTCGGCGTCCAACCGGGCGTGACACTGGGGAAGTTGACCGGCGCGCTGGTCGGCGGCGTAGTGTCTTCGGCGGGCGCGTTGCTAGGGGGTGGCGTAGGCTCGGCGTACGGTGCCATCAGTGGGCCGTTCTGGGATCTGGGCCAGATGGCCAGTCACGGCGTCAGGAGTATCGTGGGCGACTTTCCGAACTGGGAGGCCACGTCGAGCCAGAAGAAGGCGCTGGAGAAGATGGTGTTGCAAGCCCAGCAGACCAAGGCGCCAACCCAGGAGGAACTGGAGGTTATGCAGAGCGATGACGGGGGGCGCGGTCAGGCGGATTACCAGCAATGGGTCAAGGATCTGACCAGCTACATTCCGAGTATGCCGTCGATGCCAAAAATACCCTCTATGCCTTCAATGCCGTCAATGCCGTCGATCCCAGGACTAGGAGGAAAGTCCAAAGGGGACAACCCTTCTCCTCCTCCAGCTGGAACTAAGCCCAAGGCCGCGAAAGCATCAAATCAGGCCCAACAACCAAAACCCCCGACAAAGCCTCAGGCGCCTTCCAAGCACCAAGCTGCTCCTCCTCCAAAACCACCTAGTCAGACGTCCAGGACACAATCTCAACCAAGGGCAGATGAAAATGCGCCGAGGAAACCCCCCAAGAAGCTGGAGACCAGACCAACAGGAACCACGGCCCAGGCTGACCAGCCCCCGGCTCGAAGAAAGCCGCCCAAATTGGAGACGCGATCCAAGACGACCAATGCAAATGCATGAATTAGCAGCTCGGGCAGCGAGAAGAAGTCGACGTGAGCGCCGAGAACTGTGCCTTCACGATATCGCCCAGAAGCTTCGAGACGCGCCATTTCACCATCACCGCTGCGGCACCGAATCCTCCGAAAAGTCATGGCAGGGGCAACAAATTGAATAACGGGGTCGGTAATGCGCATAACAAAGCCAGCGACCATCAGACCAACAAGTCCTACGGATCGCGGGTGAGAAACAACAGAAGAGCTGCAGAAAGTACAGTGCCAAGCTGACACCCTCAGAAACGTCGACGACTTTGTGACGATGACGCCGATGATTCATGATTAGGCTCAAGACGATTTTGAGCGGCCGGTCTAACTGGGCCTCGTGAGTGCGTACAGTTTCGCCCTTTTGGGGCGTCCGGCATCGAGATTGGATCAGATCTTTGATGTGCGATGGTGCTTTCACATATTATGAACATGGGCTCAAACCTTCCAAGGGTTTGTTCATTCCGAGTCGAGAAGTCACTTGTTGTTCGACCACTAGTGGTAGAGCCCCCTGGCAGCCTCAAGTTAGATACCTACGAGTACCTCTCCCCAGCCAGCACCAAGCCTCTCTGTGTCCGTACCCACTGCCGCTTCCGTAGTAATGTGCCAGTGATGGAACCCGAGTCCTAACATAGCTGGCCAGCATGGCCGTCGTTGTTCCTGGAGAAATCCTCAGAGATCTGCCAGCGGACCCAGATGTCAGCAATCCTGACTCCTGAGGATCCAACAAGCAGTCGGAAGGGGAGAGAGAGAGAGAGAGGGAGAGAGAGAGAGAGAGAGAGAGAGAGAGAGAGAGAGAGAGAGAGAGAGAGAGAGAGAGGTCCTCGCCCAGCGCCATATCATGTCACGAGTTGACTCTCGCGTACATTACCAACGGGTGCGATTCATAATTTTGAAGAACCAAGCCGGTTGCTGGCCCTCCCGCATGCAAATGCAGATCCATTCCCACTGCCAGGAAATTAGCCACAAGGCGCCGCCTGGTGAGCCTCCACTCTGGAGCCGTCAAGAGTACCGAGTACTAAGTACCTAGGTAGGTAGTGGCCCATGGGGTGAAATGCTGGGTCCCTCATCCACAAACACACGCACCGACCGGAAGGATTCGCAACGATCGACAACGTCCTTCGATCCTCCCGTGCCTCCCACAACGGTGCCGGCTGGTGCCCCAAGCTAAGGTGCTGAGGTAAGAAATCCCATTTCCTGCACATCTTGTAGATCTCTCTGCTTTTGTGGTCGGTGACGTGCCATCGTGGAGAACCCCTGCGGCAGGGCAGGACCGTTGTCATTGAGCACGACTGGATACAGAGCGGGCGAAAAGGTGGCAGAAGAATGACCGGTAGCGACGAAAATATTCAGGTCAAGGCATGGTCAGATAAAGGCTTCATTGAAACTGCTTAGACTATCTACCTGCGTACCATGACGGCAAAGGGGGTATAATGTCCGGGTACGATGAGCGTAGACTGGATAGTCCATTCAACCTCCAACACAGTTCAAGTAGTGTCGTGTGGGATTTAGCGATCGACGTGATCAATCTTGAATAACAACTATGCTTTCCACCCATACTCATTAAAGATCGTCTGGAGGCATCCGCCATGTGCCCTTTTGGGTAATTTGACACCAGGCAGAGGGAGCTCAAACATCGGCCGATTTCTCGGTGACCTCTTCGCGGTCAGACCCAACGTAGTCGTCCGAATCGAACTTGTACAGCTGTGGGGGAGTGAGACCCTTGCGCCGAAGAATTTGTGTCTTGAACCAGTATGGCAGCACTTGGTTGACTTGATAGTGCATGTGTGTGCGAGTGGGCACGGCAAAGACGTAATCCAATTCTTCGAGGGTTCGTTGTTTGGTCTCTGGAAGCCATAAGAAGATCATGACGAAGGCGACAATGTTGAGTGCGGCGTAGAATCCAAATGCGCCCTGTGGTTTCATGGCCTGGAGCATACGAGGGAACGTCAGAGACAAGACCGAAGCCCAGAAGTTGTTGGTGGCCACGGCCCAAGACATGCCAACCTCACGATGTGACAGTGGGAACACTTCGGCAGAATAGGTAAACGGTACAGGCCCTTCGCCAGGCGAGTAGAACGCGTCGAACAAGAAAATGAACAGCGCGATGAGACCGAGGTGGGCGTCGCTGCTTTCGGGAATCCAGAAGCAAAAGCCTGCCGCCAACAGGGTCCAGCACATGTTGGGGAACGTAAAAAGTAATAGGGCTCTTCGGCCGAACGTATCGATCGTCCAGACGGCGGGCCAGGCGAAGAGGAAATTGACCAGACCAAAGCCCCACGAGGCAAGCAAGGAGCCAGTCACGCTGGCTCCCGCATTGGAGAAGACAGTGGATGAGTAGAAAGCGATGATGTTGATTCCACACATCTGCTGGGCAATCATAACGATACCCGAAGCCTGAGTTGCGCGTCGAATACGTGGGATGGTGAACAATTCAATGAACCGAGTGATGATGTTACCGTGAGTGGCCACGGCAGACTCCTCGACTAGAATGTCTTCCTGGACAAGTTGGGCATGAATGTAGTAAAGATCGCGGGCAGCTTGTAGGGGGCTTCTTCGGAGTCGGAGTAGAGCCTTGTATGCTTGGGCGTGACGGCCTTTCTTCATCAACCAACGAGGCGACTGACGACGGGTCAGTGGAGAGGCTCTCTGGGCGTTGCGCTTTACGACTTACCTCAGGGCAGAACCAGATACCAAGGACCAAAGGCACAGCCGGAATAAAAGCGGATCCGAGCTGCAGGCGCCACGCTATGTCGCCAGTGTCTTTGACCGCTAGGTTCGCGCAAGTACCCAGGAAGATACCAAACGCCGTCCAAACTTGCCAGGACATAACGAGACCACCACGAATGTTTGTTGGGGACTGTGTTGCTGTTAGCGATCACACGCTCTATTGGCAACAATGACTCGGAGCTTTGGGGAGCGAACTCCAAGCGTCTCCTTGAGAGATGTCGAGTCGGACTTACATTTTCAGCCGAAAACACAGGGACAGTCACTTCCTTGAGACCCATACCAATACCCAACAGGATACGGGTTGCGACCAATTGGCCCCAGTGTTGAGTACAAGCTGAACCGATGGGCGCGAGCAGAGAGAAGATGGCACCGACGAAAATAGTTCCACGACGGCCGAGGAGGTCGTTCAGGGGGTCAGAGATCCATCCGGCGCTGTAAAAGTTAGAGTAGATCAATGCCGAATAGAAGGACGACACCTACAAGAAGGCGATGGCGATATAAGGGCAGGAGTTGATGAAACCAATGAGCCATGAGTTGTCTTCGCAGTTGCCCTTGGCTTCACAAACGGGACCAGAATCAGGAATACCGAAGGCGACGGGGAAGGTCAAGTTGGCACCATTGGAGCCAGTTTGATCCCAGCCCTGAATAGCCGCAGCGATCGAGTTGAGGATGATGGTGAAGTAGAGGGTCCTGGGGTGTCTCCAACGATGGGTGACCTCCTCACGGAGGAGCACACGGTCGGACTCGTCCAGTTCGGGAATATGCTCGATAGCATGGGGGCTTTGAGCAACTAGGGCACCTTTCTTCAAGAGCGGCAGGATGTCGGTCAAGGAGTTTTCATTGGCGTAGTTCTCGACATCTTGGAGCATCTGTTCGCGCGGAATCCCAACGAGAGGATTGCGGACTCTGCACGGCGTGTTAGCGAGGACAGCACCCACGACAGCTTCAACCTTAACCGACTTACTCTCCACTGGTGTTGGACGTCAGTTGAGCAACACTGGCTTTGCGTTTGGACTCGTCGGCGAAGAGCACACTCGATCGCCGGTGCTCCTGAGCAATGCCATCCTTGAGGTCAGACATGGTGGCGGTCAAGATCTCTGAAGGGGTAGTGGGTGTACAAAGCAAGATGACACAAGGGAGGGGAGAGGAAGGACAAGCTGAGCAGGAGGGGGAGGGACGAGCTCTTTATGAATGTTTTGCAGGGTGAGGCAGCTTCACTAGGGCAAAAGTTGCAGCACAGGGAGCCGGAATAGTAGACAAGAGCGAAGATCAGTTCCAGGTACGGTTGGTCTCGCACAGATTGGACTTTCGCAGAGTGCTCCTCATCTCGCTACCCTTGTCACTTCCCCATCCATGGGTACCCTGTGGCACTGGTGCATCTGCGCATCAGCATGTGGAGGGAGAGACCGGGGGAGCCAAGTTCTGGAGTGACGCTGATCGAGTCGTGATTCGGAAATAGGAACATTGTTGGGCCGAGAGAAGGGAGGGGGACGCCATCACACGACACGACAAGGGGGGTGGGCGCAGGAAGAGGGGCAAGGGCGGCAGCGCAGGCAGCCATTGGAGGCGGCAGCGAGGTGGTTTGTGCAACATCAATGGCAAGGCTTGGGGCCAGCAAGGAGATGCAGGAAAAGCTGGGATTGCACTGACGAGCAGGCGGTTTGACGTGAGAGAAAGCCAATGAGATAGACGGGCGACGACGGGAAAGATGGGGCTGCGCGCAGTCACCCTCACCTCACCAACCTCACTACTCGTTTCGGCCTCGAACCTCCTCCGCCTCTTCACCTCCTCACCTCCGACCGTGGCGGCCAGACGCGAGACTAAGTTGGCAACTGGTCACTCTGCGCCCCCTCGCCCACTCGTCGCGCCGAAATGCCTTTGCCGTCCTGGCGGTCCTTGCGCTATACATGTCCTCATCGGGTACTTGGCCACCACCACCGGCTATGATTTTTGAGTTGCTGAGAAGTGCTCGACACGGCTGGATGACGACTATTGAACGCACAGGAATCCTACGCACCCCCTGCAATGCCTTCCCAACGCCCTATCTACGTGCACTAGATGTACCACCTAATCCTCCGTGTTCCCCCAAAGAGGCTGAAGTCTCTCAGGCCTCCTCTGTACGATCAATCAGCGAAGCCTTGGCTCCTCAAAAGCTTCAGCAGGCTTGGGTGACAACAAGAATCAACAAGAAAACGCCTTGCTCAAGAGGTGGAAGGGCCCTTTTGGCGCGGCGCCGGGCTGGGATTCCGCCTTGTGATCGGCCAGCCAACAAACAATCTGGGGGGATCCGTCTTCTGGGCTGACGGCTCAAACACCGCGGCCAAGTTTAGTGGCGTCTTTAGCCCTGAGTTCCCAATCCGCCCAGCCAGCGATCGGCAGATGACATGCTATTCCAAAACTCAAACTCATCATCCCTTGGTGGCTGGCCAAGGAGCAATCGGATCAAAGACAGAGCACAGGCCCAGTTGTCCAACAAACATCGTATTTGCAGGACACCAACATCCTGCTTGTGACATAGGCCAAGCTGTCACAATAATGGGCGACCTGGGGCCACGACTGCTCTATGGTGTTCTATGGCAATGGTCACTCCGTTCGATTTAGAACAAGGCAGCTTTGGCTCAAGGGAAAAACTTTGACCAGAGGCCCTCATTCACCAAAATACGGACGCCTTTGTGGACCAAGGTGGTACTGGGGCACCCGGACCCCGATCACCCGTCAGATAGGGCGGAGACTTTGTGTACCTTGTGCCTTAACAAAGGGACAATTCGCACCGAGCCACATGAAGATGGACCCATCAGAGTTGCCACAAGTCTTCGGACTTCTTACGGCTGCTCCAGGCAAGTCACTTTATCTTTGCCTCTGCAAATACGCCCCTGGACCAAGTAACAGTGGGGATCGCATCGACTTGCAGAGAGAGTGGCTTGAGCTGGGCGCATCTACTAAAATCCCTTCCAACCAAGGACACGAAGCGCGCTAAACCAGAGAGCGTAGTTGGGCTGACTTTTCTCGAACATTTCCCTCTCCGAACAGACCATCTGATCGCGCTCGAGCCCTCGTTGCCGTCTTGGCCAACGCCACAGTGTGGGATCGTGGAGATGCGGGCGCACCATACTTCCCCCTCTTTCCAACGACGAACACAGGCGTGAGTCAGCGTTGGAGACTGCCTTCAGCACAATCCACCACATCCTGCAGCTTGTCGCGGTCCTATACCAGGTCCAGCAAAGTTATCAACTCTACCAGGCCGCTAGCATCGTCGCCTGGAGCCCTTCGAATCAAAGAGACTGGAAAATCCCGCAAACTGTGTCCACATTCATCGCGACAAACTTTCTGGGTTCTTTTGACCATGCATCTATCCTCCTTTGGCTAAGATGATTTTGCTGGGGAGCACAACGCAAGGAATTACCCGTCAACTGATGCCGGAGATGAAAGCCAGCGACTCATCACGAATCATGATGTTCGAGGAGTCCCCAACGGTGTCCCGCATCCCTGGTTTTCTCCAGCCTCGCCTTACACCCTTGTCCCAATCTTTCCCTCAAACAGCGCACTCCAGCCGAAGACGCCCTACTCAGTGATGCGAAATGCGACTCCAGTCTGCAGATGCAGATGAGCTGGCCCCAGAACACGGCACAAGATGACGGAATCCCTACACAGTACGGAGTATTCGGCCTTGCCGGACCAATTAGTATCTACTCTCCATTCGAGAAGTAACGGTCAACGTACTCCAGCTGACGAATTATACCCTGCTCTCACGCGATGAGTGAAATCCTCTAGCTGATAAAGACAATGGCTGGCTCAACAATACCAGTTGGAAGGCAAATGGCAGGGCAGAAACACTTCAATTCAACAGAGCGAAGTCTCATCGTTTTCCTCACACCCCACCCATCTAACTCTAGGGCTAATTCAACATGAAAATACCAGGTGCGGATAGTCGGCAAGGCTAACGAGCCTGGAATACCACAGTTATCTGATGTCTCTGAAAGTCATCCAAACTTCAAGAGGCTCGCGCAAACAAGTATTCACCTTCGTTGGGCTTTCCGCCTGAGGTTTGTACCGCCACCGTCATTTTCGTGGCTGTCTCAGAGTTCCTCGACATTCAGGAAGAACACCCCATGAAGGTCAATCTTAGTCGACTCACAAGCTGGCTAACCACAGAGGTCGTTTACACGATAGGCGAAGGCGAGCCACCGTTCGAGAATTATCCTATTCGAAACATTTGATCCTTCCACTCCCTTCTCAAGAGCCATGTGGATTGAATCCTGGCATTTTTCCAGATCTGATCTCAGCACCAACTGTAGAGACGCATCACCCACCCTGCGCTACAACTCCAATCGAAAAGGTAGGTCGATGCTGGTATCACACCACCTTGGCAGGAGGTTATTCCCACAAATCTGCTCAAGATTCCACCCCCTGGAAGCAGGGGCGTGGATACGGCATGGTATGGCAATCCTCGCTGTGGATCGCTGCCCTAGGTCCGCTCTGCGCGCTCACCGCACTCTCACGTACCCAGCACAGCGACCGTGGCTCACCACTCGCTCCAACCCGCCACTGTTCGAACAAGGTGGATTGTTCCGCAACCAGTCCATCTCACCACCGCGCATGCGAGGGGTGAAGACCTCATGGGCCTGTGGTCTCACTCAGCACAGACACATTTCCCTGAATCTTTCGGCGCGGCATGTGGAATGAAGGCACAGCGAAGCCATCGGTTGCTGATATCGCAAAAAAAAGAGAGATAGCCCCTTCTCCGAACATGACAAGAAATAGGACAAGGGATGCGCGTGGGAGTTAATCATTTATTTTTGTTACATTCGTTCTTCTCAAGCCTCGACCTCTCAAATGAGGGCCTATACACACAAGCACCCAGCCATCGCTCTGGTCTTGTGGACTCCCGATAAGCTCAAGAATTTGGTCATCTGAAACTGTTCTTACATGTTGAGGGCAACCAATCTGCCCATCCATAGGACGATCTTCGAACGCTGCCGTTCGCCTTTCTCGTAGCCGGCATCGCCTCTCAATCGACTCGACGTTAAATCATCGCACTCTCCGAACGCGGTGTTCGTCGCGTCCTCTCCTCCCCTTCTTTCCTTTCTTTGAATCTTTACCTGGTCCAAGCGGAATGTCCCTCATCAGGTACCTTTGCAATTGAATGAAGTACTCATCAATGTGATGGATCCTCTCTTCATCTTCTTGCGACTCGATGATGGCCGTGTCGGTCGCTCCGAAGGGCCCATTCGGCACACCACCAAATGCAGGTGTACTTCTGGCATCACCCGTCTGAGTTCTCGGCGTGGCACTGGCTCTCCCGTCCTCAAAATCACCCTCATCTGCATGCTGCAATTCTCTCGCCGCCACTTTGGCTGCCGTACGATCCTCTTGGTCTTCGGCTTGTTCCAGCACCCCAATACTAGTTTTTTCGTTGCCCAAGACACGATCCATCGCCTTCCCGGCCTCATCCTCCTCGGCATCCTCATCAAGCATATCTCGATAAGTCATCCTGTTCATGTAGTCCGTAGTAAAATCACCCTCCTGGATGACCACATCATCGAGCATCTGCTTTTGGTTGGCTTTTCTGAGAATGTTCGACTCAATGGTATGCTCGGAGACGAAGCGGTAAATATGGACGTCTCGCGTTTGGCCAATGCGGTGCGCCCGGTCGGTGCATTGCTTGTCCATGGCGGGATTCCAATCGAGATCATAGAAGATCACGGTATCTGCTCCGGTTAAGTTGATGCCGAGTCCACCAGAACGGGAAGAAAGAATAAAACACAGGATACGCGTGTCGTTGTTGAATCTCTCGGTGAGTATCTGTCGCTGCTCAATCTTTGTGGCGCCGTCGAGTCGCAAGTATCGATGGCCGTGAATGTTGAGGAATTGTTCAAGGATATCGAGAACTTTGGTCATCTGCGTGAAGATCAATGCGCGGTGGCCCCCGGCTTGGAGCTGGCGAAGTAGTTTGTCCAATCTCTGCAATTTGCCACAGTCATATTGGAGGAGGCGTTTGTCGGGGAACGCGATGGAAAGTTTCATGCGCGCGAGGTGGAATGGGTCCTCTTCGTCTCCCTTCAAGGTTGTTTCTGCTGCTTCTCGTATCGCTTGGGCCCCGGCGTCTGTTACAGTCCTGGTATAGAGATCTGTGGCCACCACGGCGGGAGTGACACATGCATACTTGTCGATGAATGGTTGCATCTGTTCAGACCTCGACTGCACAGAATGAACAAGATCAAAAGACTGCATCGGCTGGCTTTTATCCCAGAATTGGCTCAAAACTCTGTGTGGCGATAGCCTGGACAGTCTCTCATGAGTCGTATTTATGGTCAACAGTTCAATCAGTCCACGTCCGTAAACTGGATGCTGATGGTGCTTGTATGCTTCGTAATACATTGTACGGTCCAACTCCTGAAGCCGGGTTCTCCGACCAACATTCTCAAGGGATCCGAGCACACCGAGCCGAGTCTCGGCGCGCCACAAGCTGGCATTATCGGGATGGATACTATTGTGGGAAGACGACAAGACCCTTCGGGACTGAGCCTCTCTCAAGGCCTTGAATTTGTTGTAGGCATGTCGTTTAGTAGTCTCGATTACCTCAATCATGGACATCCGCTCTTCCGAAATAGGCGCCAGCCGTAAGAAGTCGAGGTCTAGATCGTTCGAGGCGTCCAGCATTAGTCTCCGACGAACCAAAAGGTCCTTGATCTCAAAGTCAGCAGCTGCGGATTTGTGCATGGCAAACGATGTATTGATCGGTCGTGTCTCAAAAAGGTCGGGGTGATTGCAAACTTTGCGCAGCTGCATCAGGGCGTTAATGATTGACAAATAGTTGCCCGAAGCCAGCGTTTCTTTTGTCTGCGCTCTGGACATGAAGCCATCATACAATTGCCGCTGACGTTTGGATAAACGACACATCTCAACGTGTTCATATTTGGCGGGCATCTGTTTCTCCACGTCCGCTTTCAGTCGACGAAGGAGGAAGGGTCGGATGACTTTGTGAAGTTTCGCAACCTGTTCTCGATCCTCCTCATCCAGAACCTGGCGACCATGCTCCAGAATCGACTCCACGGGCCTCTTGAACCATTCCGACCATTCTTTCAGGCCAGCGAATGCGTCGTCCTCGCCCTCATTCTCTTGACCATAGTGGAGGAAGAAAAGAAGGGACCAAAGTTCGGTCAAATTGTTCTGAAGAGGTGTTCCGGTCAAAAGGAGTCGGGCTCGAGTGTTGAACGTCATCATGGTCTGCCATCGTTCTGAACGAAAATTTTTGATGTTGTGAGCTTCATCCAGAATCATGTAATGCCACCTTCGTCTCTTGAAAGAGTTTGCATCTTGCAAGACCAACTGGTACGATGTGATGCAGACATTAAAGCTGTCATCCGCCATCCATCCTCTCCTCTTTTGCTTCCGTTCCTCGAGGTTGCCGTAATACGTCAGAACCTTGAATCCCGGCAAGAACTTTTTGAACTCCATTTCCCAGTTCAGCATGACACTGGTAGGTACGACGATAAGATGGGGGCCCCAAACTTCGTAAACCTCGGCAAGGTGAGCTAACAGTGCAATGCTTTGAATAGTCTTGCCGAGACCCATCTCATCGGCTAGAATTCCACTTCTCCCATGGGCATACAGATCCGCAAGCCAATCCAGACCTTCGTGCTGGTACTCACGAAGCGTACCTCTCAGCAAGGACGGAACGGGCGTCTTGATGGCGGGCTTTGTTTCCGAAGGTGTAACGGGAGGCGCAGAGTCCAGATGAGCATCGATAGAAGATACCGACTCGGGTTCTGACACTTTCGTTGCAGTGGTATGAGGAGACGTGTAGGTGCTGGGTTCCTGACTTCCAGGGTCTTCAGAAGCAAGCCGGGTAACTTGAGGGTGGATGGATGGCGTTGCGTCTGGCATGCTGACGTCTTCAGTTTCCCGAGCCGTTAGTGTTTCAATCCGTACGTTTGATTCCTCAACGGCATCAGCCTTCAGTTCCTCAGTAGCGTTTTGCGAAGGGCTAGGAGGCTCTTCAGGCGCTTCTCTGTCTGGCATCTGTGGTTCTTCAAGGACTTCCACAAGGGGAGTATCGCGACTTTCGGATTTGTCTTCTTTGCCTGCATTCGGTTCATCAGCTTCAAGCGTCATGTCCGCAATCTGCTTCTTGGAGAATAGCATTGAAAGAAGTCCACCACGCGTGTCATCCTCTTCGCTTTCTTCATCCTCATCCTCGTCGTCATCACTAGTTCCCTCCGTGTCAAACTCAGAGTCCATTTCGGTCTCAGGATCTGAATCTTCATTGAGTTGATCTGCACCTTCCTCATCTTCCTCCTGACCTTCGGCGAAGCCCCCCTTATCGTCGACTGGTAGCTCTGGCAGGTTGCCATACTTCTTTTTCAATTCCTCGACTGACATCTCGGCGTCGAGGTCCTTGTCATCTGCTTCTGACTCTGATTCTGTCTCGCTCTCCGACATCTGCTCGCTATTTTCCGACTCTGACTCGGTGGTCTCATTTGATGAAACCTCAGTTTCACTGTCTATGATAGAATCGTCTTGTTCCGTAAGTCGACTGAGCATCTGATCCGTTCTGTCTAGTACGCGCGCTAGGTGACCTTTCATCTTTGCCTGTTGCTGCTCTTCGTATTCCTTTTGTCGGATGGCGATAACTTCAAATTTGACCGCGTTCCAAAGTTTGTCGATATCTTTGACCACCATCCGATATTTGGCCACACTAGCCTCTCGTTTCTCTTGCTCAATTTCTTCCGCAGTCTTCACCTTGTTGCGCCTCTGCTTCTCTTCAACGTATCGTTTTGCCTCATAGGCTAGTGTCTCGGCCCTTTTCCTGTGGTCCCTGTGTTCTGCTCTTAGGAGTGTCCTGAAGTGGCTGACATGAGCCAAGAGGTGATCACGATGCGCAAATTGTCTCTTTGGTTCGTCTTGCTTTTCGGGCAGCGTATCCACGAGCTTCTTGTCAAGCGATCCGCCTCTTTTTTGAGCGTCCCTCACCCTCCGCCGGATCAAGGCTTCTTTCATTACTTGATCAGGTGTCAATGTTTCCTCTCCTGTCCTTGGTTCCGTCTCGTCTTTTTCGAGAAACTCGCCGAAGGATGCGTACTTCTTTGGCAAAGGCACATTGGCGGGACTCGCAACGGAGGGCGGGGGCAGTCGAACTCTGAAGGTGACTTTGCGTAGAGTCACTGGAGGAGATAGGCTTCTGGAGGACAGTGCGCTAGAGGTATCGAGATCGTCGTCATCGGTTTCTTGCTCAACCTTCACGATCCCATTTGCCTGTGATTTTTTGCCATGTACACCGTTGGTCTGTGACGAAGCGATATGTGGGTGATGGCCCGAACTGGTAGGACGGCGAGGAGACTTGGCCTGATACCTTGAGCTGTTGTTCAAATCTCTGAGATACCTTTGTGAGGATTCAGCCTTGGCAGGATGTTGTGCCTGAGATGCATCGCGACCCTTGGAAGGGGGATTGGAACCACGCCTAAGGGCCGTGGACGGCGAAACATGCGATTCCACCTTGGACTTGCGAGCAGATGTATTATAAATGGGTTTCCCATGTTTCTGACGCTCTTCCTTGACCTTATCAAAGGCAGCGCGTGTCTGCCTCCTGTTTGACTGCGGCTGCAGGTCGAGGGGCACTACGTTCGTTCTCCCGGACTTTCGACGACCATCTTGAATGAAGGACGTCGGACCTTCTGCGAGGACTCGTTTCCACGGAGGAGAGATGAGTCGAGGAGACGGTCTGTGGTCAGCGCCTGCAACTTTCCGCCTCTTCGCGGGTGGGCCATCGCTGTTGCCGTGGCTGTCATGGGGTTCGACGGAGGATCTCAGAGGGCTTTCTTGAATGCGTATGGGCGACGGGGATCTCTGATCAAACAAGTCTATAGGACATTCAGCCAACTGACGTGATGTTGAATGTAGCGAAGGAACATACCCTGATGTTGGTGGTTGGAGTCTGTCTGAAAGTCGCCGGTCGGAGAAGGAATCGGCATCTGGCGCGGTCACTGCTGTTGCGCCTGGCATGGCAAAATCGAGATTCTCAGAAAAACGCCAAAATGACAACGGGTATGCTCAACGGGTAGGGCGTTAAATAGGTCGAATCGCAGGTCAATTTGTAGGAACGATCGAGTAGAATCACCTCGCGAAGTTTGCGGTAGCCTGGGACCAAGTTGGGCTGTTGGCGGGCGATTGAAGTTGGGGGCAAAGCGTGAAAATATCGAGATGGGAAGAAAGTGAGCGCAGGGGGAGGAACAGGCGAGTTTAGGGCGAAAGCCACTGCGGGATCCCGCCCAGGCACTCACAAGCTCCTGCCCAGACCAATCACTGCCCGCCATTCCTCATCCTCAAGCATCCCTCATCTCTCACTCCACACACGTCAAGCCTTCGCAGCCGTCTGTGCCATCAACCTGAATGACTTGACCTCGAAACTGCTTCACTCATTGTCCGGCTCACTGGAGCCCATTAGACACGACCATGCTCTCTCGACGGGCCTTGACCTCGGCCGCAGCTTCCGCTCGATCCCTTGCCCGCACCCGACCTCAATCTCAAATCCGACCTCAATTCCGCCTGCCTCGAGCTCAATTTTCTGTGGCAAGATGTCTGAAGGCTACTGCTGGAGAAGAGATAGACGATCCTGAAATGGTACATTGACCTGCAGTCACAGCTTTGAGGGAGATGCTAATTTCGACACTCAAAGAACAACAACTACATTAACCCGCCTCGAATCAAGCGACAGCACCGTGACCCCTATGCCGACTGGGACGACAAGCAAGAACGGCGCAACTTTGGCGAGCCTGTCCATGAAGACAATGATGTTCTCGGCATTTTCGCTCTGGAGGATTATACGTTCATGTCCAGCGCGCGAGGTGTCTTGATGTGGGCAGGCTTCATCACTTGCGTGCTGGGAGTGTACTATGGCGTCGCATACACGTACCCTGGCAAACCGAGTGCACCTCGAGAACTTGAAGGAGGACTGTTTGAGGAGCTTGGTGGCCCAGGCGCTGTCAGGGTGAGCAGACATTTAGCCATTGCGACCCCATTATCCGAGCTAATCTCTGTGACAGGCACACATGGCCGGTGACTCAGTTGACGGCGAATAAATCAGCGGTGATCTTGAAGCAAAATCCCCAAATATCGTGGGACGTCAAGCTGAACCAAAGTTGAATGGTGTGGTAGTGCTGGAGGTTGAAGGCGATCTCGACCCTCTCACACGCGATGGATCCATTGGCCGGGATTGATCAATGATATTCTTGCGCCGTACCATTGCTCGTTCAGACATCGTACGCAGCTGTAGAAAGGGGTGTACATAGCTATAAAGGCGGGTTTTGGAAGGTCAAATTTACTTTTGTTCGAACGAAATCAACCTTCAGACGTCAATGTGTAATCGGTTCGCACCATTCGTATATCTATCGATCCAAGTCTGCATTCTCAAAGACAACCTCCATCGTGAGCACAAGTGTCTACGCACAATATGCAAAATCTCCAAAGTCAAAGCATTTACATAGTGAATCCAAGTAACGAGAGACACAAACGCGCTGTATATATGCAGTCTCCGTCGATGCCAATGCCAAAAAAAACCTCTTCTCGATCAAGGTGCGATGACCTCTTTCGGGAGACAACAAAGCCAGTGTTGAAAACATTCTTTCGGTACCTGTTGGGAGCCAGCGTCGAGTTTCCCAACAATGAGCATCTGCTCTTCCTGATGGACGTCTTCACTCCATCCAAAATTTTGTGTATTTTCGACGTCTTCCCTTATTCTCACCTTCTCTCTGTCTAGGCAGTCATCCACATGCCCCAGCCCACAATCACAATCATGACCCAATACCCGCTCAACTCCATGACGGTTCGGACACCGGCGCTGACCTGTGAGGGGTCGCTCGGGTCGGTGCCTCCGCTGGCGGTCGTGCCATTGGCGAGACTGCCGTTGACGTACGTGCTGGTCGAGCCATTGCTGAAGGTCACGGTCCTGACGGTGCTGGTGTTGACGGGCGCAATCGGGGTCGAGCTGCCGTTGGTGACTACCTGGGTCAGAAACGTCGAGTTGTTGCTGGGGTCGCAGCCGCAGACTTGGTATTGCTGGCATAGGCAGGTCACGTTCGAGGTGCGGTTGCGCCCGTCGTTGTCGGTCCAGTAGTACGGGATGCCGTACGGGTACGCCCAAACACTGCCGTAGAGCCACAGGCCGGGGAAAAAGGCCAGCGCGCCCGCGCCGATGAAGAACGGCGCAACGCCCAGAGTCGGCGAGCGCTTGCCTGCGGTGAACGGCACCACCGCGCCGCCCGTGTATCTGGTTCCGTATGTCTTGGGTGTTCCCGACCCGTCTCGCGTGCGGCCGCCAGCGTTGGAGGAGGAGGAAAAGGAGTAAGGCACGCCGTTTGGTCTCGTAGATGAGCCGCCTGAGGAGCCAGAACCGCTGCGTCCGCCGCTGGATCCGCCAGAGGAACTGCTGCCCCCTCCACCCCCTTTACCACCCCCACCACCTTTGCGCTTCTCGAGATGGTTGAAGGAGTCGAGAGCAGACGCGCCACGGATCGAGAGATCAGTGGAGGGGGACAAGGGCGGAACGGCGGCGACGAACGACGTGATCCAAAAGAGGAGGGTGATTTGGAGGAACTTCATGGCTGTTTGCACTTGCTGGACCACTTTCTTCTGGTGACGGAGAGATCAGATTTGGGGATATTACTATAGGTCAGGTCAACCCCTCGGTATCGTGCCGGCGAGTACTGGTAGGTAGTTGACTGTAATGTAACAAACGCGCCGGGCGCAACTCAACAAAGAGCTCAAGTGAGGAATGATGCGCTTCTTACGTATAGTTGACAAAAAGCAGAAACAAAGGCGACTTTGCACAGCACAGCCCTCTTCCAAATGACAATCTACAAACGAACCGGGAACGGATGTTGAATCATCAACACCCCTTCCCCAGAATCGACTGGGCAATCCGCATCTAGCACCGAGCCGTGCATTGGTCCACGAACCGCCTTGCCACTGCCAAGGGGCGTATCCGCCAAATAGATACGTCAAAGACCGACGAGGCAGTGCCCAAAAACCCCTATACTATAAGCGATCCGGTAACATGTTCCACCCACAGATGTTGAGCGTATTTATCATTCGGCGACCTCAGTTAATCAGAGTCTGCCTGGTAAGCCTGACCTCAAATTTCTTATGCTAAGCCTTTCAAGTCTTCGGGATGAGATAATGATCGGAAGCTTGATAGCCATTCTAGGAATTATCTGGGCGACAGCAGCGGATCAACTTGGCATCGATGCTTAGAAGCAGGAGAAGCTCGGCGCAGTCGCGGAGAGTGAACACTTGAGAATCCATGATGCCGTCCCGCTGGGCAAATCTCTCGCTACTTGTTCATTCCATCACCGCTGCCGGTCTCTTTTTGTAATAGTACAGTGTGTGAGAACGCCTTGGCCTAAGGTTCAAGTCTGGTCACGGCGAGTTGCTTCGTACCTGGAGTGATGTATCGTCAGCAAGAGAGCACGGACAAATACGGCATTGGAACTTTCGCGGCCGTCTCAACAACGGCAGACAGATCACATACCTCTTGCCTCTGAAAGCCCATACGCCCCAGTTCCCACAGCTAATGTCCTGAGGGTCAAGGTCATTCAAGTCCCATCTGAGAGACCGGAACCTATTCTCCCCAGGTTCCATTAGCAAGTCGACTTCGCCTGCACATTTCTCCATGACCCATTGCCAGTCGCGCGTCATGTCCCATTCCGTATATCCTGTGCATAACACAGGGATTTTGGTCTCGAGCAGTCGCGGCAAGGTGCTTTCCCACTCGAGTGAAGACGCCGGGTGCCCTAAGCCAGGGTGGAACAACATGAAGCAATCGAAATAAGGGTCGTAGGGATAAAACGCGTTCGCTTCATGCAAAGTGTGGAAATAGTCCACGTAGGTAGTGATTTTCATCTTTGGCGACACACGGTCCTCGATGATGGCACCAAATGGATTCTGGGCCGTTCTCTCTGGTAGAGGAAATTCTGCGTCCCGATTCATCATTGACTCGGGTCCGATGAAGATGAGATGAATCAGGGAGAGAGGGAAAAGGTAGGACAACTGCGTCCACACCTCACGGGGTAGAGACGACTCGGCTCGTGCACCTAGGACGAATATCCGGACTGGGGGACTCGACAGCCTGAGACCTTTGATGTCTTTGCCTTGGCCCGTCTTCGGCGGATGCAGAGTATATCTTAGAGCTGTCCGGGTCAGCATAGAGCAGTGCTGTGACGAAAATGAAACTCACCTGACAAACTCTTCAGCCCTTCTGCAGTTAACCGCCCACCGGGCCTGATATTGTATGGGCTCAGCTCATGCAAAACACTCCCTATTGTGAGAGGGTACGTCAACAATTTGGTGACTTGTCGCATGCTTCTCTCATCATTGACGGCTTCAAACTGCCGCGTATAGAGATATGTATCCCAATTGGTCATGTTCACCAAAGCTTCATCCATTTGAGGCCCAGGATATTCGAATTCGGGAAACCATCTTCCCGATCTTAGATCGTGATCGTCCTCATTGATTTGTCTCAGCGTATCGCATATTTCTAGATGTGCCTCAAAGTCGTCCGCCCAATGTTCCTCCGAGCAGTATGTCGCTATGCCGCAATCTGGGCATTCAAATGAAACGTGCGCTGGGGGTTCCGTGCTCACACCCTCGATTTTCCTCGCTTCCGGATCGTGCGGTGAAATTGGCACGCGGGTTTGTTGATGCACAGGGTGTGGACACAATGCATGCTGCTTCATGAACCGCGCTCTTTGCCGGATCTCCGGAATTGGCGACTTGGAGAAGGGGTGGAAGAGGTTGCCGCGTCCCAGCACAACTCGGCCATGAGCACGCCACTCGCCGTAATCGGTAGGGGGGATATTGTGTCGCTCGAAGTTATCTGGCTCTTCTGCAGGAGCCGTGGCGGTAGACGCAGACCGGATCGACCTTTTAGAGCTCCGGGTCTGCTCCGTTCGCGATTGATCGCGTGGCGTGTGCTTCAACGAGGTACTGGAGGTGAAGCTACGACGACTGGGGATCTGCTGGACGAATCTCGCATTCGGGCGCTGTCGAGCTACGCCTGAGAGTGCTCTCGCACATCTCAAGCAGGTAAACAGGCCTTCCATTATCTCGTGAAAGGGAGGCGAGCGTCGAAGCCAACTGGATCAGACACAGCAACTGCGCAGTCGAGCAGGAGAAAAGCGAGCTGTATTCATTGTCACCAGATCCATGCCAAGAGCTCCAGGTAAATTCACCGCAAGCTCGACTCCTTTAGGGAGGATATGATGCCGCTCTATTCATTCCTATTCGGCTAGACCATACAATCACCCACTCGGTACTGCCGCTTTTACAGCGCATCTCCCAAGAACCATCGAGCACAAGGCTGGCGAGGAGAGGGGACAAAGACCGTAACCAGATACTGGAAGGAACTTAGGGCATAGTGCTTGCGGAGTCCATGCTTGCTTGGTTGCTCCCATAATATCGTGCATCATTAGGTACTGGCTCCGCTAACGTGGATAATGCTCATAGGCAACGACTGCAACCGCAGAAATGCAAAAGAGTTCGCTCAAACGCTGGCAAGCAATCCACAACCTCATTCAGTTCGTCTCTTTCTGAAGGGCGCTTAATGCCCGGTATCTCGCAAGTGGCTTCATGAAGCTCCTGGCCTCTTCTTCCACACGACTGCAACCTTCACCAAGACCCTGCCGTTCTTTAACCTTCCCATTCCCGGAGGTCCAACTTTCTCAAAAGCGCCCATCAACCCAGCAAACATCCAATTCTTGTCCATATTTTCGTCCAAGACATTGTCTCCCGGGAACAAGGCCTGCTTTTCCATCTTATCCGGCAATTTGGCCGTCATGCTGCCCTCAGCGGTCGCGTCTGGATCCCAGGCTTTGTGAATGAACACTGGCGTCACTCTTTTCGAGTCGTCGTTAAAATCTGCAGGATTCGGATCGGATAAGAACTCAAGTCCTGCAATACGGCCAGCGCCCGGGCGGTAGTAGACGTGAACGCGATTGATGGAGGAGGCACTGAGGTTGCGGTCTTCAATCTGTTTCCAGCGGTCTGCTGTAGGCTTGGACCCGACGTACATATTAGCGAACATGGTGGATCGTTCTTTGGCGCTGGATTTCTTGACTTCTCTGGACTCTTCCGCCTCAACTGATTTGGCATTGTGATGCGAAGGTGATTTTTTGTTTGCATATCCCAGTCCGATACCGCTAATGGCGTTGTGACCGTCCTTGATACGGCGGCTGTGATACCATCCGGCTGCAAAAGGCTGCACAGCAACTCGCTGGGGGTACTCTTCGTCGTCGAGATCAAAATTGCCAATCGCAAAGTGTTCGTAACTCTTGTATGGAGACAATGGCTCTCCCATCACATCCCACCAGTAGTTCACCGGGTCGTTGGTAATATGCTCCACGCCTTGCAAATCGGCGATCTCTTTATCTCGCCACTCACTCCCGCTGTTATCGAACTTGGGGATTGGTAATATGCTTTGAATGACACCCGGACAGATATACTTCGGAAGACTGTACACATGCCGACCTTGGTCGTCATGCTTGGTAATTGATCTCGCTGGGTCGACGACTAGTGCGGCTGCCTGTTCCTGGATGTAGATCATTGAAGAGCGACAAAGGAGTCTCATCATGCTTAATTTCTGCGGATCTGGGTCCATATTGGTGAGCTTGGGAGTTGGATCTCGGAGGATGATGTCGAGGTTCAAGAGCGCCCGAGTCTTCTTGTCTGTCCAGGCCTCTGAAGTTGGATCGTCCATCTCCGAAGTCCCAAAGTCGATGGTATTCCGTCTTGTAGGAACAACAACATCTCCACTCTGGAGAGCAGCCTTCTGACTGCTCATCTTAGATTTTTCATCGTCACGATTCCGGTAGTCCTGTGGGTCCTTAATCATGGCGTTCAGCTTCTCGCACAAGTCTTGGAACGCCATGAAGTCTTCATATAGCGTACTGGTATAAATGGCACAATGATCGTAGGTCAACGGTAGAGGTATTCGCGGATTCGCCAGCCGGTGGTCGTGGAAACTTTTCAGAGCCGTGTACGGAGTAAGGACGGCTCGAATCTTAGCAGGCTTCACTGCCACCATCGAAGGGAAGGCGTTGGCTATCAGGATCAAGCTGTCCATGCCCCATGGGAAGTCATGATTCTTGATCTGGCCACCACCTCGCCACTGAATCCGGATGGAAGTGGTTGCTTGAGAAAAGAGTCGATTTCGTTCCTGGGAGGCATCCATCTCACCTGAGGCTTGCACTGGTAGACCCATAGGCGTCAACTGCGCTGAAGCGTGTACAGCCAATTGTCTAGAGTTCTTGCGGTCTTGCGACTTGATGCCAACCCAGGCATAAATTTCACCTCCTTCTACAAAATCGGATATGAAACAGTCGCCATAAATCCGAGTGAATTCGACACTCCTGGAATGCGGGTCCTTCATCGCGCCTGGCGCCTTGTCGTCTCCAAGGGCTTCATTCAGACCTGGAACTTCGTTGAACGACCATTCTTCCTTGCGATCATCAGCCTCATTGACAACCTTGACATGGACGAGGAAATTGACATCGTTGGTGTTAAGATCATCTCGAGTGGCAAGACTGCTTCGAGCCTCTGCACCAGGACCTAGGCTGGTGGCTTTAATTGCAGCTGAAGCATTGAATCCCATGGCATTGTTCATTTCAACAATGCTCTTGACTTGCTTTGAAGAGAAGGTCACTGTCTGGTTGTGGCGAGCATTGGGATCCAATTTGAGCAAATATGGCAGTTTCGGTTGCTGTGGAGTTTCGACACTGGTTTTCTTCAGGCTTTCGGTCAGTGTCGCTAGGATATCGTTCATATCCACGCCCTGCTTTGGCGCTGCCGCTGGTGCTGGTGCTGGCGCTGCTCTTGAAATCGAATCGCTCCTCGTGTGCTCTGGCGTAAGCGTGTCGGCTTCGCTGATTGAGGCGCTTGTACGTGCTGGGTTTTCCGGAAATTTGGTGATTGTGACGGCATTGTCAATTCGAACTTCTTGAATGTAGGAATTGTACCCTTGGCCGCGCTTCATGCGCACATTGTAAAGAGGTCCGCTATCATCCATTGTGATAACCTCGATGCCGTTTCGGTGGAGGGGAAAGCAGTCCGTAACGCATCGCGAGGTGCAAGGGATTTTGAGGCACCTCGCACACGTACGGGTACATGGGAGTGTCCATCGGTTTTCACGTAAAACCGTTGCGACCGTGAGCGATCTTCAACGGCTATACCGAAGATGGGGGTCGAATTCCATCAATCGAATCCTTCGCCCACCCTGTTTGACGAAGTACGTGCAGCTGAAATCGCCTAATTAGTCGACTGTTGACCGTGTTAGGCCACACTAATGCATCGAGGGATTTTGGGATGAAAGCGAGAGCATAGGACGTGCATGTGAGCTGTACGGATAGCTGTGCCCCTCAGATTGAGCGGAAGAGCCGGAGCCTATCAAGTTGTCCAAGTGAGCGTGAGTATGCCGTGTATTCTTCAGCTTCAACAAAGCTGAAAAGCTCTCGCCTCTGTGTTGTTTGGCCTGGTGGTGTTGTGCAAGGTGTGGTACAAGGTCTTAGGAGTCTTCATTGTGGGCACTCCCGCACGGTTGCGGGGACTGTAGTCAAACCAACATGGGGACCTCCTAGGGACTTGGTCCCCTAGCGTGCGAGTGTTGGGCGAGTGAGAGATGCAGATGATCCGCTGATGCCGCTTGCACGGGCCGAGATGTTCCCACAGACGGCATCCTCACCATCATACCAAAAGAGACCTCGGTGGCAGCTTCTAGCATGTGGTCTTCGCAAAGTCCTCGATTGAAACGCCGTTGCAATGGCAATTTGGCGCCGAGCTGATGGGCGGATGAGGTCTGGTTCTGCCTAGTTCTTTGGTTCCTAAAAAGCTCCAAGCTTGAGGAGACATGATATCCCCATCTTTGTGGAGGCTTGTGCCGGGACTTGGCCCCAAGTAAGGACAAGCTGGAGCGAGCCTAAATATCGGAGACTAAGGAGGCTTCTTGGGCGATCGACCGTTATCTGCTATCGGGCAATTTGCTAGTATGGCGAGGAAGCTTGTATCGAATTTTGCACGTTTGAGACCACTCGGTAGGATATATACTTCAGATCCTAGCAACACCTAGATCTATATCAGTATCTTCCAGCTGCCATTCTCTCTCCCTGACTGTCTTCCACTCTTTCTGCTGCGAACTACTCGTTTCCTTTGTGATCGCTTCCTGGATAAGAGTAGGTGATGGTTTGCGTGTTGAACTCGACTTCCAGGTCTCTCTGATACACCGCAACTTCGTCACTGTCTCCAAAAATTGTAGCCACTTCTTCAAGCGGCAGTCCCTTGGTGTCTGGGAACCAGATCCACATCACCGCGGCCCCCAGGAGACAAGGGACAATAAAAGCCAAGTAGAATCTCCAGCCCACATTTGCAAAAGCCACCGGGGCGCTCTGGAGCCAGATGAGGTTCATTAGAGCAACATTAGCGACACCAAGGCAGACCCCCTTTGCTCGAATGTGAGTGGGAAAGATCTCCCCAAGGTAAGTCCACTGAGTCCCGTTGACAAACAGCTCATAGAAGAAGATAAAGACAAACAACATAGACACGGCTGCTTCCAAGGCGGACTGATTATCCGAGGGCACGAACTCGGCCACAAGCGCAGCTTCGACGGCCAGACATGCAGCGCACCCAAAAAGCCCAAATGCCATGTACTTGGGCCGTGGAAAGCGATCCACAAGTGCCATGGCCAAGATGTTGAGACCTAGTGCACATGTGATCCACGCCGCAGGCAGAACGAGCTGTTTCACCGTGCTGTATCCAAGATTTCTGTACAGGGAAGGTCCATAATCTGGATGCCACAAGTCAGAATACGGGTCAAGAGATGTGCGGAATGTCAGAGCACCATACTGTTTATTACCAATGCACCCGACGCCTGCGTGATGGCAGTGGTGAGGAGCGCGAGGAGCGCGCGCTTCCGGTAAGAAGGCTTCTTGGCGATGTATGCCCAAGACTGTCCGAGAGTTCTGTCAATTTCAAGTTGTTTCCTGATCTGATAGTACTCTGCTTTGGCAACTGTGTTGCTTGGGTCCTTGGGGTCGGCATGCAATTTCAAGAGCGTCCTTTCGGCCTCCGCATCTCGTCCCATCATGCATAGCCACCGCGGACTCTCCGGCAGAAAAGGGAGGGCAGTAAGGAGGCAAAGCGGCCAGAAACATTGAATGGCGATTGGCGGCCTCCAGGTGTTTGAACCGCCAGTAGTCCAGAAGTAACAGCCAAAGCCCACCCAGCACGCAAAAACGTAGCCCAGAACATACATCACCGCATTGATGTCGACCATTGCTCCTCTGATGTGAACAGGGGTAATCTCGTTCATCATGACGGAGACTGCAGCGAGAGTCGACCAACACCCGGCGCCTGAGAAGAAACGGAAGGCGATGAACATTCCCACGTTGACCGAACCAGCTAAGATGGCTCCAGATACGAGGATTAGGATTGCGGGCTTCCGAGTATTAGCTGTTTGTGCTCTATGACGGTCTAATCACTTACCACCGCACACCCCCATTTCCTGCCGAACCTGTCTGCAACCCAAGGAAGGGATATAGTTCCTATCACGCCTCCAGCCTGAAAAATACCGTTCATGGTTGATATGAGGTCGGTAGCATCTTCTCGCGTGTCGAGATGGAAGTATTCAATGAAAGATGGCTGGCCTAGGTTTGTCAGTCAAGTGATGGCGAATATATACAAACATCAGACTCACCCAGCGTCGTTCCAATTATTGCAGCAGAATACCCCTGGCCGATCGAACCAAGACCTAGTGCAACGAGTACTGCTACGTTGAAGAAAGTTATTTTCTGTTTCTGCAAAATTCCGTCCTTTGGATCACCAGCCATGATGAAGACTTTGAGTGAGTCCTGTTGAAAACGAGAAGAATCTGCCTCGATATGTCTACTTGACTGAAGTACGGCGTTCGGACATCAAAAGAATAGAGAAGCTCGTGTTAGGATATTATGAATATCAAGATTAAAAGTATGCAAAACTGGTGTAGAGTCCGAGGACCGAGGTGTAGTTATGATATTGAATACTCATTTCGTACCCTACTAGCACATGATGTATGTCCCAACCATTTATAGCAGTCACCTCGGGCTGTGTTAAAGACCTAGCGTGCACTGGGGCACGTTGTATTCAATTATGAGAGTATTCGAAGGCAACTATGAAAGTTACAGTTTGGTTCATGCTAGAAGAGCCTTGTAACCACTCCAACAGACTATCACGCTTTGACATGAAGCCTGAATGTTATCGCTAAAGTAGCCTTTCTTAAATCTGCGGTTCCTGTGGTGTCTTCTTCTGGGCATTTATCTGTCGACTAACGGAATCGTAAGGTCTCTCTGATAAGAGAGGTTTCCAGAGAATCTCAACACAATACCATCCGTCGCTTTGACGCCAGGTCTGCACAAGACTGTTCTCTCCTGGTATTTGATTTGGTACCAATCCAATAGATATGACCGTGCGCGGACCAAAGGGACCAGCTCGTCCTAGACCTTACCACTTTACAGCTTTTTACCCACTAGATACAGCGCTGAACTTGGGATTGTACAAGCTCGGAACAGATCACTGATCCAGTAGCGTAGCCATATGTAATGTAATATAGCAGGAGCACATCCTTTCAAGATTTGAGTATGATCCCTCAAAGTTCAATGCTTTGAAATAGATTTTCTTGGGGCACTATTCCAGAGTAGTCAACATTGCGATCCCCCATCTCCGAGGTCATAGTGTAGTTTCTCCAGATTGACACCAGTCCCCATTGTATCCCCACGGGGTCTCCGCCTCGGTATGGCCGTACATTCTCAAAGGCAACACGCCGCGGCCTCGTCCAAAAAGGGCCACCCGCGGTGTCCAAATCCGGCCTAGCGCCTACTCTAACGGGTTCTCAGTCGAAATCATAGAAACAAAGTCGCAGAACGTATGTTCAACGGATATAAAGGACATAGCTGATATAAAAATAAATATTGAGAACCTGCAGTCCCATGGTACTGGGACAGACCTTGCGAGTTGATTGTTTACTCTGGAAAGAATCAAGATGAACAAGTACAACCTCCTCTGCATTATCTATGTCTGCCTTGGATCCGTCTTCTATGGGTACGATTCTGGTGAGTTTTGTTTCTTAATGGCCATATTCCTCAAAGCTGTTTCCAATGTCGATGCCTTCGAACTCATTACCTGGTTTCCCACTGATGGCGGCCCATTTGCGGAACGACAGGTTGCACAACGTCCGTCCTTGGCTACCCGGCCTTCCTCGAATACTTCAACTTGAATTCCGTCACGATCGGCGCCTTTGGCTCTGCCTACTATGGCGGACACGTCTTGGGCGCGTGCTTGAATTTTTGGCTGCCCAATAAGATCGGGCGCCTGCGGACTATTCAAATCGCCTGTGTTATCTCTCTCCTGGGAATCTCAATGCAGACTGGGGCGCCTTCATTCCCGGTATTTTGTGCTGGCCGGATCATCGGTGGTATTGCCACAGGTATTATGTTCTGCTTGTGTCCCACCTATGCCGCCGAAATCAGTCCTCCCCATATAAGAGGCAGAGTAGGTGGTCTCTACGCGTAAGTGTCCCTCTCAGACACGATCTTGTGTGAAGGCTCTTGACGCATCTCTCTGACCTTGTGATACAGATTTAATGGAAACTTTTCGTACATGTTCACTGAGTGGGTGTAAGTCTGAACGCCCCTTTACCAGGGTACTCGAGGACAGTCTGTTGACAGTAGTCGCAGGGGCCTCGGCTGCTTTTTCCTCAAGTCTAATGCCTCATGGCGCTTGTTGCTCGGGGGCCAACTGGTACCTTCAGTGATGATGCTTGGACTATCTTTCTTCATGCCATTTTCCCCCCGGTGGTTAGCTCTCAAAGGTCGCTACGAAGAGTGTCTGCAGGTTCTCAAGCGGATGCACGGAGATATGCATGATGACACTTTCTACCTGAAGGAGTATCACCAAATCAAAGCGCAGATTGAACTGGACAAGAAAGAACAGCTTGGACCTTCGGCGATCTGGAGGGTACCGTCATACCGGAAGCGCATCTTCTTGGTCTGCATGTTTGCCTTCTGCTCCCAGTATGTTCAAACACTTGTCTATCATCATTACCAAAGAAGACACCTCGGTAACCATTGTTCCAGGCTCACGGGAGAGATACCACTCCAGAACTATCAGGTCATTCTCTTCGGCAAGCTGGGTCTGAGCCAGGTGATGTCTCTTGTCCTTACTGGGATATGGGGCTCAGTAGGCGTGTGCTCTGCAATATATGCTGGGTACTTATCCGACAAGCTTGGAAGACGAAAGATCATTGTAAGTGAGAATCCTGTTACTTACAGGGTCGCATGCACTGACGAAACACTAGTATATAATGTACTTCTTTGTCCTCAGTGGCTCCCTGATTTCTGTCGTCTTGTGGTCTCGATTTGAAGCTGGAGGAAGTACCAATCGAGGCCTCGGCCGAGGCGTCATTGTTGGCATGTTCATGGTCCAGTTTGGCTACGCAGGTCCAGCAAATGTTTTCATGCCCGCGGTGAGTTTGACCCATCAACGAATGCAGATCAAACCATTTTACCCCGCCCCTCCTGAACCGGGACAGAGAAAACAGGGATTTAGCCTCAAAATGGAAACAACAGAGTGCAGGATGACTGACAGAATCTCAAACTCCAGTACTCATCCGAGATCATGCCTACCGCCATCCGAACGATCGGAGTCGCAGCCACCTTTGCTTGTCTGCACGCAATCATCATCCTCTTTGTCCAAGTCACACCGCTGGCCATCGACGCCATTTCGTGGAAGTACTTTTTGATCTTCCTGATCGGATCGACAATCTATTTTATATTCTTCTGCTTCGCGTATCCGGAGACAAAGAACAAGACCCTCGAGGAAATAGAGGCTGTGTTTGGGGACAAGGTGAGTGATAGATGCTTTACATGCGAACTGCTTATGGCGTGGTGGAGTAGAGAGTGCCGCGAAACGTGCATCGCTAATCAGTCTCTTTTTGGAATACTCTAGGTAGCAGAAACTCTCGAAGAAGCTGGGCAACACCTGGAGGAGATTTATGAAGACAGAACTTTCCATGAGAAGGTGTAGGAGGAATAAACCTCAACAGTTGGGCAATAATGAAAGTCCGTCGCGCTTGAGGGTCAGACGTCTCCATGCCAGCCGTGCAGTAGATGGAAGATTAGTGGGTCTTTGCGTGACCCAACTTCACAACCTCATCGGGGTACCCACATTCAGAATTCAGAGCCGCTGGCACTTGTACAAGTCCAGGCGAATCGAAGAAGAGCGTGATATTAGGGTATATACAGCTAGCTGTACGCCCAAATAACTCTTGCATCGTTGTTAACTCTCCTCATTGTCCCCTTCAGGCCCCATTGCAAGTCCCATCGACCAGGTCATGGTATCCAGATTTCCATCCTCGCTTTCAGCCGCGGGTATTGCTTCCTGCATTGTCTGGTCTTCAAAGTCAAAGTGCAACAGACTGTCCTCAAAAAGCACATTTGACTCGAAAAGAGTGAAAAAGTCCTGCGTAGAAGCGAACAGACTAGCATGGCCACCATGCTGCTCTTGCGTGGTGCCCGAGCATTGGTTGCTGAGAGAGAGTGGTGGGCCGTCCCCGGTGACAGCATCGTTGTTATCGATCGTACTTGTCACGAATTCTGGTCCAGGCTGCTTCGTTTTCAACCAGGAAGGAAATGAGGCCTTCTGGGCTGCCGAGTAGGCTGCTTCAACTCTTTTGAACACCGCGTTCGCTGTGAAGTTGATCCGTCCGATTTGGCGCACCGCCTCGATGCAAATCGCAAGGCTCTCCAGGCTAGATTTCCCAGAAGATAAATGCCCAGTACTGGCGTCGAGCAAGTAGACAAATGCTGCAGAGCACACGGATGCTATGCCTGTGACGGGTACAAACTGGGTCAGTCTCCGGCTGTTCAGACCACTGTAGATTGTTGTAATCTTGTTGGAGGCTTGCCGCAGGGCATGGACATGGCAGTCGCCGCTGTTTCCGTTATCTTCGTGGTGATGGTTTTCAGAGGTATGACTGCACGTTGCCCATTGGCGCTCCGAGATCTCAGAGCTGTGCAGCACGATGACCGCCATCCAGTACGTGAGATGAACCATGCACGACGCAAGATAGTAAGCTCGATGGCAAAGATCAAAGGAGACGGAGCAGATATTTTCGAGCTGTAATTCTTCGGGTAGGTGAGTGCTCCAATTTCTCAGGGAGTCTTCTAGCTCTGAGATCCGGTTGTTTCTCTTCGCGAAGTCTGAGTGGGACTGAAAGGCTTCTTCCGCAGTTCTGTGCAAGATGCTATACACTTGAACTGCAAGTTTGGCCCTTTCCATGCAAGCTCGTTCGAGATGTCTCTGCAGTGAAGAATCAGCGAGAAACATTTTGATCCCAATCAAGGCGCCGAAGTTGATGTTTGAAAGGTCGACTTCATTTGAGAAGTCGTCATGGTCCAGTAAGTGATCATCTCGAGGCCGAAGACGGGGCGGCCGAGCAAGGTTCATGGCCACATCGCACTCCCTAACAACAATTGTCCACCATATTCTCCGTTTCAACCTCTGGTCGGCTGATCTCCTCCTTTCCGCCATCTTTGTATGTTCTTCTTGCAACCTCATGGCAAAGGCGTGATTGATTGCACTTCCGACCCAATACATCGGATCTTTAGAGTCCTCACGGCTAGACCAACTCATTAGGAGAAGGGACGCCTGGCAAGCAATCATACGATCCGACTCGACGTCCAAATCAAGAAGCAGCTGAGGACAATAATTAGAGACAGTCTCGTTCATTTCAAGAGTTGCGTACCTTGGATTTCGTGTAGTACTCTCGTCTAGCTGCAGCCTTGGAAGAGTATCCATAGTTGGAGAAGTATTCACCCTCCAAAGCCGCCGACCCTGCACACATGATTGCGTGGTAGAGAGTTAATGAAAGCCTACCCGGCGAGTCCTCCGTAATAATGCGGACTAGATCATGTAGGTCTACCACTGGAGCAAGGTGGTAGACGAACTCTGCGTATCGGCATATTATTAGACTCTCCAGGCTTTTCGGAGGGAGAGTGAAAACGCCTTTCGCTTCTAGGTGACGCCAGTCTTCATCTGAAAGGTCGTAACAGACAGGTTTGATGAATGCTGTTGAGTCCGTTCTATTTCCCATACAGCCCATGTCCAAGGACCGACGAATTGGGGTCGACGTTGGTGAAGGTCGGCCGCCGGTGGCCCCGCTGGCTCGAGGAGTCTCGTGTGACTCTTCTGGATTTGCGAATGTGGGACTGGTAGGAAGAGATGAAACAAGACGCAAGTTAGTGGTGCGGCCGTAGGATATGGGGTCCTGAGGGAGGCTGCGATTCTCGCGTTGTTTTCTAACTGTCCGTTCGGAAAACGACACGTTGTCACGGTTCATCCCTTTCATTGCCGACCGGTTGCGCCTTGATTTTTCCTGGACTACTGTACACGTCAAACCGTCGAGACAGCAGTTGGTGCACGTCCCTAGATTCTGGACGCGATCACATCGTACCTTCCTGGCACGGCAGTGTTGACAGGCTGGGCCCAACTTCTTTTTCAGGGACTTCAAGGGTTTGCTCTGCCGTTGCGAATAATCCACCGGCATAAGGATTTCAAGGTCCAGCGTAGGTAAATCAGCCATGAGTCTCGTCGATGACTACTGGTATGACACTTCGGAGTGATACGAAAGGAATAATGATCCTGCCAAACGGCTAACAGCATCAGTCTGAGTACTCCGCATAGAGCGTGGTGGTAGTCCTGGCCAAAGTTCGACTCCGCACCCCGCCTTGACTCTTTCCTTAAACAGGGACAATTCGGCCTCGGCTAGCCAAACATGGACAAGATTTTCCCCACCGCTCCCAGCCTTGCGCACCCCCTTGGTTCGACCGACTTACAGGACGTTGACAACTTCTAAATACTTCTGGTCTATCTTATATACATGAGCTCTCACTCGGCAGCAAGCATCACTAGGCAAACCACTCAGCAAGGTAGAAATGTGCTTATTAGGTGGCTTTTGTATGGATGACGAATTTCTTGCTACAGGGTGAACAAGTCTTAGCTCCGAAAATTAGGGCTGGACAGGAGAAGCCAGGTCGTGACAACTCATCGTGTAGCTGAGCTCTCAGTTGAGCGGTACACTTTCGCCCCCGAGGATTCCGACCGGGTTTTCCAATTTCTTCACAAATGTTCCGTCCTTCGTCTTCCCTTCCACACCACCAATGCTTCCAGTGCTTCTGTATCCAAGAAACCCCTTGACCCTGTCACTCAAGTTCTCTTCGAGACCAGGCCGTAAAGAGAAGAAGAAGTTCTCTTGCGGTCGAATGAACGGGCGCATGAAGAATACAATGATCACTGGCCTCTCGCTTCCTGGCGTTCGATTGGGTCCGGTGGCGTGCCATAGTCGGCTCTCAAAGACCATGCACGTCCCGGCGGGTCCTTCGGCTGCAACACAATCGGAGACATCGTATGGATCATCTGGTGCAAAATTGCCGGTATGGGAGCCTGGCATCACCAACGTCCCACCATTTTCCGCAGTGACTGCATCCTGCATGTCAGAAGCGCTGTCTGGACAGGATGGAGAAAGTGAAGACTTACTGTCGGTGAGAAAGAACATGAAGTTCAGTCCGAAGTTGATGTTCCGAATAGGGGGCTGTATCTACATCTTTTGTCAGTTCGAAGCCAATGCATCGGATGAAGATCTCACCGTAAGCTGATCTGTGTGAAGGTACATGGGGGAATTGCCTGGCCGGGCAATGTTTGCCGTATAGCTGAAGAGAATTGCGTCGTCTCCCAAGTGCGGCGGGAGAAACTGTTTAAGGACCTTGTTGTGGTCAAGGAGATCTATGAACTCCTGACCCTTGTTGTGTAGACACCACAGTCTTTGGTTAGGCATCGTTTCGCCGCCATCGAAAAACCCAACACCTGCCTCGGCCTCGCCGCGGGCTTGGTCCTTGAGACGCTTCTGTAGTTTTTGGAGCTCCTCAGGTGAGAGTGCATTCTTGACAAATCCATACCCCCATTTGCTCAAGTCCGCCTTTACCTGGCCAACGTCTTCGGTGGGTCGAGGCAACTTGTCGATAATGGATGGATCTAGCTTGGGATGAATAGCCTCGAAGCTGGTGAGCACGTCGACAAACTTGATGGCAACTCGTGTAGCACCGATGGCGAAAATGTGACCCCAGTTGAGTGCGTATCGCGCATCCATCACACCGTCAACAAATCGTTGTATCATATGTGGTCTCACATAGAGATCGGCCGAGCAAGACTCGAGATCGCATTGCTGTCGATCGGTAATCTGGGACATTGTGGCCCTTCCAGAGTTCCGAGCGTCAACCAGGAGTCCGGGGTGATTGGAGCCCAGATTCACCGTGAACAGAGCGTCGACTGCTGCCATTTTGTCCAACTTGCTTTCAATCAGCTGAACAGCATTGTCATATTCGTCATCGGCGCTCGGTTCTGTAAACTTTGCGAGATTGGCATTTTGATTGATGTCAGCCGCAGCTCCTAGAGCCTTTAAACGCGATGTAGTGACTTGTGTTTGAGTGGCCATTGAAAGAGCGGTTTGGTGGCCTTTTTTCGAGATGGTTGACAATAGCTGAGACGACCAAAATCTAAATACCTAAGCAAAGGAGACCTTGAACAACATTGCCATGGCACGTTCTACTAGCTTACACATTCTCAAGCCACCGTGCCCCCGAGGTCGACTCTTTCCAGACGACCTCGGTCACCAGCCGCATTTCAGTTCTGGGAAGGAACACAAAGTCATGCACTCGGCCATCGTAACAGGCCTAGTACGCACGGTCGCCTCAAAACGCCACTCAGCTTCAGCCGGTTGCAGTTGGCTGTGCAGCTAGCGCACTTTCGTTATACCAAAGCTGCGGGTGTGTCCGGTAAATAGACCTCATTTGAGCAATGCCTGAGCGGCACTATGATCTAAGCAATGAGGGCCTCGTCTTGCCCCTAATAATCGGATGTCCCAGATTCCGTGCCAGACATGTGTTTCTACATTGCTCGCTAAAATCCATTGTGTATAGACCCGCAGAATATTTTAGAGATCGTGATTCACGTTGTCCCCAGTGGATAGTTCACCACAGCCCAGAGGTTGGCTGGCTCTCAGCGGCTCATCGCACCATCTCTTCAAGAGTCATATCTCAAACTGCTGCCCAACCCGTCGAATGCTATTGGACATACCAATATAGGCGTGTAGGAGGAGCTCCAAATTGCGGATGCGCGTCGACAGACGTTCCCCAGGCGAAGTCGTTTGGGAGACTCTAAACTTGGAAAAATCTCGAGACTGCACTTGGCCTCCGCTCAGCCCAGCTGGCGCGGCGCTCCTCCATATTCTTGGCATCGTTGGCCGCAATAATGTCCTCGCCCGTCTCGGCATGGTCCATGATGGACTCGGTGTGTGGGAAGAAGCGATTGAAACCCCAGTAAAAGACGCCGGCGGCAATGAAGGAGTAGATATACCCGATGGCGAAACTGCGCGAGCAGAGTTGTTAGCATAGCTCCGACCAAGTTGCGCGCAATGTCAGCGAGCACCAAGCTCCTTGGGAGCAGGTTTATTATGGAGAACGGAAAGGAGAAGACGCACAGGTGTTGACCGCCCAAAGAGACGCTTGTCTTGCCGTTGCCAGCCTCAACAATATTGTTGACAAACCCGGGAAGCGGGGGAATGCAGCCGATAAAGAAGGCGACGACAGCGCGCCAGTTGGTGGCGAATCTGGGTGAATAGCGGTATATGCCGTGGAAGTTGTACATGTCAGGTACGGACACTTTACCCCGCCGAACAATGTAGTAACTACGGCACAAGACAACAAGTTAGTGGTTTTGGACGCGATAGGTGGGAGTTGTGGGTATATGTGGAAGTACGAACTCAGTCATAAGGATTGATGTCATGGGACCCAGGAAAATGGTGTAACCGCCGAGGAATGCAAGGAATTTTGCGGCTGATGCGAGGATTTTCCACTGTGGCTGTAGTCAGCGGGGCAATGATAGCTTTGCAGACAGGCGGTCCGACTTACCGGAACAAAGCCCCAGCTACCAATGACGGCAGCAAGCAGTTGGCCACGGCGGATGTTGATGTACTTGGGACAGAAAGACATGAGGTCGTTGGCTGCGCTTATGGAGTTGGCAGAGATATTGATACCGAGGGTGACGATGATCAAGCCGATGGCGCCAAAGGCCGCAGCAGCCCGGCCACCGTGGGACCCCGACTTCATCCAGAGATTGATGATTACGATGGGGTTCCAGATGATTTCGTTATACGCCGTCTGAGAGGCGGCGGCAGTGAAGATGCCGAGCAATCCAACAATAGCTGTGAATCGAAATGGTTAGCCGGCTGTCGTGACCATAGGCAGCGGAGAACTCACTGAAGATTACGGGGATCACGATGGCTTGGACATTCTGTGCGCTGGGCTTGTTGGAGTACCTCGAAAAATCGGCGATGTTTAGGCCCAAGGTGGCGTAGTTGCCCAAGACTCCATTGAGATCTGCAAGAGGGACTCTGGTTAGAGGGAAAGGCAGTATTGATTCAGGCGCAAAGCTTCACTTACTGCCGAAGAAGGCCCATGCAAGGGTCGAACCGCTCAAAGTGGTGCCTTGAGTGATGACTGTGCTGTTACTGATGGTGCCGCCGGCCTTGTGCAATGTAGAACCAAAAATGGCCAAGAAAATTATTGGGGCAATAATACTCTTGAAAGCAAAAAAGTATTGGACCTTTGTGGTGTTAGTCAAGCCCGTGAAGCAAGAGGAGGCTGGCTGCCAGTCCATACCTTGGTGTATGGTATGCACAAGAAGGGAAGTTGGAGCAGGAAGTAGAGCAAAAAGCCAACCATTCCTGCTGTAGTGATCCCCTCGCTCGCAGGTATGTGATTAGGAATGTTGGCAAAGCTTGGCCAGATAGCTGTGAGTAGAACGGTCATGCATTGACCCCCAGTCGTGGTTTGGACACTGATGCACATTTTAGTTTCATATAGTGATGCAGTTATTGGTTGGACAAACTAACCCGAGCCAGACGATGGCGAGGACGCAGCGGGACACGACGACGAAGTAGCTGAAGTAGTAGCCAAATGGCATGCGTGAGAGAACAGGGAACGGAGTGTGAAGCTATTCCACATAAGCTGCGGCTCGGCCTGTCACAGGACTCAACCTACTCTGGCACCCATTCTGCCATTGATGGTAATGACGAGACCCATGATAAAGTTGCCCAGGACGCAGGCTCCGATTGCCATTTTCCAGCTGAGGCCGACGGCGATGATGGAAGAAGCTGCGCCACAAACGAGTCAGAATCGGTGCTCTCTTTCTCTCCAGACACGGGTCTCATTGCAGGGTCACTCACCGACTTCCCAGTTCGAGACAGCCCAAGCATCGGCCATCCAGTAGGCCACATATGCGCCCCAGTTCCAGGTACGCTTTGATGGAGGGATTGGATCGAAGTCGGCATTCGAGGCGCTCTTTGTGGCAGCAAAACTACTTTCCTCCTGACGAACCTCAAGGCTGAAGCGGGGCAGACGTCTCTTGAGACCAGTCACGCGACCAACTCCAACGGGCTCCTCGACAGGAGGCTCGACAACGTAGGATGCGTCTTTCTCATTGTAGTAATTTTTCTCATCTGAGGATGCCATGGTGGGCGAGGAGGAGATGGTAGTGTTGGGGGTATACGACAGTCTCAATGCAAACGGGACGTAGAAGGAAGAGGGGACAATGAAGTACGTTTACAGCTTCTCCTCCAGATATTTTTTTCGAGAGATCCCTGTGACGTTGGGATCGCCGCCCGCATTTCAGCTTCTGCCATGTCTGCTGATAAGCATCGGAAGCTTCGCCCTAGCGGCCCTCAAAAAGACTGTCAAGCCTATGACAGGCCCTGGTCTCCGAGATAAGGGCCAATAGCCAAGAGGGAGAACGGAATCTCATAGGTAGTGCACTGCATTCCGAGAACTTGCTTCTGCGGAGGCCACGGTCCAGATGGCGCACGTTCGTAAAATTCGGCCACGCCTCGCCATGCTGGCAAATCAAAAGGGCCGATTGCAAATTTAGGCGTCTATACCTAAACGAAGCTGGGCCACTAGATGGCCACGCTTATAACTACCTAAAGCTTTTGTGAAGGATTGTATCAGCGTATGTATGTAAATCCACGCTAACTTATCGTGTAGGGGCGGATAACAACATCGAGCCACGATAAGCGAAATACGTAAGTGGGTTGACTAAATTCCTCGGCGCCAGTGGCTGGTCAAAGCATTTGATCCTGTGCGGCACCATCAGAAGAAAATCTCATCTAGTTGTTGACAGCGTTCACACCAGCAACGCTTCTGCTCGAGGTGTCGACGATAACCCCTACTTTGCTCCGATTGCCGAGGACACAGTCTTTGGATGATAAGGGCTACTTTGGCTTGTGATTGGGACACGATCTTGGGAGCAGTGTTTTCTTATCCTCAGCAGAAGTAGGTCGTCCACGTTTTGATCCGGCTTCCTAACTTCCAATTGGCGAGATATCCTGCGAAGACTCCCACTATCTGGCGAGGGCTTCCTCTGTTCCGATTTGTACCCTTCCTCGGTCCCGTTAGGACCCTTGTTCATGGCAGCCTTGTTCATTCAATCAAATCCGCGACCTCTTATACTGCGACCATGTGCGAAAACTCCAAAAGCAGAACGAGCAGTCTGTGTGCCTGAAGAAACACAGACCAAGAGCATTTCCAGAGGCAACTGCCCGCCAGACTTGAACGAATTGTCTGGTCATCACACGGTGCTGGCATATCAAGGAACGGAACCGTTGACGACAAACTTATTTTCTCACACCTTGGCTCGAGATTGCTCATGCTTAGCGTCCTTATACTTGCCGATGCGGAAATTTCGACTGGATCAGCCTCAGCCTAGATCCCGACCTTTCTTTCTGTTCGTGAATTGATTCACAACAGATAAAGCTGAAATTTCTCATGAAGGAAGCCAAGATTATTTGACGAAAATTCAAGTTTAGGCTGATCGCGATGTGTTATGTCATGCTAATCATAGGCTGTATTCACACAAGTAATTCTTGAATTCATTGCCGGGTTTGAAGGACATGCGTCCACGTGTACAACTTATGATTTCACAAAGCGAATGTAACATGGTTCTGCTATATTATCAGTACCAGTAATGGGAGTCTGAAGTGATTTTGATTCAACCAGTACCTATCTTGTGCTGAACACAAGACTTGATTGTATTCCGGCATGAACCTGTCCCGGAATGTGCTGCCCCGAGTAGTTTTCCTTTCCTCCACACAACACCAGTCAAGACTTATGGTGGCAGGAATCCTGTATTCCCGGGACACCAGAGCATACTGTTGTCGCACGGCGCGGAAAGACGGATGAGTTGTAAGGGTTAGTAGTGTATTTGGGGGCGACAGATGTCGGGATGTAGGGATGTAGGGTTCCGCGGATATCGGGATATAGGCGACGATGTCACTAGGAGGCTAACGGCAAACTGGTTCACCCAGTATGAATACCCCGCGCCCACGAGTATTGCGGGGGTATTTCCCCGTAGGTTGCCTAGCTCCCTGAAGATGGAGGCGCGATGGCCCGCCGTTTAGTGCATGGAACGTACGATGGGCGTTGCTACGAGCGAAGACTCCTGGAGACAATTCGAGCCGAATAACAGCGAGGCCATCTATATCAAGCAACGCTGAGCGGCGCTTTTCGAATGGTATCGTCACGACGGCTTTGGAACTTGGTACGATTGTCACAAAGAATACCAGTCAGTCTGAAAGCGGATACCGTTGACAAGCATGGCTCAAAACAAATACCTCAATAAACTGGAGGGTCAATCCGTCCTGATCATTGGTGGCACATCTGGGTCAGATGGTCCTTCTCATGAGCGCCTTGAGCGGTAACTAATCCCTTTTTCCCTGTTACAGTCTGGGCTTTGGCGTCGCAGAAGCCTGTGTCGAATTCAAAGTCGCCAATCTGTACGTCTCGTCGTCGCGCCAGGCCAAAATCGAAGCGACCATCTCGCGCCTTCAGAATGCCTATCCCGACAGCAAGACCAAGATCACGGGCATCGCGTGCAATCTGGCCGACGAAGCGACGCTCGAGTCCAACATCGAGAAGCTCTTCCAGCAAATCAATGCCAAACTGGACCATATCGTCTTCACGGCCGGGGATCCGCTCGCCATAAAACCGCTCGAGTCTATCGACATGGCAATGCTCAAGCAAGCAGGCATGGTTCGTTTCTTCGCGCCTTTCTTCGTGGCGAAACATGGTCGCCACTACCTCCACAACAACAACGGCAGTAGCATCACCTTCACCTCGGGCACGATCGTGCAGCAGCCGAACAAAGACTGGACGCCCGTCGCAGGCTTCATGTCCGGCTTGGTTGGACTGACCCGGAACTTGGCCCACGAGCTGAAGCCGATTCGGGTGAACCTGGTTGAGCCTGGTGCGGTCAATACCGAGTTGTGGGATCCCAAGTTTGTGGGGAACCCGGACGCAAGGAAAGCATTTCTCGACAAGTATGGCCTGTCCCTGGCTACAGGAGTGGTTGGGAGGGTCGAGGATGTGGTCGAGCTGTATTTGGCCGTCATGAAAGACCGAAACAACACCGGCGCAGTCGTGGAGAGCAATGGAGGTGCGTTGGTTGCGTAGGTAGCCCTCGAACCCGTGCCAGACTCGGAGATGCGTCTGCACAAGATGTGTGAATTCGGCCGCGAGAAAAGCTACAAATGGGTTGGACACCATCAACGGAAACAATAGACGTGTATAAATTGCCATAGGATCATTAAATAAAGCACGACTCTGGCCACGACTACACTGTCCGACACAGCAAATGTGGTTTAATTGCATTTATTTATGGTCCGCGCGGGGCAGGATGCCGGCAAAATACCTCAACATGTTTGGAACTTTGCTTTGTCTATCGACCTTGTATGCCTATATCCTTCTCTCCGTCGCCTTGTTAAAATTCCAAGTCAAAAGCCAGAGTCGCTTCGGCGATCTTCCCGACGAGCGCGATCAGTCTGCCCACCATGGATTAGCAGGCATATACTTGTAAATTGGTGCCCCATCCACTTAATCTCCATGTATGGGATGCTTGACAAAGCCGTCTAGAAACTGGGCACCTTCTAGGGTCGCCACGGCGGCATACTCGAATCCCTTGGCTCGCGCGCTCGTGGCTGGAAGTGGCGGGCCCGTTTTCATGTCAACCAGCCCTGTATCATCAGAATCAACATCCCCAGGTTGTCGATAGTTTTTCCCTCTCCAAGGCCGCAAGATTGCCGCTCACCTGAGACTTTCCCAAGGAGTGTACTACTCAGTGTATCCAGTGTCTTGAGATCTTCAGGATCTGTATCATTCTTGAATTTGAAGAGGACTTTCAGTCTCGTCAGCTTGCTATCCTCGGAGAGACGGTGGACGAGGCAGTAGTTACCCATGTGGTAGAGGCCCATCTTTGCGATTTATGACCCGACAAGCACACGCGCCGCAAGGTATTACGTCAACGATTCTTGCGAAGGACAGAGCTGGAATATGGTATGAATTGCTGTACAGTTAATACTCGCTCTTCATCCCATCACGACTTCTTCGGCACTAATAAGTATACGATGTCTCATAAAGCTATGCCCCGGACCACGGCAAATTTAACCAGTCCTTGGTCACTGGCCAGTCTCATCCGCTGGTAATTGCCGAGTTCAGGTCGTTTAACGAAAGGTACTTCCCCAAGCGTTTGATTGTGAGCTGTTATTGTCCGTCGTGGGGTGGTAAAGGCTGCCGAGTGACCGGGAATACGGTGCCGGATGAATCGGAGTGACCACAAAAGGCATGGGCGACAGGGAAATTTTGGACCGAAGGCTTCGTGACACTCTTTCCATTTCGACACCAGGTTCTCATGAGAAGCCGGACTGCCGGTGAGAACCAATGGCACTACTATGTGATATAATCTGACCCGGCTCTTTCAATTATACGTAATTTACGCCCCCTACAAGAGACGCTAGATCTGCGTCCCATAACGCGCCTGAGTGTGTTATTGAAATTCAGAGCGTGGTCTTCCAGCGGCCTGCCGTATTTCTCACACCTGAAAAGTCACTCGGCCATCTTGATACTATTTTACAGCTGATACTTTCTGATACTCTGAATCTCTGATTCATTAAGGATCTCCAAAGACCCAGAGAGGGCAGCAGATTTGTGCCAGCATTTACCTCGCCAGTCAACTCTCGCCAGCATCGCCGCGACGACCGATTTTGTGTCAACCATGACCTCGATCGAAATTTCCACGATCGAAATTCCCGTGTCCCATAATTGTGTTCGTGTAAGGATGATAGACGCTGAATGCAATATGACTTTGGGATCAGAGCACTTTTTTCAGCCGACCGTTCCAGGCCACGAGATTATGTACAGCACTGATGTGGCATTCCTCATTGAGAACCCACGACTGAACAAGAAGGCCATGTTTGACCTAGGGACAAGGAAAGACTGGTGGAAGCAGCCACCCATGATCACAAAAAGGTTAGGCACCTTTTTGAGATACATCAAAGTGGAGCGGGACGTGACCGAGATTCTAGAGGCTGGAGGCATTGAATTGCAGTCCATCAGTATGTATGCCCTTGACTAAGCCATATTAATTCTCTCCGTCGCTGAGTGCAAATCCCAGACGATGTCATCTGGTCGCATTACCACTTCGACCACACAGGCAGCACGTACCTCTTTCCCAAAACCACCAACCTGATTTATGGGCCGGGAACGACGGAAACATTTCTTCCACCTTACCCTGAAAACCCGCATTCCCCCATTGGGGTGGAACATCTGGAAGGGCGCAAATGCATCGAGGTCACGATGGAGACTCGGATTGGATCGCTGCCCGCCCACGACTTCTACGGCGACGGCTCTCTCTATCTCCTCGATACACCCGGACACGCGGTAGGCCACATCTGTGCCCTAGCACGGACGACGCCCGACACGTTCATCTTCATGGGCGGGGACATTTGCCATTTCGCAGGAGACTTCCGTCCCTCCGAAGACTATCCTATGCCTGACCCCATACCCGAAGGAGCTCTGTACAATAATGCATTCTTACCAAAGCCGTGTCCGTGCAGTTTGTTCACTGACCACCATCCACGGGGTGTGAAGGGGGAACAGGCTAAAAAGACTCCCTGGTACGAGATCTCCAGGCACAAGCATTCTTCGTATGCAGATCCGAAGCTGGCGTCCAAGACCGTGCAATCCATGGCCAACTTCGATGCGAGGAAGGACATCCTGGTCTGCCTCGCACACGAAACCATGCTTCCCGTCCATTTGCCAATCTTCCAGAAAGATCCTGACGTCGACCTGAATGCGTGGAAAGAAAAGGGCTGTAAGGACCGAGTCGACTGGGGCTGGCTGAACGAGCTCCCCAGAGATGAAAAACCTGGCAGAAAAGATCTTCCGCAAGGATTTTACAGGGACGGGAAGATCTGGGTAACGGCGAGGGAGGAGCTGGGCGAAATGGACTGACATTGGCAAGGCTGCCGTCATTCACCAGCCCAAGCGCGCTGCTACTGAGTCTCCTGAGGTCTACTTGCCCTCAGTGGCATAATTGGTGCCTAACTTTTATGGAGAACCGATTAACGCTTCTATCCTTGACAGAGAGAATTTGAGTAGTAGTTCTCCGACAGATATATTTGTCATGCACTGAATCCTTTCTTCTTCTTCCTTGAAGACAAAGGTCTGTGACAATGCCAGTTTGTTCAGAATCACGACCTTGCTCCCAGAGAAGAGAAGCGGCATCTCGGATCCCATCTCGGGGCTGCTGAACATCGAGCCCCAACCGATGACACGATCAAGCCTAGAGCTGTGAACACTATGAGCTCATGGCTCTCGACAGTGTCCTTTGCTCGGGCGCAATGCGTAATGAGCTCAATACAATTCCGATATATTTCATGGTAAATCTCGTGTACCTTCGTGTGATTCGGCTTCGCAGACGTGGTCGGTGTGAGAAATGGGCTTTTGTCGCGCGACGGCGAATGTACAATGTCATGGGGCCCCTGAGCCGAAGTTCTAGACCCCCGGTCCATATCTCGGCCTCTTTAGCCGTCCACCACGCTGCGTCGGGAAAGCGCTAAATGGGACTTTGGAGAGGCTGTTTCTAGAACTTATAGGGTGGTGAGAGGTATATCCGTATATCCACACTGCTAGCTCTACTTCTGCTCCAGGTGGCAGGCTTTGCGGATGTACGGATTTACGGGGGTAGAGGGAACAGTAAGCAAAGTCTGGGGCCCCGAATACGGGGTAGGCGGGGCTCCACAGTAAAGGCACTTGAGTGACGGGAGACTCTGCTGATGGACGCGTCGACAACATCATAAAGTCTGGACGGTTTGCCGGCAAATCGACAGCTCGCTCTGTTGACCGTCATGACCCTTTCCCTCTCGGTCTCTCTGCCCATCATCCACCAATAAACCCCGATCAAATTGCCAACATGGAGGCTGGCGTAGCAACATGTGTCGAAAAGTCCGACAGAGATCCCGAGCACCACGAAAAGGTGGCCAACATCACCGAGGCGTCTCTTCACAAAGGGATTGGCATTGAGGCTGCTGATGTGCGCGTGGTGAGCCCGAAAAGCAAGGAGGAGCGCAGACTCGTGCGTAAGATCGACACACTGATCTTGCCCTTGCTTTCCGGGGCCATCTTTTTTGCCTATCTGGTACGTCTTTCAGATTGATGAAGTGAATAGATGGTGGCCGACTCTTGCAGGACCGTGGAAACATCGGCAACGCGCGTATCATGGGCCTGCAAAAAGACATTGGTATCGACAACAGCCAGTTCTATAACTGTCTTATGATGTTCTGTAGGTACTGAGCTGTATCTTTGCTGTTCAGCACGTTTCTCACAGTCGCAGTCCTGGGGTATATGCTGGTCGAACTGCTTGCAGGGATCCTGCTTCGAAAGCTCCCCGCGAACCTGGTCATTGGATGCGCGGTCCTCCTGTTTGGGGTTCTAGCCGCTTGCTTCACTGCTGTCGAAAGCTACGCATCGTTGATGGTTCTTCGACTCTTGCTCGGCTTGGCAGAGGGCACCAGCTACAATGCTTACCTCTATACTAGCCTGTGGTATAAACCACACGAACTATCGCGAAGGACAGGTAAGTTGAGCGGCTCAGGCTCTTCGAGATCCCCACAGCTGATGTTCCTTGTATAGCTGCTGTGTACGGAATGAGCCCCATCGCTGGAGCGTTTAGTGGTCTCATCTCCTACGGCATTGAGAGGAATCTCGATGGCGCGAAGGGCTACCACGCTTGGCAGTGGCTGTTTATCATTGAAGGGGTATTAACCATTACATTCTCGCTCTTCATAATTGCTCTCCTACCCGGCCTGCCCGACGTTGTTGTCAAGAAAGGGCAATTCCTGTTCCCACATGAAGGAGAGCGTAATATCGTTGCGCAGCGAATGCGCTAGAGTAAGCCTTGCCCCAGCACATACCCGACGATTTTGAAAAGCAAACTGATACCAATACTACCACAGGCCAAGTGAGCGATCAATCGGGCGTTCGATACCACCAGGTTTGGATCGCGCTCAAGGACCCCAAGCTGTATCTCTGCGCGCTCATGATCGCCGGCTTCGGCCCCGTCATCCAAGGGTTTTCCGTGCTGTTGCCCACATTCATCAAAGAGTTCAACTTCTCGCCGCTCCAGACGCAGTTATTCTCCATGGTGCCGTATGCGTTCGGCTTTGCCGCACTCGTGGGCATGAGTTTCCTGTCCGATTACCTTAACCACCGAGCCTTCCTGATCTTCGGCTGCTTCGCCACGTCGCTCGTTGGGTTCGTCATCCTCCTTGCCACCACGAACAAGGTTGCCTTGGTCGCCGGACTTTGTTTCGTGCTGACAGGCACATATCCCGGCACCGTGCTGTGCGTCGTGTGGATTAACACCATACACGGCGGGTTCACGAAGCGCGCTACGGCCATTTGGATCAGCCAGATCTTCATTCAGAGCTACGCCATCATCGCGACCCAGGTGTACGATACTCCTCCACGATACTATAAGGGCCACGGCATCACGATGGCTCTTTGTGTAGTCGCCATGGTCGCTGTTGTGGTCATGTATTTCATCATGAAGCGGGCTAATGCCCAGCGCGATGCAAAGGCCCGGGAACTTGAAGCAAACGGCGAGATCGACCCTCGCATGGAGCAGGATTTCGAAGACTTGTGCGATTTCCACCCGGCCTGGCGCTACGCTCTTTGAGGTAGCAACAGGCGCATGTACTGTTAGGTCTGCCGGATAGTTGGAGATAGCTGGCCATATGTCTCAGAGAAGTTGTGGTACTCTGCGCCTTCTACTTGTTGTCGGGCAATAGGACACACGTAACTCATTTCGTCAAATTACTCTGCATTCAAGCTGCAAAAGCCGCGGCCAGTAAGATTGTGGAAGAAGTGAAAACCGCTCCCGGTCATGTCTGGTGCTCGGTCTGATGGCTTTTCTCATTCTGAGGACTCCACTTCTCTGGAATGCTCCACGCATTGGGCAGTATTGAAGAAGCCGAGAATCGGACTCCGGAGCAAGAAGCCGGCAATTTGACAGTAGCCAGGGCTTTATGCATGACTCCTTAGCCGTTCAGGAGGCAGCGGCGGACCAAGATCACTGTGAATGGAATACTCCGTGAATGAGCGGGCTTAATTGGTGATACGAAGCATAAAACGCAAGAATTCTGGTTGTTGACTATCCCGTCTGAAATAAAGGATGCAACAACTTCAGGATAAAGTGGCATTGGTCACAGGGGGAGGGTCAGGCATTATCCTTGCCTTTGCAAATTACTCTATAATGCAAGTTGCAAGGTTCTGGTTGCGGATCTTGGTCTGCACGACACTGCGAAGCAGTTGTTTGCGTCGACTCAACCCGCAAATCACTCTGATGCCCCTCGGGTCAGATTTCTTCGAGTCGATGTGACGGACTGGAACGAGCTTGAAAACGCCTTCAAGGAGAGCAATGCCGCATTTGGGGCCGAACCTGACATTGTTGTCGCGGGCGCAGGAGTCTACAAACCATCGTCCAATTCATTCTGGGAGGATGGAGATCGGAATTCGCGCTACAAAGTGCTGGACATCGACCCGGTCCATCCCATCAAGCTGACGCGGATTGCGATCCGGCACCTGGCTCAAGCTCGCAAAACCGGTACGATCATACACATCTCCAGCATCGCAGGGCAACGATCAAGCGTCGTGACACCGCTCTACACCGCGTCCAAACATGGCGTTAACAGCTTCATCCGCAGCATGGGCTCACTCGAAGCCATGGCAGGGATTCGAGTTCTTGGAGTGGCGCCGGGGTAAGTGACACGACCCAAGCCCCAAAGATCCAGGTTCATTCAAGGTCAGCTCAGGGTAAATACCGTCTTTAACTTACAAAATACATAAATAGAACGGTCGGAACACCCCTGTTCACAGGCCATCCCGAGGCGTCCAGGTTCTTGGACCTTGAAAAGGACACTCTCCTTGCACCAGAGCACGTAGCAAACGCCATGTTCGCACTCTTGACCGAGCCACAATATAAAGGCGGCACGGTTCTAGAGATCTGCCATGAGATCAAGTGGCGGGAAGTCTCTCTGCTGAACGATCCCGGCCCACAGGGGCCTGCGAGCATTACAAGCCGCAAAAGCGAAGCAATTAAAGGTATCCTGCCCTATCTCGGAGAGTGGGACAAGGTGGTAGTCGAGGGAGTTAGGAGTGACTAGCTTGTCGATCCTGAACAGAATCTCCGTCGAAGGGAAATCTACCGTGGTTTTGTCAAGCAATATTGACGAGAAATTGTGCTAATGGGACACACAGACCAATGGTATTTGCTCCTTTCTGGACGCATATCAGAGTATGCTGGACAGGACGCACCTGCCTTCTGTGCGAGTCCTTCATGGGCCTCCCGAACAGTCTGTCGGACATGTATTTAGCCTGGCAAGATAGCTCTGTCGCTTTCTTCAATGTAACAAGCTCTAAACCGTCCAGGATAGGAGTGCGGTCCTCTGCACTTGCTGCTTCATCTTAACATACGCACAGAAGCTCGGGTGCCCCGACTATGACTGAGCATCGGACAGTACCACTTTGAGAATGACCTGCGGCGACCATCTGGACCGAACAGAACTAACGCAGGATTCTAGGCCGGTGCTTGATATGATCAACTCGATCAAGCCTAGAGTCCGTCTAGAGTAGCTGCTCGGAACCTACCGCACGCGTTACTGTGAAGTAGTCGTAGCCAGTTCTCTACTTCGACTAAAGTTGGTCTCATCCTTTTCTTCAACTGTCCTGCAACCTCTCCTCCCTGTCTTTCTCGGTTTCTTCACCCAAATAATACGTCACATCTCCGCCGTTGAATTCGATGGCAGAGAACCCACTGCCCAGCCAGCCCCAGCGATTGCCGCTCTCGTATTCAATGTCATAGTCCTCGAACTTTGGCGCGGACAGCACGTCGAGGTAGTGCAGACGCGACCCGGGCCACACGATGGGATTCGCGGCCACCCGGCCCTGTTTGAACCAACTCCGACACGGATCCGTCCATGCGGTGCGATGGTGATAGGTCTTGGCGTGTTCGCCAAAGTCCGCCACGACGCTCGGCTTGGGCGAGAGGCGGCGGATGTGTTCGAGGCGCATCTTCTTGACGATGGCGACCAGATGGCGCGACAGCGCCGTGGCGACGGGTATCAGAGACCCCTGGGCCACGGGGCCGTAGGGGCCGAAGTAAGTGAAATAGTTGGGCATGTCGGGCACGCCGGTGCTGATGTACCCCAGAGCGTGCTCTTGCCAAAGCTCGCTGACGTTGGTCCCGTTCAAGCCGACAACGGGAAACCGAGGCTGAAAGGAGGTGTCGAAACCGGTGGCGCAGATGATCACATCCACGGCGACTTCTGGCTCGGACGAGCTGGGCTTGAACCCGTTCGGCGTGATAGAGTGCAACGTGTCGAAGAAGACCTTGGTTTTGGGCGCCACGAGTGCTTCCAGATATCCCGTCCCGGGTGTCGGGCGACGGCAGCCGACGTTGAAATTCTTCGGTATGATATGCGACATGATTTCTTGGTTGTAGGAAAGCCTCCTGGCCATTTCACCATAGGAGAACTGCCACGAAAGATTAGCATGATTGACATTCGGGAGGCGGTAGACGCTTACGTTCAACGCCTCCTCAGCCTCCTGAGTGTTGCGTAAGATGAACTTGAAACGGATGTTCAATTCCCTCTCCACCTTTTTGCGGTAGGAGAGATATTGACCTTCGTCCCTGGCCCAAGCCTGTTGCTGCTCTTTGGAATCTTGAAATCAGGTCAGTCAGAGGGTCAGGGTGCTTCGTCAGAGAACTCCTTACATTGGAAGTTAGCCCCATTCTCGCCAGCGTACTTGGAACCGTAGCCTGCAGTCACCCAGATCGGACTCCGAACCCAATGGTAGAGCTGGTCAACCTCTTGATATATCGAGGCCACCACTTGGACCCCAGAGCTTCCGCTTCCTATAACGGCAACCCTCTTCCCCTTGAGGTCGACGGTGTCGTCGTAGTTTGCTGTGTGATAGAGGTTTCCGCGGAAATCGTGCAGTCCGGGAATGTCTGGCCATTTCCAGGCACTGTCGAAGGAGTCAACGGTCTGTCATCCACGTACACGTTTCAGGGAACTCACTTGAGAAATCCTGAAGCATTCACAAAGAAGTGGTACTCCTCCTCGCGCTCCTCCCAATGATCGGGCTCGGTGTAGTGCCGCGACGTGATGATCCATCGAGACTTGTCTTCGTTCCAGGCCGCCCTGGTGACTTCTGTATTGTATTGAATAAACTTGTCGAGTTTCTCCTCATCGACGATGCTGCGCATGTACTGCCATATCTCGCGACTCTCTGAGTAGAAACTCGCCCAATCGGACTTTGGCTTCCACGGGAATTGATAGCAAACGCTGGGCACGTCGCACGCACATCCTGGATACCTGAATCGCCAATTGTTAGCAAAACCTATGGCTGCCCCGATTGCGAACGACACACCTATTCTCGAGCCATGTCCCACCCACATCGTTATTCTTCTCGTAACATATGATTTCCACATTTAAACCCTTGAAAGCATCGAGCGTGACAGTGTGATGTAAGAAGTCGATGCCAGACGCACCAGCACCCAGACATAGGATGCGAAAGGGCTCCTGGTTCCGTGGCGGCTCTCCTATCAGATGTTCAGATATCATATAGCCGGATGGAGCCTTGGTGATCCATTCCGGGGAGAAGGCTGGTCGGTCTGTCGACGAGGGTAACGAGGTGTTGGACTTGTTGCTAAAACCAGGCACCGCCGTCGGGACCGCCTCCTGGACTGAATGGCCATCGATGATCTGAGGATCGCCCATCGCAACGTGGACATGGAATATCTATACCTTTGTGCTACCAATAGTGATAGTAATAGCGTTACAGCTGAAAAAACTCCTGCCACGAACCCGTTCGGTTTAAGTACTAACCGGTTGAAGGTGTATGATCGATATCATTGCCAGAGGTTTTTCAAGAGCGGCCTTTCAACGATACCAATGTCGTCCTCACAATACCTCGGTAGGTCCCACAAAGGCTTGCCGGCCTTGTGGAATGATCTTCCCGAAGAGAGGGCAGGTATCAGGACTGATGGCGCCACACTCATCAGGCTCAATCTGGGCGGGCCGGAATTGTACTGACATTTTACGATCCGGCAACTCAACCAAATAGCCGTATTCCCAGAAGGGGCCAGGATCCACTATTCGTCTGCTTGATGGCCTGGACATGAGTCTCGTGGTCAACGACCGGGCTAGATTCAAATGAACTAGCTCTTCGGCAAAGTGTCTGTTGGCCGGGCTGCCCCACCATGTGGTTCTAGCATTCTATATCCATATCCTCGCATCCCCGATAATCACGAGGCAAATATTGAGCTAGACTGCTCATAGCAAAGCATTGTAGTTTCCGCTACACACAGGAACACATACAAGTATGTAACGGGCGCTTGACTTGCTCGGTCCACATAATTTCGGGCAAACAAGTGAGTCCTCACTCCACGAGATCATCTTAGAGCACGCCGCCTTAACATTAGAGGCTAAGAACAGTCCTCATACCACTATATCATCTGAGGTCAACCTAAGCTGCCTCGTTGCGGATTTCTGACCTCTCAACACAGCGCAGAGAATGTCTGAGCCGAGCAAGAAAGGGCGCCTCGCCGGGAAGACGGCGATCGTGACTGGCGCAGCAAGCGGGTTCGGCGCCGCGATCGCCACTATCTTCGCCAAAGAAGGTGCTTTTGTGCTGGTCGCAGACATCAACACTGCCAGCGGCGAGGCCGTCGCGGCACAGCACCCCAACCTGCACTTCGTCGAGCTCAATGTGACATTGGAGTCGGAGTGGAAGGCGGCGCTGGACTGTGTGCTTTCAAAATGGGGCAAGGTCGATATCTTGGTCAACAACGCCGGCACCAGCCATCGAAACAAGCCGGCGCTCGACGTGACCAAAGCCGATTTTGAAAGGTGCATTGCGGTCAACGTGGACAGCATCTTTTACAGCGTCAACGTGGTCGTGAGGAAGATGGTGGAACAAGGCACGGGCGGGTCGGTAATCAACGTTTCCAGCATTGGGAGCGTGAGGCCCCGGCCGGGACTCGTATGGTACAACGCAACCAAAGGGGCTGTGTCCAATGTAAGTCTGCATCTTCTCTTCCCCTTCTCATGACACCCTCTGGCAGCCCCTCCGTGGCGATAGATGACCAGAATCAAGTGTGTTGTTATCTGCACGTCTTCACCTGAAAACGTAGCAGCTGACAAACTTGGCAAGGCTACGAAAGGGCTGGCAGCGGAATTTGGCCCCCACCAGATACGATTCAACTGCGTGTGCCCGTTGCTCTCTGGCACCGGGCTATTCGAGACGTTTGTCGGTGTGCCCGATACGCCGGAGAATCGGAAGAAGTTTGTGGGCAATGCGCCCCTTGGGAGACTGATGGATGATAATGACATCGGATACGCGGCCTTGTACCTTGCGAGCGATGAAAGTGCGTTCGTAACAGGCATTAATATGGAGGTGGATGGTGGCAGGGGTGTTTGAAAAGGCCCCGTCTCTTTCCGCGTACCCATTTGATTGTTACCCGAGTGTTTCGACACCAGCATGTTGCTCTAGTGGAGTTCATGCAAATGGAGATGACCGAACGGCTTCGATTTCGCAATCTAGCTTCTTGGTCTTGTCAGAAAGTCTTACTCAAGCTTTTAAGGTAGCTCACGTATTGGTTCATCTGCCTTTTGATACACGAGAAGGAAGTATCGTGCTCCCTCTGCGCCTTGTCAGAGGTATTAAATCGACTGCCTCTGAACAACAGACAGTTAGAGAGGTCGATTGGTCTCCTGTACTGTGAGGCCATTGAATAGTTGACTACATAAATACTGGTAAGGTCAATGTATCGAGACTGTTGGATGCCCCTGTTCCCATAGGAGTCAAACACCCACTGCTCAAATAGTTCTAAGCTGGCCACACATGGGGACCGACGTCCTGTAATGGTGGCAAGTCCAGCCACTGGAAAAACTTCCCTTGATCGAAAACCTGATTGCCCATGGTGTCGTCGAAGGCGAAGAGGCTCGCTGGGAAATCCAAGTCGGTTTCGACTGTGGACTGAGACGGGACGTCAGCTGCAGACGCAACTTGAGCTGTCTCGCTGTTGTCTCCCCGGTCGCCTTGGTCCAAGGAGCTGACATCCTGAGCTACATACTCGGTGATCCTTTCGAATCGGTCT